TAAAAAAGGCTAGCCTATAAAATGGTGTGCCAGACCACACTTTTCCCTTTTATATAATTTGTCTATCAATATTAATCATACTTAATTTATTACCATTAAAAAATTATATAATCATTAATTAAATATAAAATATTAATCAAATATAAAAAATTAATAAATTGTATTTTAACATTTTTAATATTTATGTTTCATGGTTTGCATTCTCTAATTAATCAATAAAGCAGCTAACTAAATAACTTACTAGCTAATTAATTCTTTGTGCTTTCCAAAATATTTGAAATTATAAAATCAAAAAAATTTTCTTGACAAAAATATTTCATACATATTTATTTCCTTTTTAATGATAAATAAAGAAAAAAAATAGAAGCTTTTATAAGGTATTATAAATAATAATAGAAAATACACCCAAATATTTGATTTATAGATATTTTTAATTATTAAGAGGAAGGTATTTATTTAATCTAAGAAATTAAAATATTTATGAAAGCATTTATATTGTTTATCTAATTATATAAAATACATATGCCATTCTATGTTCATTATTTATTTTTTTTTTTTCAGAATATTATCTAAAGCTATATATATTACCTACCTCATTTTTCTAAGATTTTGTGATGCTTTACTTCTACTTTCAAAATTAACTAAGTTGAATCTATTTCAAATTTATAATAAAGTAATTTTTTTATTCTTAAAAGATGGTGATTTTAAATAGTGATTACGTTAAACTGATACTTAAATTTAATAAGCTTATTGATACTTTTAGCCCATCTACAAACTGCACAATTCCTTAATTTACAATTTCATTTTAGCTTTGTTTTATATTTAAGTTTAACATTATATTTAAAATGCTTAATATTTATTAATAGACATCGCGCTTAAAACTAAATTATAAATATATCAGAATTGAATATTTTCCTATTAAAGTGCCAATATTTACAAAACTTTACTAGTTTATTGTGCATTAACTATTTTTAAAAATAAAAAAGTTATTATGAGATTTAGTATAATAGTTTATACGATAGATCAATCTTAAATTTTTATAGATTTTTACATTTATATATTCCTTCAAAAAGACACACCACTAAAGATTTCTCCACTTTTAATTAAATAATTTTTAAAAGAGTCTAATTAACCTTTTTAATTTCTTTTGAAGTGTTCAATAATGGTAACATTTACTTCAGCATGAGTGTTAGATTTGCAAGATTATTACACACTGCTATCTAAAGACCTAATGTAGAATATCCATAATTGGTAATGTCATTATAACTTTTAAACAATAAAAAATTATATTTCATTAGCAGCTAGCAATAAAAATAACATACTCTGATAATTCAATGAATAATGATAAAAGCTGCAACAGGCTTTAATCCCCTAGGCTAAATGGATAATGCCTTATGAATTTATCGAATTACCTCTGTAAAACAATATTTTAGATTTTATCTCAACTGAAAAAAATTACTAAAGATTTAGTTATAAAAAAGTCAGATTTTAGCACTTTCCAATTTCTGTTCCTAAAAAAGTAGCACGAAATAATTTAATTATAATCTTTTAATTAGAAACTAAGAAATAAATATCAGGAATTTGTAAATAAAAAAAATTAATTTTAAAATGATTAAATTATTATTAACTATAAATTTAAGATTAGTTGCTCTAAACTTTAATTATGACCTATTCCATTCGATAATTAAGTAATCCCTTCAGTTTCAATCTATTTTTGCTTTATTAATCAAGTAAATAAGAAAAATAATTAAATTATTTAAAATATTAATTTCAAAATAGTTCATTTAAAAATATGGTTTTTAACAATAAAATATAAATTTTGAATAAAATACTATATATTGAGATTTAATTTAATTAAATTATTGCTTTTTCCTAATGAGTTTCCTAATTCAGTAGCTCCCTATTAGCATATATTATTATCCCTATATGAAATAAAAATAAATTTATTTTGTAAATGTAAAATAAAATATTTCAATATCTAAAATTTGTTGGAATTAATTAAAGTTGTAAAAATTAAAGAATATTATGTTCTTATTTTAAATAAAGTATTCAAAATGTACGAGATGTTAAGGGTTAATGATGAAAGATTATTGCAGTTAAATAAAGCTTCTCCTAATTTAGAGACACCAACATCATTTAATTTATTTTATCTTAAATTAATATTTTAAAATAAAAATAATTTTAATAACTGGCCAAAATTAAATAATATGATTAATGAATTATGTTTACTGAACATTAAGCATTAAAGAAATTAGGTTTTGACATTTTTTAAAAAATAGACATAAATTCGATATCTCATATTCCTCTTTTAATTTTTAACTTTATTTATTTAATTATTATGTTGTGAGATTAAAAGTTTTTAAAAAGAATTTTAAGCTACTCTAACTGAAATGAAAAATTAAAAATGTTTTCTAAATTACTTTCTAGAATATTAAATAGATTTTAAATATAACTTTAATTGTGTATAACTAAAATTTAAGTTTATACTTTTTTGAGGCTATTATAAATAATATTTTATTACATTATTTTTTTATCTCAAAGGTGTTTCAATAGAAAGATAAAAAATTATTGATTATTGATTTATGATTTCAAAAAATTTTGATTGAAATAAATTAAAAGAATTTAAATGCTATTAATTTTGTACTTCAATATCTTTTCTGATTCTTTCTTATTATTTTTTATCAGAATTATGTTCAAAAATTTTTAATACTTGAATCAAAGTTATATTTGATATTTAAGAAGCGATTTCATGCAAACTTTAAAATTTAATTTAATTTAAATAATTTAATAAAACTAGATTTACTTAAAATGTAATTAATTTAATTAGTAAATAAATTATATTTTTATTATGTATAAAATATGAAGTAAAAAAAATTTAATAAAGAAAAAATTTTATTAAAAAATTTAATATAATTGTAATTTTATTTATTTTTTTAATACCAAACTCTGATTGAATTAATAAGGAATCATGCTAGTTAATTAATATACATTTAAATTTATTTATAATTATAATTCAAAAAACATATAATAAATATTTATTTTAATATCAAGATAGACCTTATTTATACATTGAAGTTAATATTTTTTCATCTAGTTAATCAATTGATTCACTCTCTTAACATCTCTTTAAGAACTTATTAACATATTTATATTAGAGTTCATCTGATAAGGATATTGCAAACTATTTTTCATAATGACTAATGTCTTTTTGAGTTTCTTTTTTTAAATAGTTGATAAAATAAATGTAAAATAAATTTAAAGAATCTAACCAAAATCTAAAAGTTGAGAATCGAGAAAACTTGATGAACATCCAATCAATCTGATAGCTGCTAACTAATCAGTTGTAAATAATATCATGATCGCTTTTTTTAAGAATATAATGTCTTAGTATAACTCCAAAATATCTAAGTCTTTATCAATCTGACTCTTAATAATCTTAAATGATTATTTATTGAGTCCTTATGATTTTAAAAAGTTTTCTTTGTTACAAAGCCTTTTTGCATAAATTAAAATTAAGAAAAATTATATATATATATATATAAGTAAGATTTAAAATTTACTTTGCTCCAAAGACTATTGTTTTTATTTTATCAGATATTTTTTTATCTTTTAATGCAACAAATTTCATAGAATAATGTTTATTGGTGTCATTTTTTTACTCTAAATTTTTACATTTAAATCTGTTTGGAGAATAATCACCAGTAAAATTACTCTTTTTAATTATGGGTACATTTGAAAGCATAGTCATAAACGTGATATTTTACAATTTACTTTTTTCAGTAAAATATCTATTTGTAGATTATATTTAGTCTTAATATTAATGCACATTTTCATTTTAAATTTTAGCATTTTCATAACTCTAAATATTAAATTACTCTGTTTATGACTTTTTATCTGAAAAATTGTATCTTTAGGACAAATCAATTTCAGGAAAATCCTGCTTTTTTTATGTAAAAGTAGTATCTACTTATTTTATTTCATCTTAGTTTAATTCTTATAATTTTAGGATGTTGCTCATTTCAGATTAATTATTTACCTATACTTCTTATTTGAACTTATAATTGTTCGTTGGGATACTAATAAATTAATTATCATCTTTCTCTTATCTCTCAAGATTTTCTTCAATTTACATTTATGACAAATGTTTCTAATAGATTTTATTTCTATTATCTAAATCTTTTATTTCAAGAAAATTATTATTTCTTAAAATCTCAAAGTACTTCTCCTAAAATACATTTTTCAGTAGAATCATTAAGAAATCGTTTCTTAAAGAACTCTACGAAAACTGCTTTCCTATTATACCTAAGAGCATCAAAGCTGCTATAGTGCTATTAACCTGCGCAAGGACTTAAGGTAGAGTAGAATACTAAACTTGAATTTGCTGCACAATTTCATCCATTTCAACACTAATTTAAATGAACGGGCCTTCTCCAACTTGAGTCAGTGCATATTATCTGTCTAAAACTTAATTTTATAATTCATACTAAATTGGAGAAGTAAATCTTGTTTAAGATTAAACAAAAAAGCCTTCTTTAATTGAAGTGATTTACTTCTATGTCCTAAAAGTACTTAGAATATACTAAGTGGCTAAAGTATAAACAAAAGAGTTTCTATAATTAATTTATATTTGTTGAGAAGTGACGTTATATTAAGAAGTGTAAAATTTCATTCGTTAACCTGCATTTACACCATTTACAATACTATCGATCTCTGGTTATGTTGCACAATTATCAGGAATAGTTGTCTTTAATTAATCTAAATCTAAACATCCATATGAGAAAACTTATATCTGAGATTGAATATTATCAATTGTACTGAGCGTTAAAGTGTAGTTAGCTATTTTAGAGTAGTCTAAGCAGTAATATCCGATTAGATTTTCATCAGTGCATTAAATTATATCTAATGGAATATTTTGATAAAAGTCATTATCGTAGTAAAAAAATAGAGCAATGAAAACTAAATAGGTCTTATTTTATTGTGCCTCTAATTGCTAAATACTCTTATTGACATCATACTCAAACCTGAACCCAACTAAGTTGTTATTTAATTCAATATCTATTTTTTGTTGAGTTATGAAGCTCTGCTCCCTGTAATTAGGTTCAATTCCATTTGTGAAATACTAATAAAGGATGTAAATAAAATAAGCAGAAGCTAGTCCAATAATGAGTATTGATAGCAGCATTCCGAAAACTGTACCTTTTCTGATCTATTACCCACCTACATTCATGTAGAATTTAGAAGAAAATAAGTCGTATTTAAGAAAACTCATTTTTATTTTATCTATTTATTGCTTACTTTAAAAACTTCTACTTTTGGAAAGTTAATTTTAAAATTTCCTTATATTACTTCATTCACTAAATAATAAATTTTAAAATACTGAAAGAAATAATAAATGAAGAATAGGAAAATCTGTATGCTAGAAAAAAAGTATGGAGAAATATTAAATTTTTTTACTCGGATTGCTAAGTTATTTAAAAGTTAAAATGGTTTGAATTAAAAGTCGAAATCACTTTCCAAATAAAAGCATATTTAAAATGGATTTTTTAACTATTCCAACATAAATTACTTACTTTTAATCATTTCAATAAACTATGATTTTTCTTGTTGTTTTTTTATATAATTTATAATGCATTTATCTTTATGTATTAAAATTGAGATCATCTCATTAATTTATTCTCGAGCAGAAATTTTTCAATTTACAAAGTGATTTAAAGTTATTTCAAGATAAAATTTCTTATTTATATTGAATTAAAATAAATGAGCTAATTAATAATCTAGACTTTCTTTTAATTATCTAAATAAAAATTATATTTTGGAAGAAAATAATAAATAAAGTCTGGCTTATTAAGGATTTTGTTAAGAATAAAAAATTAGTAAAACAGTTAAATTATTTGAATGAAATTAAATATCTTTCTTTTTGCAGTTAATAAATACATTTATTAAAGCTTTTGAATAAAAGGTTAGAAATTGTATTTCACGCATCTATTGTAAATAAAAATTAAAGCATTAAATTTAGAAGACATTAATCAATTCAGTAAAAAAAATTGTATTAATACATATTAAATTTGTCTATCAATATTAATCATAATAGATTACTCCATTAAAAATTTTTTTAATTATTAATTAAATATAAAAAATTAATAAATTGTATTTTAATCATTTTTAATATTTATTTATGTTTCTTGGCTTGATTTCTCTAATTAATCAATAAACCAGCTAAATAAGTACTTACTTAATAGCTAGCTAAATAATTCTTTGTGCTTTCCAAAATATTTAAAATTATAAAATCAAAAATAAATAAAATTTTCTTAACAAAAATATTTCATACATATTTATTTCCTTTTTAATGATAAATAAAGAAAAAAAAAATAGCAACTTTAATAATATATTATAAATAATAATAAAAAATACACGCAAATAATAGATTTATAGATCGTTTTAATTATTAAGAGGAAGGTATTTATTTAATCTAAGAAATTAAAATATTTATGAAAGCTTTTATATTGTTTATCTAATTATATAAAAATATTTATGCCATTCTAAGTTCATTATTGAATTTCTTTTCAGAATATTATCTAAAGTTGTATTAGCTACCTCATTTTTTTGAGATTTTGTGATGCTTTACTTCTACTTTCAAAATTTACTAAGTTGAATCTGTTTCAAATTTATAATAAAGTATTTTTTTATTTTTAAAGATGATTATATTAAATAGTGATTACGTTAAACTGATATATAAATTTAATAAGCTTTTTGATACTTTTAACCCATCTACAAACTGCACAATTCCTTAATTTACAATTTTATTTTAGCTTTGTTTTATATTTAAGTTTAATATTGTATTTAATATGCTTAATATTTACTAATAGACACCGCGCTTAAAACTAAATTATAAATATGTCAGATTTGAATATTTTCCTATTAAAGCGCCAATATTTACAAAACTTTACTAGTTTATTGTGCATTAACTATTTTTAAAAATAATTAAAGTCAATATGAGCATATATAGTATAATATTTTATACGATAGATCAATCCTAAATGTTTGTAGATTTTTGCATTTCTATAGTCCTTGAAAAAGACACGGTTCACCTACACCACTAAAGATTTGTCCACTTTTAATTAAATAATTTTAAAAAGTGTCAAATTAACCTTTTTAATTTCTTTTGAAGTTTTCAATAATGGTAACATTTACTTCAACATGAGCGTTAGATTTACAAGATTATTACACTCTGCTATCTAAAGACCTAATGCAGAATATCCATAATTGGTAATGTCATTATAGCTTTTAAACAATAAAAAATTATATTTCATTAGCTGCTAGCAATAAAAATTATATACTCTGATAAGTCAAGGAATAATGACAAAAGCTTGCAACAGGCTTTAATCCCCTAGGCTAAATGGATAATGCCTTATGAATTTATCGAATTACCTCTGTTAAACAATATTTTATATTTTATCTCAACTGAAAAAAATTACTAAAGATTTAGTTATAAAAAAGTCAGATTTTAGCACTTTCCAATTTCTGTTCCTAAAAAAGTAGCACCTTCTGAAGATATTTTGTTCCATCTTTTTTTAAACGTGTTAACATTTCATAAATTTTATTATTGTACCTGTATAAATCAATTGATAGATATTAAAGTTTGGAAATATTTTTTATTCCACTTGCTAAACCATATGCTCCTTAAGCTTATATACTATTCTCTCTTATAATATAAAAAATATTTTTATTATAGAAATAATTTAATTATAGATCTTTAAATTAGAAACAAACAAATAAAAATCAGGAATTTGTAATTAATTTTAAAATGATTAAATTATTATTAACTATAAATTTAAGATTAGTTGCTCTAAACTTTAATTCTGACCTATTCCATTGGCTAATCCAGTAATCTCTTCATCTTTTAATCTATTTTTGCTTTTTAAATCAAGTAAATAAGAAAAATCATATATTGTTTAAAATAATATTTTCAAAATAGTTCATTTAAAAATATAATTTTTAAACTATAAAAAAAAAATTTTTGAATATAATACGATATATTGAGATTTAAATTAATTAAATTATTGCATTTTCCTAATGAGTTTCCTAATTCGGTAGCTCCCTATAAGCAAATATTATTATCCCTATATGTAATAAAAATAAATTTATTTTGTAAATGTAAAATAAAAAATTTAAATATCTAAATTTAGTTAATTTATAAAATTAAAGGATATTATGTTCTTATTTTAATAAAGTATTCAAAATATACGAGATGTTAAGGGTTAATGATGAAAGATTTTTGCAGTCAAATAAAGCTTCTCCTAATTTAGATGCACCAACATCATTTAATTTATTTTATCTTAAATTAATATTTTAAAACAAAATAATTTTTATAACTGGCCAAAATTAAATAATATGATTAATGAATTATGTTTACTGAACATTAAGCATTAAAGAAATTAGGTTCTGACATTTTTTAAAAAACAGACATAAATTCGATATCTCATATTCCTCTTTTAATTTTGAACTTTATTTATTTAATTATTACCATGTGAGATTAAAAGTTTTTAAAAAGAACTTTAAACTACTCTAACTGAAATGAAAGATTAAAACTGTCTTCTAAACTACTTTCTAGAATCTTATATAGATTTTAAATATAACTTTAATTATATACAACTGAAATTTAAGTTTATACTTTTTCAAGGCTATTATAAATAATATTTTATTACATCATTTTTTTATCTCAAAGTATTTCAATACAAAGATATAAAACTATTGATTTGTGATTTCAAAAAATTTAGATTTTGATTGAAATAAATTATTAGGCTTTAAATGCTATTAATTTTGTACTAAATATCTTTTCTGATTTATTCTTATTATTTTTGATCAGAATTATGTTCAAAAAATTTTCAATACTTGAATCAAAGTTATATTTGATGTTAAAGAAGCGGTTTTATACAAACTTTAAAATTTAATTTTAAATAATTTAATAAAACTAGATTTATCTAAAATGTAATTTAGTTAGTAAATAAATTATATTTTTATTTTGTATAAAATATTAATTAAAAAAAATTTTAAAAATTTAAAAATTTAAAAAAATTAATTACATATATAAAAGTCAATTAATAATAGCAGCTATTAATTTTTTTAAAGTATTATTTTTATTTATTTTATTAATTAATTTAAAAAAAATAAGTTTTAATTCTATTATTAATCTAAAATTTAATGAATTACAAAACAATCAAATAAATTTTATTTAGTTTTTTAACTTTTTTATCCAAACAATTCATTAATTTAATTAGCTTTAGCCCTTTGGGTTAGAATTCTCAAATTTATGAATTTCACTTTATTTTAGCTCAGCTTCATTTCCCGCTATATCTGAATACATACTCTTCTCAGTATCTAATCGGGGACTTAATATGTGGTTATCTTTTGCTATGGTAAGCATCTGCTAGTTTTCGCTTTTTGGACTGAAGATGTATTGATGCTCTTCTTTTGTATTTGGAGCTGGTTAATTTTTTAATTTAGAATTGGATATATCTTAAATTTTTTCATTTTTATCATCATCAGAGTTCGAATTGGATACAGAAATAGACTAGATCTATATTTTATCTTTCACATTTTTAAGTACTGAAGTTGGATCCAAAGATTAAGAAACTTCAATATTTTATGGTATTAGTTAAATATTTTAAATTAAAGAATCTCTTTAATTCTGGCTAAATCCAAATAATGAAAGTAGCTTTTAATCCAAAAGCTGTATTATTTTAATATCCAGAGCACTTAAATTTTCTTTATTTGCTATATTCTGATATGCTTAATAAGCTTACTGAGCCTTTTAAAGTTCTGTCCTGTTATCTTAATAATGATCATCTATTTCAAATTGAATGTCTTCTGCCTTTTTACAAAATCCATAGTTTGACCTAATTGTAGGCTTGGGGATGTATTCAAATAATTTAAGCTAATCAGGATTGAGGAGTATGTTCTTTAGCTTATCAACTTCCATCAGTTTTTTAATAACATAGAGAACATCTAAATGATAATAAAGCTAATCTATGCTATAATCAATAACCTTCTTTTTTTGTTAAATCTTTTAGCCAAATGGCCACAGAAAGAACTTCAAATACTCTAATGTATTTAGAGTCATGCTACTTGTCGCTTTTTACATCAATCTTTTAAAAACGCTTTCCTTTAACTTTTGCTCTTTTTCTTCTAATTTTTATTACTGCTATTTCAATTTATAATGGTCTGAAGACAAGTGAAAATTGTACTCTTCTTAATGACCATTGCTTTTTACTGTTGAATTTTTGTTTTATATTAAGTAGGATAAAAATTATTTTTCATTTTCATCTTACTGTTGTGGATTTACTGAAATTTATTGCTTGCTTGATAGCATGTCTTCTAAACCTTTTTTTTCTTCACAAGCATGCAACTAAATTTCAGGTTTAATATTATTTCTAAACGAGCTTCTCTTTGTACCTAAATTTTGGTTTGTATTGCATTAGATTGTTTAATTGATAAAAGATTATTAATGACTTTAATTTATATTTCCATTAAATGAAATCGATTGGTTATTATTATTGCTATAAGATTGATTAGGGTCGATTGAAATTGGCTTTATCAAATTACCTTTATTATCAGATTAATTTATACAAGGCTGATCTTACTTAAAAAGCTATTTGATTTAATGTTTTTGATTTTGATTTTACTAATTGTTTTCAAATTTTTTTTTAAGTTAACTTTATTACATATTATCAAAAGAAACATCTTAACTAATTGGCGGGCTAATATTTTATTAAACACAAGCAGCCATTTCATTTTAACCATTTAGTTTATACATTTTGAATACTTTCTCTTCTTCAAAGTTAACATTTTCATAGTTGAATGCTTCATTTATAATTTCTTTGTTTAGGTCAAGCTGAGATAACCTTGAGCATATTATAAAACCTATAGCGAGTAAAGACTAAGTAAACCCTCCTATTTGGGAAATTATATCATTTAAATTTTAATACTTCCTAGTGTAAAGATTCTCTTTTTATTTTTCAAAGCGAAAGACTAATTAGAAAAAGAAATCTTAGAAAGAGCTTGGGTAAACCTATTTTAATAAATAAATAAATTCTTAGTTAATTTCATCTTCAAACAAGAAAAAAAAAATTGAGGTAAAAAATAAATAGCTATTTAATTCGGTAAAATTTAATATTTAAATAAAAACTAATAAATAATCTTTTATGGTAAAATTTCATTTTCTTACATTTTATTCGGCGTAACTGAATGATGGAAAATTAACAGTCTCTATATCTGAGGTTATCCACCCATAATCACTTTAAACGTAGTTGTTTCTCATGTAGAAATCGACTTCTTTGGGCATTTATAAGCTTGTTGAGAAAAAAGTATCTCTAGAATAATGTTTAAATGGATTTGTTTTTTGAGTAGGATCAACAATTATATCTGAAAATTACATTGAGAAAAAAGAATAACCTAATTTATTCTATATATAATCGTCGGGTTTGCAATTTTATGAGCACTTTTAAATATTAATGTTAATAAATTAGAAAGTCTCAGCATTGAAATCTCCTTCTATTTATAAATCGAAATTTAGAGGAAAACAATACATATTAGTATAGTCTATTTATTGATAGTAATGTAGATTATCTTAATCTGGAAAATTAGCTAAAGAGCATCTTGTAATTGGTACTTAAGTTGTTATATAATTATCAGTAGGCTTACCAGTAGTAGGATCCACCATAGTAGTTTTATGCACATTTGTAACGGTGATGTTATAAACTTGTTCATCGATGAATTAATTAAAATTAGAATCTTGCATGCCAAATGCCATTTAGAAAGTGTTTTAATTTATTGTAAATAACTTTGGGCTATCAACTTATCTCTCTTAGTAAATGACAACAGGATTAGTTCTCTACACAACAGAGGATATAATTAAAATAAGACGCAACGCTACTATGGATACTATAGCTATAGTGAAAATTGATCCAAAACGAGTATAGTGAGCTGGCTCTCTGTTAAATCTAAAAAGAATTTAGCTGCCAAAAAGATCTAACTATTTCATGATTTTAGTTTGTATTATACTTAAATTTAACTAACTAACTAACTAATATTTTTGTTGGAATTTGATTTTCTTTTGTTTTTTAATTATTACTCAATTTAATTTTCTCTATTATTTACACCAATAAATAAATAAATTTTCATTTAATGGACTTTTTAATTTAATTACTCAATATTGAAAATCAAACATTCTAAACCAACTTGTAAGTGGATGTAAATGAAATTTATAAATTTATAAATACCTTTTCCATTTTTATTTGATTTCAGTTAAATAAATTTATTTAAAAATAAGCAGTTTTTTAACTTATGTATATTGAAAACACATGTAATTACATTTATAATAAAAGAAATAGATATTTTTAAAGTATGATTAAATTGTTTCAAACATAAAATTTTTACTTACAGACAATTAGGTATAAATAATTGTAAAAAAAGTATATTCCGAACAGAATAATAAAATTTCTAATAAGAATTTAATTAAAAATCTTCTATTAATTTTTTTAATTCAGTATCTGATATATTCATTAAATAATTTACAAAATTTACCTTTGCAATAAAAGCCTTTAAAATAGTATTTATTGGATTTTATTTGAATACTTTTGTGAAAATTAATCAATTTTGGTAAAAACAATTAAATTTTTTAATTAAATAGTGTCAATAAAGCTAATATATTGGTAATTATCAAAAGAATATTTTATCAAAGTAATACTTAATTCATCTTATTACATTTTTAAAATAAATAGCAGCACCCGAATATTCCTTAATTAATACTAATCAAGAAGTTCTTTCTTACTAAATTTTCTTTAAATCTATAGAAATTCAGATTTATTTTCTAATTTTAGTAAAATAAAAATTTAATTTTAATTTGAAATAGTAATAAATAAGTACATGCTTGAATCTATTTTAAAAAAATAATTTATTTCGATTGAAATTTAGAATTTTTTAAAAAGCGAGCATTAAAATAAATATAAAGATGAAAGATATTGACAAAAATTTTTTCTATTTTGATTAATTCCTGTCCGTATAGTTAGGGCAATCATAAAAATTATAATATTGATAAGGAATAATGAGTAAACTAAATCTAATGATGCAATACTAAGATTTACAAAAAAAATTCTTATTAAAGAAATAATTATCATTTTTATTATTACAATTTATTAGCTGTAAGCTAAAAGCTGAGATCTATTTACTCCTTTATCAAAAATTTTTTAATAATCAATAAAATTTCTAATGTATTTACAATTGATGTTTAAAAGAAATATTATTTCTGCGTAAATCTATAGAAGAATCATCTATTATTCATAAAAGTCTTTTTATTAAATTTATTTTTCTTCTTTTTATTTGGTTGTCTTGCTTACAATGAAGCCATTAACTTAATCGTTTTGAAATTCCTCACCTTCGCTTGCATTTTCTTAACCTTCAGATTCGATTACTTCTCTTTAGCTGGCAGTAGCATTTTTTTCAGAGATGCTAATATGAAATACCTTCAAATCTGGACTGCTATTGTTATTTGTTTCAATCATACTAATCTGATCGGAAAGCTTTATTGCATAATTTTACTATGTTATTGTATTATTTTCTTAGATTATCGATTGGTTTTATATTTCTTATATTGAAATTAACTTTTTCCTTTTGTGTGTATTATCTTGTTAAATTTATAACTTTACTTTTGATGAAGTAATTAATTTATTGGGGAGGATTAATTTTATTGAGAAGAAGTTAGTTAGTATTTGTTGGATCTAATTATTTTTTAGTTAAGTGTGATTATATTGTGATTTAAAAAATTTATTATTTTTTTATTATTAATTAAAAAAGCTGTTTGCATTTTGATAGGATACCACTTTGAAGTTGAAGTAATAAATTATCTGATTTCCTAGCTGATTATAAGCTTTAAGAATATTAATGTTTTTGTAAAAGAAATTGTTGATTGTTAGTTAAGGTTTTATTAATTTATATTCAAACTACTTCTCTTTGAAGGTAATCCAAATAATTCTAATAACTTAAGATCAATCAATTAGTTAATACATTATCATACTATAGAATAAATTTTAATGTTCTTTATTTGCTATATTTTGATAAGCATTCAAAGCCTATTGTGCCTTTTAAAACTCAGTACTTTTATCTTAATATTAGGTATCAATATTAATCTGCAGATCTTTTTCATTCTCTGTAAAGCCATAATTAGATGTTATTGTTGGCTTATGAATTATTTGAAAAGATTAAGTTAATCTTTATCCAATAATACCTATTTTAGTTTATCTACTTCTAAAAGCTATTTGGTTGCATTAATTGCATCTAGATAATATTAAAGTGTATCAATATTAAAATCGAAAACTTTTTTTTTCTTTTAATTTCCTAAATTGCCAAATAAGTAATTTAACACCTAAGCTCATATGGCTAGCCAATTTTAGCATTAGTTTTTTGAAAATAGACTCTTTTACTTTTTACTCTTTTTCTTCAATTTTTTATTATTATTTGTTTACTTTTTGATGATCCCTAGAAATGAAAGCTACAAATCCTGCTATTTCTGTTTTTTTTTATTCTTTGTATTAATTTTATTAGATCTAACCTCGATAAATCGAACCTTTTTTGAATTTGCGCTTTGCGAGTTAACGAGGTTTTACGGTATTAAAAAAATATTTATTGATGCTTTAAAGAAAAATAATTTTTAAAGCCAATCAATTTTTGTTTTTTTAAAAATTTAGAAATTTAAAAAAATTAGTTATATATATAAAAGTCAATTAATAATAGCAACTATTACTTTTTTAAAGTATTATTTTTATTTATTTTATTAATTTTAAAAAAATAAGTTTTTAATTCTATTATTAAACTAAAATTTAATTAATTATAAAACAATGAAATAAATTTTGTTTAGTTTTTTTAACTTTATTATCCAAACAAATCATTAATTTAATTAGCTTTAGCCCTTTGGGTTAGAATTCTCAAATTTATGAATTTGAATTTATTTTAGCTCAGCTTCATTTCCTGCTATATCTGAATACATACTGTTCTCAGTATCTAATCGGGGACTTAGTATAAGGTTATCTTTTGCTATGGTAAGCATCTGCTAGTTTTCGCTTTTTGGACTGAAAATATATTGATGCTCTTCTTTTGTGTTTGGAGCTGGTTAATTTTTTAATTTAGTATGGGATATATCTTAATTTTTTTCATTTTTATCTTCTTCAGAGTTCGAATTGGATACAGAAAAAGATTAGATCTATATTTTATCTTTCACATTTTTAAGTGCTGAAGCTGGGTCCAAAGATTAAGAAACTTCAATATTTTATGGTAATAGTTAACTATTTTAAATTAAATAATCTCTTTAATTCTGGCTAGATCCAAATAATGAAAGTAGCTTTTAATCCAAAAGCTGTATTATTTTAATATCCAGAGCACTTAAATTTTCTTTATTTGCTATATTCTGATATGCTTAATAAGCTTACTGAGCCTTTTAAAGTTCTGTCCTGCTATCTTAATAATGATCATCTATTTCAAATTGTATGTCCTCTGCCTTTTTACAAAATCCATAGTTTGACCTAATTGTAGGCTTGGGGATGTATTCAAATAATTTAAGTTAATCATGATTGAGGAGTATGTTCTTTAGCTTATCAACTTCCATCAGTTTTTTAATAACATAGAGAACATCTAAATGATAATAAAGCTAATCTATACTATAATCAATAACCTTCTTTTTTTGTTAAATCTTTTAACCAAATGGCCACAGAAAGAACTTCAAATACTCTAATGTATTTAGAGTCATGCTGCTTGTAGCTTTTTACATTAATCTTTTAAAAACGCTTTCTTTTAACTTTTACTCTTTTTCTTCTAATTTTAATTACTGCTATTTCAATTTATAATGGTCTGAAGACAAATGAAAATTGTACTATTCTTAATGACTATTGCTTTTTACTGTTTAATTTTTGTATTGTATTAAGTAGGATAAAAATTATTTTTCATTTTCATCTTACTGTTGTGGATTTACTGAAATTTATTGCTTGTTTGATAGCATGCCTTCTAAACCTTTTTTTTCTTCACACGCATGCAACTAAATTTCAGGTTTAATATTATTTCTATACGAGCTACTCTTTGTACCTAAATTTTAGTTTGTATTGCATTAGATTGCTTAATTGAGAGAAGATTACTAATGACTTTAATTTTTATTTCCATTAAATGAAATCGATTGGTTATTATTATTATTATTATTATTATTGCTATAAGATTGGTTAGGGTCGATTGAAATTGGCTTTATCAAATTACCTTTATTATCAGATTAATTTATACAAGGCTGATCTTACTTAAAAAGCTAATTGATTTAATGTTTTTGATTTTGTGAATTGTTTTCAATTTTTTTTTTAAGTTAACTTTATTACATATTATCAAAAAAAACATCTTAACTAATTGGCGGGCTAATATTTTATTAAACACCAGTAGCCATTTCATTTTAAGCATTTAGATTATACATTTTTAATATTTTATCTTCTTCAAAGTTAACATTTTCATAGTTGAATGCTTCATTTATAATTTCTTTGTTTAGATCAAGCTGAGATAACCTTGAGCATATTATAAAACCTATAGCGAGTAAGGACTAAGTAAACCCTCCTATTTGGGAAATTATGTCATTTAAATTTTAATACTTCCTAGTGTAAAGATTCTCTTTTTGTTTTTCAAAGCGTATGACTAATTAGAAAAAGAAATCTTAGAAAGAGCTTGGATAAACCTATTTTATTTGTAAAAATAAATAAATTCTTAGTTATTTTCATCTTTAAACAAGAAAAAAAAAATTGAGGTAAAAAATAAATAGCTATTTAATTCGGTAAAATTTAATAATTTAAATAAAAACCAATAAATAATCTTTTATGGTGAAATTTCATTTTCTTACATTTTATTCGGTATAACTGAATGATGGAAAATTAACAGTCTCTATATCTGAAGTTATCCAACCATAGTCACTTTAAACATAGTTATTTCTCATTTAGAAATAGACTTCTTTGGGCATTTATAAGCTAGTTGAGAAAAAAGTATCTCTAGAATAATGTTTAAAAGGATTTGTTTTTTGAGTAGGATCAACAATTATATCAGAAAATTACATTGAGAAAAAAGAATAACCTAATTTATTCTATATATAATCGTCGGGTTTGCAGTTTTATGAGCACTTTTAAATATTAATGTAAATATATTAGAAATTCTCAGCATTGAAATCTCCTTCTATTGATAAATCGAAATCTAGAGGAAAACAATACATATTAGTATAGTCTATTTATTAATAGTAATGTAGATTATCTTAATCTGGAAAATTATCTAAAGAGCATCTTGTAATTGGTACTTAAGTTGTTATATAATTTTCAGTAGGCTTACCAGTAGTAGGATCCACCTTAGTAGTTTTATGTATATTTGTGACGGTGATGTTATAAACTTGTTCATCGATAAATTAATTAAAATTAGAATCTTGCATACCAAATGCCATTTAGAAAGTGTTTTAATTTATTGTAAATAACTTTGGGCTATCAACTTATCGCTCTTAGTAAATGACAACGGGATTGGTTCTTTAAACAACTGAGGATATAATTAAAATAAGACGCAGCGCTACTATGGATACTATAGCTATAGTGAAAATTGATCCAAAACGAGTATAGTGAGCTGACTCTCTGTTAAATCTAAAAAGAATTTAGCTGCCAAAAATATCTAGCGATTTCATGATTTTAGTTTATATTATACTTAAATTTAACTAACTAACTAATATTTTTGTTGGAATTTGATTTTTTTTTTGTTTTTTAATTATTACTCAATTTAATTTTCTCTATTAATTATTTCCACCAATAAATAAATAAATTTTCATTTAATGGACTTTTTAATTTAATCACTCAATATTGAAAATCGAAGATTCTAAACCAATTTGTAAGTGGATGTAAATGAAATTTATAAATTTATAAATACCTTTTCCATTTTTATTTGATTTCAGCTAAATAAATTTGTTTAAAAATAAGTGGTTTTTTAACTTATGTATATTGAAAGCACATGTTATTACATTTATAATAAGAGAAATAGATATTTTTAAAGTATGATTAAATGGTTTCAAACATAAAATTTTTACTTACAGATAATTAAGTATAAATAATTCTAAAAAAAGAATATACTGAACAAAATATTAAAATTTCTACAAAGAATATAATTAAAAATCTAACAATTTTTTTAATTCAGTATCTGATATATCCATAAATTATTTACAAAATTTACTATTGCAATAAAAGCCTTTAAAATAGTATTTGTTGGATTTTATTTGAATACTTTTGTGAAATTAATCAATTTTGGTAAAAACAATTAAAATTTTTAATTAAATAGTGTCAATAAAGCTAATATATTGGTAATTATCAAAAGAATATTTTATCAAAGTAATACTTAATTCATCCTATTACATTTTTAAAATAAATAGCAGCATCCAAATATTCCTTAAATTATACTAACTAATCAAGAAGTTCTTTCTTGCTAAATTTTCTTTAAATTTATACAAATTCAGATTTATTTTCTATTTTAGTAAAATAAAAATTTAATTTTAATTTGAAGGAGTAATAAATAAGTACATGCTAGAATCTATTTTAAAAAAATTATTTATTTCGATTGAAATTTAGAATTTTTTAAAAAGCGAGCATTAAAATAAATATAAAGATGAAAGATATTGACAAAAAATATTTGTATATTGATTAGTAAAGTTAGGGCTATCATAAAAATTATAATATTGATAAGAAATGATGAGTAAACTAAATCTAATGATTCAATGTTAAGATTTACAAAAAAAATTCTTATTAAAGAAATAATTATCATTTTTATTATTATAATTTATTAGCTGTAAGCTAAAAGCTAAAATCTATTTACTCTTTTATAAAAACTTTTTTAATGATCAATAAAATTTCTAATGTATTTACAATTGATGTTTAAAAGAAATATTATTTCTGCGTTAATCTATAGAAGAACCATCCATTATTCATAAAAGTCTTTTTATTAACTTTATTTTTCTTCATTTTATTTGGTTGTCTTACTTACAACGAAGTCATTAACTTAATCTTTTTGAAATTCCTCACCTTCGCTTGCATTTTCTTCACCTCCAGATTCGACTACTTCTCTTTAGCTGGCAGCAACATTTTTTTCAGATATGCTAATATGAGATACCATACCTTCAAATCTGGACTGTTATTGTTGTTTTTTTCAATCATACTAATCTGATCAGAAACTTTATTGTTTAATTTTACTATGTTATTGATATTATTTTCTTAGATTATCGATTGGTTTTATATTTCTTATATCGAAATTAACTTTTTCCTTTTGCGTGTATTATCTTGTTAAATTTATAACTTTACTTTTGATGAAGTAATTAATTTATTGGGGAGGATTAATTTTATTGAGAAGTAGTTAGTTAGTGATTGTTGGATCAAATTATTTTTTTGTTAAGTGTGATTATGTTATGATTTAAAAAATTTATTATTTTTTTATTATTAATTAAAAAAACTGTTAGCATTTTAATGGGATACCATTTTGAAGTTGAAGCAATAAATTATTAGATTTCCTAGCTTATTATAACTATTCAAATTGAATTTAGCTTTAAGAATATTAATATTATTGTAAAAGCAATTATTGATTGTTAGTTAAGGTTTTATTAATTTATATTCAAACTACTTATCTTTGAAGGTGATCCAAATAACTCTAATAACTTAGGATCAATCAATTAGTTAGTACATTATCATACTATCCAATAAATTTTAATGTTCTTTATTTGTTATATTTTGATAAGTCTTTTAAAACTCAGTCCTTTTATCTTAATATAGGTATAAATATTAATCTGCAGATCATTTTCATTCTCTGTAAAGCCATAATTAGATGTTATTGTTGGCTTAGGAAGTTATTTGAAAAGATTAAGTTAATCTTTATCCAATAATATCTATTTTAGTTTATCTACTTCTAAAAGCTATTTGACAACATTAATTGCATCTAGATGATATTAAAGTGTATCAATATTAAAATCGAAAAAATTTTTTTTTCTAGCCAATTTTAGCAATAAAAATACATGTAATATGTTAAAAATTTATTTTATTCTAGTGAATTAGCATTCTAGTTATCCTTTATATCCAATCTCTTATTCCACTATATTTTTAAATACACATGTTAAATAGTAGTATTAAGATTTAATAATGAATTTTATCCTAACATTTTTTTGATTTCTATTAATAAATGTAAATTTATAAATTCAAGTAATTTATTTGTTTTATTTATTCACTTATAATTAATTAAATTTCCATAGATTGCTATTCAATATTGTTGAAAAAAGAAATAATAAATGATATAATAGATTTAATATTACGAAAAATTAGAAGAAGTAATTATTTATATTTTAATGAAAATACTTTAAATTTATATTTACTAATATTAAAAGTTTTTAAGCTCTTCATTTTAATCTCACTAGGTTCTTCATATTAATCTAAGGTATATTTAATTTATAAATATTATTATTCTTATTATTAATGTTTTCTTTATTTTTAACTTTCAATTTATTTAAAATATTAATTTACAAATAAAAATTATCACCACTTTTCTATTTTTATTAACAAAAATGAATTTAAATCAAAATAAATTTTTTAATTTGTTTATTTGCTATTTATTTAATTTATTTATCTTTTTTTGTTATACTTGTGCTTTTTCTTCTTTTTCTATAAAATGATTAAAAAATATGAAATAAAAAGAAATGAATAAATAAATAATAAAAGCGAATGTTTAAAATAAAAAAATGAGTTAAATTAAGAAATAATTTTTATATTTTTTCTTCTAAATTCAAAAAGTGACAATTAAATTAGCAATTAATTTGCATCAGACTTAGGTTCTGCTTTATCAAGTTGCACTAATCTCACAAATTTGACTCTTAATCTTATGTAAAAAACTGTTTATTTGTTTTGGATTGTGATATTTTTACTTATAAAAATGAATTTAAAATAATTTAATTCTTTTAATTTGTTTATTAGCTTTTTATTTAATTAATTTTTCTTTTTCCTTTTTTTTGTATATTATCTATTTTTTCTACTATCATTCTTAATTTAACTCATTTTTTTTTTTTCAAGATTTGATTTTAATATTATTAATTCATTTCTTATTTTTTCTTAATTTTTTCCTTCTTACAATAAAATATTTTACTTCAATATTTAAAAAGTCACAACTAAGCCTTAGATAAAAATAGTTTTTAGTTATAAAAATGAATTTAAAATAATATAAATCTTTTAGTTTTTTATTAGCTTTTTATTTGATTTAATTTTCTTTTTCCTTTTTATTGTATTTATCTATTTTTTCTATTATCTTTTCTAATTTAACTCATTTTTTTATTTTTAACATTCTTTTTTATTATTTATTTCATATTCTTTAATCATTTTTTCCTTCGAAATAACTAATTATATCTTTTTTCTTCAATATTTAAAAAGTAACAATTAAATTGGTGATTAAGGTACATCAGACTTAGGTTCTGCCTTAGCAAATTGCACTAATCTCTCAAATTTGACACTTAATCTTAGGTAAAAACTGTTTATTTATTTTAAATTGGGAAAAATGAATTTAAGACAATATAACTTTTAATTTGTTTAATTTAATTTCTTTTTCTTTTAATTGTATTTGTGTTTTTTTTATACTATTATCTTTCTTAATTTAACTAATTTATTTATTTATTTTCTACATTTGCTTTTTTTATTCGTTTCTTATTATTTAAAATTTTTTAATTTTAAATAACTATTTAATTTTTTATTTTTTCTTAAATATTTAAAAAGGTACAATTAAATTGGTGATTTAGGTTCTTCAAAATTAGGTACAGCTTTAGCAAATTGCACTAACCTCTCAAATCTATAGCTTCATCTTAGGTAAAATCTATTTATTTGTTTCGGATTGTGATATTTTTAGTTAAAAAAATGAAAATAAAATTATATAACTCATTTAATTTGTTTATTTACCTTTTATTTGATTTATTTTTCTTTTTATTTTTTATTTTTAATTGGTTTTTTTTATAATCTTTTTAATTTAACTAATTTTTTTATTTTCAACATTTGATTTATTTATTTATTTTTCTCAAATATTTAAAAAGCTACAATTAAATTAGTGTAACAGGTGCATCAGAATTAGGTTCTGCTTTAGCAAATTGCACTAATCTCTCAAATTTGATGCTTGATCTTGGGTAAAAACAGTTTATTTGTTTTGTATTGTGATATTTTTAGTTATAAATTTGAATTTAAAATAAAAAAGCTCTTTTTATTTGTTTATATTTTTATTTGATTTATTTTTCTTTTTTATTTGTGCTTTTTTTTTTTCTATTATCTTTCTTAATTTAGCTCATTTTTTTATTTTTAACATTTGAAATTAATTCATTTTTTAATATTTCATATTTTATAAATCGTTTTTTCCTTCTAAATAACTAATTAATTATTTATTTTTCTATCTTTAAAAAGTCACAATGAAATTAGTGCAACAGGTGCATCAAGCTTAGGTTACGCTTTAGCAAATTGTACTAACCTCTCAAATCTGGCAATTAATCTTAGGTAAAAACAGTTTATTTGTTTTAGATTATAATATTTTTTAGTTGTTAAATGAGTTTAAAACAATATAAATCTTTTAATTACTTTATTAGCTTTTTATTTGATTTATTTTTTTCTTTTTTTTTATATTTATCGTTGTTTTTATTTTCTATTATCTAATTTTTCTTAATTTAACTAATTTTATTATTTTTAACATTTATTATTATTATTTATTTCTTATTATTTCAAATATTTTCATCAATTTTTACTACTAAATAGCTAATAAATTAATTATTTATTTTTTCTTCATTATTTAAAAAGTAAGAATTAAATTGGTGATTAAGGTACGTCAGACTTAGGTTCTGCTTTAGCAAATTGCACTAATCTCTAAAATCTGACGCTTTATCTTAGGTAAAAAGTTTGCTTGTTTCGGATTGAAATATTTTTAATTATAAAAATGAAATATCAAACAAAACAACCCTTTTAATTTGTTTTTTTACTTTTTATTTAATTTCTTTTTCTTTTTTATCTTACTTGTGTTTTTTTTCTATTTTTTTTCAATTTTACTCATTTTTTTATTTCCAAAATTTGCTTTTATTATTTATTAATTTATTTCTTATACCTTCATATTTTATAAATCTTTTTTTCCTTCTAATTAACTATTTTATGATATATTTTTTCTTGAATCCTTAAAAAGTCACAATTAAATTAGAGCAATAGGCGTATCAGGCTTAGGTACTGCTTTAGCAAAATGCACTAATCTCTCAAATCTGACACTTTATCTTGAGTGATATTTTTAGTTAAAAAAATGAATTTAAAACAATAAATTTTTAAATTTATTTATAAGCTTTTTAGTTGATTTATTTTTCTTTTTTTACTTTACTTATGTTTTTTTTCATATATCTTTCTTTCTTAATTTAACTCATTTTTTTATTCAACATTTGATTTTATTATTTATTTATTTACTTATTTTTATTTATTTCATATTTCTTCCTTCTAAATAACTAATTAATGATATATTTTTTCTTCAATATTTAAATAGTTACAATTAAATTGGTGTATCAGACTTAGGTTCTGCTTTATCAAAATGCACTAATCTCTCAAATTTGGCTCTTAGTCTTTCGTAAAAACAGTTTATTTGTTTGAATTGTGATATTTTTAGTTATAAATTCAATATAACTCTTTTAATTTCTTTATTCTCTTTTTATTTGATTTATCTTTCTTTCTCTTTTTAATTTATATTTGTGTTTATTTTCTATTATCTTTGTTAATTTAACTCATTTTTTATTTTCAACTTTTGCTTTTATTATTAATTTCTTATTATTTCATATTTTTTCTTCATTTTTAGTCCTAAATAACTAATTAATTATTTATTTTTTCTTCAATATTTAAAAAAGTGGGAATATAATTGGTGATTAAGGTGTATCAGTCTTAGGTTTTGGTTTAGCAAATTGCACTAATCTCTCAAATCTGACAATTGATCTTTAGTAAAAACAGTTTATTTGTTTAGGATTGTGATATTTTTAGTTATAATGATGAATTTAAAACAATTTAGCTCTTTTAATTTGTTTATTAGCTTTTTATTTTATTTATTTTTTTTTTCTTTTTTATTACTACTTGTGTTTATTTTCTATTATCATTCTTAATTTAACTCATTTTTTTATTTTCAACATTTGCTTTTATCATTCATTTCTTATTTTTCATCATTTTTTCCTTCTAAATAACTAAATTTTTTATTTTTTCTTCGATATTTAAAAAGTGAAAATGAAATTGGTAATTAAGGTACATTAGATTTAGCTTCTGCTTTAGCAAGATGTACTAATCTCTCTAATCTGGCACTTTATCTTAGGTAATGACAGTTTATTTGTTTTAGATTATGATATTTTTAGTTATAAAAATCAAAATAAAACAATATAAAGCCCTTTTAATTTGTTTATTTGCTTTTTATTAAATTTCTTTAAAATTGTACATGTGTTTTTTTTTCTATTTTCTTTCTTAATTTAACTCAATTTTTTTATTTTCAATATTTACTTTTATTATTTGCTAATTAATTGATTTCTTATTTATATTTTTTGTTCATTTTTTCCCTCTAAATAAATAATTATTTATTTTTCTTTATATTTAATAAGTAACAATTTAATTAGTGATTAAGGTGCATCAGAATTAGGTTCTGTTTTAGCGAATTGCACTAATCTCTCAAGTCTGACACTTAATCTTATGTAAAAGCTGTTTATTTGTTTTAGATTGTTATATTTTTATTTATAAAAATGAATTTAAAACAATATTTTTAAGCTCTTTCAATTTATTAATTTGCTTTTTTATTTTATTTATTTTTGTTTTTCTTTTTGATTGCACTAGTGTTATTTATTCTTCTAACTTTATTAATAAAATTCGTTTTTTATTTTCAATATTTGCTTTTATTATTTATTAATTCATTTCTTATTATTTGATATTTTTTAATTAATATTTTTTTTTTTCTTCTAAATAGCTAATTTAATAATTATATATTTTTTCTTCAATATTTAAAAAGTGACAATTAAATTGGTGCAACAGGTGCATCAGACTTAGGTTTTGCTTTTGCAAATTGCACTAGTCTCTCAAATTTGAAACTTGATCTTAGGTAAAAATAGTTTGAATTGTGATATTTTTAGTTATAAATTTGAATTTAAAACTTTATAACTCTCTATTTTGTTTACTTGCTTTTTAATCTTTTTTTATTTATTAATTTTAAATATAATTTTTAATTAAAAGATTTTATTCAATTTAATTTTTTTAGTATTTTATTTTAAATTAATAAAAAGTGAAGACTAATTCAATCAATTATAATAATTGAAAATAAAAAGCAAATGTATTAAATCTAAAAGATTAGTTGCCCTTTAAATACGTTTCTATTGATTATAAACTAGTAGTGAAAAAAGGATGAATAAATATTAAATATTTGAATAATAGAAAATAATATGTTTTATATTTATTTTTTAATAATATATTTTACCCTAAAAAGATAAATAAATTTATTATATTTTTTATTTAGTAACTTTCAAAATATGATTTTTATTTTTTTTTTAAATATCAAATACATAAAAATCAAAGTCCCTCTATTTTTTGTTTAAAAGTGTTTTCTTATAAATTTTAAAATTTAATTTTAATTTAAATAATTTAATAAATAAAATAAAATTAGATTTTCTTAAAATGTAGTTTAATTAGCAAATAAGTTAAATTTTTATTATTTAAAAAAATATAAATTGATACAAATTTATTTTATATTCTTGATTATTTATTTATTTTTCACTTTGCTCATTTATTTTCTTAGTTTTTTAACTTTTCTAATTCAAGATTTTCTTTGTAAAATTCAATATCGTTAATTCTAAATTTATCTTCTTCCTCATCTTCATTTTGATTTTCTGATTTTTCTTAATTATTTTTTTCATTTTAAATGTATGGCATTTATAATAATTTAAGTCTTTCTTCAAGCTGCTTAATTATTTTTATAACTTCTTCGGTAATTTCAGATTCAGGCAATTATGAGAAACCCCAAGTTAGAATATAAGTTTGATCATAGTTAATATTTTTTAAGTTAAGACTTTCTTGTGTTTTTTCTAAAAATTTGTTGATTAAATCTTTGTTGATACAATTAACTTCAAGATAACTTCTAAAGCAATAAATAAACTCTTCAGGAGACATTTCATCTAATAATTCTATCATCTGTTCTTAAAGATCAACAAACATGTCATAGCTATCATATTCCTCGAATTTAGTATAACTCCATAATATCATGCTTAGATCCCAGCAGTCTAATTCCTTTCTATCCCTCAAGATAATTCCTCTCATAAATTCAATACTGTAAATTGTTAAAGGGTGGTTTTAGGTATAAGCCCACAATAGCTATGCACAGTCTTTTCCTTTTAAGATATTAAATCTGTTTTAAATTTCTTTTTCTACTTTTTAGTAAAATTCAGATGAGCCTTTCTGTACTCTTGCAAAACTCCAAACCAAAGTGCTTAAATCTTTAACACTAAAATCTTTTAGCTTTATCAAAGAAGCCTTTTTTTATAAATTTTGTAAAATTTTTAATTTATTAAATTGTTTTCTTTTACTAATTTAATAAGAATTTTGTTAAATTTTCTTAAAATATATAAAAAGTATTTTTAATTAGAATGTTTTTTAATTAATTTATCAAAATTTACTTCTTCTGCTTTTTTATAAAATAAATCTCCTTTGTTTGTTTCTGCAACTGTGAATCCCCAGGTGCATTTAGCTAATAATTCAGGAGACATGTTGTGAGACATAGAAACAAGTTTGTTTTCTACCACTGTGTAAAATTTATCTGAACCAATTGAGTTTTCGCAATAGTTAAAAAATATTAAAGGAAGTGTTTATTCGTTTAGTTTTTCTAAATTTTTAAGCACAAAAGCTTCAACTGCAGCGAAAACAGTCTTTTTAGATTCACTTCTATTAGAAGCAATGATTAATATTTTATTGATTTGTTGGATGTTGAAATCTTCAATTAGCAAAAATATTCTCTCCTCAAGACTTCTAAAGAGTAAATCTGATCCCATACCTATCTTAATATAGCTGTAAAAGATTGCAATTAATTCTTAAGGATTAATAAATCTGCAAATTTTTAAAATTCTCTTCTCAAAAATATTCATCATTTTTAATCTGCTATCATGTTTTTCATTTTAATTATTAGAATAGTGTGTAATCAGCTTTGTTAAAGCCTCAATACTAATTTCATCTATGTTATCACCAATTAAAGTCTCAATTGTTTCATAAAAATCGTTACTTCCTTTTCATTATAGATATTTCAAAATTAGAAAGTTATTAAATAATTCTAATATGTTTTCAAAAATAGCTATTTAGCCTAAATTAAATTGTTTGAATATTACCCATAAAAATTGGTTAAATTAAAATATATAAATCAATATGTTTTTAGAAAAAATGATAATGATTAGCATTTGCTGTATGTTAAAGAGAAGAGTAAAGCAATCTATAAATTTATTTTAAATATCTTTTAATTGCTCAATATAAAATAGTCCTTCAACTTATTTCCTTAAATGATATTATGAACTTGATATTTAATAAAAATTTATGGATTATCAATAAACTGCTCCAATCATTTAAAAATTATTAAAAAGAAAATAACACTCTATAAAAAATATCATTTATATTAAAATAGTAGAATAATTTATTTATATTTTTCAAATAAATCCAAAATTATTTTTACATTTTTCTAAAAAAATAAATAAACACTTCTTTGGCTTTGTAAATATATTTTTTCAGTTAATTTATGAATTTAAAAAATGATATCTTGTATAATCATTACCTTAATTTGCATTTCTGTAGAGCTAAAGTAAAGCATACATTTTTTCAAAGTTAGGAATCTAATGGACTTGGACATCTTTTAAAAGCTCATTTTCAAAAATTTCAAAGAAGCACTCCATTTCTACATTTTTAATAATATTTGTAATATTTATTTATTTATTGATTACTTTATTTAAATTAAAAATTATCAATTTTAATAATTACCATGAGCATTGATATAATTAACACTGGATAATAATAACACTTTATCATTGGTAGAAAAATTAACATAATTGCTTGCAACAAAACCATTGAAGCACTCCCAAAGAGAAGGGTGATCGATTTATTAGACAGAGCAAAATGCAAAAAATAAGCAAAATTGTCTGAAATCTTTGAATAAATAGGACTTTTCTGCTCTCTCCAACAGTAAATCTTGGAAATCCTTTCTTTCTAGAATGTTCTTGTTGTTAACTGTTTAAGATATTTTAGATAACAATTGAATAAAATTTTCTTCTATAAATGGCTGCTCAAACTTGTATTCCTTTAGATATTTATCAAGCATTTCGTTTGCTTCCTTTATCTACTTTTAGCTCTCTTCAGGTGTGATATAAAAATCTTTTGTAAATGGCTTGCGTATCATAAATTTCTTTTCTTCTTTGTATAATTTTAATTGCTCCTTAAGTATTTCAGATCTCTCTTTACTTTTCTTGCTTTCATCTTTTTATTTACTTATGTTGAAAATGCCAAATCTTAATTTATTATATAAACTCTTTTAATTCTATTATTTCAATTGCTTGCCACAGCCTCTTAAAACTATTCCCAATGACTTTTAAAGAAAATTCATGACTCCTTCCTTTTATTTATGTTTTGAAATTTATTTGTTTAACTCCTATTTATATTAAAATATCTTTGTTGATTCTATCAAATTTAATTTATTAATCAAAAATTTTCTATCAAATAAATCTTCTTTCATATCTTTAAAATCTTATTAATCAAAATAAATTAAAATATTTATGAAAATGATTTATTTTATCTTAAAAACCAATAAAAATAAAATAAAATAAATTATTTTTATAAATGCAAAGCTATTGCTAAAGATTTAGTATAAAACTATCCATAAATATTTATTTATTGAATGATAATAGAATTCTTTAAAATATCAACAGAAAAAATGTTTTATATGAATTATTTTATGAGCTAAGAAAATTTAAATTGCAAGGATGAAAATCAGTTAAATGTATAAAATAAATTTATTTATTTTGACTAATTTCTATCTTAATATAATTCTTATTAGAAATAAATAAGACAATTAATTTATAAAGAATGAAAACAGCTTTACCAAATTACTTTAACAAATAGTTTTATGTTCATCATTAAAAATACAAAGAATGATTGAATAGGAATAATTATAACATTTATTTAATTAAATTAGAAAAATAATTTTTCTCCCAGAATAACTTCAGTGAAATTTTGGTTTCATTTTATCTGTATAATTTACTATGTGTGATTATATTTTTAAAATGTTTAGAAGTGATTTTGGTTTCATAAGCATAAAATTCTTTATTAATAATAGAATTCTTTTAAAATATATTTCGAAAAAAAGAATAATTCTAACATTCTTTTAACTATAATAATTAATTTAGATTTCTTCTTTTGATTTTTGATATAAAAAAAAGAAATTAAGAAGATTTTATTTAACTGATAATTTTATGCATTCATAAGTTGATTCTATTTCATCGATGCAAATAATAAAAATAGTTATTGTCAGATTATAATATAAAAATATAATATTTTTTTTATATAAAAATTTTAACTTAATTCAATATATTTTTAAAAATGTTTTATTTTATAATTTACTTTTTTGAAATGAATACTTTTAGCAATTTAAAATAAATAAAAAATGAATTGCTTGCAGTTTTGCTAGAAGAGTTTGAGCTATTAAATAGAATTTCTAATTTTCCAAAGAGATTGTAGACCACGTTTTTAATGATTTTTGAGATATAAATAATAAGATAAATATTGAAATTAATTAATTAGGTGAGCAAGGAGAGTAGTTTATTAATTTGACGAATTCAATTAATAGAAAAGAATAGCCACGTAATTAACTCCCTTTTTCTATCTATCTATCTAACTATTATTCATTTATAATTAATTAATTAATAAATTAGCTAATTTATATACTAGACCTTTTTGTTATTAAATAATTATTAAAACATATAAATTTTGAATAAATAAAAAAAGGTGTAGATAAGAAATTAAATAAAGTCTAAAAAGAAATGATTGAATTAGCTTGCATTTTTACAACTAGTGGTGTTATATTATTTTATAAGGCATTTTCTACTTTGAGATACGATTTAGTAGATGACTTAATCAAAAAGAACTTAATTAACGAAAGATTTAGCGAGTAGAGCTATTTGTTGGACAATTATAGAGTTATGTGGACTAGAGATTAAGAGAGAAATCTCGTTTTTATGATAGCTTATAGCGAGTTATTACATCTTTAGTCAACTGATAAGTTTATTAAGCTTTTAAAGGCTATCTATGTTGAAGATTACTACAACTAAATTAAAATTGAAAACCACGTTATCAAAGAAATTCCATCTTTTGATAAGGGATTCGAATAGAGTGTCATGAAATGGTAAGAATACTTGAAAGTCGAAAGGGAAAGATAAAAATCAACTATGAAATCCTTTGAAGAAACAAAGAAAGGATAAGAACTTAAAAAGGGAGCAAGCGGGGTCTAGAAAAAAAAACCAGGCAAGGTTGGTACTGAAAAAGACGAGTACACTCCTTCTGGAAACAGCGCATTAAATAATAGTGTTGGCAGTGTTGGAAGCTATAATTCAATTGATTCTGCAGATGAATCTAAAACAGATGCCAAAAGAAACAGTATTGATAGTTCTGAATAATCAGAAATAGAAAAAGCTAGACTTTTGTTGAAACGTAAATAAATAAATTGAATTTTCACTAAAAAACATTTTTTTTTCATTTTTTATCTAGAGAAATTTGAAAAGCCAAAAAAAGAACCTACTCCTGTTGAAAAACCAGTAGTTGAATAGAAAAAGTAAAAGGATAAAGCAGTAGGAACTGCTGGAAAATATAGTAGCTAATTAGCTAAACAATTAGATCAAAGTTCGAACAAATAAGAAGAAGATATTAACTTAGAAAAGCAAAAGTACTTAGGAGGCGAAAATGAAAAAATAAAAGGTTTTGATGATATTTCTTCAGACGAAGATGAGTAGGAAGTAGAAAAAAGAGGTTTCTTCTCTAAAATCGTCAGCAATTTTAAGTAACTTACTGGTACCAAGGTAAAAAAAATATAAGAATCAATAAAAATTTTAGTTAAAAAAAGAAAGAAAAGAAATAAACTTTATCTTTTTGTTCTTTAAAGGCTGAAAATCATATCAGATTTAAGCAAGTGTTCAAAATATTGTTTCTAACTTTTAATTTATAAATATAGATATTAGATGCTTAGGATTTACAGCCTATTCTTGACAAGTTCAAAGAGTAATTGATGAATAAAAATGTTGGTGAATAAATTGCATAATAGTTATGTGATAGCATCAAAAAGAATTTAATTAACACTCAAGCAAAAGCTTTAACCTTGCTTAATAAAACCGTTAAGGAATCATTATAAGACGCTATCAGCAAGATTTTAACACCAAAGAGAAATATTGATATTATTGCCGAAGCAATGAGATCAAGAGAAAAGGGAAAACCATATATCATAACATTTATTGGTGTCAATGGTGTTGGTAAATCAACAAACCTTGCAAAAGTTGCATATCTCTTTAAGAAAGAAGTAATTACTTTATTCAATTAATTTAAATGTAAAAATAAACTAATCCAAAAACACATTAAAAATATTTTGATTAAATAAATGAATGCAAAAAAGCATCAATTTTAATTCAATTTATTAATAAAAAAGTCCATTTAATTATTTTTAAAATTTAAAATTTAAATTTATGTTTTTATTAAAATCATTTTTTTATTTAAAAAAGGGTTTTTCTGTCATGTTTGCTGCTTGCGATAATTTCAGAGCTGGTGCAGTAGAATAAATTAAAACTCATGGTAGATGTTTAGAAATACCTGTATTTGACAGAGGTTACAAAGATGAACCTGCTGATATTGCTTTCTAAGCCATCAGAGAAGCTTAAGCAAAGAAAGTTGATGTATTACTTATTGATACTGCTGGTCGTATGTAAGATAATGAACCTTTAATGAAGCAACTCAGTACTCTTGTTGTCTAAAATAATCCTGATCTTATTGTTTTCATTGGTGAAGCTTTAGTTGGTAATGATGGTACTGATTAATTAATGAAATTCAACAAAGCTCTTATCGATCTCTCCCCAAAAGACAGAATCAGAGAAATCGATGCCATTATCTTAAGTAAATTCGACACTGTCGACGACAAAGGTATAACTTAATTTATTTAAAAATGGTTATCTCATTTTTGTTTATAATTAAATAATAGTTGGAGCTGCTTTAAGTATGACTTATAACACTGGTAAGCCTATTCTATTCTGTGGTGTAGGATAAAAATACACTCACCTTAAAAAACTCAATGTTAGAACTGTAGTTCATGCCTTGCTAGATTGATTTATTTTCCATCATATCATATATCAAAACATCTCTAATTCTATTTTAATTCACATTACTAATAATTTCAAATAAAATTATCATATATTTGCAACCAATTAATGTATCTATTTTTTTGTTGTAAAGTATATCCTTTTATCTTTCAATTAATCCTAACCTTTCCTTTGTTATATATTTAATAAAATCATACACTTAATGTTTAAGAAACTACACTCAAATATAATAAAATTCATAATGATATTAAAAATTAAATTATTTGAAAAGCCACTGAAAAATAAAACTTTTTAACTGATTGAACTTAGATTAAAATATGAAGAAATTTGTTTTAAATAATTGAAGTAAGATTAAGGATAACATTGACATTAAAAAAACTATTTTATATAGAAATTCTACATTAAATTTCGATATTATATTTTATTAAATATAAATGTATATTTATTTTTAAATATTCCTTAGTTGGTTTATTGTTGTTTGCAAAATTTAATTGTATTTTTTTGAGAAATTTTATGAGATTAAGATAAATATTTGTTTGTAGAAATATTTATTTATTTTTGTTTGTTCAATTTAAAAAATTTGTTAATTTATCAGCTATATTTTTTTTCAATAAGCAAGTTGTATATGGGAGATAAACAAAAATAACAACAACAATAAAATGAATAATAAACTTTTGCCCATTTTTTCGGAAACTTGGAGGATTTTAATTCAGAAATTAAAGAATTGAAAGACATAAAAATTGAATAAAATGACCCTTTTTAACGCGAAAGATTATAGATATTCTTAGGTGCATCAAGCACATCAAATATTTAAAAGAAAGTTTACAAAGATAAAGTTTGTGCTGTAAAGGAAATGCCGCTGATTAGATATTTTAACATCAAAAATTTAATAAATTATAACGAAAATTATAAGTATTTGTTTGAAGGGAGTGAGGATCAAGAATATTAAGCATCTAGATGTGGGCTTAGACTGATTAAAAAAATATATCAATTTAGAATTATTAAAGATAAAATTCCTAAGCCACTTTAATGTGTGGTAACTTCATAAGACTCTTCAAAGATGTCTTTAAATCTTATGATGAAAAGAACTTCTAATATTATGCAATTTCCTTTAAATATTGCGTTTTTAATTGTTAAACGGGTAGCTGAAGCACTCTAATTGCTTCACAGTAAAAATCTTTGTCATGGAAATGTTTGTCCTAACAATATTTTTGTGTCAAACTATATTATCGAAGACTATCAATCTAGTTCTCAAGATAATTAGTCTGTATATCTTCATGATAGTGGTATGCATTATCTATGTAAATGGGATGCTTAAATTGAAAAGGGAATTAAAGAAACAAGTGTAATTCTTTTGGCTTATAAATTCAAAAATATGTTTAATTTTAATTAAAAAAAAAAAATTCAAGATAAGTCGATTTTCTATTTTTAATTTAGAGTAAAATAAAGGAGGAGGACATTCATGTGCTAAACGAATTTCAATTTGTATAAAGAAATCATATTTAATTCATCGCTCCTGAATTGATAGCATGGTTTAATCCTAAAGAAAAAAGTAACACAAAGAAAAAAAATGAAGGAGATCAATAAAACAACAATGATCAGCAGCAAGAGATAACTGAGTAAACATTTGAACCTACAGAAAAAAGTGATATTTACTAACTCGGTCTTTGTCTCCTTTGCATGTGCAACACAAGAGATATATCTAGTATTCTGAGTTTGCTTTCATTAAAGCAAGAGTTGTAAATCACTCTAATCGGCAATAAAATCGAGGAATTAGAGCTTAAATAAGTGAAAGATGTAAATATTAACAATTATTCAATATTTTTATTACAATTTACATTTTTTTCAATTATGTTTATTAATGAACTTTAAACACGGAATAGAAAAATAGAGATAAAATAAAGTAACTCTTGAAGTAAATGTTAGAGTTTAATCCTAAGATCAGACTTTCTGCTTAAGCTGTGATCGAAAGAGCTGACTCAATTTACAAAAGCTTGATTAAAAAACCAATGAATGATGATGGCTTCTAAGAAATTCATGATATTGAATAATATGAAATGAAGGGATTCATAGAGAACTTTGACGAGTATTTAGAATATTAAAGATAGTAAACAATTTAAAAACTGCAAGATGTTTGTAAAGTTGTCCCTAATAAACAAAATCCGAGGAGTGAACTAATTAAAAACGCTTTAAATGTAATTGATTAGCATATAAAGAGTACAAGAAACTTTACAATTAGCATGATGAAGTCTCAGTGCAAGCAAATTAATGAAAATTCAGAAAAACAGCAACTTATAAGCTAAATCAATGAATTCAATTTCGTTCATTATGTAATCTAAAAAACTATTCATTTTTTCATTTACATTAATTGAAATACAAATAAATGGAAATTCAAAATGAGTTTAAAGTTCTATTTTGAACCATAAGTAATAATAAAAACATATTCTCAAATCAATATTTTAAATCATAAATTATAATTAAAATGTAAGCTCAAACCAATATTTTTGATAAAATTTAACAAAATATTGATACATTTAATAAAAAATAAGCTAAATCTAAATATATTAATTAATACCTCATCTTTAAAAAAACAATTCTAACTTTTAAAAAATCTTTCTAATTTTATAAAAAACATTTCTTACTTTTTTAAAAAAAAATGATCTAACAATTATAAAATTTGTTATAATAATGAAAAAATCTTTCTAACTTTGAAATATTTTTGAGAAAACCTCATTAAAATAAAAATTATTTTAGAATTTTATCATAAGATTTTGCTTTTATTTAATATTATATTTAATAATATATTGTGGCAATAATTTAATTTATTTTTATCTTACTTTTTGTTAAATTTAAAAGTAATTTTGAATAGATTACAGCAAAATATTTTTACATAATTTTTGGTATTTATTTAATGATTAAAATTTAAAAAAGCAATTTTTAATAAAATTTTATATAAAAGTAGTCACAATACAGCCAGCATGGATACTTTAACATGATAGTTTTAGAAAAAAACAAAATGATAAGATTAAATCTATTTGATTACTTGATATTCTCGTAAGAAATCAAACTAAATTACATTATTTTGATTTAATTAAATCAATATTTTTATTTTTATTTATAGAGAAGAAAAAACTGAGAAATAGTAGCTAGAATCCTTTTAATATACACTAAATACTAATGAAAACTAAAAAAAACAAAGCCTCACCATATAATCTTGCATATTCTTAGATTCCATGAGCTTTATAACTTTGGATTCTTAGTTGGAAATGAATTTATGGAACATTGATTTAAATAAGCCTATTTTATCTAATTCACTCTCAGATTTCGATATACAAACTGTATAATTACTCAATTTGAGTTAAAATAAAATTATCATTTATGACAAGTTCAGTGTCAAAGTTTACAACATTTTAAAAGATCAGCTTTCCAAATTACCTAAAATTTTTATTGAGAAAAACCATGACTATGAACTGAGATTCTAAGAATATTAAATAAAAAAACTTATACCTTTAAATTCTCCAGATAATTTGTTTATAGTACTGACTTAAAAATCTTAGTTCATTCTTTGCAATGCAAATTCAAAAAAATATGAATGCTAATTTTCTCTTATGAATATTCCTAAGATCTAAAACAATTATTATAATGAAGAAAATATCATCCCTCAAGCAGACCTTTTGATTTCAGAAAATAGTTATTAGTAGATAATAGAAAATTAGACATTCTAAAATAATTCTTCAATAATTTATTAAAATCCAAATTAATCTTACATTCAAAACTAATAACAAATGCAGCAGTTAATCCATTCAAACAATATAAAAAAGTAAAATGAAAACTCAAATAGTTTATTCAAAAAATTTGTATCGTTTTTTAAAAAATGCAATTAAGAACCAGCATTTGAATAAGAATTAAAAAAATAAATAATACCAGATGTTCCCTTAGTTATTATTTTAGAAGCTAAATATATTTATTATATAAAATTAAGAGATTTAGTGTTTAAGTAATTTGATAAGATCTCTAATTAATAAAACCTACCATCCTATGGCAAATATGTTTGCGGAATTTTCCACCCAATGAACAAATCTTAAATTCTATTTATAAACGATAGTAAAGAATTGATTATCTATGACTACATTAGTGACTTAGCCATAATAAAACTGCACTTTGCAGAATCTCTTTTAGATTTACAATATTTCTCTTTTGAAAAGAGAAACTACTTGGTTATCAAAGATTTTAGCAATTTATTTATTTCAAAACTTGATCTAGAATATCCTGCAGTAATCAATAAATAAATAAATAATTATTATTTCATTCATTCATTTATTAGCTCTAATTGATAAATTAACTTTTATATTTATTTTAAAGATTGATTCATTTCATTAGAAATGTATTAATTAGTGATATATTTTTTTATTCTATTAACAGGAGGCATAAAACTTTTAAAAGATTAAGTCAGGTTAAATAAGACAAGTTATCATGTTTCCAAGGTGTTTAGCATAATAGACAGGTACTTCTGTAAAATCTAGTTACAGAAACTAATGAAAAATATTAAATATTTAATTTATTAAAATAAAAAAATAACACATTTAATGAAAGATTTCATTTCTTTTTATCACTCTATGAAAAAATATTTAAAATAAATTGAGAGATAATTAAAAAATATTTAAATATATTTATTATTTTTCATTCAAACAATTCTTAATGAAAATTCATTAAATAATATCCTTTTGAAAAACTTTATATTTCTAATTCTTAATTAAATATCTAACTAATTTACTAACTTACTTACTACATTTTTAATGATATCTCTCTTAATAAAATGTAAATAAAATATATTTATGATATTAAATAAATATTTTAAAAGTAATTCAATACATTTCAACAATTTTATATTTTAAGGAAAAATTTAATAAAAATATTATATGATAAGTGTTAAATTATCTAAAATTACAGATAAAAATTAATAACACAACCATACAATTAGAATAATTAAGATGATAAATATTAGCTATAAAAAAGATATACGGTAAAGGTTCATATATTAAGGCTGGTTTTTTTAAAAAATTTTAATATGGTTTAATTGAAAATTTGGTTTATGAGATGTCTAAACTAAAATCGAGGTGGCCTTAATATAATAACCTTTACAGTATCTATTTTCTTATTTCTTCTGCTAATAATTTATATTTTATTTATCAATCATTATTTTTTACAATACATTTTAAATTGAAGTAATAAAATTAAATAAAATATTTATAATAAATAAATAAATTAAAACTGAAAATATTATTTAAATTATTTTAGCTTAATTTATACTTTTTAATCACTAAATTAGTCTATCATTTATTTGTTTTAATTTATGTAAAATCAATTTATAATCATGAATAAGTAGGTGCAGTTATACTTATTTAATTTTCATTAGCACTAAATAAGAATTAATTACAATCGTTTTGTTGTTAGAATTTTTCTTTTTATTTAAATCTAAACTCTTAAAATATAAAGAAAGAACATTCAAATTTACTAAAAATACTTATATGTTAATAAAAACTGAAGATACCAATTTTAAGTTTTTTAAATTTGATTACTTTTTAATAATTAAATGAAATAAATAACTTTATTTTAATAGTTTAATGAAAAATAAATCTACAGTTATGTAATTATATATTTATGAATGCATTTATGTGTTGATATTTGTGATTTTAATTATTTTTTTTTAATTAATAAGCCTAAGTTACTATATTTTAATTGCTTAGCGTTTTTATATTTTAGTAATTCATTTTTAACTTTATGATTACAGTTATATATTTTTAGAGTAGAATTGCGTATTAACTGAATCAATAATGCCAGCACTCATTTTTTTAAAATTATTGTTAATCCTACTCCTGTTTGTGCCATTGCGCCTGTAATTATAATTTGATTTCCAAGTATAATACCAGAATATGGAGAACCATAAGAATTGAGATTCAAAATGTTATTTTAGCATGTACCAAAAAAAGTTTTGAGAACTCCCTACATATATTAGTTAATACATGGCAAAAGTTCATCTACTTGTGTTTGCTTATCCTTAACAGTTCCTGATATAAGAATATTACTTCCTTGCACATTGATATCAGTTGGAAATGTAAACTTAGAATAAAAGTTGCATATCTACTCAACAGGATTTAACACTTCAAAAGTTATAAACCCATTCCAGCTGCCATTGATATTACTACAATCTAAAGCACTTGTAAGTACTAGAAGAAAATGACAAAGAATTATTTTTTTTTGCATTTATTTCATTTTTTTAATTTTTTAAAAATGTTTAATATATAATTTCCTTTTTTTTTTCCCTCTTATTCTTTTAATACTAACTAAAATCGTATAAGTAAATCAATAATATCGAAAATTGCAAAAAAGTTTAACTAATAAACAATTCTTCTATTTCAATTTACTTATAATTTTAGATGGAGATAGATGGGTTATTTCTGATTATTTATGATTCTGATTTTAATTCTATATCAAATAAGTTTTTTTATTGATTAATTAATTCCTAGTTTTTAATAAATGAAATAGAGACTATTAATTAACTATAAATAGATTTGAAAAATATTAATTAGTATGAAATTTAATGTAATTATTTGAATGGAAATTAATGATTTTTGATATTATGCAATAAAAAAGTTTTTAAATTAATTTGTTTTTTGATGTGACCAATGTTATGTCATTTTTGCAAAATTTAATGGATATGTGATGCTTTATTTTAAGCAAAACTAGAACTTGTATGCTTTTTTATAAGATATTGTTTTTCTTAAAAGATATCAAGAAATACTAAAATGTCTGATAGAACTAAATGTCAAATTAAATAATAACAAAAAGTCTAAACTTATAAGTACATATTTATTAATGTAATTTTTTATGTATAAAAGATGTAATAAATGGAGAAAATCATTTTACTAGCATTCTAGCTAAAAAGAAATAGATTATAAAAAACAATAAAAATTAATAGATAGATGATAGTACAGCATTAATAAAAAAATAGTTATTAAGTAAATCAATGCTTGACGATGTTGCAAGCAGCGACGATGTCAGCGAAAGCGGGCTTGAGGGAAGCACCACCAACGAGGAAACCATCGATGTCCTTTTGGTGAATTAATTCACCAGCGTTCTTTTCAGTGACGGAACCACCGTAGAGGATTCTGGTCTTTTAAGAAACGTTTTAGGAAACCTTTTGGGTTAAGTAGCTTCTGATGAATTCGTGGACTTCTTAAGCTTAAGCGGGGGTGGCAACCTTACCAGTACCGATAGCCCAGACGGGTTCGTAGGCAATGACGATCTTTTCCCATTGAGCTTCATTCAACTTACCTATTTATTGTTAAAAGTATTTAGTTTAATATTTGAAAAGAGTGTTTTGCTGATGTCATTTTCCTTTATTAACTAAATTTTTTTCTTTGCTTAGTTAGTTAACAAATTAATCTTATTAGAAGTTGCTATATATTCTATTTAAATATATTTAAATTATTTACCTCTAATAGCTTCTAATTAACCTTCAACGACTTGGTTGGTTTGGTTGGCTTCTCTGTCAGCTAAGTGTTCACCAACGCAAGCAATAACGTCTAAGCCGTTTTCAACAGCGTATTTAACCTTGTTGGCAACAACTTCGTTAGTTTCACCGTAGTATTGTCTTCTTTCAGAGTGACCCAAAATAGCCCAATTTAAACCTAAATCCTTAACGTGAGCAACGCTTTTATATTTTAAGAAATAAAGATGTTAAATTTGATCTTTAAACCAAAATAAAAATGGAAGGAAAACCTTATATCTACATAAACACATCTTCTTAGTTAAGAAGATGTTTTTGTATTTTTAAATTAAATTCAATCAATTGGTTTAAAATGAAATTTTCGTTTTTTAATTCTTCATTTATTGTTAGAAAACTATAAATGAATGAATGTAGTGAGGAGATGAAAGAATATCTAAATTATAAAGGAGAAGTAAGGGGAATGTGGTAGATATGTATAATGAAGAGACGAAGATGGCATAAAGAAATTAATGTTTACCTGATTTCACCAGTGTAGGCACCAGTACCAGTGAGGGAAGTGTTTTAGACGGAGACTTAGACGGGTTTTTGGATGTGTTCAGCAACCCAAGGAACGTGTAAGAAAACGGGAGCAACGACGACATCAACCTTAGCAGGGTCGAAGTGTAATTTGTTCAAGACGTTGTTAACCAAGTCCTTAGTTTAGGCCAAGGTGTTGTTGCACTTCCAGTTACCACCAACAAAGAGTCTTCTGATAGCCATTTTTGATATACTTAATTTTTTTTTTTTTTTTTTTTTTGAGATAAGAAATAGTAAGTAAATAAAATTTTATAATCAATTTGAAAATTTTTGGATATAGCTGATATTTTTATAGTAATTATTAGTTCGTCATTCGGTTGATATTAAAAATTATTGCAATACATATTATTATTTAATACGTCTCAACAATATTATTTGTGAGGGTTTTTAATACACACTTTGCTTCACTCCTCATACTTTTCTAGAAAATGGCATCTTTAAAATAAGCTAAAATCTTCACTAATTTGTTTTAAAGCATTGAATTTCATGACATAAAACTATTCTAGTTTATATTTTGGCACTTTATAAATCTGTTACATAATTGATCTCATCAATAATATTAAACTATATCCAAGATATCAATTATCCTAATCTATTTATATCTTTCAAACTCTCCAAAAGAAAAAAAGCAAAAGAAAAGATATTATATTAAGATATGCATTCAATATTTTTCATTTATATAAAAATATTTATTTTATATTTTATTTATAAATTAGTTATTTATTTTATATCAGTTCAATTAAAATTATTCTGTTTATAAGTTTAGTTAGAAATATTCAAAGTATTTATGTATCATAGCATATTATTAAATTAAAAGATGAAAAAAAACTAGAGTACAAATATATTTATAAAGTAATATTATACAAATTAAAAAATATTTACAAATGCTAATTTATTTATTTATTTAAAATATTTTTATTAAATGAAACTATTTTTATATTATAAATTATAATTTCATTTGAATTAAAAATTAAATAAAAATATAATAATATGTTCATTCAAAATTTTATTTTCATAATTTTTTAATTGTAATTTAAATATTTTTAAAATTTTGTGAATGAATTAAAATAATTTTCAAATATAAATAAAATAAAAAAATTCTTTTATTTGTTTTATATTATATATCTATGATTTATTAAAAATGTCTTTAATCAGATCAGAATATATTTTGTCTTTTGATGTATTAGAATATTTTGAAATTAAGATTCTTATTTTATCAGTTAAGATAGATAATAGTTTTTAGATTTTACTAATTATCTTAATTTAATTAAAAATAAAGCAAAAAGTAGACAGACTTTCACAAGAATGGAAGCCTTAAATAAAAATTCAGTAATGAGCCAACTCTGTAATAAGCATAACTCAAACTACATTTATTTAGAAAATGAATAAACTTCATAAGAAAATCCTTTAGCCTGCAGTTAATGTTACTTGGAAAATAGAGAAAAATAATATATAATTATTTAAAAAGTAATAAATAGCGATAATAAAAAACCAGTAATGAATTGGCCAAAAGGATTTACAAATTAGGCTTACTAATTTTTAGATTCACAGCAAAAAGATAAGAAAGTAGAATTGAAACAGAAAATAATTGATTTCTATCAATAACTTGAGCGATAAATCTAATCAGAATTAGAATTGTCAAAATAATAGTAAATAAAATAATTAGACGAATATTTCCTAGATTTCTCTGAAATGTAAAATTTCTATTATGAATATTTCAGACTTAAATAGCTGAAAGAGCTCATGGCATATGATGATAAATTAATAACTTAATAATATTAAAGATTGCTAAGATAATTAAACAACTAAAATAATAATAATACAACTATTGAAACTTGTTTATAATATCTCTATAGAAGTATAGAAATGTATAAAGATATTGATAAATAGATTATCTTTGAATTTGAAAAAGTATAATAAGATTTAAAGAAAGCTGTTTAAGAAATTAGAATTTTACCTCAAATGTCTCAACATTTTCAGAAACCTCAATTATTATCTCAAAATATAGGATTATCTCAATATAATTAATAACTTTAAGAAGTTTAATACTTTCCCTAATCTTAAATATCAAATAAGATTAAGTAAAATGAAATACTTAAAAAGGCTCAATAATCTCAAATAGAATAAAACTAAATAAATTAATCCAGCTATTAGAATAACTAAAGACTGATGAATACTTCGAAAACTAACAAGTTGCCTATACCATTTTACCCAAATATAATTGCTCCTTCCGAAATAGGAATAATTTTCTCTTAAGAAATAAAAGACCAAATGAGTTAAAATAACTCAATAAATTTTTTAAGATTTAAAAATGAATTTTTTTAAGAAAAACTAACAAAATTAATAATTGAACCCATTGACATGAGCTATAATTAAAAGTTAAATTATTCATATTTTTTAAATAAGTTATAAAATATGTCCAAAGATGTTTTTAATATTTATAACTCAAATAATGAATAATAACTAGCTTAATAAATAGTAATTTACATTAATAAAAATTTGCATAATGAAATTAATTAAATCTTGCTTTCTAAGAATTCTAAGCTAGTTGAAAAGTGGGTACCTTTGATATCATTGTATTAGAAGTCTCTCTGTATATACAGTGATATTTAACTAAAAAATAATTAATAATAAACGAACAAACATTTGTATAGACCAGCTTTAATACCAGAATATCACTTCAACTAACTGATATAAATAAATAATAATATTTGCTTTACTTCATTTTAGACTTTTGTTTCTTATTCCTCAATAGCAATTCAGTATATTTTAAACTAAAAATAAAGCAATGAAAATATCAATGTGATATTTGAATACAAACCTGAAATCAATTATTCCTCAGCATAAAGAATAATTTAAATAAATTAAGAATTTATAACTTAACCAATTATTGTCTATAAAATAATTGATATTAAAAAATTTACCTTAAATAATAAAATTTTCTATGAAGTTTAAATACAAAAAAATGAACATTGAATAAGAAAAACAATTATTGCAAAAGTTGCTGATAATAAAATTTATATTCTAAATTGCATATTTTTTTAATTATATTGTTAATTTTGTAAATCAACAAAATCTATTTTTTTTTTATGAAAGTTTTTCATTTTTATTTAGAAAATTTATTTAAATCAAACATAATTTATTGTGAGCTAACTAACTAATATCCATTGTTATCAATAAAAAAAACTTTTTTTAAAAAATTTTTTATCTAGAATGTATGAATTATATTTGATTTACTAATAAACCCATTATCATTTTTTTGGTATGTCTATTGAAATGAAATTTAGTTTGTGATTTAGACCAATCTTCAAAAATAATCTAAGAAACTAATAATATTTAAAACTTTTACCTTTTTTATATACCGTGGTTTCTCATATATTAAGGAATTTTTTTAATAAATTGTGAAAAAATTTGTATTAAGGACGAAATCTTTTTTTTCCAAAAACTAAATATTTATTGATAAGTCGTAAGCTTAATTTACATTATATTTGATAATACTCTCCCTTTTCTAATATTAATTAAAGATCAATAAATAGATTTTAATAAATACTTTTATTATAGATTTTCTATTTTTATCTTTTTGATATATTAAAAACAAACATCTTTTATTAGATCAGGGATTTATTCTTTCTTCAGATGTATTAGAATATTTATTAGATAAGATTCTTATTTTCTCAGTAAAGAATTTGATAATAGTTTTTAGATTTTAGTAATTATCTTAATTTAAGGTAAATTTAATCAAAGATAAACATAAAATAGATAGATATTCACAAAGATGGAAGCCTTAAATAAATATTCAGTAATGAACCAATTCTGTAGTAAGCATAATTTAAGCTATATCTATCTAGAAATTGAATAAGCTTAGTAAGAAAACCCTCTAGCCTGCAGTTAATGTTGCTTGGAAAATAGAGAAAAATAATATATAAGTATTTAAAAAATAATAGAGAGTGATAGTAAAAAGCCAGTAATGAATTGGCCAAAAGGGTTTACAATTTAGGCTTACTAATTTTTAGATTCTCCACTGCAAAAAGATAAGAAAGGAGAATTGATTAACAAAATAATGGATTTCTATCAATAACTTTAGCAAGAAATCTTATTAGAATTAGATTAGTCAAAAAAATAGTAAATAAAATAATTAGAGCAGTATTTCTTAGATTTCTCTGAAATGAGAAATTTCTATTATGAATCTTTCAGACTTAAATAGCTGAAGGAGCTCATGGCATATGATGATAAATTAATAACATAATAATATTAAAGATTGCTAAGAGAATTAAACAACAAAAATAATAATAATAAAACAATTGAAACTTGTTTATAACACCTCTACATAAGTATAGAAAGGTATAGAGATATTGATTAATAGATTCGCTTTGAATATTCTAATTAAGCAAAATAAAATATAAAGTAAATCATTTAAGGAATTTAAATTTTACCTCAAATGTCTCAAAATTCTCAGCAACCTTAACAATAATCTTAAAATATGAGATTCTCTCAATAGAATTAATAATTTTAAGAAATTTAACTATCTCTATAATCTCAAATAGCTTAGTAAAATTAAATACTTGATTAGGCTCAATAGTCTCTAATATAATCAAGCTAAATAAATTAATTTAGCAGTTAGAATAACTAAAATCTGTTTAATAATTTGCAGACTATACCTTTTTACCCAAATATAGTGGCTCCTTCAGAAATAGGAGTAATTTTCTCTTAATAAATCAAAGAGCAAATGAATTAATATAACTCAACAAATCTTTTAAGATTTAAAAACGAATTCTCTGAAGAAAAACTAACAAAAGTAATAAGGGAATCTGTTAATATTAGCAATAATTAGAAGTTAAATTATAAGTCTTTTTTAAATAAATTATAATATATGACCTAATAGGTTTTTGATTTTAATAACTTAAACAATGAATAATAACTAGCTTAATAAATATTTTTTTACATTAATAAAAATATGCATAATGAAATTAATTAAATTTTACTTTCTAATAACTCTAAGCTAGTTGAAATGTGGGTACCTTTGATATAATTGTATTAGAAGTCTCTCTCTATATATAGTGGGATTTAAGTAATAAATAATTAATAATAAATGAACACAATTCTGTATAGACCAGCTTTAATACCATAATATCACTTCAACTAGTTGATATAAGTAAATAATCAAATTTGCTTTACTTCATTTTAGACTTTTGTTCCTTCGTACTTAACAGCAATTCAGTACATTTTTCACCAAAAACAAAGTGAAGAAAATATGAATGTGATATTTAAATACAAGCCTGAAATCAGTTAGTCATCAGAATTAAGAATAATTTAAATAAATTAAGTATATATAACTTAACCAATTATTGTCTACAAAATAATTGACATCAAAAGATCAACCATAAATAATAAAATTTTCTATCAAGTTTAAATTCAAAAAAATGAATATTGAATAAAAAATGCAATATTGTAAAGTTGATGATAAAATTTATATTCTAAATAGGATATTTTTTTTAATACTTTGTAAATTTTGTAAATCAACAGAATCTATTTATTTTTATTTGTTTTAGGATATATATAATTCATTTAATGTATTCAATTTTAATTTAGTAAATTAATTTAAAATAAAAAATATTTAATTATGAGCTAAATAAATTTTTGATGAAAAATTTTTTATTTTTTTTGTTAGTTCAGGTTCTAAATCAACTTATTTTGATAGATATCTTTTTTTATTATTCTATTAAATATTTATTTCCTACTACAGAAATAATTATCAGAGGATAGAAATATATATGTTTACTTATATTTGTTAGTGTTTGAATAAATTTAATTTATTGCTTTTTTCATAAAGATAAAACAAACAATTGATAAATATATATTTTAATACCAAACAAATTAATTTCTAAATAACTTATTAACAATATAACTTAACTTTTTAACTAATTTTAAAATAATCAATAATTTTTAACAAATATGTAACATAAATTAAATGCTAACTTACTAAATTAAACATTTTTTTAGTTATTACAATTAATAGAATATATTTATTTATTTATATATAATTAGTATTAATTTTTATTTTATTTTAGTATTTTAGATGAATTAAATTTGTTAAACTTAACTTAAATTAGTTTATAAATATATTTGAAATCACTTACTCCTACTACTTCTCTTTATATACAGAGGAAGTAATCAATAATTTCTTTCATTTATTGATTCATTAGTATTCGTAGAAATTGAGTATAATTTACTCACATTTTTCATAAATTCTTTCATTTGGATCTTTTTACAAGCTCATTAAACTATTAGATAAGCCTAAATTTTCAAAAGCTAATAAAACCTGATTGCCATCATAGTTTTGTTAGCTTCTTTAGAACTCTTTACCAAGTTCCAATAACCTATAAATACCTTCTAGTGTGCTTAGAGTAATTTCTGAATCTTCATATTAAAAGCTATCCATCAAAATTGAAAAAAGACCTCTTTATCTCATAAAATTAATTTGTGATGATGTTCCATGTATGCAAAAGTTGCCAAACGCTAATATTAATTCTTTTTTATACTAATAAAAATTCTTTCTAAATTTATAATTTTTAATTTAAATATTTTTACAATAAAATTTCCTGTTTAAATATATGCCAAAATTTTAGAAAGTAAATATCTATGATTCAATATGTGCTCTATGGCCTAGTAGCTAGAACACATTAAATTATTAATCGACTAGCAAACTTCAATTTTTATGTTTTTACTAATCTTTTCAAATCCATAGCTCAAGTGATCAAGAACCTCTAAATTAATTAATTACTTAAAAAGCCATTAAAAAATAAATTCGACAATAAAAAAATAAATAAATTTTACCATAATTTAATCCACATTTCCAAAAGTCAAGTTTGTTATGATCTAGTAAATATTCTAAGGTACTTTATCTTAGCCTTTGCTTGACAAATAGAGCAGCTTTTTAATATTTTTCATTTATAAAATTTACTATATTTTATCTTCATCACCTTCACTCAAATTTTTCAAAGCAAAAGTAATGTATTTAATATTTTCTTAGCTTTAGCCTTGTAGTCCAAGTTATTCATCCAATATTGGTATAAAGCCTCTTATCTATTAAGAAAATTAAATTAAAAATTCTTTCATTAAAAGCTTTTGTTAATTTATTGATTACTAATTCATAGGGGTGAGGTCTTACACTAAAGATAGCAATAAACCAAATTAATTACTCAACAAAAGCTTTATTTGCTTTATTTTGTTTATATTTTTCTATAATGCATTCAGAAACTCCTCTTTTAAGTGCTTCGTCTCTAACATCTAAATATTCTTAAGACATATTGGCTAAACAATATATTGCCTATTTTTAAGTTTAAATTAAAATTTATTTTCTCATTTAAAAAAACAATTATAAATTAATCAAGATTTTAGTTTATTTAATTATTTTTTTACATGAGTTGAGTATTGGTTGTCTTAGTCTTTTAGCACTTGAACTAGAATATCAATTAAAGATAAATTATTTTCTAATATTTTTTCTATGTTGTCAGCATCTGAATAAGTAAGGTTAGAAATTATCTAAGCTGTGTCTAGTTATAGATTTTTTATATTTAGTGAAGGAACTGTTAAGATTTATTGCAAAGTTTAAATAATTTTATTATCCAGCACACAAGTAGCAATATGAGGATATTCATCAATTTTAGATGTGTAGAGTTTTAATATTTTAATATTTTTTGCCAAATCAGGACTATCCACTTCGTTCCTCAAATATTAACTCTTAATGTCACCGCAAATCTTATCTAAGTAATCTTAAAGATGCTTTTTTAACAAAAAATAATGATTTATATAAAAATTAAAATACATTTAAAAATCTTTCATATTATTTCTTTTTATTCCATTTATTTATTTATATCAACTTTATGGTAAAATAAATAAATACTTGCTTATTTGTTCTACTTAAAAACTTCATATTATAAAATAAATATTTTTGTTTAGAGAATGTTCTTTTATTGAAAATCATATTAATTATTTATTTATTGAATTAAATGCAATTCTAATAAAAGTACTAAAAAAGGCTTTATTAATAAGATGTAAATAAAATATCTTACTAAAAAACTACTAAGTAAGTAAGTATGCTGTTCAAGTGAATATTTTATTTGCTTTTAACTTGAAAGGATTTAAGTTCTAAATAAAACCTTTAAATGGGATGAGTTAATATCATATAAAACAATTAGATATCAATCCTAATGCATAAAAAACATCTTAATTATTAATTCTACTCTTTATCTATGGCTTAATAAATTTTTTTGTTGCTTTTCAAGTTTATTTAAAATTGCTCAAAAGATATATGAAAATTCATCTTTTATTTATAAAATATTTACCTTTTGGTTAATTATAATTTCTTATAATACTGAAGGCATAGCATTTTCAGTAGACATCATTTAATCAATAGGTTCTTTGCTAGAAGATTTGTCCTAATTTAAAAGCTCAAATCTCTTTTTATGGAACAATTCATTATGCTTTTTGGCTCTAATTTACTTTCTAAATATCTCCTTCTTTTTACTGATAATATACTTAGCTTCATCTATTTCATCAGCTATATTATTTTCTACATTAGTTTCCATTTTTGTATTGCTTAAATGAGTTTTTGCAATTTATCTATTGTTTGTTTATTAAGCTAATTTTAATTTTTTGAAATTTTAATAATTAATTTATTTAATCATTGATAAATTGCTATTAAGATTATATTCTTACTAAATAACCGCGTTAATTTTACTAAATAATAATAATGTAGTGTTTGTTTTCCCTCCAATTATTGATAGCAAATATAATCATGATACCAATTTATTTGAAATTTATCCAATCAATCATAAATCATATGGCTTTGAAATTAATTAATTCATTCTTTTATTTTTGATTAGAATATTAAAATTGCGTATTTAATTATTTATTTACATAGAAAAATATTAAGCAAGAAGATTATTGTTTTAATAAATAATAAATATATTTAAAAATACATACTTACTTGATGTCTATCGAAAAATAGTAGAATATTTAATAAACAGAGATATTGTTAGTTGAGATTTCAAATAAGAAAGTATGTCAGTTAGATAAAAGAATTATATAAGTTAGCAACTTGATTTAGTAATAAATTAATGATAATCCAAATGAGGTTATACACTTAGAATTATTAACTGAAGATTAAAAAGAGTTTGTGCAACATTATTTGGATATGCATAATTATGATCTAACTGATTCAAAAGTTAAATAGCATATTTAATCCTCTATATTATCAGATAATTTTGTTAATGCGTTAGATGTATAATTATTTGAAAACATGTCAGTTTTAGAAATATCTCAAGTATTAAAAGCAGCTGCATATTTACAAATAGATTAACTCATACAATTATGTAATGTAGCTTTAGCTACAAAAATATACTTACCATATGATGAAACTTCTCTGCAAGCAATCAAAGAATCTCAAAACTTAGGAGAGTTAAATGAAGAAGATATCATAGCAATGAAAGAGAAATATCCATGTGCCTTTTCTAACTATGAATGCACTAACAATACAAATGAATATACATCCATAAATTAAAATTAGCAATAATAAGATAATTTATGATAACTGCATATATATAAATCATAGAATATTTGATTGATTTATTTATTTAGTTAAAAACATTCATGAATTAATTCTTTTAATATAACTAAACTTTAAGCCAAATTTTCTAATAAATAGATTATAAAATGAATTAATAAATAAATAAATACCATAAATCCTCTGTAAGATTTACGAATCGTGTACGAGGGAACAAAATTTTTATCCATGATTATTGTTATACTCATTTAAGTTTTGATACAAATTGAGTAACGAAAGAAGAGGAATTACAGTAAATAAAAAAAACCTAAAAAGATTATAAAAAGAAGTAAGTATTCAAGCATATAAATTTATTATTTGATATAATTTATTTTTGATACATATCATTTTTTATTTGTTAAACTTATTTGATTTGAAATGTACCTATCTAAATTATCTATATTGATTACAATTAAATGTGTTTTATACATAAAGAATAATTTATTTTTAAATCAGCATTATCAATTAAATTTATATTAAATTTATTTTGTAATCGTCATTTTTAATTTACAGATTAATGATTAAATATCTGTAATGTATTTATTTATTTATTTATTTTTAAATTAACAGATAAATAAATTTGGATTTTTAATGGTACATGCATTAATTATTTAATGCCTTGAGCTCAATTAATTTTTAGGTTTATCAGAATTACTTTGATATTGATTTAATACTAAAATTGTTTGTTTGAAATAATTAATTTTAAAATTAGATTAAATTTATTTAAATAATACACATAGATATCTGTATTTTTATAATAAATGATTATAAATTTGTGGATTTAAACAATTTAGTGAATTTATTTATTATTATTTTAATAACTAAAAAACTTTGAATCAATTTTTAATTTTGTAATTTAGTTGAAATATATAAATAATAAAGCTAATATTAATGACCAAAGAAGATTTTTAGATTTTATTTCTTTAAAAAGAGAGAAAGAAAATCGGATTAATAAATTTGAGGCAAAAATAAATGTCAATAAAATTGTTAATTTATTCTTTCTTTTACTTTTTTGTATAAATGTGAGCTGAATTTAGTGCAATTTAAAATTCATAAATTTCATTAAAATAAATTAAATAAAACCTTTTTTTCTTTTTTTTTTGAAGTTATTGCAAAATTTTTAACAAGTAAAAAATAAAATTTTATTAATTAAAATGAAATTAATAAATTGCTAAATATTTTTTTCCTTTAAAAAATAATTAAAAAAATGTTTTTTTTTTTACATTTTAATGAATTATTTTAATTTTTTGAAGGAGAGAATAAAATAAATGGATGAAAACTGCTAGTAGAAGTAACAAAATATATGATATAGTATGAATGTTATATAGAAGGACAGTAAATTAATATCAATATATTTATAATTATTTATTTATTTAGGTGAGATGAGAATTTTTTTATATAATTTAATGATGTCGTAGTTAGTCAATTTTTTACAAATTAATTTTACATTTTCAGTAAAAAACTCTAAAAAATGCTAATTATTTTATTAATTCAATAATCTCAGCTTGCAGCAGCAACAGAAGAAGCAGAAGCAGCGTTATTAGATATGATGGGAGCTATAGTGTTGAGAGGTTATTCAGAGTCTTACTTGTCTAAGGCAGGAGTGACTTAGGCAACTTCTTGGTTAGCAGGTTTAACATCTTCAACACCAGTGACGTGGTGAGCTAAGTTGTGGAAATTGGCCTTCAAATTTCTATTGAATCCCCAGAAAGGAATAACAATAATTTCATAATAGATAAGACATCCAAAGACGACAACTATGTAACCACAGAATTGACCTACTCTGAACTTATCCCAACCGATAGCAATGGTGAACATCCAAACAACGAAGGGGGAAACTTGAGAAATCATAGATCTTGAGAGAGCAGAGGCATACTTGACGCAATAGAAAGCAAGACCGTTCAAGATGGCAATAGCGATGATACCGAGGAAAATCATGATTAAGAGAGTAGGTTAGAAGGGTCCTTCAATGGTGAAGACAGTCTTAAAGAATTGAGGAACATCTTCCATCATACCGTTAGGGCAGTCATCAGCCATAGATTAAGGACAGGGAATGTAAGAGAAAATATTTAAAGCAACCCAAGTGATAAAAATACCAGTTGTACCTTCATAACCGACAAGCTAGTTAGGATTCAAGTAGATCATTTTGAAGAGCTTTTCTTCAAGGACTGATTGACCAGAGGAAAAGAAGAATGAACAGATAATTAAAATTATACCTAAAAGTAATTTGCTTGGATCGATGTCATCTGATTTATTCAACAAGATTGAAGTTATACCAATAGTAGCAAATCCGCAAACAGCTAAAAAGAGACCTAAGACGTGTTGTCTGAAAAGCTTTCTTTTCAAGAAGATAACTGAAAAGACAGCAGTGATGACGATGTTACCACCTCTGATCATATAGTAAATAGAGAGAGGCATCATAGACATAGCAAAGAAAGAAATGGTGGAGGCGGTGAAATCGCAAGCAGTAGGAATAGCGAAAATCCATTTGCTGGGGTTAAGATTAAGACCTCTTTCTTTGGCAACTTTTAATTCTAATTCATAATCCTTGGGGTAGTACTTTTTCTAGAGCAAATAGATTAAGTAACACAGCGCTTCACCTATAAACATCAGCATCGTCTGCATAAACGGGTGATTAAACTGTACTCCGTTAACAATACTTCTTTGTTATTGCTTGAAGATAATACCTGTTCCTACACCTTCAAATAGAAGAATAACCAGTAGGAGGTTTACTTTGAATGTTGTCATAACCATTTTTGATGAGGGGGGTTTACTTTACTTAACTTTAATTTTGTTTCTTTGTTTAAGTTGCTTAGAACTTTTTTTGTTTGTTGTTGATTTGTTTTATTTAATTAAATTATGAAATTATCTCAGATTTTTGTCTCCTTTTTAAAACTCTTTATTTGATATGATAAGCTATTGGTCTATAAATATCATATATGTTAAATTCTATTTAAGTCTGACTAATAATTTACTAGAACTGTCTGTTCATACAATACAACACCATACTTTCATTTCATTTAATTAATTTCTTCAAGACTCAATTCAAATACACTTAAATAAAATAAATCCTCGAAATAATCTATAACTTTACTAGTGAGTTTAGCCCTTTTTTAGTTTATCACTCATGTAAATTAATTATTTTTGTGTCTTGATTAGTGAAGTGATAGCTGATGAAATTGTAACAAGCTTAAAAAAATAAACGCTTAACAAATCAATTATATTACTTCTAAAATTAGGTTTAAATGTATGATAAAAACCTTTTAATATTTAATCTTAGCTCTGATTTTTCATTTATAAAATTGTTTAATTTTTAGTTAATTTTTACTTTCTTGCGATATTAGCCATATTTGTTCTAAATATAAGCTTGATGTTAGAAATTTGTTAAGGTCTGTTTAAATTTACAATAAATAAAATTTGTATAAATAATAATAGACAATTATGTATTGTTTCATGAAAATATTTTAAAAGTTGCGTTTAAAGTTAAATTTGAATAGTATACATTTTATTACGTAAGTATTCATTGATATAAATAACTCTAATAATCAAATCAATTTTACTCATTTACCTTCCTAATGTAATTAATTTAAGACAAAATGTAAAAACTTTGTTTGTTTATTAGTCAATAAAATCAACGAACTTATTATTTTGCTAATGAATATACAAAAATTTAAATTCATAGTACAGAGAGAGGATAATTTATAATTTTCTTACATTACCACAAAAAAAGAATGAATTTAGTATATTAAATTTTCATCACAAATTCAACATTTTTATCTTACGGATAAATTATATTTTTGTGGCAAATAGAAAATTTAAAAAACTATCATTTATAATAACCTTCATTCTAATCTCTTTTTTTATACTTTCAATTATTTTTTTTAATAAAAGAATACTTTGTTGCTAAAACAAAAACAAATTCAAATGTGGTAAAAGCAAACATCAACAAATACTTAAAAATTTTTCTTTCAAATAAAAATAATAGAAATTCTATTCATAATAAAATATATTTTTAAAGTAAATGAACAATTTTATTTCCTTGCAAAATCTCTTGAATAGAAAATGAAGAAAGAGAAACTGTAATTGGAATAAAGTTTAATTAAATATTTAGAAGCTCTATCAATCGCTAAAACTTTCACTAGAAGAAAACTGTCTTAATAAAAAAATTAATATCAAACTAGCCACACAAATATAAAATATTTGAATTTCCCTTTATTAAAATTGAAATCTTAGGTTTGCAACAAGATATTAAAATGACAGCAAAAAACCTCTCATTTATTTGATTTGGATTCCATGGCTTAAGGATTTAAAGAGGCCTTTTAGCAAATCAGAATTCTTTAAGTTGCTTTGTAAATTTATCTGACGATTCCTGGTGGCTTTTATAAATAAATTTATAAAAATAAATTTGTTTAATGATCGAAATTACAAATTTAATAACGACTCTTCTAGTTTTGGCATACTATATAAAGTAATCTAAATATAAAAAAATAAATGATTTATTTATTGATTCTAACTTTTGTTCTATTTATAAATCAAAATAAATTAGAATTACCCAACTATTGTTGTAACTGAAGTCAATTGATATATTTAAAGGTCTTTAACTAGTAAAATAATAATTTCAACAATTGAAGATAATTTTTAAATAAATTTTGGGAAATTTACACTTATTATATTTATTCTTTCAAAACTATAAATTTTACTTCAAATAAAAAAATAGCCTTATTTTACATAAGAAAGCTCTCTCCTATTATAAATACAAGTAATAAATATTTGTCTTAATCTTTACAATAAGTTGTCTAACTATTAATTCATTCAAATAGATATTTAAGAAGAACAAATAAAAATTCTGTTTATTAAAAAAGAAATACTAGATTTAAAAAAATATATTATAAGTTTTGTAAATTTAAAGATAAATTCAAGTAAAAATATAGCTTTTAAATGAAGAACTAATTATAAATATTATAGTAAATTATATTTATTTTTATTCAATAAATGAGTTGATAGAAGTAATTCAAAAATTTAAAAAAAAGTTTCTATTTGACTTATTAGCAGATTTTTCAATAAAAAATAAAGTTAGTTTGTTAGTTTTTTTATTTATATTCAATATTTTATTTTTATCAATTGTAAAGATTGTAAGCCAGCCAACTCCTTTAAAATTCATACTTGAATAATTTATTAAAAGCCATTTTATTTATCTTGTTTTACAACTTAAAAAATTTTTTTTTCTAAAATAGATTTCAGTTTTAATTTTTTGAAAAACCTATTACAACTTTCTAAATAAAAATAGCTAAATAATATTTGAAATAATAGCTTAATTTTGAATGAAAGTTAGTTAAATTGTTGATTTGTTTGATGCGATTAAAGTCAATAAAGATTTCATTATAAATATTGTTTTTTTAATTCTTTTATAAACATTTATATATTCTTCTAAATTAAGACGTAGATTTATTTCTTGATATTAAATCTATTCATGCATGTTTAATTACAAAACAATATGTATTAATTTAATAACTCATCTCAGCCAGATACGTTCTCTAATTTTTTCATATTATCCTTATTAATATGCGTAAGAATACGTCTAATTATTAATACCTCAAATAATTATTTATTAACATTTTTTAATTTGTAAAAGCTCATTAATGTTTTTTTAAGCTAAACTAAATTATGTACATGCATATATCATTGAATCATAATTTATATTTATTTATGAAAAATTTGAAAACTACTATTGATAATAAAGACAAATCAATTCATTTATTATAATATAATTTAAATAAATAAAGTTAATTTTTCAAAAATCAAATTCAATTTTATAAATTTCAAAGTCAATTTATAATAAATTAAGATATAATTGAAGCATTTATTTTATCAAGTATTTTTTATTATAAAACAGAAAAACATTTTATTTTATATTCAAAAAAGGTAATGTTATTAATTTATAAATGATATCATAAACCTTAAATTCATTTCAATATTTGGTAAAACTAAGTTAATAATATTTAAATATGTAATTATGACAATTAATCTTACTTACATAGATCAAAAATTTAAATGTTTATATATCGATTTAAAATTAATACACTAAAAAATAAAAATGTTTAATTTTTTAAAATTAATCTAAAAAAAGATATTCAAATACTCTAGTTTCTTACATATTAATGCTAGAAAGAAAAAAATTCTTTCTAAAATTAAAAGATTTAAATAAGTTTATTAAATGCAAATTTAATAGCTAAAATGGACTTAGGATACATAATTTGAAAGGTATCTAAAATATTTATTAAAATAAAACTTATTTACAAATTAAAAATCATCAATCAACTAATTAATTTTAATAAATATTTTCTTTTTACTGAACTATTATTAAAAATCAAAAAAATTAATTTTGCATATTTAAAATGCTTCTGAATCGAAAGCATTATTATTTGTTTTAGTGTTAAACTGAAACAAAATAATAGTTAACAAGTTAGTTAGTTAATCATCTATTTATTTATTTGTAGATTAAATTTTTTGAAATTTCAATATTTATTCATTCATTCATTCTTTTGATTTTGATTTATTAACTACAATTTTAAAAATAGTTAAAAAAAATATTAAGTATTTATTCATTCATTTATTTATTTGTTTGTTTTTGAAATACAGATTTGTTTTTTGGTTTAAAAAGAATCTTTTTTATTGATAATTAGATCGCAATAAAATTAATAAAATAAGTTAAATATGAGTCAAAGCAAAATAGGTTTTACAATATTTAGATTTTAATGACGTTTAACCAAAACCATTTTATTTTATTTTAGAAAATTTTGTGATTCTGCCACCTGGATTTGAGCACATATCATAAATTATTTATGGTGAATTGGAAGTAAGAATTAAAAAGCTTAATTTTTTGAATGTCTTACATCATGAAGGAGATGTTAGAATAAGGATGAACTTTTTTGCGGAAAAAGGGGCGAGTCACTTGCTAGTTCCTCAGAATGCGAAAAAAGAGCTTCTTAGATATTTTAAAACATCTTACAAATATTTGATTGGCTGCAGTATTTGGAATTTTAGTCATTATCTATTTGATATGAATATCCTTAAATTATCTGTTGTTGATCATAATGATTTAATTTTAGGCTTTGTTGACATCCCTTTCGAGAATTTTTTAGAATAAAAGTAATTTTTTTTAATGTTAAATCTTATTTAATTATTCAATCGTCTTATACAATTTAGTTTTTAGCGTTAAGCATTTTATTCTGTTTTTATTTTTTATCATTAATTTTAAAATTTGTAAATGATCTAATTACTCCAAATAAATAATGGGACTGATTGAGATAGTTTAAAGATGATTTTGTTTAAAAATTTGATAATTTGATTTATAATTTATAGCATAACAGAACATACTGAATCTTTGTTTAAAAACTTGAAGGGGAATTTTGCGATAGTATCGCCTAAGAATCCAAATCAAAAAATAGGAAGCATAGAATTGGAAATTAGTAATATTTTTGATACAGATATTAGTAAATTTGTCAAGAAGGCTGAAGCAAAATACAATCAAGCAGAGTTTAAAGTGATTGAAGATTGTGTAATTCAATAAATATTATAAAAGTAAAGTCCCAATAACGGAGGAGCTATTAATCCTTAGTATAATCCTTCATTTGAATAAACTTAAACTCTAAGTGTAAAGCCATAGTTTCAAGATATGTTTGGGCAGAGAATACCTGCTTCTTTGGTGTAAAATAATGAGAATTATGATCCAGCAAGATATTCAGGAAGTAGTTTTTATTAATAAGAAGCATAAAATTAATAGGTTTAGATTTAAAATATAAACGATTAGCAATTATCAGTGCAAAATAATCTGAAATAAACACAAAATTAACAGTAGAAATAATCATTTTAAAATAGTTAATAATAATATGGTAACCATTCAAATTAGAAGCAGTAAGCTGGCAACTAGTCTAATTAAAAGCAGTAAGCTCAGACTTAACATTCCTAATAAGTTAAAAACAATCAGACAAATAAAATTGGTGAAAAAATAAATGTAAACTAAAATAATTAGAGTAATGGGAATATAAATAATTAAACTTTGAATAAAGATAGTACTAATCCTAACGATAATGCCTTTGTTTTATCTAGCCAAAACTCTTTATTTATTTAAAAATAAAATGAGATGCAGTAAGAGTAAGTTATTAAAATGGGAGAAATAGAAAAAACAAACAAGCAACTAGCTAATAAACTTGATAAGTTGGTAAATTTAGGGGAGTAGATATATGATTAATATTAAGAGCAAATTCAGTAGTAAAGAGCCTTGGAATAGCAGAGGATTAAAGAAGAGCAAGAGAGAAATTTAATTGAAAACAAAAGACTATAGCTTCAAACTTAAAAATTGTAGCTCAAAGAAAAAGAACTTTAAGAATAAAAGCTAGAAAGAGAAAGGCAAGCCTAAAAAGAAAACTAATAGCAAACATTTAAATCACAATAAAATGTAAATATGCAAACTTTTTAGAAGCCAAAAGATTTTAAATAACCCTTCCCAGTTAATCAGTAAATCTTCTCTAAAAATAGACTTAAAGTGCAAATGTTTGAGTTTAATTGCACTGACAGTAACTTTTTGGCTAAAATATCCCAAAAAAATATTTATGTAGAATGCATTCTGCCCAACTATTTTAACTGTAAACAAGCTAACTCTGACATCATGAAGTAATTATTCAAAATTTTATTTAAAAATTATCACTGGTGGGTGATAGATATTATTATCATATTTTATTTGAATAAATTCAATTTTTACTTAAATAAGTAAAATTTTTACTATTAGATGAGTTTAAAATTAACTAAAAATAAATTCCATTTTTTTATCAATTATTTAATTTTTTATAATTAATCATTCATTAATCATTATTTTCTTTTGAATAGTAAATATTTTTAATTATGATATGAAAAAAGCTGTTTTTATTTTTAAAGTTTTTATTCTAATTTTTTAAATTTATATTTAAAAAAAAAAAAACAGAACTGTTTGTAAGAATATTTAAGAGACACTGTTTAAGTTTAATAGCGAAATAAACCAAAACATAAGCATTTTACCAGATTAAATAAATGATTTACTAAATCAGCAAATAGAATTCCAAATTAAGGCTTTTAGTATTCCTAAAAACACTACTGATATTAGAAGAGTAAAGAAATTAAGTTAGATAGTATTTTAATTATATCTATTTATTTAAATAATTAGGACAATAACGATTTGGTTACTTTACTAGCAACATCTGTTTTAAGTGTTAAGGAGTTTTTAGCTAAAAGCAGAGATTTTATTGGTTTGTTTCATTTAGACATGAAAACAAAATTTCAAAGTGCTGCCACTCATGATAAATAACAAGAAAGCAAGTAAATGGTGATAAAAAAATAAGATTTAAAGCCAATAGAAAAAAATAATGATTAAATTGTTGGTTCTTTCAAAGTAGGAATTTCTATGATTTAAGATAATATATAATAAGGAACAATCTACTCTTAACACCACAAGAGTGTAGCTATGAAAAGCATAAATCCATATTAAACGTCCAACTAATATTCAAACTAACCTTTCTAGCAGCCTATTTAAATTATCAAACAGCCTACTGTCTCCTTCTAAATTTATCTTAAATTTTCTAATCTTCTCATTCTTAATAACTACATTAATGAGTTAAATGGAAAGAAAATATATTTACAATTTAAAGTCTATGGGACTTTAGAAAACATTCTAACAAAGCAAATAGAATACAAAAATACTTACATCAATTCATTTGAATCAGAATTCATTATGCCTTGCAACAAAGACACAATTATAAAAATGGTAAATTTCAATAAATCATTTTCTTCAATTGTTAAAAAAAATAAAAAAATAAATCAAAAAAAGATTTAAAAAAAAATATTTTTTTTAAGAATTAATTTCAAATTTTTAAAATGAACATAAAATAATATAATGTCATTTAACTTGAAATCATTTTAATTTTTTAAAAACAAAGTATTTTTGAATTTTGTTTAGCAAATAGATTATGCTAATGAATAGAAAATAAAATAAAAATATAATTGAATTTTAAAATTTTAATTCATCTTTTCATTGAAATTTTACAACTTAAAATTTTACTAAAAAAATAAATATTAAAATTAAAATTTACTTTATGATTTTTAAATTTAAATGTTTCTGAGATATTGATTTAATTACTTACTTTTTTATATAGATTTATTTATTTATTTAGCTAGTTTTTTGTTAGTTTAAGATTTTAACTTAATTTGTCAAAATATTATAGAGAAAAGTTCCTCTTGTTGTTGAAGTTTGGGCGAAAAGCTATGAAAAGTAATAAGATGATCTATTGGGATTAATAAATTTAAATCTTAGTAAGATATCTAATAGTGTTTTAAATAAAAATAATAACTTTAATGATAATTGGTGCTCTAGCGATAATAATAGTATGATGGTAATTGTGTCTAATGAAAATTAGGAGTTCGCATAGATTCCTTCTAAGAGAATCATTGGGCAAGTATTTACATAGCTAGTCTTTGGATCAGTAGGATAGATTACTAAATTTAAAGAAACATAAGCACAAAATGTAAATCATTAATCAATTCCGGTTAAAGATGTTGCTAGTTTTGAATAAAAATAAAGCATAAATATGAATTCCTAAAATGCACATTTCAATTAGCAATTACAAAATACTAATTTAAATTAGTAAATACAAAATATGCACCTTTCAGATATTCCAGAAATATAAATTGTTGATTAATATCTATAGGAAAATATCCCAAATCAATTTTAAGATGCAGATAAATAAGAATAAGCTAATTCTAATAAAATTCAATAAGCTTAGGCATAGAAAACAAATAAATAGAGCACAAATAATAAAAACAAATTAAGTTTAAATCAGTATTTACCTGAGAATAACATGACACCATCCGAAATAATTTATTTAGAGACCTTTGAATGTTTAAGGGTTAATGACTTGAAGATAAAAAACAGGATCAGGGAATTTGTCAACTCTTTAAGGCCTCCTTAGTATTTTATCAAATAGTTTGATTTATTTAACTTCCTCTCTAATCTTCCAATTAAGTGGCCATCACTTTAGAATTTAGTTTACTTTTGCAAATTTTTTGACTTTCAAAATGTTTCATATTACGAAAGTGAATTATTCACTAAATCTTATAGTGCATATTTGCTCGTTGAAGAATAAATTAGGAGTTCTCTGACTTCTACCATTCAAGCATTCGTTGAGGTTCTACGCATAAACAGGATCACTATCATTGAATTCGAAAAAATTCTAAACAGCAACAGCAAATTTGGGTACACTACTAAAGAGGAATTACAAAACACATTTGCACAGCTAGCTCTTGCTGGATTAGATTAACAACTTGTAGAAAATATACTTAAATATTTAACCAAAGGTATTTCTTAATCTTATAATTTAATTTTAACTACTTGAAATAGATAGTGTCATAATTTATGAATAAAATTATTTTTTAAAAAGAAAAAGACCAGGAAGGAGGCAATTTGATTAATGTAGGGCAAATTGTGGATTACTTGAAATAATTAGAAACATATTCTAAGATTAGGAATCTTTACTAATATGATGAATAGCTTTTTAGGGATCAAATTATTTAAAATTTGAAATAAGAAATTGCTGTTAACAAAATTCAAATTGGAATTATTTCTGAAGAAAAGGTAAAGAAAATTTTCATTTTAATACAATTTATTAATATTTGAAACATTGTTTTAATTTTTTTATTATGAATAAATTTTAGACTTAGAACTGCTTGGAAATTGACATAAAACTATGCAAAGATCTATTTTAACAAGTTGGTATAGAAATGAGTTTCTGGGAATGCTTTACTGTTTTAAAGGAAATTTAGGAACTGAATGGTTAGAATACAAATATGAACTACGCTTTAAAGGTTCCAGTCCTTTAGTTTAATTCTTACTTGTTAAGTTTAGAAAATGCTATTTTAGAATAGCAAAAGCTGCCTAACAATAGCATAAAAAGTAATGATAGCGAATTAAGAGATTTAAATATGCTACTCAACAAATCATTGATGAAAAATAAATAATAAGATAACTAATAAAAAGATGGATTAAACAATTAATAGGAAGAAGTAAAAAAGGAACCAGAAAAGAGCGAAGAACATTTATTAAACTACTAATTTAAATTTAGTGTAGCTTCTATGACTGAGTTGAAAATAAGGGAAGATTAAGATGGAAAAATCGTTTATATCAGATATTTACTCCCTCTGGAAGATGAAAATTGGATTGATTCAGGTATCTTTGAGCTGAAATACAAAAAGGAAAATTATTATAGACTGGCTTTATTTGGTACTCATAAAATATTCATTAAGAATACAGAAAATATTTTGAATGTATTCAAAAGTAATGACATATAAATAGAGATAAGAGAATTGACAAATATAAACGAAATAGAAAATAAAAGCGCTTTGGATGATAATTTGATAGCTAAAACATAATTAACAATAGATAGCATGTTGGATTTATTTGAAGATGGGTCCAATAATTATGTCACAAGGACCACTATTTTAGCTCTTGAAAACTCTGAAAATATTCCTATTGGTAATATCAACTTTAAGATAGAGTTTAAGAAAGAAATTGTACAGCAAGGAACTCAAAAGTACTAAGAAATTGTCTTTGCAAAAGAACAACAAGTACAAAAACTACTTCCAAAACAAGGATTTTTAACAGTAAATGTGAGAGTTAGCAACATTGAAGAGTAATGCGTAGTCTAGTTTAAATTATTTAAAGATGACACTTACCTTAATCACCTCTTCAAGCCTATATAATAGAACAATGCAATAGAAAATCAGCAATATTTCATCTCGATATCCAAGGAAGTTATTAAATACCTTGAGGAAGGAAGCGCTTTGGTAAGAATTCTTGATGAGAATGCTTAAATTTTAATTGCTGAATATGAGTTCAATTTAATCAATATTCTAGTCAACCAATAAATACAAATCAGTGAATCAGTTTTAAATTTAATAAGCTAACAACCAATTGGCTTAGATATTCACTTAACATATGAGAAACAACAAAACTAAAAAATTCATTGATCTCAATTAAAAAGAGTTTACTTATTTATTCAATTTATTTATGAGTATATTTTTATGTAAATCTATCTTTCTATCTACAATATTTATAATATAAATTACAATATAAAAACATAATAATAAAATGCATTTAAATTAGATTAATCTAAATTAAAACTATCATAAAAAAATTTATTCATTAAAATAATAAATTTAGATTATTTATTATTCTTTTAAAAAGCTAGCTAAATAAATATTAAATTAATATAAATTAAAACAATCATAGAAATAATGTTTATTAATAAAATATTATAAATAAATTTAGCTTATTTGTTATTTTTTTAAAAAGTTTAATAAATAATAACAATTATTTATTATTTTAATAAATAAATAAATAATTTAAAAATATTTTTTAAGATATTAAGAATTTTTATTAAATTAATAAATTAATGAATTTTTAAATTTGAATAAATATTTTTCTCTCTCTAATATTCATTTTATATTTAATTAGGTAATTTTATTTTTATATTATTTACCAATTAATTATTCTTTTTAATTTTATAATTTAAATGAATAAGCTAAATTTATTTTATTCTTTTTTTTCTTTCATTCTTTAGCAAAAAAGTTTCATAAGTATTTTCAAAACTATCATTTTATATTGATATGAATTGAAATTTTTAAAAGACTCAAATCAATTTTAAATTATTTTATTTTCTTTCTTTTTTTAGGTTTTGAAAAAAAATAATTAATTAATTATCAGATACATTAAAATAAAAATACTTTTTTCATGGTAAAAATAAATAATACCTATGTGAAAGATAAGCTCTTTTGATAATAAAATTTTAATAAAATTTCATATTATTTTAATAATTTTACTACTTATTTACTCACTTACTATTTATTGATTGGTAAAAATAAAATAAAATAAATTTAATTTTTAAAATCTCAAATTATTTTAACAAAAATTTTAAATAAAAAAATAATTTAAAGAAAAATTTATTTATATGTAAATGTTAAATAATTGCTATGAGTGGTGCTTGTTTTTGCATGTATTAAAAATTGATACATAGAAGTATAAAATAAAGGGAACTAATTAATACAAATAATTAGATATATATACAATTAAACCAATTCATAATTTAATAATTAAAAATAATTCATTCTTTTTATTAAATCTTTGCAAGCAATTAAGCAAAAAAAAAAACAAACGCAAATGAAGTTCTAAAAGAGGAACTTTGCACTAACTAATTAATTTTAGAAAAATTGGCAAAAAATGAAATTACAAACAAACCCTGAAGTTGGTGTTTTCAAAGTTTTTTTGAATTCGCTATTCTTTTTTACTTTTGAAAGTGGCGCTATTAACAATTCTTTTTATTTCATATAAAAAGTTTGCTAATTTGGCAAATCAACGCTTTCGAAAACAAGCAGGGGTTAAATAAATGCGTACTTTAATCGCTCTGGATTCTTTCAATGGATCGTGAGTTTCATCAGTATGCAACACCATAACACCATATTTTGCCTACATATATGCTTTTCTTTTGTTTTCACCTAACTATCAAATCTTTTTTGGTTTCAAAATAATTTATTTTGATTGTTATTTGTTAAAAATTCAAAATTAATTGTTTGCTATATTTTTAGAAAATATCAAACAAATCTTTTATCTATCTATCTGTCTCTTGATAACTTTGATTAATACATACTATTAAATATTGATATTTGTTAGTGTTTTTAATTTTTTGTATGATTTTATTTGATATTTAATAAATAAATAAATATTAGAATGAATGAGTAGGTGTGTGTGTGTGTGTGTGAATGTGTTTGAATGGATCAAAGAAATTATTGAATATTTATTACATCAAATTCACTGATTTTTAAATTGAAATAAAAAACAATAAAATTTTTATTTAGTTGGTTATTTTTAAAGATTGAAAACAAACATATTAAATTCATTAATTCGTTTATGAGTAGTTATATAAATCGCGGCCCTAAGGATAATTTTAATAAACAAGGTAAATTAAAGCTAAATTCATCACTCATAACTATATTTATGGTTTAGGCAGTTAAGTTTATTCTTAATTAATATCAGATTATAGAAAAGAAATAGAAGATGAGCTGAAATATAAGAGTAGTCTTTCATAGTATTAGGTATTTCATAATATATTTATTTGATAAAATTTAACATAATTCTTGATAAAAAATTCAATTAATATGTTAATAGAAAGATATTTATGAAAAAGAACAGTACATCAAAGAACTTGAAGGTCACTGCAAAGATTTAAAAAGTAGAATTTGAAATATTTTGTTTAATTAGAACGTTTAAATATTATTAGATAAATATAGAAATTTATTTCAATTATTAAATAGCATTACTTAGTGAATATAAAAAGATGGGAGATGATAAAGAATACTAAAAAAAGCAGAGAGAAATTGAAATTGAAAATTTGAATATGAGAGTTTTGTATTGAATTTGTTTAACAATAATAATAAGTTCCTTTATAAATTCTTAATGTTATAGGTAACTAGAAAACAAGCTTAAATTGTATGAAGATAACGAGCTGGCCAAACAAAGAATTATTGATTCAGAAGTTGAAAAAGAAAAATTAAAGAACTAGGAGATCGTTGATAGGTTTAATTAAAAATTTACTTTCTTTGAAGAATAAATATAGATCTTGGAGGGCTAACTCCTTGAAAAGAACAGATACATTTTGGAACTTGAGACTCAGAATAAAGACTTAAATTTCTTTAATTAACTTGTAGAAGAAAAACAAACACTGATTGAATCACTCAGAAGAGAAAACCAAGTCTTAATTAGAAGGATTCGTGAACAGTTCAGAGATGAAGCTTTTGGAAAAGAAAAGTTTGATTTTGAAGAAGAGAGGAAATTTATTTAAGAAATCATCAAAAAGAAAGAGTAACAAGGACTCTTTGTAGATGGCTTTGTTTCCAATCACAGAAAAGACAGTCAAATCTCTGAAAGTGTAAGGTAATAGCAAAATGTTGAGTAAAATAAAAGATACAGAAATGAACAAATATAGCAACTCTCTAATTACAATAACGTAACAGAAGAACAGAAACTTGCTAGTGAAAATCGTGCTGATTCAATAATTGACAGATATGAAGCAAATTAGACATAAAAGTAAATCCAAAATATCAAATTCTTTATTTGAAAAATATTTTATAATACTCTCAAAAAAATATTTTATTTATCGTGTTAGTAAAATTAATTTAAATTTTTTTTTATTAAGAAAACTTTCATAGCAATATCCTTAACCTTCAGAAGCCGAAAAAGAGGAGATTAGAAAACACTAGGAAAGACTAGAGAAGTTAAAATTAAAATATAGATAAAGTTAATGATTATGGTTGTGTCTATTTCATATCGTTTAATCAAGTTTTAATCTTTCAATTCTATTTTGTAATTTAAAATGTTTTAATTAATAATAAAAAATATCTATTTCACCCACAAATTTTCTGAATTTAAATATAAAAAAATTAATAATATTCAATAAAAATAAAGATAACAAATTTTTTTCTTGAAAAAGATTTAACCTAAGATGCGCGTATTTATGAGAATAAATATATATTTTATATTAATTTTATATTATTAGAAATTAATTTACAAATTTTTATCTAAAACATTTAATAAAAATATTTATATCAAGATATAAAAGTGATAATTTTTGATAAAAAACAAACAATATTTTAAATAATCATTTTTTTTTCATGAATTAGACTTTATTGATGAAGATTATAATTATAGAGAGGTACATATTTATATTAATTTTTTGTTATTTACATTTATAAATTTTTAATTAAAGCATAATAATATCAAGATATTAAAGTTATACTATTAGATAAATAAATAAACAAACGATATTTACATAACAAATTTTTTTTATAGATAGATTTAACTAATTATGAAGATATTCTATTTATATTTAATTGAATTTTTTGTTATTTCAATTAAAAAATCTTTATTTAACCTTATTTATATCAATATTTTAGAATAAATAAATGAAAGTATTTGATTAAAACAAACGATATTTTAAATAAAAAATTTTTTTCATGAGAAAGATTCTGCCAATAAATAAAAAGTATATTTAATAGGGGAAATATTTATTTATATAAAATTTTCATTTATTTGAAATATAAAGTTTCTTTATAAAGCACTAAGTAAAATAATTTTTTATTAAACGTATTCATTTTATTTATTTAAAAAATTATTTTGTTTAAAAATTGATAAATTTTTTTTGATATTTCAATTTTATTTTTTGCATATTGATATTGATTTATCAGCATATGATGTTAAAAATAGAAAATCTCCAGAATGAGATATTAATCCTCCAGCTACAATTACATTTGCTTTTTCAGCTGTGAAAAGTTCTGAGGTAATAAGTTAATTAGTTTCTTCGTCTAACTTGACAATATCAACGCCTGCCCAATAAGTTATGATGGATTTATTTCCTGGGTTATACTAAACTTATTATACATTTGGAATCAGATTTTACATATCGTTTTATGAATTTAAAGTTCCAGAAACCAAAAATTAATTCCTAACTTAGTCATAATTAATGTTATCAGCAGCCAATCTGGTATCAATAACCTAGTGAAACTTCAAGGAACCATCCTTTTAGATTTTAAATGAGCGTAACTTTTAACCCAAAGTGTCAGAAATCAAAATAGTATCCTTTTGATCAAATGCTACTCCGTTAACCATAACTCCATTACTTTCTTCTACAATTTTGCATTCAGCTAGCTAATTGATCTTAAATTAGCATTCCCATAGATGAGATCCTCTAATTTTTTTCTCTTAAAACATTTAAATTTGATCTCTTTCTGCTTAAGATAAATGACTAGGTCCTTCAAGAGGGAATGCTATTGGGAACCAGTCAGTCACTAAAAACCTTTGATTGTCTAACACAACCAAGTCATTAGCATCTCCTGTAAATCTTGGGCCTAAATGAGTGAAATATTTAAACACAAGAGATATGTCACCATTTTTACTCTTAACAACTTCAAAAACTTCTATTCTATCTCCATTTGATTTTTCATAGCCGTGATTGCAAACATAGTAAGTGTTTCCTTTAATATATTATCCATGAGGGAAAAAGTTCAATTCTTTTGGGTATCCAATTAATTTTAATTGTTATATATTAAACTATTATGAAGCAATTCCTGTCACAGCGTAGCATCCTCCTTTTTCGATCTGATCTAAAGGAATTCCTAGTATATACATTTTTAAAAGGTTGGTATGACATCCTATCAGTGTGTCTTCATCAAAAAATACTGCATCTTCAGGTCCAATCATCTAGAAATCAGCTTATTGATATTCGCATTCCCCATAATATTTAGTGAACTCTCTTAAACCAGTATCGTTGTTAATACCATAGAACAGAATTCCAGACAAAGCTGATATTATTGTTGCAGTAATAACAATTTTTTTAATCATTAAGAACAATTTAAAATGTATTGTTGTTTTAATTAATTCAAATATAAATTATGATCTCTGTTTTTTTCTAATATTTAAAACTAGCCTTGAATATGATTTATTTTTATTATTTTAATTTAAACTTCAAAAAATAGTAATCAGCTTCATTTATTTCTAATCTTAGATAGATATATTAAAAACCGAGATATTAACTTAAATAATTCTTTTATTATTAAAAATGAATAAGATTAGTTTCATATAAATTTACATTATAAAAATAAATATTTGAACATAATTAATTAAATCTGACAAAATTTATGTAATGTTAAATGTACGTTTAATTTTCTTTAAGATATGTATCTAATATTTATTAATCCATCTTGTTACTTAGTTTTATCAAATTGATTACAAAATTTTTAACATCTCTAACTAATAAATTATTTATTTACTTTCAAATGGTTTAATTAAAATCCAAAAAAACTATAATTTTGAAAACCCTAGTTTTATTAAAATAGTTATTTTTTACTTATATTTAGTTTTATTTTAAAACATTTTAGTTATTTTTCAAGAAAAACAATTAAAAATATGGTTTATTATTAAAATAAGTAGTATTTAATTAAATAAGTAGATATTAGAATTTAACTTTATCTTAAGATAGATTGTGTAAAAATTTAAACTATTTGGCATATTAAAATAACTGGAATTATAAAACTTGATTTCAGTAAATAATAAAGTATTAACAGGGGTGTTAGGGTATGCTTTTTCAACCTTACTTACGGATATTGAAAAAATATATTTTATTATTTATATAATTACATACTCCCTTTTTTAATATTTTTTAATAAAAAAACTCTTAAAATAACTAACTAACTAACTGTATTTTAAAATTGGTTGATAGATTTGATAATTTTAATAAATGATTTTATGAAAATATTTTTGTTTCTTTTAAAAAAATTGGCTTACTAACAAATAAAAATGTTTGTGGATTTACTGATAAAATATAACTAAAAACATAGTTTAATTTTAAAATGTTTTTATTTTAATAATTTATTTCACCATATTCTAATACATAAAGGACATAACTTTTTAATATCATTAGGAAGTTATTCTAAGCAAGAATTATGGCATTTATGCTAATCTTAATCCAAACAAATTTCAAAAATTGATGTTTAGATTTCTTTTTCTACATATTTAGTACAAATCGAACACTCAATTTTATTTTATTATAAGGGTTTTGCAAATATGTAAAGTTCCTACCATTAGATTGAATTTGAAGTTAAGTCATCATTGAGTGGATTGTATCTTGTGTAAGAGTCTTGCGCTGCTATCAATAGAGGAGAAACAACCTACTTTTAACTTCCTTATTCTATTTTTATCCCACTCCATTTATATTTACAGTTTGAAAATCCACAGGTAACCAATTCAATAGAATTTTGACAATAATAGTAGGGACATTTAATTTCATTATATTCATCTTTAATTACCTCAATCGATTTATATCCAACCTTTGATATAACAAGCTTATCATAATAAGGGCATTTTTCATTTTTACAATAACCTTCAATATTAATTCCATCACAAGCAACCCGATAAACTGGAGCATAAGCTGAAAATTCGATCACTTTCTTTGATTTTTCATTTTAAATATCAACAAATTTTTTAGCTGTTACTCCGCCACGCTAACATAAGACTAGATGAATTGTACTCCCATTTTATATATTATAATCAGATAATGTATATCCATTCTCCAAAATTTTACCAGGAAAAATTAGTCTTTATTGATCTGGAGGGATCCCTTCTATATCATAAATTTTATTTTTGATATTATCAATTGTATCAGAGCTATCGTAATCTAGTTTAATTGTTTAGCCACTTAAAGTCTTGACAAACAAAAACTCTTCTTTTTTGAAATACTTTGTTAAACCTTCTTCTGTTTCTGCTTTATGTAAACGCTTTATTAGCTCTTATTCAGGAAACAGTTCATGATAGAGCTTGTGTATATCATCTAAACTGTAATCACTTCTTATTTTTTACAAGGAATCCTCGATATAAACATCAATAATTCCTAATGAAGAGAATTTTTCTCCATTTTATATTTCTAATTGAATTAAAGCCTTATTAAGATTTACCATTTAATTTTACTTGAAAAGATAAGGGAATCTATTAAAATCAAACAATACACCATTTTATTTTAAAGTAAGATTCATATCAACAAAATATTAATTTTCATCAATATAAATGTAGTTTTCAGTGCAATATAAATTTAATTTTTTGTACTTGTTTAGATTATCATCAATTAGTTTTTTTGCATCCAATAAATAAAGCTATTTTAATTTGATATGAAACTATTCAGATAAAATACCCAGCAATTTTTCATTTGAAATGTTATAAGGCAATGTTAAATGAACTAATTCATTATTGAACTCAATATCAATATCGAAAGATATTTATTTTTGACTAAAGTAAATAGGAAGTTAATTAAATTGAGATTTTGCTAATAGTTATTATGAATCAGGAGACATAGCATAAAAGCTTTTAATTGAATATTAATCAATTTCAAAATGCTTATTTTTAGAGGCAAATACAAGATTAGCCTTATCATACAAAGCCTCTAAACTTAAAAAATCATACTCTTTTTCATTGATATTAAGGAGAAAACTTTTACTTGGATTATCAGTGCATAAAAAGAGTTTTGCTGTTTTAGGAAGAATACAACAACAATTATCTTATTTTTATAAATTTTCCATTTATTTTCTTTTAAATATAATTACTTACTTTTTTAATAAATGAATTATATTTTTTACTTTATTATATTATTTATATTATTTATAAATGAGTATGTATCATTTATAGGTAATAAAATTAAGATTTTTCACATATCTTAAATCCCACCTTAAAAGAAAATTTAATAGTTTTTTCTTCTATTTCTATGGTTGATAATTTTTTTTCTTATTTCAGATTCCCTTTATTTAACTATCAATCAGCAGTAGAAATATTTTGAATTTTAATTATCTTACATAATTTACGAAACCCCACTCTTTTTTCTTGATTTTTTTTATTTTTTTGTTAAGAATACATAAAAATAAATGGTGGGTATGATCTGATAATCGTTTTTAATGATATTTTTAATTATTTCTAACAATAGTAAATTTTAAAATATAATTTAACCTTAAAATGAATGAGAAAAATGTGTAACAAACATGCTTACTTTTATATTTTTTAATTTTATAATGAAACTTATGTATGTATATATATAATTTGCTTTTTATATTTATTATAAATTATAAATCTGTAAACTTTCTCTGTAAATCTGTAAATGTATATATAGATAGATAGATTAGCAGTAAAAATTTCTTAAATCTTTATTCTGCTCTTTCAATTTTATTTTTTGCAAACGGAAATTGATTTGTCACCATACGATGTTAAAAACAGAAAATCTCCAGAATGAGATACTAGTCCTCCAGCTACGATTACATTAGCTTTTTCAGCTGTGAAAAGTTCTTCTGTAATAAGTTAGTTAGTCTATTCTTCTAACTTGACAATATCAACACCTGCCCAATATGTTACTAAAGATTAATTTCCTGGGTTATTTTAAATTAATTCTATACTAGCTGTCATATTTTTTGCAAGAACTTAAGAGTCTTTTTCAGAGTTTAAAGTGCCAGCAACTAAAAATTAGTTTCTAACTTTATCAAAATTAATGTTATCGGCAGCAAGTCTAGTATCAATGACCTGATGAAGCTTCAAAGAACCATCTCCTTATATTTTAAATGAGCGTAGCTTTTAGCCTATGGTATCTGAGGTTAAAATAGTTTCCTTCTGGTCGAATGCTACACCATTAACCATCACTCCATCACTTCCTTCTACTATTTCGCATTCAGCTAGTTAATTAATCTTAAATTAACAATCCCATAGATGAGATCCTCTAATTTTAAGAGCTTAGAATGTCTAAATTTTAATTTTTTCTAAATTTGTCAAGTGACTAGGGCCTTCAAGAGGGAATGCTATTGGATACCAGTCAGTCACCAAAAATCTTTAATTATTTAATACTACCAAATCATTCGCATCTCCTGTAAATCTAGGGCCTAAATGAGTGAAATATTTAAATTATAGGTAAATTGTATTATTTTGACTCTTGACAACATCAAAGACATCTATTCTATCCCCATCAGATTTTTCATATCCATGATTACAAACATAGTATGTATTTTCTATAATGTATTATCCATGAGGGTAAAAGTCTAATTCTTTAGGATACCCAATTAATTCTAATTTTTATATCTAGAGATTTTAAGAAGCAATACCAGTCACAGCATAGCAGCCACCATTTTCTATCTCATTTAAAGGAATTCCAATATATATTTTTAAAAGATTGGAATGACAACCTATTAGTGTATTCTCATCATAAAATACAGCATCTTCTGGTCCAATCATAGAAAAATCAGCTTACTAATAGGTACAATCACCATAATACTTTGTGAACTCTTTCAATTAAACATAATTCTGCTGACTACAGAACCATAATCCAAAGAGAGCTGACAATGCTATAGCAGCTAATACAATTTTTTTTAGCATATTTTATTTTTCTATTTTTTATATTTTAATGAATAAATAAATTTAGTATAAATTAGCTATAGCTATTTTTATAAACTAACTAGCAATATATGACTATTTACTTGTTTAATAGTTTAGAAACCAATATAGAATTAATTACCATGGATACATGCATGTTTCCTGAAAAGAAAGAAATTTTTGATGTGGCCAAGAAATCTTATTTGCAAATATGAGAATTGAATTTTTTATTAGATTTTATAAATAAATTTAAAAATGTTACTCATGATTATGTGGAAGACTAGACAATACTTCTTGGGAAATTTAAAATTAGTAATTTTTTTTGAAATAAAATAAAGTCTAATAAATTTTGATTATTTCATTTAGAATAAATAGATTACATTATTAAATTTTTAACACATGATTGTAAATTTATTTTTTCTTTCTTATTTTAATTTTTTTTACTCACCAAAAATAGAAACTAATAATAATATCTGAAGAATTTACAATATTAACTGAGATATGATAGAGAGATAAATAAATAAATAAATAAATAAATAAATAAAATGTAAGTAAAATAATTATTATTAATTTTAATTATTTTTTAATTATTTATTTTTTATAAAAATATTTTATTTCATACAATTTAAATTTGCTATCATAAATAACTATTTAAACTTTCTTATACTTTTATTTAAAAAAAAGATTTATTGTTTAATTTGATAGTGTAAATGAATAATTTGGCTATTATCAATTCTGATAAAATTTCTGTAATCTTAAGTGCATGCATTTTAGAATTTGAAAAAGTTTATTTATTGCTTTTAACTAAAACTAACAAAGAAACAGCATAAAATAAAATTAATTTAATTTTTTATAAAAAAAATATTTCTTATAATTTTATGGTGAATTAATTTTTTAATTTTTCAGTATAAAAGTAAAATAATTAAAAATACAATATTTGACTAAACTCTAATCAAATAAATAAACGATTATATTTAAACTAATAAAATTCAAATATATATATTTAATATGTTGATAGTGAAAACAAATATATTTTTATTTTATACTACTTCCAATAGTTAAATGACTTTATAAAATCTAGTGAAGTGGAATGTATCACTATTTTTTAGAAAGGTCTTTCTTTATTTTTTAATAATTTATTTCTAGGATAAAAATATTTATAATAGATTTATAATCATCAAGTGAGCTTCCATAAAAAGTCTACTATTTTAATTCGATTTAAAAGATCTTATTATTAGAAATAAAAAAGAATTTTTTAAGAATCTCTTTAAACATAAGCATAAGTAATCTTCTTATTTGATATCAAGGACAAAGATCTTGCAAATTTACTTGGCATATAAAGGGCATTCTTTCACTAGGAAGGAAGCATTTATATTTAATCATTATTATTTTGAAAATATTCTTGATTATATTTTGAATATTAATTAATTATTACCTTTATAAAATTAAATAGATTTTGAAAAAATATATAGATGTCTATCTCAAATAAATCAACTATGAATGATTTTTAATATCACTCAACTAAATTACTTTCTTTCAATTAAAAAAAGAAACTATCCAGTAAAATGTTTAAAACGTTTTGATTAAATATTAATTTTAATAAATTATTTCTTGAACCTTTTCTTTTAATTAAATAAAATAATTTTTTTGGTTATAAAATACCATTCTAAAATAAATAAGAGATTCAGTCATTTGATAAAAAAAATGTATTTATTTTTTTAATTATTTATCAAATTCATTCTTATATTTTTTAATACGACATTTTTATTTCATCGTAAAGGAGGAAATATATTTTTAAAATTATTTTAATGATTTTAGAATACATCACAGTTAATAATTTTATAAGTTTAAATCTTTCTAAAAACATTTAAATATTAATTTAAATTGAGAATAAAAATGAGGACTGGCTGATAAAATTTGATAAAAACTTAATCTTATTTATTCTGAGTAGTAATAATCTTTTCTATCTTTAAAGATGATTTAGAAATAATCATTTTTTATCAAATCTGATCTGATAATTAATGTTGGCTAGATTTTTTAATGATGTCTATTCAAACAATAGTTATTGTTTCTAGCTAAGATTTTATTTTTATTAACGAAAACAATCTAAACACTTTCTTTCTTTGTTTGTTTCCTGTTTATTATTTGCATTAAATCATGAATTAATTGATTGATTAATTAATCAAGTCTATCAAAAAGAATAAATAATAAATATCAAAATCCTTAAAAGAATAAAGCAAAAACTACTTTTTTTCCCATTAAATAGATATTATAATTAAGTAAATAAAAATAGTATCCAACTCGCAAATCTTTTTGATAGAAGTAATAAATAACAAAAATATTAATAAATAAACAAACTTTTACATCAATTATACAAAAAAGTAATTTAGCAAATATAAAAATGGAATTAGAGATTAACGAAAGGAACCGTTGGAAAGATATCACCAACATTTTTGAAAGAGATACCTAGTTCAAGGGAGATTTGTTTGAGCCTAGTGATGAGCTTTTAGAAATGTATCTTGAATCAGCTAAAGTTTTAGTTGTCGGAGCTGGTGGTTTAGGTTGTGAAATCTTGAAGGATTTAGCCTTATCTGGAGTCAAGGATATTCACGTTATAGATTTGGACACTATTGATCTTACTAATTTAAATAGATAGTTCCTTTTTAGAATGAAGGATGTAGGTAAATTCAAAAGTCAAGTTGCTGCTGACTTCATCATGAGAAGGTACGTGTTCAATTATATCTCATTACTGCTTTAAATAAGTTTGCATCATACTTGTTGACTCATTTTTAATCAATTAATTATTATAGAGTTCCAGGATGCAAGGTTACTGCCCACATCGGAAAAATTTAAGAAAAAGACGATGAATTCTATAGACAATTTTAAGTTATTATTGCAGGTTTGGATAACGTAGAAGCTAGAAGATGGTTGAATTCTCTTGTCCATGGCTTATGCTAATTTGATGAAGACTAAAAAGTTAAAATTGAAACATAAATCCGTTTAGTCGATGGAGGTACTGAAGGCTTCAAGGGCTAAGCAAGAGTAAATAATTAACAAGCATTTTTAAGAAAGCCTAAATTCAACATATTTTCTTTATCTTTTTAAAGCAAAAAATAAACAAATTTCATAAAATTTTCTTATTCAGAATGAAATAAATTGTTTATTGATTTATTTGATCTTTAAGATTGATTGAAGCACATAAATTATATCAACATTTAAAACAAAAATAATCTAAATATGAGAATGGAATAAGAGCTAACTTAGCAAGCAAAATAGAATTTAATAAATTTTTAATTGTTTGAGTTATCAAATCAATGATAAATAATTTATTTAGCAAATCAATAAATTATTCAGAGGAGGATATTTTATTTTGAATAATTGAAAAAATTTTTATAATTTATTGAATTAAATGACATTTAAAATTTTGAAATGAATTGATTAATTCTATTTCGTATCAAATAGCTTATTGTTCCTTATGAAACTGCTTGCTACGAATGCACTTTAGGAACTTTACCTAAACAACAAAGTTACAACTCTTGTACTTTGGCTAGTACTCCTAGAATTCCTGAGCATTGCATCATGTATGCTTATCTTCATGAATGGGATTTAGCTTTCCCTACTAGAAAGGCTGACAAGGACAGCATGGAAGATATGACTTGGATTTATGAAACTGCTAAAAAGAGAGCTGAATAATTCAATATCAAGGGAGTCGACTATAACAAGACTATTGGTGTTGTCAAAAATATTATCCCTGCTATTGCCTCTACTAATGCTATTATTGCCGCTTCTTGTGCTAATGAAGCTTTCAAGGCTTTCTTGCAACAATCTCTCAATATCAAAGATTACTTCTAATATATGGGAAATACTGGGTAAATACTTATTTTAATCAACAATTAATATGCCAATTTGTATGTATTAAGCTAGCTCAATATTTTAAAAGTTTCTTATAATTTTTAAATCTTTCTTTTATAATTTAATTTTAAACTTAATTAAATTTTAACAAAAAAATAAATAAATAATTATTAAATTAAATAAATAAATAATATTTATTTTATTAAATTGCATAAATTAGAGTTTCTACATTAACTTTCCCCTATGAAAGAAACGAAAAATGTATTGTCTGCAGCAGCTTACCTCAAACAGTGAAAATCAGCAGAAGCACTAAATTATAAGAATTATAAGATTTACTTAAAGAAAAGCCTTTCGAATTAACTGATCCTAGCTTGACCGCTGATAATGGTTCTATGTTAATTCCTGTTGTCATGAGAAACTAACATGCTGAAAAACTACCTATGAGTTTTACTTAACTTATCGCTGAAGGTCATTACTAAGAAGGTCTTATTATTCACGTAACTGACAAAAAGCTCTTTGCTCCTGCTAAAATTCAAATTCATTTCACAGATTGATTTGTTATCAGAATAATAAAATATTTATTTCTGTTTTATTTATTTTTTGTTTGTTTACATGCATGCAAGAGATTAATTATTTCTTTTTAAAGTGATTTTATCCAAGTTGAATTAAATTTAAAGAAAGTTAATAAATAATATCACACTTAATTCATTTCATCTGATAAAATATGGTCAATTAGTTTTTCTGCTTGAATATTTTTTAATTAAAAAGTTATCAATTTCCCAATTATTTATCTTGATTAAATTTCTTTCTTTTTTTCCACTCACACAAACTTCTTCAAGGAAAAAGAAAATAATATAATAATTAATTAATAAGAAAAAATTATTAAAAAAAAAAGGTAAAAGTATATTTTTTTGATTAGACTTTATCTAAGTTTTTAAAGCCCATATCCTCATTTAAAGCAAAAAAACAATGCGATATAGTCAAATCAACCTTATTTGCTAAATGAGATTAAACACAAAGTTTTTAAACAATCGATTAAAAGATAATGGCCTAGTCAAAAAATATAATTTTACTAATAAATGTCTATTTAAAACAAACATATTAATGGTTTTAAATTAGACGATTGTTAATTCAAAAACAAAAAAAATAAATAAACAAGATATAATCTTAAAATTCTTTATTAGTATTCTAAAATGTATAATTAGTATTTTTTAAATAAAACTCGAAGATTATAAAAGAGAAGCATAGAGACAGATAGACAGAGATTTGAGAATGTGAGGAAAAATGACGTTTGAGGAACTATTCAAATAAATAATTTTTAAAGAAAAAGAGGAAAAATCAAATAATTAAAAGCAAACAAAAACTAGACAATAAAAATTAAAAAATAAATAAATTAAATTAAATAAAAACAAATAAAAAAATAACTAAATAAATAAATAAAAAATACAAATAATAAAAGATAAAAGATAAAAAATATTAAGATTAAAAACAAAAATAAATTAATAAATAAAAACAAAATCAAGAATAAAAAATTAAATTTACAAATAAACTAAATTTTCTATTTTTTAATTTTTTTTTTTTTAAGAATTATCTGATCTGAAAATACTAAATAAATAAATAAAACAGACAAAGGAATTAAAATTTTCATTTAAAATAACAATATAAAGTTAAAGTAATAATATATATATATAAATCAAATATTTTTAAATGTTATTTTTGTAAAAGAGTATTCCAGCCAGTTTTTGTAAAAATTTATAGTAAGAATAAATAATATATATAAAAATAAATAAATAAATAATTTACTAACTAACACATACATTTGACTCAAAAGATAATTACAGAAAGTATTTATTAATTATATAATATAAATAGTTTTTTTATGTATTTAAATAAGTAAATCAAATTTTATGTCAGACAACTAAGACTGAGGTGTGGAAATATCCACAGCTACTTTATTTTACATTTAATCCGCTAAGTTTTGTTACCTTGGTAGGCCTTTTTTTGTTTTTAATTGTTAATAATATTTTTAAAAAGAATATTTTACTGTTGATAATCTTTCTCAGAGTCACCAAGACCAAGCTGGTCATAGAAATTGAATCCCCAAGTATATACTTTACCGTCATTTGTTATTGCTACAGCGTGTCTACATCCTGTTGAAACAGAAGTTATTTTGAAATTTTTAAGCGATTCTATTAATTTAGGCTCATATACATTTTGATTTGTTTGTATATCTAAATGACCTAACCTATAATACGAACCCTTACCAAAAGAATATACTTAGCTTTACTCTTTTAATATAAAAAATATAATAAAAAATCTCTTAAAATTACAAAGAAAAATAAATGCATACCATTTATTACTAATGTAAAGCTATCGCCACAAGATACTTAAATTGCTTTATTTTTCTTGTTGAAGAAATTGACTTTGTTAAAGTAACATATTCTATCAAATTAATCTTAATTTTCTTATTGTTCTTCTTCAAATTTAGAATATTCACTCATTTCGTTGCTATTTTTTTAAATCATCAAACTATTAGGAGTATCTTCACTTATAAAACTGCCTAGTTGACCTTCATTTCCAAGGCCACTTGTATATAAATTTCCATTTTCTATTAGGATGTAAAAGATTTTTTTGTTTTTAAAGAAATTAAATTAAAATAATTACTTGTTATCACAGCAGAGTGATTGACACCTAAAGATGCCTTAACAGCATTATAATCAGAGCCGTATTCCTATCTTAAAAATTCAAGCTCAGTTATACAAGGCAAAAATTAGTTTTAATTAGTTTTATTCATTAATCTATGGTCTATATTACAGCCAAACATCATGAAAATACCTTCTGAGGTAATTACTGAAGAATGACTGTGACCTGCATTAATTTAAGTTACAAAATACCCTTCTAGTGAGTTTATAAATTAAGGACTATTTTGACTTTAATAATCACCCAAACCAAGTTATCCATCTTCTCCAAACCCCCATGAAAAAACTCGTCCATCATTACTGAGTGCTAAAGTATGCTACCATCCACAACCAACACTGACTATGGACATCTATTTTAATTTAATTTTTTTATTGAATTCATTAAGTTAGTTACTTATAAACCTTATTTTTTCTTTTTTCTGAAAATAATTTTTATATTTATCTCATTAATCGTTATTTTTTAAAAATAATAAAAATTAAAGAGCTTAAAAATAGTAATTTATATAAGTTCTTAAAGTTTGCAGTAATAATATGTAGATAAATATATATCTATTAATGTCAAATAATTAAAAAATATATTTTTACCTTGCTAAAGAAATTGACAGGTGTTGGTAAAAGACAGTTTTCAAAACTAGAATGTCCTTTTAATAAATAAATATTTATTGAAGAATTTAATAAGATATAAAAATTTACCTAATTGCCCTCTATTTCCTCTACCCCATGTAAGAATTTAACCTTAATTTGAGATACAAGCTGAATGGTGATAGCCAAGACTCACTTAACAGGCTTAAATATTAGGTATAATTTGTGGGAATTTAAAAGGTTTTTCTCCTTCTATTCCTAATCTACCATCTTTACCATTACCCCATATGTAAATGATGCCATTATATTATGGCTTTTAGAGGGTTATTTGACTTTCTAATTCGTTTTGTATCCTATTTGGTTCATTTGATCTTGTAGAATTGTTTTGCTAAAAAAAATTTATAAATTTACAAATAATTTTATAAAAATATTTATTTAATGTAAATTACTTACATTTATAATAAATTAATCGAATTTCGGTGTTTTAAAAAGTGCCTATTGCTGCTTATTAGCTTACAAAAACTTTTAACTGTTTATATCTTTTCTATGAAGTGAGTTGTCTCCTGCTTTAGACATCCCACTTTAATTAATGCTAGACGCATAACTTGAATCGTATTAAAGAGAGTTTTCTGTTTAACTTTCATCATAATTTCTAAAGTATCCAGCTTCTTTAAGATTACCATTGCTTAATTTGTACACTTCTTAATTGTTATAGGGAATGCTACCATACGAATTTCTATGAATACAGTCTTCGATTTGCTTAATAGTAGCAATATAAGCTTATTCCAGATGATTCTTTTCTTATTCGTATATATGTCTTAAAATGGTTAATTTGCTTTCATGATCTTAAGTGATTTCTTACAAAAGAGATATAGAATTATAACCAGAAATCTGTTAATTTTTGATGACACTAATTTTTCTTCTGTAAAAGAACTCTAGCTCATTTCTATATTTTTCATATTCATCATCATATTACTTCTAAAGCTAATCGTATTGATTCTTAAGAGAAAATAAAATAATTTATATTTATTACTCATTCATACTTTCTTTAAGCTCTAATTAATTTATTATATCCATAAAGCTATATTAAATATTTCTAAATAGCTACTTTTCTTCTATTTTTTATATAAGAATCCTTCCACTCTACAAAACTTCATCATTTTCTTCCTCTTAATTACTAGCGTTTTGCTTTCTTTAAACTTATTTATCTAATCCCTCATTAGCTGCCTAGGACCCTTTTTTCTAAAAATCTTTATTTTCCCAATTCTATTAGCTGATGCTATTGAGAGTGCTCAAAGTCTCTACGAAAGATTTTATTGGTAAAAATTATTTCTCTTCTTAGCATATTTATTTAACAATCTGCTTAATACCCTCTGAGTATTTATTTTATAATGTGTACAATTCTTTTCTATTTTTGTAAGTAAATAATTGGTTTATTTAATTATTAATAAAAATTTCAAAGAAAATAACATTTTTGTAAATTTTTATAAAATTTTGATTATCTTGAATAGATAATTTTATTTATTCTTTAAACATGTTTTTTGTTTACTTAAAAAGAATAAAATTTCAATTAAATAGAAATATATTTTGATATTATCAAAGCTCAATTTACTGATAAAGCTATGCTATCTTTTTACTTTCAACATAGAAGTATTCCATTTCATGAGATATATCTTGAGTTTTTAACTGAAGAGCTTCTTTAATCATAGGGATTACGAGGTTAATAGCATTTTCTAAAAATGTCTACTCGTTGTTAATATTTTTTAATAAGCTATTTTAAAGCTTATCTTAATGGTTTATTGATGCTGGTTCTTAATTCGATTATTAAAGTAAATCATTCCCCTAATAAATAATTATAATAAAAAATAAATAAATCAATTAATCATAAAGGAATTTGATTTGTTTTTTAATCTAAATATTAGTTACTGAAGTTATTTTTTATCTCTTTGAATCTTATTCTAAAGCTTCAGATTTTTTTCTTTCTAAAGTGATTGAATTCATCAACTCATTCAGTTCAAAAGACATATCTGCCATTTTATTCTGTAGCAAAGAAATTTCATTTTTTAATTGAATGTTTTATTGTGAAAGAGTTTGATTTTCTTTTAGTTGCTGTTCATATTATTTAGAGTTTAAATAAATATATATTAAATAGCTATAAATAAATTAATAAATATATTCTTACTTAGCCTAAATTTTCTTCTAATTTTTTATATTCATTGAAGCTAACAGATTAATTATCACTAATGTCATCTCCAATTTCATTTATTATTGGTTTATTTTATATAATTTTAGCCCTAGTAGCAAATCTTAGTGTTGATAAAGTTTAATTAAAATTGCAAACTGCAGGAGAAACACAACAAATAATTGAAGTAAATGAATTACCACCCAAAGCCTAAGTTAATATTCTTGTTAGTTTAGAGTCTCTATAAGGGATATGTTGTTTTTTACCTTCTGCTAACTTATTTATGCAATTCGCTAAAATAAATAAACTTTTATTAATATAACCAGTTTCTCCTAAAGTATTTGGGTTAAAATCTATTTCAGATAATCTCTCTGATCCAGCTAGATCAACTAGATTCTAATTTATATAAAAAATTTATTAGTTTTTATTTAATTGCATTTGTTTTAATCTCTAAATTAAATTTATTTAATATTTAATTTTTAATCAATAACAGAACATCATTTAATCGTATCTTATTGTTATATTTATTTAATAAAAAATAAAATTTTTTTTCAATCCTTAAAAATCAATGAAACAAAAATTCTTTTTTTTAATTTATTTAATATAGATCGATCATTATTGGAAAATCTATTTAATTCTTTTATGACCATCAACCATACTTGTATTTATTTTTAACATATTAATAGATTGCTATCTTTTATTGAGGAATTAAGCTAAATGAAGTTTTACTGTAAATAATTTATTTATTTATTTATTTTTAACTTTTAATGAATTGATTTTATTGAAAAAATAAAAAATGTATTACCAAGCATGAATACCTTGTCTTTTTGTATCCAGAGTTGAGGTCTTTACTAAAACTTTCCAAATACTATAAAATATGATGGAAAAAATTAATTTAGGTATGAATGAATAAAAAGTTAATTAATTAACAATTAAAAAAATATTCTTTACTATTTTGAAGACTGTGTGAGACCTAGAAGAGTGCTCATGGATTGATGTCTCACGATATTTTCTATGCTCTTCGCCATAGTTCATCAAGACAATAGCCTATTCAAAATTCCAAACTCTTTGCATTTTAAGTCCTTGGACAATAGTCCCCCACTTTGAATCTTCAATAATTTTAAGGTTTTATTGTTAGGGAGCCAACAAATCATTAATATTTTCATTATAAATTTCCATATAACTAACCCAAACATTAAATTCCTCATTAGCTTATTTTTAAATTAAATTAAACATATCTCTTATACTACAAGGTAGAATACCAGGGTTTTCTGGTTAACCTAACATAGTAAACGTTTTTCCTGAAGTAGTTTATCCATAACATAATATAGATCCATGATAACCTTCTAAAACAGAATTGATGATATGTTTACCCATTTTATTATAAATAGTTTGAGTTCTGACTTCTGGTCCTTCCATGTTATCTAATTTTAACATCAATTATTATTAGTTACTACTGCCAATTATAATTATACTGAATATGATTAAATCCAAACAGATTTTATTTTAAACCTCTTAACAAACAGTAAAAATGTAAATGTTTTACCAAATGTAAAAAATATTGAATTATTCCCTGCTTCGATTAAGCGCTTTCTATCTTTTAAAGACATGTTTTCAGTAATTTCATTATTTGTCACTAAAGAAGATTTCTGATCAATTAAAGAATAAATTTATTAAGTTTTTTTATTTATATCCCAGGCTTCTTCGTCCTCTTAAGGTCTTAGAAGAGGCCTTAGTCTTATGCAGACTTATATACATTCAGAAGCTCTGTTAGAATTTACAGAATTTGCTAAACTTTTTTAAGAACTACTTCTAATGGGTTTCATTATTTTAGTGCTACTTTACTTACTATTTTTTTAATTGAAAATATTGCTTATTATTTGTTTGATAATTCTAAACAATTGCAAACTATTTAATAAATTTGAATTTTTTATAATTTAAAAGAAATTTTGCAATTCTAAAATTAATCTGTTTTTTTTGTTTTTGAATCTATTAATGAATAACAAATATTTTATAGAACTTTTAAAAAATCTAGCTAGATTATATTGATGATAAATTAACTAACTAACTAGTTAATTAATTTAATAAAAATTAATAAATAATCATTTCAATAATTTTATAAAAGAAAATAATATTATTTTATTAAAATTATCTTTTTAAAATAAATATGGTAAGAGAATTAATTATTCTCAAAATAAAATATATAAATAAATATATAATTGTTTGTCAATTAGGATATATTTTTATTTCTTTTTAAATAATTAATAAATGAAAAATGGTGATATTAAAAAATTTATTAAATTACTTAGGTGTTTTATATTTCAACTTTAAAATTAATTATGAATATTTAACCTAGATTATCTTAATAATACATATTAATATATAGCAAATTATTAACAATAAAATTAATGTAATATAATATTATTTTATAAAAATCTAAAACATGATAATGTTTAAAATATTAAGCACTGATATAAATAAAAAATTAAATAAATGAATGACAGAATAATATTTTAATATATTTCTAAAATGTAAAATAAAAATAAATAATTATTATTATTAAATAAATTATAAAATAACTAATATACTTCCGTTTTTATTTCAGCAATATATTACAAATAAGGAGTTAATTAAATATGAATTTTTAAAAATCTTTTAAACAAAATATTTTTTATTAAAATTTATTTAAATTATTATAAACTACATACAAAATACATAAATATATATAAAATACTATTATATAAATTTATTTAATATTATATTAATCTCTATTACAAAAAAAAAAAATCTGTAATTAGCAATATTCATACTTTAAAAATTTTATATTTAGAAAGAAATCGCTTTTACAGATCATCTATTCCGCCTTACTATTATGCTTTTTTAAAGGTTTATAATTTCAAAATAGACCAAATACATTCAATTAAATTTAAATCGGCACCCTTTGGTGGCCAATAAAGGCAATTGATTCCATTTCTCACTTTCTGTTTTATTTAAATATCCACCCTTATTAGGAATTAGAATAAATAAGAACCAAGAAAATCTCTGATAAATATTCTAAATTCTTTTTAACATCTCTCTGTTTATTAAATTAAATATAAATTATTATCATTGAAGAAATTTTTATAAGCTTTACTTATTAATTAATTGAAAAATAAAAGTATTTTAAAAGAAGAAAGGAAAAAAAGTTTATATACACTCTCATATTTAAGCTTATCTAATAAAAGATGGATACTTTTAATAATTTAACGGGATAATCAAAGAATATTTATCATAAAAGAGAAGATGAGATGAAAATAGCGGAATCCATTTATGTTCAATCATTCTTGAGAAATCAGTAGCAAGGTAGTAGTGATATTTTTTAAAAAGTGGAAGAAAAAGTTAAATCTATCAACCCACATTTGAAAGGGATAGTTAAGGAAGACTTAATGCTTTCAAGCTGCTGTACTCTAACTAAAAATGTTGTGAACTAAAAATCAGAAATAGTGAAAAAATTAGAATAAGAGTCTTAATATTATATGGATTAGAAGATTTTAAATATATAATAAAAAAATTAGCCTTTAAATAAATTAAATTCTTAAGACTAAAAAGATATTTTGAAAGCTGCTTTATTCCAATACTTCAGATAGGAAGGTTGTTAAGTTTAAATTACTAGTAATATCAACAACGATTAAACATACGCCAATTCTTACTAGTCCCAGCTAGTATTAACTGGGTAAACAGATAAACTTAAGTATCTTTAAGTGGGTATTAATGATCAGTTTTATACTTACTAAAAGATTGTTTCAGACGATGTAACAAAAAAAGAAGTTATTTCAAAATTCTTAAAGGCTACTTCAAATCAATATGGAGTTTCTAAAGACCGTATTACTATCTTAGACATATAATAAGGCTGTTAAAGTATGGTCAATTTTATTTTTTCAATCAAAGGCTTAAAAACTGATCAAATATTTAAGACTGCAATAGACTAATACTAAATAGAGTTTCCAAAAGCTTAAATATCTGCTATGGCTAAGTCTCTAATTGATAACTATTAGATCAGTGATGAATACTTGGATGAGAGGTTTAATATGTATTGGGGCGATAGTTACAGTACATAAATAGACTACAGAGGATCTCTTCCTAGATAAGGCTACGGCTCAGTACCTTAAAGATACTATTTCCCTGTAGGCTTTTAAGGTTATGGCATTAACGTATAGAAATGGCTTGCAGTAGATTAATCATGGTTTGGTCAAAGTAAAGATAAAAATGTATGGATTGTGCTTTATCATGCAACTAATGAAAACGGATTAAAAGGTATTTCTTCATCTTATATTAAACCTGGATTAAATAATGCTTATGGAGGAACATAATGTAGGTTAACAAATAAAACAATTTTAAGTGGAGCTGGGGCTAATACTTACTTCTCAGATCGTGCAAGTGGACCTAATTCATCAGAAGGCTATGGAGGAAAAATATAATTGGGAAATAAAAATTATATTATAATGTTCTAATGCAGAGTTAATCCCATTCATGTAAGAAGTCCTTATAATATGGAAAGTTACTACACTGTCGAATAAGAATATGCAAAATAAAGTGTGAGGCCATACAGAATACTCCTTAAAGAAGTTTGAAACATTAAAATATTCAAAAAGGATATACATAATAAAGTGACAGGACCTACCTATATAATCCTCAATGAAGAAGTTTTAATTTTTTAAAATTACCTACAATTTAGTTATTATATATAACTGTTTGAAGTATTTATTTAGATCATGAATGTTTTTTCTGGTTTAAAATATCAAATAGAAATATTTAGAATTTATTTTTTTATTTTTTTTATTTTTAATATAAACTTAAATTTTGTAGAAATAAATTTTAATTATTATTTAAAATTTGATTAAATAAAATCATATAAAACTAAAAAATTAATAAAATCTTAAAAAAAATAAATAAATTTGTTACATAGATAGATAAATAGTCTAAAAAGAATTTAGAACTAGTTTTTATTCCGCTTAGTGAAATTAGTCTTTCTATTTGAACACACTTTTTGTTAAAATTACAAAATAGGATATACTAATTAGCTTTATGGATTATTTTATATTATTCTTCTGAATGCAAGTAAATTATTCATGGTAAATTGTTTTTTCTGTACTCCATTTTAAAAAATCATTTGTCAAATACATTTTCAAAATAAATTAAATAAAAAGATAAAAATTCTATTAAAAAAAAAACAATTTTAAATAATTTTAAAAATAAATAATATTTTTTTATTTTTCTTTCTATAAATAAAATTCAAATACATTTCTTAATATAAAATTTAAAATAAAGTATACTCTATTATAAATAGAGATAAACGAAAAAAAAAAAGGTGATCAACAATAGTTACTACTGCCAATTATAATTATTCTGAATATGATTAAATCCAAACAGATTTTATTTTAAACCTCTTAACAAACAGTAAAAATGTAAATGTTTTACCAAATGGAAAAAATATTGAATTATTCCCTGCTTCGATTAAGCGCTTTCTATCTTTTAAAGACATGTTTTCAGTAATTTCATTATTTGTCACTAAAGAAGATTTCTGATCAATTAAAGAATAAATTTATTAAGTTTTTTTATTTATATCCCAGGCTTCTTCGTCCTCTTAATGTCTTAGAAGAGGCCTTAGTCTTATGAAAACTTATATACATTCAGAAACTCTGTTAGAATTTACAGAATTTGCTAAACTTTTTTAAGAACTACTTCTTACTGGTTTCATTACTTTAGTGCTACTTACTTACTATTCTTTTAATTGAAAATATTGCTTATTATTTGTTTGATAATTCTAACAATTGCAAACTATTTAATAAATTTGAATTTTTTATAATTTAAAAGAAATTTTGCAATACTAAAATTAACATGTCTTTTTTGTTTTTGAATCTATTAATGAATAACAAATATTTTATAGAACTTTTAAAAAATCTAGCTAGATTATATTGATGATAAATTAACTAACTAACTAGTTAATTAATTTAATAAAAATTAATAAATAATCATTTCAATAATTTAATAAAAGTAAATAATATTATTTTATTAAAATTATCTTTTTAAAATAAATATGGTAAGAGAATTAATTATTCTCAAAATAAAATATATAAATAAATATATAATTGTTTGTCAATTAGGATATATTTTTATTTCTTTTAATTAATAAATGAAAAATGGTGATATAATAAAATTTATTAAATTACTTAGGTGTTTTATATTTCAACTTTAAAATTAATTATGAATATTTAACCTCTTTTATCTTAATAATAAATATAAATATATAACAAATTATTAAATAAAGTTAATTTAATATAATATTGTTTTATAAAAATCTGAAAAAAGATAATTTTTAAAATATTAAACACTGATATTAATAAAAAAATTAAATAAATGACAGAATAACATTTTAATATATTTCTAAAATGTAAACTAAAAATAAAAATAAATAATTATTATTATTAAATAAATTATAAAATAACTAATATAATTCCGTTTTTATTTCAGCAATATATTACAAATAAGGAGTTAATCAAATATGAATTTTTAATATAGCAATAAATAAACCTAATTATTTTAAATATTTGGAAATAACTACATATTTATTAAAACAATACTTTTAAATCTTTAAATTTATGACTGTAATTAAAATTGTTTAACTGAAATTAATTTGAATATCTAAATTTAGATAATGACTGAATTAGGGAAATAATCTCTTTAGTTAAAAACTATGAATTTTAAAAAATATACAAATTAATTTTTTTTCCAAAAAGTATCTTTCATTAAAAAATGGATTATTTTTTTAAAAACTGTAAAGTTTGCTAATAATAAAAGCTTCTAAATGGTTAATCTATAAATATAAAATTTTCCTTTTTTTTGAGGAAAATATTGTTTAATAATTTATTATGATGTTAGTTAATATAGCTAGTCAAAGGCCATCACAAAGATTTTTAATCCTTCATTATAGACTTATTCTAGTAATGTCTAATAGTAGGATTATGGGAGAATTACTCGGGTATTAATTCGATAACTAACTACTCGGTTTCTGGTTATTAAAATATATTAAATATATGGTATTTATTAAAATCTTTATCCTTTAATTTTAGAAATTGATTGATTTAAATTTTATATAGGTACCCTTTTTAGGAATTAGAATAAATAAGAACCGAGAAAATCTCTCTTAAATATTCTAAATGCTTTTTAACATCTCTCAGTTTATTAACTCAAATATAAATTATTAGCAATTAAGAAATTTTGATAAACTTTATTTATTAATTAATTGAAATAAAAAAAGTATTTTAAAAGAAGAAAGGAAAAAAAGTTAAAAAAACACGCATATTTAAGCTTATCTAAGCAAAGATGGAGGAAAAAGTAAAATCAGGTATTTCACATATTAGTAAATAATAAACAGAATAAAAAGAAAAAAAGAATACTTTTAATAATTTCACAGCATAACCAAATAAAAAAGAAGAATATGGTATTTCTTGTCATATTAAAGATGGTAGTAAATAAAATAATCTTTTGAATTATTTAACTAATATAAAAAAAGAAGAATCAGACATTTCAAATCATACTAATTAAAAAACAAAATAAAGAGAATAAAATACTTTTAATAATTTAAGTTCATATCCATAGAAAAGTTATGATAAAAAAGAAGAATAAGGTATTTCTTGTCATATTAAAGATGGTAGTAAATAAAATAATCTTTTGAATTAATTAACTAATATAAAAAAAGAAGAATCAGACATTTCAAATCATACTAATTAAAAAACAAAATAAAGAGAATAAAATACTTTTAATAATTTAAGTTCATATCCATAGAAAAGTTATGATAAAAAAGAAGGATAGGGTATTTCATGTCCTATTAAAGATGGTAGTAAATAAAATACCGAATAAAATTAGTAAAAGAATCATTTTCATGAATAATTACCTAAAAATTAAGATCAAAAAGAAGTATCAGGTATTCCAAATCATAGTAAATATGGAGGTAAATAAAATACAGAATAAAAAGGATAAAAGAATACTTTTAATAATTCAATGGGATAACCATAGAAAACTTATCATAAAAATGAAGATGAGATGGAAATAGCGGAATCCATTTACAAACAGCAATTCTTGAAAAATAAGTAGCAAGATAGTAGTGTTCTTTTGTAAAAAGTAGAAGAAAAAGTTAAATCTATCAACCCACATTTGAAAGGGATAGTTAAGTAAGACTTAATGCTTTCAAGCAACTATACTCTAACTAAAAATGTTGTGAACTAAAAATCAGAAATAGTGAATAAATTAGAATAAGAGTCTTAATAATATATGAAGGATGCAAATTAGAAGATTTTAAATATATAATAGAAAAAATTGCCTTTAAATAAACTAAATCCTTAAGACTAAAAAGATATTTTGAAAGCTGCTTTATTCAAATACTTCAGACGGGAAGGTTGTTAAGTTTAAATTACTAGTCATTTAAAAAATGATTAAACATGCGCCAATTCTTACTAGTCCCAGCTAGTATTAACTGGGTAAACAAATAAACTTAAATATCTTTAAGTGGGTATTAATGATAAGTCTTATACTTACTAAAAGATTGTTTCAGACGATGTAACAAAAAAAGAAGTTATTTCAAAATTCTTAAAGGCTACTTCAAATCAATATGGAGTTTCTAAAGACCGTATTACTATCTTAGACATATAATAAGGCTGTTAAAGTATGGTTAATTTTATCTTTTCAATCGAAGGCTTAAAAACTGATTAAATACTTAAGACTGCAATAGACTAATACTAAATAGAATTTCCAAGTGCTTACATATCTGCTACGGCTAAGTCTTTAATTGATAACTATTAGATCAGTGATGAATACTTTGATGAGGAGTATAATATGTATTGGGGCGATAGTTACAGTACATAAATAGACTACAGAGGATCTCTTCCTAGATAAGGCTAAGGCTCAGTACCTTAAAGATACTATTTCCCTGTAGGCTTTTAAGGTTATGGCATTAACGTAAAGAAATGGCTTGAAGAAGATTAATCATGGTTTGGCCAAGATTCTGATAAAAATGTATGGATTGTGCTTTATCACGCAACTAATGAAAATGGATTAAAAGGTATTTCTTCATCTTACATTAAACCTGGACAAAATAATGCTTATGGAGGAGCATAATGTAGGTTAACAAATAAAACAATTTTAAGTGGAGCTGGGGCTAATAGTTACTTCTCAGATCGTGCAAGTGGACCTAATTCATCAGAAGACTATGGAGAATAAATATAATTGGGAAATAAAAATTATATTATAATGTTCTAATGCAGAGTTAATCCCATTCATGTAAGAAGTCCTTATAATATGGAAAGTTACTACACTGTAGAATAAGAATATGCAAAATAAAGTGTGAGGCCATACAGAATACTCCTTAAAGAAGTTTGAATCATTTAAATATTCAAAAGGATATACATAATAAAGTGTCAGGACCTACCTATATAATCCTAAATGAAGAAGTTTTAATTTTATTAAAATTACCTATTATTTAGTTATTACATATAACTGTTTGAAGTATTTATTTAGATCACAAAATATTTTTTTCTCGTTTAAAATAGCAAATAGAAATATTTAGGATTTATTTTTTTATTTTTATTTTTAATTTTAACTTAAATTTTGTATAAATTAATTTTAATTATTGTTTAAAATTTGATTAAATAAAATCATTTAAAACTAAAAAATTAATAAAATCTTTTTTAAAATAAATAAATTTGTTACACATATAGATAGATATTCTATAAAGAATTTAGATCTAGTTTTTATTAGACTTAATGAAATTAGTCTTTCTATTTGAACACACTTTTATTTGTACAAAATAGGATATACTAATTAGCTTTAAGGACTATTTTATAATATAATAGGAAAAGCGAGGTCTATAACAAAGCTTTTTTACATATTATTCTTTTGAATGGAAGTAAATCTTTCTTGATTTGTTTTTTCTTTAATCCATTTTAAAAAATCATTTGTCAAATACATTTTAAATATATTTTTTTAAATCAGCAAATACATCCTATCTTATATTTTATAAAAATAATTTTAATTTAAATATTCTAAAAAATCGTTTAACTAATTTAATTTTGGTATCTATTTATTCATGAGTGCTTGAGTTTTAAATATTCGGAATCATACAATAAATATTTTATATTTTTTTTTTAAGAATAAAATATATAAAAAAAAGATTTATTTTTCTCAATAATTAGAAATAAGAATTATTAAAGTAGCATCATAATTAAAGCATAATCATTGATAATAATTATTCTAATTTTTTTTCAATATCTTTCAATTTATTAACTCAAATATAGAAGTTTGTTATGATAAATTTTATTAATTGTAAAATTAAAAGTATTTTAAAAGAAGAAAGGAGATAAAGTAAAGATACGCAAATATAAACTATTCTGAGAAAATATGGACTCTCTCAATAATCGTTAAAATAACAGCAGAAGCTATTAAAGAAACTAAAGAAATAATAGAAACGCTTACGGTATAAAACCATTTAATAGATAAAATAACAATAGAAATATGAATAGATCTAATAACCTTCGTTTAGAAAATAAAAGTATGATCTAGCCATAACTTAAAGAAGATACATCATACGCAAAAATAATAGGACCATGCTGCTTTTATGAAATAAATAAAAACACCTTTTTCTCAGTTTTGATGAAGCGTGTTGCTTAAAAATTTCTTTCTGTAGACTAGAAGACAAATAAATTAATAAATGAGATTATGATTAGGGCTTAGGGTAAAGAAGAACTAAAAAAGCTGAGAAAGATATTATTCTTATTGTCTGATAGATTGAAAGGTGTGTCTACAATATTTAATAAATGCTTCACTCGTATGATGTTTTCAGAAGACAGAAATAAAGCTCCAGATTACAAGCTAAAGAGATGTGTAGAAGTAATTTTCATAAAGAATCCAACAGATACTCAAAAAAATATGAAAGGATTTAGGAATCCTAAACATGAAGGGTAGATCATCGATTATGAAGAATATAAGAAGACTTATAATTATAAAAAGGAATTAGACAAGGAAATTGAAGAGAAATAAGAAGACGAGCTGTAAATTGCGGAAGCCATTTTTGTCAAGTCGTTCTTGTAAAATTAGTAGCAAGATAATACAAATGATGTCTAAAACATTGAAGAACAAAAGTAGGATTTGTAAAAATAAAATTAATTTTAAAATGAGGAAGAAGAAGAAGATTAGGATGAAGAAGAAGAAAAAGATGAAAGCAGTGACGAAGAAGAAGAAGATGATAACGATGAAGATGATTTTATGGTAGAAGAAATTGAAGAGACTAAAAATTATTAGAATATACCAGAAAAGGTTCTTTTTGAAAAAGTAGAATAAAAAGTTTAATCTATCAACCCACATCTGAAAGACATAGTTAAAGAAGACTTGAGGTTTTCATGCAGCTATACTCTAACTAAAAATGTTGTGAACTAAAAACCAGAGGTAGTGTAATAATTAGAATAAGAGTCTGATTAATTTATGAAGAATGTAGCTTAGAAGATTTCAAATATATAAAAGACAAACTAGCCATTATATGAATTAGATTCTTCAGACTAAAAAGATATTGTGAAAGCTGCTTTATTTCAACACTTCAGACAGCAAGGTTGTAAAGTTTAAATTACTAATAAAATTAATTAAGATGAAACATACGCCAATTCTTATTAGTCCTAGCTAGTTTTGACTGGGTAAACAGATTAACTTAAGTATATTTAAGTGGATATAGATGATAAGTAATATAATTACTCAAAGATAATTTCAGAGCCTGCAACAAAAAATGAAGTTATTTCAAGATTCGTAAAGGCAACTTCAAATCAATATGGAGTTTCTAAAGATCGTATCACTATTATAGACATAAAAAAGGGACTAAAAAATATCATTAATTTTATTACTTCAATTGAAGGCTTAGAAATTGATCATCAATTTAAGACTGCAACAGATTAATACTAAAAAGAGTTTCCAAAAGCTTAAATATCTTCTGTGGTTAAGTCTCTTATTGATAACTATTAGATTAGTGATCAATACTTTGATGAGAGGTATAATATGTATTGGGACTCTGATCACGATGAATTAGTCACTTACAGAGGATCTCTTCCTAGATAAGGCCAAGGCTTAGTACGTTAAAGATACTATTTCCCTGTAGGCTTTTAAGGTTATGGCCTTAATGTATAGAAATGGCTTAAAGAAGACTAATCATGGTTTGGTCAAAATTCTGATAAAAAAGTATGGATTGTACTTTATCATGCAACTGATGAAAAAGGATTTAAAGGTATCTCTGAATCCTATATTATGCCTGGATATCGTAATGCATATGGAGGAACAAAATGTAGGTTAACAAATAAAACAATTTTAGGTGGAGATGGGGCTAATAGTTACTTCTCAGATCGTGCAAGTGGACCTAATTCATCAGAAGGCTATGGAGGAAAAATATGTTTGGGAAATAAAAAGTATATTCTATTATTCTAATGCAGAGTTAACCCCAATCATGTGAGAAGTCCTGTTGATAGGGAAACGTACTACACTGTAGAAAAAGAATATGCATAATAAAGTGTGAGACCATACAGAATTCTCCTTAAAGAAGCTTGATAATAAGATAGTTCACTTATTGTAAGCAGAAAAGTAATAAAAAAATATTTATATAAAACTATCCAAACAGAATATACATAATAAAGTGTAAGGGCCTATATAAAATTGAAATACATTATTTTGTTAAAGATATTTTTTTTTGGTTTAAAATAGTAAATTAAAATATTTAATTTTTAATATATATTAGCTTAATTTTGTATAAGTTAATTTTAAAAATAAAATCATTTAAAACTAACAAATTAATATTTTTGAGTGAAAAAATTCACAAAATCTCAGATCTTTTTTTTTGCAAATTAACTGGTATTCTACAGTAAATTAGTTTTATGTAAATTTTAGAAATTTTTGTAAAACTCAAAATCTTCTAAATAATCTATCCAACAGATAGATATTAGTATTATTTTTGTATGGTGCTAATTCAATTATCGTATCTATTAATAAATAAATACTCGAGTTTCAAATATTCGTAATTGTACAATATTATATATCTTTTAGATAATAATAATAAATATCAAATAAAAGATATTTTTTCTCAATATTTGAATACAAAAATTATTAAATTGGCATCAAAGATAAAGCTTAATCAAAGATAATAATTATTCTAATTGCATTTCAATATCTTTCAATTTATTAACTCAAATATATTAGTTTTTATAAATTATATTAATTAACTAATTGTAAAATTAAAAGTATTTTAAAAGAAAAAAGGAGATAAAGGTAATATATATACATATAAACTAATCTGAGAAAAGATGGACTTTTTCAACTTTGGTTAAAAAGACAACAGCACCAATAAGATAAACTATTTAGGAAATAGCGGCTTGGGCTAGGGTAAAAAGCCATATAGTAAAAAAAAAAAATAAAATAACTATCCTAAAAAGTAGAGACCAAATAAACCTCATTAAGAAATTCAATCTATGATCTAGCCATAAATTAAATAAGATACATCATATGCAAAAATAATAGGCCCATGCTGCTTTTATGAAATAAATAAAAACACCTTTTTCTCAGTTTTGATGAAGCGTGTTGCTTAAAAATTTCTTTCTGTAGACTAGAAGACAAATAAATTAATAAATGAGATTATGATTAGGGCTTAGGGTAAAGAAGAACTAAAAAAGCTGAGAAAGATATTATTTTTATTGTCTGATAGATTGAAAGGTGTGTCTACAATATTTAATAAATGCTTCACTCGTATGATGTTTTCAGAAGACAGAAATAAAGCTCCAGATAATCAGCTAAAGAGATGTGTAGAAGTAATTTTCATAAGGAATCCAACAGATATTCAAAAAAATATGAAAGGATTTAGGAATCCTAAACATGAAGGGTAGATCATCGATTATGAATAATATAAGAAGACTTATAATCATAAAAAGGAATTAGACAAGGAAATTGAAGAGAAATAAGAAGATGAGTTGCAAATTGCTGAGGCCATTTTCGTCAAGTCGTTCTTGAGAAATCAGTAGCAAGATAATAATACCAATTATATCTAAAACATAGAAGAACAAAAGTAGGATTTCCAAAATTAAAATTAATTTTAAAATGAGGATAAAGAAGAAGAAAAAGATGCAAGCAGTGACGAAGAAGAAGAAGATGATAACGATGAAGATGATTTTATGGCAGAAGAAATTGAAGAGACTAAAGACTATTAAAATTTACCAGAAAAAGTTCTTTTGTAAAAAATAGAATAAAAAGTTTAATCCATCAACCCACATCTAAAAAACATAGTTAAAGAAGACTTGAGGTTTTCATGCAATTATACTCTGACTTAAAATGTTGTGAACTAAAAACCAGAAGTAGTGCAATAATTAGAATAAGAGTCTGATTAATTTATGAAGAATGTAGCTTAGAAGATTTCAAATATATAAAAGACAAACTAGCCATTAAATAAATTAAATTCTTCAGACTAAAAAGATATTGTGAAAGCTGCTTTATTTCAACACTTCAGATAGCAAGGTTGTAAAGTTTAAATTACTAATAAAATTAATAAAGATGAAACATACGCCAATTCTTATTAATCATAGCTAGTTTTGACTGGGTAAATAGATTAACTTAAATATATTTAAGTGGGTATTGATGATAAGTAATATACTTACTAAAAGATTGTTTCAGAACCTGCAACAAAAAATGAAGTTATTTCAAGATTCGTAAAGGCAACTTCAAATCAATATGGAGTTTCTAAAGACCGTATCACTATCTTAGACATATAAAAAGGTTTTAAAAGTATTGTTAATTTTATTACTGCAATCGAAGGTTTAGAAATTGATCATCAATTTAAGACTGCAACAGATTAATATTAAAAAGAGTTTCCTAAAGCTTAAATTTCTTCTGTGGTTAAGTCTCTTATTGATAACTATTAGATTAGTGATCAATACTTTGATGAGAGGTTTAATATGTATTGGGATCCTTACCACAGTACTATGGTCGATTACAGAGGATCTCTTCCTAGATAAGGTTAAGGCTTAGTAGCTTAAAGATACTATTTCCCTGTAGGATTTTAAGGTTATGGCCTTAACGTATAGAAATGGCTTAAAGAAGACTAATCATGGTTTGGTCAAAATTCTAATAAAAACGTATGGATTGTACTTTATCATGCAACTGATGAAAATGGATTTAAAGGAATTTCTAAATCTTATATTAAGCCTGGATAAAATAATTATTATGGGGGAACAAAATGTAGGTTAACAAATAAAACGATTTTAGATGGAGCTGGAGCTAATAGTTACTTCTCAGATCGTGCAAGCGGACCTAATTCATCAGAAGGCTATGGAGGAAAAATATATTTGGGAAATAAAAAGTATATTCTATTATTCTAATGCAGAGTTAATCCCATTCATGTAAGGAGTCCTGTTGATATGGAAAGCTACTACACAGTCGAAAAAGAATATGCATAATAAAGTGTAAGACCATACAGAATTCTCCTTAAAGAGGCTTGAAATATTTAAATACACAAACAGAATATAAATAATATAACGTATTGGCCTCTATAATTCTCAGTATAGAACTTTTAAATTTATTAAAATTATTACTTAATATTTAGTTATTACTTATAACTATTGGAAATACTTATTTAGTTCATTATGTTTTTTTGGTTAGAATTAATTTTTATTCAGTTAAAAGTGAAAATTAGTCTTTCTACTTGACTGAACACACTATTTTTTTTTTTTTTCAAAATTGAGGATATATAGTAGCCCTCCATCAAAAAAAAATGGTGGAGGACCTCCATATAAATAAATAATTGAAAGTTAAGGGGAGTGAGTATTGAAATTTAATTTTATAAATTATTTATGTGTAAATTATATAAAATTCTTAAAAAACTCAAAATCTATATATCCAACACTTAGATATTGATATTATTTTAGTAAGGTTTTTTGTATGATGCTAATTGAATTATGCTATTAATTTTTCATAAATATTCTAGCTTCAAATATTGAGAATAGCACAATATTTTTAAAAGTTTTTTAGATAAGAATAAAACAAAAGATTTTTTTTCTCAAAAATTTTGCACAAAAATTATTAAATTGGTATCAAAGTTAAAGCTTAATCAAAGATAATCAATATTATTATTTCTTTTACTCAACTTTTAATAATTAGTGTAGAAGAAGATTAGATAAACTTTATTTATTAATCAATTGATTGTAAAATTAAAAGTATTTTAAAAGTATAAAGGAGATAAATTTAAAAAACGCATAAAAAACTAATCTGAGAATAGATGGACTCTTTAGACTTAAATAAGAATTTAAACAGCATCTAAAGTAGTGACCTGAGTGAAAATAAAAGAATGGGTCAGGGTAGAGAGCCATTAAATAAGAGCACCTTCTCAGTTTCGATGAACAAAATTGCTTAAAAACTGAGAAATATATTCTCCTTATGTTTTGATAGATTTAAAGATAAGAAAATTGACAAAAAATAAGAAGATGAGCTGTAAATTGTGGAAGCCATTTTCGCCTAGTAGTTCTTGAAAAATCAGTAGCAAGATAATAATATCAATAGTGGCTAAAACATGGAATAACAAAAGTAGGATTTCAAAAATGAAAATTAATTATAAAATAAGAAAAAAGATGAAGAAATGCACGCAAGCAGTGACAAAGAAGAAGAAGATTTTTAAAACAAAGAAATTGAAGAGACTAAAAACTATTAAAATTTACCAGAAAATGTTCTTTTGTAAAAAGTAGAAGAAAAAATTTAATCCATCAACCCACATCTGAAAGACATAGAAAAGGAGGACTTGATGTTTTCATGCAGCTATATTCTAACTAAAAATGTTGTGAACTAAAAACCAGAAGTAGTGCAATAATTAGAATAAGAGTCTGATTAATTTATGACGAATGTAACTTAGAAGATTTCAAATATATAATAGAAAAACTAAACATTAAATTAATTAGATTCTTCAGACTAAAAAGATATTGTGAAAGCTTCTTTATTCTAACACTACAGACAAAAAGGTTGTAAAGTTTAAATTACTAATAAAAGTAACAATGATTAAACACATACCAATTCTTATTAGTCCCAGCTAGTTTTGACTGGTTAAACAGATAAACTTAAGTATATTTAAGTGGGTATTGATGATAAGTAATATACTTACTAAAAGATTGTTTCATAACCTGCAACAAAAAAAGAGGTTATTTTAAAATTTGTAAGGGCAACTTCAAATCAATATGGAGTTTGTGAAAAAAATGTCACTGTCTTAGACATATAAAGAGGCTTTAAAAATTCTGTTAATTTTATTACTTCAGTCGAAGGTTTAGAAATTGATCAACAATTTAAGAATGAAATAGATAAATACTAAACTGAGTTTCCAAAAGCTTAAATATCTTCTATGGTTAAGTCTCTTATTGATAACTATTAGATTAGTGATCAATACTTTGATGAGAGATTTAATATGACTTGGAGTCCTTATCACAGTAATATGGTCGATTACAGAGGATCTCTTCCTAGAAAAGGCTAAGGCTTAGTACCTTAAAGATACTATTTCCCTGTAGGTTTTTAAGGCTATGGTCTTAATGTATAGAAATGGCTTAAAGAAGATTAATCATGGTTTGGCAAAGATTCTGATAAAAATGTATGGATTGTTCTTTATCATGCTACTGATGAAAAAGGATTTAAAGGTATTGCTTAAAGCTATATTATGCCTGGACATCGTAATTTATATGGAGGATCTATATGTAGGTTAACAAATTAGATAATTTAAAAAGGAGCTGGGGCTAATAGTTACTTCTCAGATCGTGCAAGTGGACCTAATTCATCATAAGGCTTTGGAGGAAATATAAATTTGGGAAATAAATAATATATTCTAATATTCTAATGTAGAGTTAATCCCATTCATGTAAGAAGTCCTATTTATAAGTAAAGCTACTACACAATCGAAAAAGAATATGCATAATAAAGTGTAAGACCATACAGAATTCTCCTTAAAGAAGCTTGAAATATTTAAATTAATAATTAAAATATCCAAAAAGAATATGTATAATAAAGTGTAAGGTTCAATATTATCCTCAATAAAAAGTTTTAATTTGTAAAAATTCTTTAACATTTAATCATTATTTGTGATTCTTTGAAATACTTTATTTAGTTTATGAATTTATTTTATGGTTTAAAATAGCAAATTAATTTTTAATATTAACTTAATTGTGTTGCTTAAATTAATCATAAATATTATTTTAAATTCTAATAAATTAAATCATTTAAAACAAACAAATTTATAAAATCATTTAAAAATAAACAAAAAAATAAATAAATTAGTTTGATAGTCTAAAAAGAATTTAGTATTTCTATTTGAATAAGCTTATTGTTCAAATTACAAAATAAGATATATTAATTAGCTTTATGGAATATTTTATAAATAGATTAATTAGATTTAGAAATATTTGCGTATTTTATTTGTAGAATTTATTTTAAATTTAATGATATTGATTTTTTTCTCAAAGCAAGGTGTACTTTTGAAAGTAGGATTAAGATCAAATCGTAATTGCAAAATAAAAAGATGTATTGTAATAAATAAAATATTGAATTTAAAAAAATAGGCAGATTGTTAGCAAGTAGAAAGGTGACTGGTCTATCAATCAATTGATGAATTAAAGATTAGTAAAAATTAAGTAATTGAGAAGCATCGAGTAATATCAAGATTTAAATGAAAATTTAGAGTGTAATAAAATGAGATAACCAAGCAAATTTTAATATTAGAAAAATCTTTGTATTTTTATTAAGAAGATTGATAGATAGTCAATAAATCATTAATCGAAAAGGAAACCTTAAAGTAATCGTAAAATTTAAAAAAGATAGAGTTTTAAAAATTAAAAATAGTAGTAAATACTAATAATAACAGAAAACAAAACAAAAAAACAATGTTTGCTTGTTAATTTATTTATTTATACATTTAACTAATTTAAGTGGTAAAAAGCAGAGATTTTAACATTAATTTATTATATAAGTAAGAGAGAAAGGATTTTGTAAATCTTTGCAGTAATAGAATTTTTTTAGTATATTTCGTTTTTACTTTTTGCTATCAACTAATGAACAGAAAGCATCACTCAGGGGTGAACCCTAAGCTTTATTCTAACTTTTTTTCATCGCATGAAACTTGACAGTAATGCCAGATAACCTCACCATTACTTAGATTTGCGAATTTTTTGTAGAGCTTAAATACTTCATTTTCAACTATCCTAGGTTCATGGAAGTAGCCTTTTGCTATTAGTGTGCTTCCGATAGCGAAGGCAAATGAGAAATGAATAGCGTTCTTATTAATATATCCCCTATTTATAAGCGAGTTGTAAAGCATTTCGAGTGCTCTTCCTCCTAAATACATTCTCCATGTGTACCAGTTCTTTTTGTTTTCGAACATCATTCCAATGAAGGCTCCAAGAAAGCCTGAAACAAATGAATTAAATCCATCCTCTTTTTGTCTGATCCTTCTAAGCAGACATTATGCTAGCTTCATTAGCGAGTTCATTAAAGTTATGAAAAGTGGGAGACGGAAATCGCCATCACACAACAGTATTTTGTACAAAGTTTTAGGTAACTGTTGCAAGCTTTTTTTGAGACTGAAAAGCGTAAAAAGGGTATTAAGTGAAACTCTCAAGCCATACCCGATTAAAAAGGAGCGCTTGACCTCCTTCAAAAAACTTTCAAAACAGCTTCCTTCATGCTTACAAAATTAAGTCTTTGATTTCATAAGAGTATGCAAGATATGTTAGGGCTTTTCATGGTCTTAGTTGCTCATTTCAGTCTTTTAAGTAATAAGTTTTGCTTTATTTCTTTGTTTCTTTGTTTTTTTTTGCTTGGTTGCTTTTTTGTAGTGTGCTACTTATATGCGAATTATATTTTGAAATTCTTTCTGAGTTGCTTTTTTTATATAATATTATTATTGTTTAATTCAAATTTACTATTAAAATAATATATATGGTATTTCCAATCAACCAAAAATGAAATTTTAATATTTAAAATAAAAACTAAATAAATAAATATTTAGTTATTTAACCTCAGTTGTGTGGGTACTATTGCAGAAATTAAGTTGCGATTCAACTAGCTATTATTGCATGCAATATACGCCTAATTTCATAAACACATTTCCGAAAAGATCTATTTAATCATTTTTCCAAAACAAAAATCTGTTTAATTGTGTTTATTGCGTCATTTACCAATGTTCAAATTTTCTTTTTTTCTAAATATTTAATTTGAAAAGTAAATTTAATACTAATAATACGAAGTATTAAAGTTAATATCTATCTTAATCTCCTGATTATTGGTCTCAGAGATATTAGTGATATCATTTACGTAATACATATGTAACTATACAAGTTTTCTTATAATTTACTAAAAGATTCAATATCAACTTTTCAATACTCACAAGATAAAAACCACAATTAAAACAGAATATGCTGAATCATCTCATCCAAAGCTAATCAAATTATTGCTTTATATCATTTTAAATGCATAATTCGAGAAAATTATATTGGCTAGCCACACAAACAATAATATATACTAATATATATTTAGAATTTATATTGCTTATTTCTATGAATTAGTAAGTAACCACATAAATAAATACTACTAATAATGAAAGTATATATAAAAAGATTCAATTTTTTAAAAATTATAAGAGAATTTCTAATTTTAGAATTTATTTCATAGATTAAATTTTCATTAAAAAATATTTTTAAAACAAATTAAAATATTTTCAAGCAGCTAAAAAATAATTTATATTGGAAATAATTTAAAAAAAGCAATCAAATTGAAAATTAAATTTACATTTACATTTAATTTGCTTTATATTGATTGATAAGATTAATTATCTCCTTTTTTATCTCCTTTGAAGTATTTGTAATTTATTAAAACTATGTACTTTTGTATTTATTGAATAGCTAATTAAAAGTGTCTTTAATTTTAATTTCAAGAAGAACATAAAGCAAATTAAAAATTTTACTGATTGATTAGTATTTTTAAAACCTATTTTTTTACCACAATAAATAAATTTGAAATTCATAAAATATTTTAATATTAATTAATTAATTTATGAAAAAATAAATTACTTTTTCTGAAATAATAATTTTGAAGAATATTTTATTTATTTTTAATTTATTTTTTTAAAAACATTATTAAAAAAATTATTTCATTAAATTTTTGTTCATGAAATATTTAGACATCAAAAAAAGAAAAATAATTTATATTTATGGGAAATTTTAATAATTATTTTTCAGAAGATATTAAATTTATTTAAAGACACATTAATAATAAATTAATTAATTAATTAATTAATTAAAGGATTTATTAGTCGAAAAAGATATTTTAATTATTTTTCATTCTTTTTGTAATATAAGGTTACGATTGCTTAAAACTCCAATGCAAAATTTAATTGCTTGAATTATTTATGGCTATTTTAGATATATTTGAAATAAAATTTATATCCAATAGAAAATAATCTAAATAAATTACATAATTTGGCTGACTTAGTTTAGCATAATTTTAAGCATTTAATTAACGAATTGCGGTTAAAGATATAACTGTTACTTAAGCAAATCAACTGTAAATAAAACAAATAAAATCTTAGTTAAGTGTTTCAGACTGTAAGTAAACAATACTAAATATAAAAAAAACTTACAGCTAATTTAAAAAACTTCTCAGTTAAATATACTTGTTTGCATGTAATAAGGTAGATTTATCAATGTTAAATTTTATAAATACTTATCAAATATATTTATTTAAAATCATTATATCTTTTTCAATAAATTTTTCTAGCAGGTACGTTTTTTTACATGTCTCTTTAAAAGTATAATTCTGATCAAATATATTAGTTATTTTAAGGTTGGTTAAATTGATTACAATATTTTACAAATTACCTTTATAAATAAAGTAATTAAGGGATATAATTTCCTTTTATCATAAAAGACAAAGTGTAACAAAAAATAGATGTGAGTCAAATTATTAATTTGTAAATTAATTAATAATGTATTTGCGTTTTTTTTTTTTTTTGTAAGAAGAATCTATTAATCTACGAGAAATAATTAATTATCGTTGCTAGAATAGCTAAATGTTTAATAAAATAATCCTGATTTTAGATGAAAAAATGCAATTTAATGTTATAGCACTATAGTTATAGAAGAAAAATTCAACCAGTAAATTATATTTCTTATTTTTATAATCTAGACTAAAGTGCAAAGCTTTAGAAAATAGTAATTAAAATGTTATTCATAAATAAATATGTGAGTGTATTTGTATATTACTAATGAATAGTCAAATTAAACAATAATTGATTAAAATTTTCTACTAAAATTTTATTAAATTTAAATTTGAAAGTAATCTAAATTATTAAGGAGTTTTTGATGTAGGAGGATAACACTATATTTAAACTAATAGACAAGACAAAAAATAACTAAACAAATATAATTTATATCTGTATGTGTATTAGTGAGTAAGTACACTTGCACTCTCTCACTCTTAATAAATAACTAGCAAAAGAAAAATAGAGTAGACAGCTAGTTATATTAAATGACTGGCTTATATATAGAAAGAAGATTTTTAAGGAAAAAAGGAAGAAGTAGTATTAAAATAAATATGATATAAGACTGCTTTATAATTCATTCAAAAGTTGATTGTTATTGCTTTTATTATTAATAAATTAATTAGATAAGAGATCGATCAAAGTATTTATTTATTTATTTAGATCAATATATTACAAGAATTTTTTATTTATTATTGTTATAGTTGTTTTTTATTTATTTATTTATTGTTTGTTTGCTTCCTCTTTTTTAAGTGGAAATATCCAAATATTTAAATTTTTTAATTTAATGGATGAATTCTTTACTTAATATTTAGGAAGAACGGAGTTAATTATTTAAAATTAGCAGTAAGGTTGTATGATTGAAATTAATTAGTGCGCTAGAATGGCTGGTTCTAAAAAAAAAGTTATTTTTTTTAAATTAATACTATGACAGTCCAAAGCATGCTCGAAATTAAGCAATTTCTACTTTTAAATTTTTGAGCTAGCTATGTAAAATCAATATTCAGGAAAATTATATTTAAGATTAAAGTCTTCATGATTTATATGAAATATTTTTATTTTGCTATTGATTGAGGTTATTAAATTAGCATTTCATTTGAGCTTCTCTTCCTGCTGATTCGTCATAGTATACATTCATATTTTTAGTCACTTCTGTTTCGAACTCTTAGAGGCATTCAAGCTATAACATTTTGCTTGCCCAGAAGAGACTTGACAAAGCATCGTGTATTTCTACATCGTTTGGATCTTCCCATAATTTTTAAGACTTTTCTTATATAAAATCAGCTAATTTAATAATCGTGTTATAGCAGTGTATTTCGTTTGATTATTAAATATTTTATACGGAAGATTGATTTTGATCTATTGAAATATGAGTTGAGGATTATTATCTGCTAGTAAGATGGTTGTTTGAGTTTGAAGAAGCAACTGTTTGGCCATATTTTTTGAGATATTCTTGCATCTTCTTTTGTATTTTAATCTTTTCTTACTCCATTTTGTGTTTGAGAGTAATGCATGCCTCTTCAAGAAGTACAATTTATTGAATGGGATCCTAAGCGGTGTCAGGGTTATGGAAGCAACTGACGTATCCCTACTTAGCTGATTATTTGTTTTTGGAGTTTTTGCAATCTTGCTTTTTATTTATAGACAAGGAGAAGTTATTTTTTTACGCCTCAGAAACCTCTTAGAAGTGTTCTGAATAAGAGGAATTTTAGTCAATATCAACTTATATTTCGTTTTGGGAAGGAAGAGCATATTTATTCATGCTTTTTTCAGGAAGAGTGGAGGCTGTCCTTCTTTTTTTTGCAGTTAATTTATATTACTTGGCAGTGCAGGTACCCATTAAAAAAATTAAAACTCTACAAGTATGTATTTATTTTTTAATTAAGTTTATAATTAAAATTATAATTATTATTATATGTATGTATGTGTGTGTGTGTATGTATTTAGGCTGACTTCTATTTTAATTAGTTTTTTTTGCTTCTTTTTATTTGTTTGTTTTTCGGTATCAAATTTGTTAATTAATTAATATTTATACGATTAAACAAATGTATAGATCTAGCTAGCTAGCTAATGTGATTAATATTGCTTGATTAATTGACTAATTTATTTATCTCTTTATAAATAACCAATCTTTTGAATATTTCTATCTATATTCTTAAATTACCCAAAGATATTAATAGTTTTAAATTTTAGTTTATTATTTCCGATTTTACTTTTCTATTTAATTTTTTTGTATTTTATTGATTAATTTTTTATCAAATCTCTCAAGTTACTTACAAACTAATTTTCTTTGCAATTTTACTATTTAATTTTTAGAATCTCTCTTTCTTTCTCTTTCTCTCTCTCTATCTTTTTTCTTTTTACATTTTGTATCTATTTAATTTGTTTACATTTTCCAATTAATTCTTTGCACTCTAACAAAAGTAGAAGAGAAGTGAATAGAGCTTACTTACTATAAATAATTCAATGAAGTAATATTTTTCAGTATGCTACAGAATTCGTTATCAAAACTTTAATATACATTAATATCACTTTTAATATATTCTGAGGCTTGATTCTAATTTTCAGACTAGTCAGGTTGCGAATTAAGATAAAAATATAACTATCGCATAATAAAATTTTTTCTTTTGCTTAAATAAAGAAATTATTCCAGCATTATTTTCAAAGAATCAAAATAAGATTGTAAATATGAAATCTTAAATAAGGAATTTCAAAATATTTAGGATCTTTTGGATCAAAAGGGAAGTTCTCTGAAAAAAAATTAACAAACAGAATATTGCTATTTAATTGATGGTAAAAATTTGTAAAATATTACAAAGATAAAAAGAATTTTAATTACCCGAAGCCCTAAGCAATAAATTATACTATAAAAATTTATATTCAGCACAGCCATCAAATAAATAATAATAATATCAAAAAAAGAATCAATCAATATATTTATCAATACCTTAGTTCGTATTGAATAACCAGATTTAGATAAATACTTGATATAAATTATTCAAAATTTAAATCCCCACTTTACTAACTCACTAACTTAGACTTTATAAAATCTCTTTGCATCAATTTTCATACTCATAATGCAAAAAGCTGATTCTCACCACTTTAATATTATTATTGTTAAATAATTTAAAAAGAATCAAAAATACTAAGTGTAAAATCTTATTAATTTCAATGCGCAATTACATAGAAAATAAAAATATGTTTTTTAGCCTGTTTTTAAAAAAAACTCACAAAACACAAATACAAATTGGAGAATTTAAATTTTACTATTACAGTTAATTTATTGCTTAATTAATTATTTTTCTAGGCAGAGTTATTTTTTAAATAAAAATCTATTGCTTTTTACCCTGTATCTCAATTTGTTTGTTAGTTCAAATCATGGAATTGATAAAATATAATTTAAATAGATACTCAAATATTATCTGATACTAAAATTTATTTCGCACTAAATTTAATTTTCTTTGATTTTTCAAGGTTGATTGCAAAACTTTATAAAAGCAGGAGCATTCTCACCTTAAGAGAACTTCGTTTTCAGTTTCTACTAGAATTCTTTCTTCAAATACTTTAGGAATTTAGCCTGAGTTAACTCTTCAGCTGAATTTTCTATTTATTATATTGTATATTATAGTATAATGCTACAGTAAGTGGTGCCGTACATATTTACTTAGAATAGAGTAATTAGAAAACTGATTCCCAGCACAAACTAATAAATTTTAAAAGTTAATTGAGAAATTTAAATTTTCTCTTTAGAAATTAAACGCAGTGCTAATTAATAATAATTACAATTGACGTAGTGGTGTAAGAAGAAATAGAAGAACTAGCGTATATTAGCCTCAAAAAAAGATAGAACAAAATAGTTATGATCATACATATAGAAATGTTCATTTAATTCTCAAATATCTCTGACATATCGACTAGGCTCTCTATCCATCTATTCTTGTCTAATATTTCATTTTGGAAATGCAATCCTGATTCTACAAACTCTTTATTTTTTCTTGCATTCTATATTGAAAAAGGGATTTAATTAATAAATAGTGTTTAAATTACACTTATTTATTTTTTTAATAAATCTTTAATTCGAGTCTAAGTCAATACAAAATTTGCTTTATTAAAATTAAACCATTCAAATTCTTATTTATTTTTATCAAATTAAAAGAACTTTTTGATGAAATTTCATGTACTCGTTTTATATGGTTTGGAGGTAAAAATATTTTTAATCTGTTTTGAAATATCTTTGTTAATTTTATCTTATCTATTTTGAAAGCTTACACTTTTAAAAGTGATTTCCAATCATTCTCAAGAGTAATTTTAATTAATTTCTTACTATTTTTGACAAATTTCACCTCATTAAAAAATAAATTTCATCACTAGTAATTTGATTTAATTTGTAAGTTAAATAAACAACTTTTCTTTAATAAAGGCCAAAATTCTTTTTTTTAACTTACATCTATATAGGCGTACTTTGTGTAAGATTTTAACTCGGTGCTCTGGTAAAAATTACATATCTTTTATTGCATTCTCCTCACGCAATTTAAATCTTCAATTTTATTTTTTTTCAAATACTCCTGAAAATTATACTAATATTTTGATAAAATATAGATCCATTAGCTATAATTTACCGAATCGAAATTAATTCAAAATATTATTACTTCTAATAATTCTAGTGGTGTCCTAATCCAGTCAGTAAAGCCAATCAAAAAGGCTCCTATTTTTTAAATTAATATTACTATCAGAAATTTATATTTTATAATCATTACTAATGAATGCTATTTTATGTAAATAAATAAAAAACTTTTCTAATGGAATAATATATTCTGATAATTAAATGAAATATTTAATCACAAATACAATTTTTTTTTTTTTTCCACAAATTTTTACTTTATTAAGTTAACATAAAATACACTTTTAGCTTGAAAATTTATTTTTATAGTAAGCTATATATTATTACTTAAAAATTCGTTGTAATATCAGAGGGAGGGAAAAAACGACAAACATCAGATAAAAGTCTTTTCAAATTTTAAATGCTCTTAAACTAACAACAACAAAAATTAAAATCTTACCTTTAATAATTGTTCCCATTCTTTATGAGAAAACAGTCTAGAGCAGCTATTTAAAATCATATTCTTGATAGTTGTCTAATGTGTGGTAAGTTGATTATAAAGTGATATATTCACATGTTTATATTATAATAGAGATCATCCAGATAAAGATAGGGATAATCAATATATTCAAAATATAAGGTTCAATACCTCTACGGACACGGTCAAAAGGCGATAGATATATATTCACTTCTATGCTTACAATAGAAAAGATATTTCTTTCTATAATAAACATAATCAAAAATAGAAGAAGTGTTACAAAGAAAGCAAATACTGGAAGAAATTCCAAGTATTTACGAGCATTTATTACTTCTGGGATATTCTATAATTTACAAACAAAAAAAAAGGTATGTTAATTATTATAAATTCTGCTGCTAACCTTAAAATATATCAATAGAAATAATTAAAATTTTTTGAAATTAAAGAAAATTAAGCAAGCAAACAAACAAATAAAATTTTTGCATTTTTTATCAAGAAAGTTTACACTAAATATCTTTATTCTTATCTCATGGTTCTTCATTGTTTCATTTGATACTTGATCTTTCACAAACACTAAAAATTAATAGAAGCACATAATGGAAGCAAATAGATAAAAGACTAGTGAGGAATTCTAGCTTGATGTATATTAATAAGCGTCTGATGATGTTGAAAGTACTTGTGTTTTATTTCTAAATTTTTTAGTAATATGAGACTATGTAAACGAAAAATAAAAATAAAGTTACTCTGGAGAATCAAAAATTATATGAACGAATTTGTTAAATAGGACAACTCCTAGTATAAAGCATCCAACTGCACTCAAAAAAAACACTATAAAATAGGTTATCCTAGCTATTTTATCATTGTCTAAGAAGTACTTTGAATAGAAGCTGTTAGTATAAAAATAATTTTTTAAAGCTATTTTATTAAAAAATGTTACATATAAAATAAAATAGTAGTTTTTTTATTTTATACTTTTAAATATCACAACATTCATTTTTATAATAATAAGAAGAAGAGCCAAGAAATTACTTTGATAATTGTAACTAAATAATTGCATCAAAATATTTATTTGTTTATTTTTAATTTATAGATCTAAATTAATCCTCAAAATTTTCATAATTTCTATTTTTCTTCAGTAAATAGTAATGATTAATTTAAGGAATATTTATAGCATTAAATTTAATAGATCGAATTACTCCAATCTTATAAAATCTAAAAATAATTGCATTTTATTCTTTAAGTTTAGTTCTAACAAATTTGAGCGAATTAGTTAGTGGTTTTACTTAATTAAAATTTAAGCTTATTCCTCTCTTAAAAAAGTTATTTTATTTTAAATTAACAGAACAAATTTAACAAAATCTAAAAATAGTTGAATTTAATTATTAAAAATTAGTTCTAATCAATTTGAGTAAATTAATTATTTCACTTAATTAAGTTCTAAGCTCATTTCGATTAGATATTTGTTTATATTACTGTTTAAAATAACAGAAGTAATTTCTCTTATGCTTAGCACTCGCCTAGTAAACTAAAAAAAGATATAATGTAAAATTATTTGCCTTACTTCTAATAAATTTTAACAAATTAAAAGTTTCACTTATTAAATTTCTTTGCTTAAATTAACAGAAGTAATTTATATTTCTTTAAGATAAATTTAACAAATAGAACACACAATTTTTTCTAAAATTTTATTATTCAAATTTAGCTCTAATAAATTTGATTAAGTGAAAGCAGTTTCATTTATTAAATTTTAATTTTACTCATAAAGCAGTAATATTTAAATTTCTACTAAAATTAGAAGAAGTAGTTTCTTATTTCTTTTTGAATGGCTTAAAAAACTAAAAATAACACTATTCATTATTTTATGCATTTTACTTTGCAAATATTATGATTTCTTTATAGTTGGTTTAATAAAAAATGAGAAAATCTTTTACCTTAAAAGCGTGCATGATATAGTAAAGAAAATAATTAGAGGTAAGGAAGAGGTAATGTCATTAAATATCAAATCAATTTTGCCAATTAATAGCTTTTCTCTTATGACTTCAAAATATTTATTATTAGCTGGCAAGCACACTTTGTTAAGGTCTTTTAGATTTATTTTAAATAATATTATTAGTTTTTTAATCGATTATTAATAAATTAAGAAATCTTAATTAATTTTCAAATTATTTTTGTTTTTTATAGGGAATAAATGAATTCAACATTTTTTTAAAATTTGAAATATATACATGCATAACTGTCGTAAATCAAAAAGAAATCTTTTATGTCAATTGTAATTCCTATATTGAGTTAGCAATTTCTTACAACTGAATTTGTAGCACACTCTATCGATTGCTATAACTTAACTGAATTAACTTATGGACATTATTTTATACAAACATTTCTGTAAAGCTATGTCTTTTAAGGATTAACGAAATAAATGTATGGATAATCTTCCAAATCCCCTATCCCGCAAGGTCTATTATCAGGATCAAAAGGTTTTGACAATAAGGAAGGTTATCCTCTAATTAAGGCATACAAACTTACAACAAAAAATACTCCTAATGCACCTGCAAAATTAAATATCCACTTTTTATCTGTTTATACTTTAGAATCTGTTTATGAATTATTGCTTAACATTATTAAAACCAACCCTTCCTTTTTTATAAATTTATATATCAACAACTTTTATATTAGTTAGAACTTGAAGCCTTTTAAATAAGTCTATTGTAATATTTTTATAATTATTTTAAATTAAAATAAAGATTCTATTTTAGTATCTATAATTCCTTTTGATAAACTATTTAATGTATTTATTATTAATCAATTTCTTAATAAAATTCACAAATAAGTAAGTATTACTAATAAATTAATATATTTCAAATTAAAACTTATCGCTACCAAAAACTAATATTTTTAATTATAATTATATTATAATCTCCACATATTTATTTTTTCACTTTTAAAAAAATATATTATAAGGTAAATTATCTTTAATAATTCAAATTAATATAAATAATTTTATTAATTTTAAATATAAATTTAATATTTATAAAATTTATATTTTAAAAACAAAACCTTAGAAACCAAATTTTCAAATATATATTTCGTTTTAATTTATACAATATATTAAAAATCTTTATTATTAAAAATATAGTTTGATAAGAAAATGATGAATGAAACAATTAATAATTTAGAATAAATAAATGAATCAATATATCTTTTAATTTATAATTATTTGAGAATTTTTTTTCTTATTTTTATTTTTTTCAACAATACTTTCTAAAATTTAATTGATCCTATTTATCATAGCAAGGTTGTTAACTTTTTTTGCAAATATAGCTGACTATTCGTAATAATTTAAGCATTAGTTTCTTAACCCTAAAACTTCGCTTTCATTTGCAAGGTTAAAGTAAGACACCATAGATAAATAATTAATTTAAGCCTTTTCTTATTCTGTCTTAGCTTTAGACTCATATCTTTTTATTGCTGACAGAGCTTTTTCAACACTTTACAGTGCTTTGTCATGCCTATTTAGCTCACTTAATATAGCTGATTTATTTAAGTAAGAAGTTATAATATCTTTTTAACAATTATCATAATTTTCTTCAGCTAATCTTTCTTCTAAAGAGATAGCATAATTAACAGCTTTTAATGCCTCTTAGAATTTCCCCAACTCTCTAAATTTATAAATAAAAAAAGAATCATAATCTTTTTCAAACAATCTTTATTAAAAATCCAAATATTGATAAAATCACTCATGCAATATCTCTACTAAATAACAATTAGATTGTTTTTACTATTGACTTTTGGGTTAAAATCAATGTTTATTGAAAATATATTTTTAAAATAATAATTTTTTATGTAAAAATATTAAAAGATATTAAATTACCTATAAATATAACTTAAATTGTTAAATGTGAGAACTCTCAAACGATTCAAAGGTTAGTATTGCTTGAAAATTTTAGGAATTTGTTTATTAAAAAGTATGTCAACAGCTTTTAAAATAATTTTAGAATCATCACTAAATTTATTTAACTGTATTGACGTCATATTATATTTGTTAACTCTCTCAACAAAATCTGTAATTTCAGATTAGAGAGAAAACCCTAAATCTTTCATGTTACCATCTTCAATGCAAAATAATCCACAATATATTAACTTTTCTTAAACTAATATCTGCTTTATGTTTGATTAGTCACTTTCACTCTTCAAAATTTCTGAAAAAGTATGAAGAACTTTTAAACCGCTCTATGTGACCACATTGTCCTGCTTGATTTCTTCTGTATTCTGTATTTTAACCAAACTTAAATTTTCTTTATCAATATTCATCTTTGTATATAATAAAATTCTAATAATAACTTAACAGAAATAATTAACTTTCTAATATTTCTTTATAATTGAATGAAAATTTATTAAAAATCATTGATTAATATTTTTAATCATTTAAAGAAAATAATCAAACAAACAACCAAAAAGCCACAGTAAAATTAGTCTAAACAAATATCGCAAAAATTTTAATAATTTAATCTATTAAAATTTAATAAATTAATTCTAATTTCTAATAAGATTTAAAATTAATTTTACAAATAAATTTAAATTCATTTTTCTTGATTATTTTTTACATAGCAATACAAAAATAGGCGATAAACTTTTTATTTAATATGTTCTTAATTAAAATTATTAATTATTTTTTTTTTATATAATTTTATTTTGTTATTGATTAATTTAAGTGTAAACTTTTTTTTACTTTTTTAGTAAAATATTTCAAGGGAAAGGATATAGATATTAATATTATTAATAGTAGCTTAATTTTTGAGAACTTCAATAGGATAAATAAATCATTATTTAAATTACCAAAAATAATAATCTGATTAAGTAAATAAAATTATAACAATAAATATTTTTTTAATCTAAATTTTGATTTACTGAAATTCTTCATATTCTTTTAATAGTATGAAGTCTTTGATCAAAAGAAAGAAAATATTCAAAATAAAATATTTGTAATTAAATTGAATTATAAAAACAATTAATTTATCTCTTTACTTAAGATTGCATTAATGCTTGAATTAGAAGATCCTTTATTATATTATTTAATGTGGATAAAATATTTCTAATGACACTTATTATTAATATAGAAGAATATATTTTTTGCATTATATATATTTTTTTTTAAATTGATTAATATTTAAAAAAAGAATTATAAATATGATAAAATCCAAATCTAAATTTGAAATTTAAATTAAATCTCTTTTTTTAATTCCAACTTTAGAATCATACAAAGATAAATTTACAAATAACGTTTTTTCAAAATGTTTATATGTTTAATTAGGTGAATAAATACTTATCAACTAAAAATAAATGCTATAATAAATATTGTTTTATATAATATCACAAAATAGTAATAGTATAAAGTAAATAAGGTAAACTTTATAAATTAATTATCTAAGCATATAGATTTATACAATAGTAATCATCAAAATAAGTATTATAAAAATTGAGATGAAGTTTTTACTATTTCAACTTTTATTTTTATCCTTAATTTGCAAAATTTATGCTGAAAATTAAAACGAAGGAGGAAAAGTATAAATAAAAATAGTTTAGAATTGCATTTTAGATATTGATAAACCACTACCATTCACTTTAGAATGTGGTTTATTTTACCTTAAGTATTAAAGTTGTTTAAACAATTGCTTCAAAAAATAAATTGCAAATACTTTAAACAACTGTACTTAATCTTGTGAGTCAAATAATCCTTGTAGTGATAAAGAATTTGAATCTGTTGGAAAATGCTCTATTCTAATAACTAGTTCCTTAATCTAATAAATCTTTATAGGATTAATTTTTATTTGTATGCTTCTATGAGTTTTTTTATTAAAAATACGAACATAAAAATTGAAATAATTACTAAGATTAATATTAATTATCTGTTTTATGTTATTTTTATTTCCCTTATATAATATTTTAAATAGACAATAAATAATGTTAAATATAAAAACAAGAAGGTTGGGAAACAGACAAATAGAAAGTCAGAATATTTCTATAAAAATAAATATAATATTAAAAAATATTTATGACTGTTTATTCATCTAAATTAATAATCTATCTTAAATAAATATATTTTTTTTTAATTTTATATTAATTTCTTCCTCAATTAACTTTTTAATTCTCTTTTAGTAATTTTTTGATTATTAATTATTTGGTGATTTTTTTAAATTTTCTTCAATACAATCTACATTTATAAAGTAGAAAAAGGATAATTGGATGACTTTTCGATAATAGAAATTATACCCTAAATACTTTAGAATTATATATATATCCTATATTCACATTATTGACACTTTCCTAAAATTTAAATTTTAACACATGTTTTAAAAGTTAAAAATAGTAACTCGCAAATTTAGTGACTTAATTGATTGTGATTTAACCGATATTCTACAGTATATGCAATTTATTTGTAAATTTTATTGTTAAATCTATAATTTATTTAAAAACGCTCAGGGTAGAAACTTTATTTAATTTTTTAGCAATATTTTTACAATTAAAGCATTTAGTAAATAATCTAAAATTAATACACTCTGATTTTTATTAATTAACTTTTGCTAATTAGTATAGCTTACTGATACTCATTAAAATCTATCTTATTAAGCTTATGTAAAAAAAATATTTCTATTAGCAATATATCTTCATTTTAAAAATTAATTGTATGTTGGTTTAAATTCTGCTATTCAGCTAATTCATAATAATATAATTTTAATATGTAGAAGTGATTATTTTACTGTGAAAAAAATATTAATTAATTATTAAATTAAAAAATGATAATAATAATAGTGTAATTTAAAAATGATATTAGAGAAATGAAGAATAATTTGAAAAAAATACAATAATAAAAATTTTAGAATTTTGGGTATTGATTCTATGAAACATTTAAACAAACATTCTAAATTTCCAATAAATAAGATAAAATAATATTGATAAAAATTAAATTAAATTTATTTATTTGTTTTATGACTTTATTTTCATATTTTTGGTAAGTAAGAAATAAATATAAATATTTATATTTATTCATTCAAACTTTATCATATTTATTTTATATTTTCCTTTGCTTTTTAGAGCAGTCAGATACTCCTGATTTATTGCTAATTTATTGTGGTCCTTATTCAATGTAGTAAGCATTGGGTGTAATTCTTTAGAATTCTTTTAATTGATTATACCCATTTCTTTCGAAAACTAGATAGGATTACAAGTCAGAGAAGAGAGGTCTTGGAGCATATATAACAAAGTTACCTTTTAAATCAGTATAGGTTTAAGCTATCAATGTGCCATCCTATCCTTACTAGCCTTCGAAATAAAGAGAAACTTTAACGAATGGTAAATACTTATTAGGGTAGAGTTTGCAAGTTGTTTTTTCATAGACCTTAGATTTGATAGGGATAGTATTTCTTTCATCAACATAGTACAATTTCTAGAAAGGATTCATAGCTAATTAGAAATTTGCATCACTCTTTAAATAAAAATCATCGTTAGATGCAGCATTTGCATCATATTGAAGGGTAATTTATGGAGTCAAAGTTTCATAACCAGCATGGATAAAGACAAGCTTACCATCGTAATTAAGTCCTTTGGCAACCGTTCCAGTTAGAGTGAATTCACCTTCTTGGTTGGAATAAGTATATGAATTATCGATAAACCTTTAACTAATAAATGAAACTGTGATATATGTGCCTCCTAAAACTAAACCAGAGTTTTTATCATTGATTTTTCCTTTAATTGTGTATTTGACCCTCAATCTTTCAGCTGCTAAAGTCAAATTATTGTACTGGTAGTTATCGTTGACAGAAAGGTGAATTCTGCGCTACTTTTTATCAAAGTTAGCATCAGCTGGTTGCAGTTCTATAACAAAAGCATAGACATTACCTGTTACTAATCTTAAATCTGGCAATGCAAAGAATCCATTAGCGTCTGTAGTTGCTTAGAATTTAATTGATGGTTCTACTTCTGAATAAGCTACAACATTGCTTTAAGCGATAGGATCTCCAGTAATAGATAATCCATGACCGTGGATAAATCCATTAGTATAATCAGTTTCAGCTGCTTTATTTAAAAGAATTTGAATACCAGTAATGGTAAATTTATTTTCAACAGATAAAATAATATCAACTGAATTATCTTTATAGTTTTGTTTTTTTCCTTCAGCTTTAGCAACATAAAAGAAGCCTTCTTAAATTTAAGTCTTGATTTCAAATTGACCCTATTCATTTGTGTAGACAAATAAAGTATAATCTGAGAAATCAGTTTAAGTGAAGTGGAGAATAGCTTAAGCGCTTGGAAGAGGAGCTTTAGTTTCTGCATCTAAAATGACACCACTAATCAAGCAGTCAGTAAGGGACTTCTTAATTTCTATTTCTTTATGAACCTTATAATTATTGCTATCGTTAAATTGTAAATCAAAGCTATAAGTTTAGTAGTCAGCATCAATAGCCTCTTTAGGGAGCTATATTTAGACATTTGCTTTATAATTATAACCCATCATTACTTTTTATCTAAAGTCAAAACTACCTATTTTTTTTAATTTAAAACAATTATAAAATGAATAATAAATTTATAAAAATGAAAAATTGTTAGCTTGAAAATTAATTTTTATTTTATTGGTTGATTATTCTTTGCATAAGATTTGTGTTTGGACAAATAATTCATATTAATTAAAGATTTTACCATTTCTATTGAATCCTTCACCCATATCATGGATTCCATGAGTATGAGACTCATAGTCAAAGGTTAGCTGAATAGAAACTCCAGCAACAGGTTCACTAATCGAATTTAGAACAGAGCCTGAAAATTAGAGCATAATCAGTTTTCTTTCCATTTTTGATATTCTGTTTTCAATCTTGTATTGGTTTTAGTTTCCTAACTTAATGGGTTCTATTCTATCAATAAAGTTATTACACTTGATAGATAGATAACTCATATAATCATCATCATAATTTACATCTATTGAAAACAAGTAATCTCCTGATAAGACACTAACTGTAGTATAAGGTAAAGGTGTAGTTGGTTCTTTGAAACTGTCTTTCAAAACAAGAGAGAGTGAGCAGAAAGGAACAGGTAAATTATTTTCATCGATAATTTTTCCTGTAAATGAAGATTTCCACCAATCACCTGCTAATGTGATTTTATAATTTGTTACTTAAAATGAGTTTTCTTTAGTAAATTAAACAGTGTCGCTATACTATTTGAATTTCTCTTTGTCGACCTACATTATTTTTTTAAATAATTTTTATTATTAAAAATATATTTTAACCTAAATCAAAAATAAAATCTATAATTTTCCTTTTATATATTTTCAATTTAAATTAAAAGATGAATATTACTGTTATTTTGGCGTTGAGAACATCTTAAGTAGTTGGTGAAGGTACTTTGATAGTAAATTGACCCTTTAGATCTGTTGAACCTGTGAATGGATTGGGGATATTATCAATGAAAACTTTAATAATAGCATTCTAGACAGGTATAAATTGCTTAGTAATGACTGAACCACTGAATAATCCATTTAATTGCATTCCAAGATTAATTTATAGGTTTTCCAAAGTATACTTATTTTTATAATTAAGTGAAAACACTTAATCGCTAGCAGGAAGAGCTCCAGAGGCAAATTTAACTTTAATAGTATATGAAGGTCCTAGATGGAGGTTCAATTATATTTTGAAAGTACCATCACTATTTACATTAACTGCTTTGTTAACTAAAGTATCTTAATTTTCAATAGCTGGATCAATAGAAGTAATTGTATAACTACCTTCAGTAATAACCTAGTTAGTTTCACCGTTGTAGAGAGTACCAGAAATTAAACCTTACTAGGGTATAATTTCAAATTTAACACCACTTTTAAGGCCAGTTATTGTGTAGTTATTTTATCTATTTAATTATCCTACATCAGTTTTAGCACTCATGCCATAGTCAGTGTCTATTTGAATTTAAGAATCGTAAGTCAAATACTTTTCAACAACGAAATCACATCTAAAGTTTCCATTATCCTTAAATGCACATTTCATATTTTGTTCTGGGAAAGGCTTATCAGCAATAACTGATATTCTACCTTCTGTCAAAGGCTTATTGGTATTTATATCATAAAGATAGCCTATAATTAAACCATAAGTTTGAACTCTAGATACTTGCACCTATTTAAAGTCTGCATCGAATAAGCTAGCCTTATTAGGACCTAATTCTCTCTTCAAACTCAATTCTTAAAACTCTTCTGATGCTTAACTTGCAATAGTAATCACATAATTTTCTGTATTTTATCCTTAGAATTGGTGAGAGAAAAAACCTTAGCTATCAGTTTTCAAAGGAATAGTGTCAGTATTTTTATCTATTTAAAAAAACAAAAAATGTAAACAATAAAGTTGATATTTGATTCAAATAAATTTATAAAAATTATATTCTTAATTTATTTTTTTATATTTTTTTTAAGTTTAAATAATTTTTCCATGCTTTTTGTACTAATTTGAAAATTTTATTTTTTTTTATAATAGTGAATTTTATAATAAATAGTTATTTACTGCTGGAGTAAGAAATGGTGATGACAATATCGTATTCTGGAAGTGGAGTTTTCAAAGTTTTTTCAAGGAAAGTACCAGTGACATTTATAGTAACAGGAACAGGTTTTAAAGTTGCTTTTAGTATGCCTACATCTTCTGAATAGAATTTATCTTCAGTAATTTTTAAGGGATAATTAAAACCAGGATCATAGATATCAGAAGTGTAAACTATTGAACCTTCGTATTTTCCTTCGTTTTTGAAACCAGTTACTAAAATGGTGAATTTACCATTACTGTCAGTTTGAACTGGATCTGCCAAAGCCTTTACTGCACTAGTTTAGGCAAATGAAACCAAGAGATTTGGTATGGCAGAATTGTCGATAGAGCTTTGAAAAATACCAGTTATAGTTCCTTTTATTGGTTCAGTGGTGATGTATACAATCACAGGATCAACTTTAAATTAGTTTTGGCGAAGGAAATTAACTGTGGCGGTGCTTCCATATAAATTATTTGAATTTACTGCAGGAGAAGCTGTTATCACACAAATAATTTTTTCTTCTTGATTGAATTCTGTTGAATCTTAGAAATTAAGTTTTCCATCGTCACCTGTAGTTCCCAGCTAATATTACTTAACATGTTAAGAGTTGCTACCACTTTAGCAAGAAACATTAACTGCGGAGCCACTGTAAGGTTTATTAGTAGAGTGCTCGACAACATCAACTTCTAAATTTAGATTAACGCTTCCCTTCTTGAGAACAATAGGCTTATCAAATTCGAAATATAAATGATCAACTATGTAAAAACCTTAAGTATATTCAGTGTCTTTCTTAATATTCCAAGGTAAGTACCCATCAGCATCAATTGAAAGATTACCTTTAATAACAAATTTAATTTTAATATATATTTTAATTATATATTTAAAAGTTGAATTGTTTCCTTATTATAATTTGATAAAATATTCATTCTTAATTACTAGTAAATATTTATGTTTTATTAAAATTTGTTTTCTTCGATGTAAAAAATTTATTAGATTTTTAATAACAAATACATCTATTTGCCTTTGAATAGTATTTTTTTAGATTTTTATTTTAAAATTTTTATTTGCCTTCAATAAAATTTTTTGCTATTAATAATTTATTTAGCTGTTTTAGATTTTAACTGAATTTTTTTTAATAGCTAATATTTCTTTTTATCTATTTGTATTTCTATTATGCTTTTTTAGAATGAATAAGTTTCTATTTAATTATTTTATTATTAAATAATATTATATTTCTTGTTTAAGCAAATAGAAAGAATGAACAATCATTAAATCCTAATTACCATAAATTGGGTTAAGCTATTCTAAGTACATTACAACATCAAATTAACCATTATCTCCTGTGTAGACAGTCAAAAAATCTTAGAAAACAGGATAATCAATTGAAATTGATAATTTTGCATTAGCTATGCCTTGACCTTCTTCATTCTAAACTGTACCCTTCAAATGAGCTTCTTTTGGAATGTTAGGATGGTAAATAATTTGATCGTTTAAGTCATATTCGTTTGCATTTGTAGCACTTTTAGTTAAGTCTTTGGTGATAGTATTTGCTAGAATGTTTTCGCCTTAACCAGATGAGATTTCTATTTGAACTGGAACTGTATCATCTGTGACCTATCTCTTAAAAGATCCTTTCAGTGCAACTAAACCATTCACATCGTGAGTCGCTTCATAAGCATCAGAGTCGACTGTAATTTTTATCTGTTATAAAATTAATTTGGTTTTTTATGATAAAATAAAGTAAAGAGAAAGTTACTGAGCAATTTTAAACAGGAGCAAAGTGCTGTGTTACAAATTTTAATTTGATGCTAAAAGAAGGAAATTCAGAAGGTACAGTTTCATCAGCACTGATTCTAGATTTATCTATTAGATAAATTTTAAAGTATTTTTATAATAAAATATGTTAAATTTTACAGAAAGCTTGTATGGTAGGCAAATATAAAATGGCTATCAGGAATAAAGAATAAAGAGCCCTATTGCGTGACTTTATTTATAGCAAATTCTTGCTTTTAAATTTCGACATAAATATGGCTTGCTGGATTTTTCACTAACTAACTTACTACTTACTAACTAACTTGTTGAACAAGTGGTCTATATTATTTTTTGTAATTGTTTTTCTAGTTTATTTAAAGATGCTAACAAAAAGTATTAACTAAGATTGCTATTTGTTAATTTTTCTTAATAAGTGTTTAAATTCTTTTGATATATTTCTTAATCAAAATTTTATTTAAAAATATTTATTATTCTTTAGTTTGATTGATAGTATATTTTTTAACACTTTTTAAGAAGTCTATATCTTTCTTTCTTTTGTATTCATTTATGAATTTCTTTCATTTGTATATTAATTAAAAGCTGTTAACATTTTTTCATAAAAGTAAATGATTTGATATATTTATCTACTTATTTACAATTACAAAGTATCTTAAAAAAATCTATTAATTTTAATCATTTTCAATATAAAATATAATAAATATTAATCCATCTTATTAATAGATGTCTTAATTATGGTAATTTTAAAAAAATTAATATTTTATATGAGAATAAATGTATTCAAATAACCAAATTAATTACATTTTTAGATTTTGCATCCAGTAGTTTAACAGAAAAAATACATCTTTTAAATAAATTAAACTAAATTTTTGTTCAAACAAGCCAAATACTGGACTATAAAATGACTAATTTTTATTTCATTATAAAATTATGAATATTAATAAAGAAATACTATTAATAATTCGAAAAATGTTATTTAGAAAGTTTAAATTTTTACATTTAAACAAGAAAAAAATTATTTATTTTATCAACTGATAAAAAAAAGTCATAAAAGAGCCAGTAAATTTAAATGCATTGAATTTTTAAAAAATTTAATGATGATTTTGATAAATTAAGCATTTTAAATTAATAAAAGAACTTAGAGTAGCTTATATGAACTATGATTTTAAATAAGATTGTAAAAAATAAAGATTAATCTATATTTTAAGAAATCTATTTAAATTATCTTTTTTATCTTATTAAAAAAAAATATGAATAAATAAAATTTAATTAATCCATCTCGAATAAATAAATAGAATAATTGTAAAGAACTAAAATTGAATGAATGTTTAAAAATAATTATTCATAAAAAAAATTTCAGATTATTTAGTAATGAATAAGATTTTTTAAATACTCTCGAAATACTATCAATAATTTATTTTAATTTGTTAAAATAAAAGTTTATTTAAAGAAAATAATATCCAAAAAACTAAATAAAGCAATAGTTAATAAAATATATATTTTTTTTTAAAGCAAGTTGTTTTATTTTTATTGTAATAGAATTCTTTTATGCTATAGTAAGAAAGATATAAATTTAATTCTTAAAGTAACATAGATTGGTAGATACTTTGAATTAATCTTTCAAGTATAATTTCTATGCTTATAAATATTCTATGAATTTTTATTTAACAAATTTAACGATCAAAACACTTTTATTAATAGGGTTGTTTATTCTATTTAAGTAAATTTAAAGGTATAAATTTTGTCACAGTTATTGTTATCTTTACAGGTAAAAAGGTTTCTTGGTAAATTGAATGTATTAGTATGGAAAGAGGATAGCTTTTTACATATATATTACTATTGTGGAGAATAAGATTGAATAAGATATTGGTTATCTTTAAAAAGGAAAGAAAGCAACCAAAAATCAATTTTTAATAGATTTTAGAAATATTGGTTGATTACTAAGCAATCTTTTTAATAAATTTAAATTTAGAGTTTTTTACTTACAAAAATCAAAAGAAAATTGACAAATGTTTTTAGGTAACAGAAGATTCCTCTTTCATAATTATTCTAATATGAATAAAATTGTGGAGGAAACTCCTGATTCAGGTTGCTTGTGGTTAGGAGATTATACGGCTGCGATGGACAAGCGAGCACTGAAAGAGAAAGGAATTAAAACTGTTTTGACAACAGCAAGTGGATTAGGCGTATCATATCTGCCATCAGATGGAATCACTCATAAGCAATACAATTTACTAGATATAGAAACTTAGAATATTTCAAACTGCTTCGATTCAACATTTAGGGAAATAGAGGAGGGATTAAAAAGAGGAGGTGTTTTGGTGCACTGTGCAGCAGGAATCAGTAGAAGCGCAACCTGTGTGATTGCGTATTTAATGAGGAAGAATAATACATCATTAAGAGAAACAATGAATTATGTAAGATCTAAAAGAAAAGTCATTTGCCCTAACTTTGGATTTGAAAGGCAGTTGAGATAATTTGAATAGCATCTAGGAATTTCTAATCCAGCAATCAAAATAACTTCAAATAATTAAAATGTTCTGTAAAGCTAAAATTCAAATAGGTCTGCAAGTTTAAATAAAATAGCTTTTTAAAACCTTTCAAATAATTTAAACACTCTAATGAATCCTAAATTATCGTCTGAGCAGGAAGACCCCTTAAATTAACAACCTCCACCAGCTCTTTTGATAAATCACAATTAAAAAGTTAGTTTGCAATCTTAATCTCAAAAAAACGCTCTTAAAAGAAATTAAAGATTGCAACCCATGACCAATAAAAATATGGCTTAAATATTAGCTTAGAAGCTTGCTTAAAATAATGAAAATCTTCAAGTTTTAGGTATACACAAGCTAATTAATAATAATAATTAACCAGTATTCAATAAGCAAGAAAAGGAAAGTAATAATAACAGCAATTAAAACAGTGCCAATAAACAATAAGCATTAAAAGAAGCAGCATAATTAAGTCTTATTCAACAGTAATATCCATATAATTAAATGAACAACGGTCCTAATATAGTAACCTATAACGCTAAAAGTAACCTTAGAACATCTTCAAGAGGACCAATACCAATCTTCAACAATGTACAAACAACATCTAATAAAACTAGCAATATGATTACTTAGAATTAATTTCGCAAAAGGCCTGTAAAAAATTTGTATTAATGAATGAATATTTTCTAAAATTCATAAACTAAAAATCCATAAAAATTCTTTTATATATTAAAAATGATATAGATTTTGTTAAGTAAATCTATCAATATACTAAATAATAGTTTACATATAGCTCTATTTATAGTTTGTTAAGCATAATACTTTTATAATTTCTTCATATATAGTTGTTTCTCTTTTTTCTATATTTCAATATAAATAAGTAATTTTTTAAAAATTATTAATCTAAATTTTTAAAATAAAAAATATTTTTTAAATTTTTATTATGCTATTTTATTAAATTTACAATAAACATATTTTTAGTAATATTTAATTTGATATTATTAATTAATTTATAATAATCTTGTATTATTAGTTTTAAGAATGTTATTTATTGCATTATTTCAAATTTGAATTTGATTTTTATTTGTAAGATGAAATAAATTATATTTTTAATGAATTAATTAATTAGTTAAGATATTTATTTTTTATTTTGTGATTGTTTAATTTTAAGTTTCTTTACTATTTGTTTTAGTATTTTTAATCAATTTATTTGTTTTAATGTTTTATTCTATAATAATTTCTTTTTTTGTTATTGTTTTTTTGTTTTTAAATCTTTTTATTATTTTATTTTATATTTATTTTTCTTTTTTAAGAGCAAGAGCAACTGACTGAATGATTGACTGATTGTTAGTTAGACTGACTGTTTTAGATAGCTATTTCCTAATGTTTTAAAAAATACTTTTTATATATGACGGCTAAGAGAGAGTTCTATAATAGTGGCCTCTGAAATTAATGAGAGAGTTAATCTGGTATATATCCGTGGAGAAAGCACAATAATCGAGAAAATAATTATAATTGCGTATTGTGGATTTATTATTTATCTCGATTATTTTTAAAAGGTGCTTTGTAAGCGTCGAATCCAGGCATTTAAAAACTTTGATGCTTCCTGAAAAACTCGATCTTCTCTCATTAATTTATACAGAGGTTTTGGCTATTAAGAAATGATTTTAAATATTTGTTTTAGTTTGTAGGATTTGTTGTTTACTTTTTTTATTTATTTTACTTTTTTTTTTTTAATAATTATAAATTTTTGATTTTTTCTTTATTATTCCTTTAATTAATTGAAAGATTCTAAATTTGAAATTTGAAAACTTAAGAAAAGAAAAGCACAAGATACAAAGTCGAACTTAAATTAGTACCAATAGATGAATCAGTTGAATTATGAAATAAAGGAAATTATGATATTATATAAAATTTAATCAAAATACTTGAATATATTTTTGAGAAAAATTAATAATCATAATACTTATTTATATGAATTTAATTGTAAGGTAAATAAAACTAGGAGTTTTTTATTATATTTTTAAATATTTGCATTATTTATCAACCACTAATATTCCATATTTAACCATTTAAAAGATCAATTTCAAAAGCAAAATAGATAAAAATTGGTAAAGAATTTTTTTTGATAAGTTTTATCTAAATATTTTTTGGATTTCTACAATACTAAATTAAGTTAAGAGAAATTTTTGAGGGAAAGCATTTTTTATAAAAGAGTAAAATAAAGTATTATTAACAAGCTTTCTATAAGATCAAGACTAAGAGAATGAAAATTTAGATTGTTTACCAAATATATGTTTTACAATATTAAAGTCAATAAAATTAAATTAAAGTTAAATAACAATAGTTATTCATAACAAATTTTTATTAAAATATTTATATATATTTTTTAATTGATTATTTTATAAGAGTTATACCTAATTTATATATTTAGAATTAGCTTTAATGTAGTTATTTGTATATAGGAAAGATCTTACATTTTTTTTTAGAAAAGTATTGTTTAATAAAGTAAATTTTTTTATAAGGAAGTACTTAATTTATTTATACATTAAAACTAAAAGAGGAATAATATTATTAATTAATTAATTAGTTAATTACATTTTGTTATTTAAGATGTGAGAGTAAGATATAAAGAATTATTGCATTTTAATTATTTTGAGTTTTTGTTAATTGAATTAGGGTTTAATTAATTTATTTATTTATTTATTATCTATCAATTTGATTAATTTAAGAGATTAGAATCAGACATTATTCTTTTATTCATTTAATTTAAATATTTTAAAGCAGAGTAAGAAATTTTAGGCAGCTTTATTCATTTTATGAAAATAAATACACAAGACAATTGATATTATTATTTGTAAGTTTCTTAAGATGGTAGAGAAGATATAGCAAATGTCTGTAGTTTGCCTTTCGTCGTCATATTGTAGATATGATATCAAGGCTATTTAGGAAAAACAAATGAAGAAATAAATATATCTAACTTCACTTTTTCTCTAGAAACATCTGAAATAGTTAAAAATAATTGAAAAGATAATTTGAAAGAGGAATGTGAAGACTAAGGAGATTTCGAATTGTAAGGGAATTTCCTGGTTAGAAAGATACATCAGAAAAATTATTATGCAGGAAATCATGTAAAGAATGATTAAATTCAGGAAAAGTCTATGAAAGACATAATAAAAGGATTTAAATATTTTGTAAAAGCAAGAGCTCTCAATTTTCTTTTCAGCAAACTCTAGCATTTAATTTTTTTCCAAGTTTTTTATTTCTTGAACTACAACACTTTTGATGAACGAGTCGCTATTAAATTGAAATTGAACTTTAAAATCGATTTCCGAATTATAGAGCGGTTGTTGTGCTTCATTAATTAGGAATTTTATAAAGTCATCATATTTCATGTATTCTTAAAGAATTTATGGGATCTCTTTATGTGAATTGGCTATATCGATTTAATTTATTTGATTCAGTGCTTTTTAGCATTTCTCTTTCATTTCTTAAAAGCTACATTTTTATTTATGTTTGTTTGGATTTTTTTTGTTTTTCTCATTTATAACAGCGTCGTTATCAAATAAATATTTATTATTGCTATTGTTGCTGCTGTTCTTTTCAAGATCGTGTTTCGTTTCTCCCTATGATGGATAGCAGCAGAAGGAATTTGTGTATTCTTTATTTTTAGACTCAATATCTTTGGCATTAGTTGCTCTATTTGATCTCAATGCTTAGTTAGTTTGAATGTTCTCCTAAATTTTTAGGATGATGTTTGTTTACATATCTCCTCTAGGTTAGATTTAAAGCTGCTTTTAGTTGATACTATCCATGTTTTGTTTATTGAACTAGCTTTTTTCAAAGTTACTGCAATGAGGAGGATGAGGAAGATTATGATGATGATGCTCTTCTTAGTTATTATTTGTTTCAAGGTTTACATATGAGCGGGCTGACTTAATATCGAACTCATTAAAAGCTTTCATTAACTTGCTCTAGTTAAGCATATTGCTATTTGTATGCGTTTAATTGCTGCTTTCTTGAGGATTCAAATTAGTATTAAATAGTTTTTTCTAGTTTTATTGTTAAGGGTAAAAACCTTAAGATTAAGATAGTTTTTTATTAGAATCAAGAGGGCTTTAATTAGAATTGGTCTAATTTTTTAATTAATTGCTAAATACTCTATCATTCATCAGATTACTAAAGCTTACATTCAAATTATCATTATTTTCTACTTCTTATTAATCTTATTTTATACCTTTTTCTTTTTGCTAAGGTGAAGCTTCATCAATTTATAAATCCTTCATTGAATTATTTTTTTGTTTTTTCTTTTATTCTGGTCTTTATTATTCAGAAAAACTATTGTTTCTAGTATTCAATCCAATATTTTTGTTCTTAAAATAGTTGATTGGCAATTTGTTATTTGGAAGAGGCGATTCTTAGTGTGGATATTAGTTAAATTAATAATTGCAACGACTTGAGTCAGAATTTAGGTAGTATTATTACTAATCATAATTAATATTCTAATTTTATATAATATCTGAAGAATTTTTATCCTAATCATTGTTCACTTATGTTTTTTCATACCTGTCTGATTGAATTAAATTCATTGAAGATTTATTGATATCCAAGTTATTGTGCGAAGTCTAATTCATTTATTTCATTTCATGATCAAGCTCTGATTCGTAGTTAGTTTAGTTTTAGAAGCTGAGGTTCCTAGATGGTAAATTGATCTATTAATTGCTTTAACAATTATTGTTAGTGCTTAAATTATTTTATTGATTGCTCAAGTGTTGTAGATTAGCTGTGTAAAAATTCATAATAAAGTGATCTTAGCTAGTCTTGCTCACTGAAGAGATTGAAGGGGCGCGCTAATGACCTTGTTAAGATAAAGGATAAGTATTTTAAGCTGTAGTGAGAGTGGTAAAAGTTTAATTGCTTCTAATATGCTTGGCATTTGTAGGTCTCCTCTCAATTTCCTATAGCGTATCGACTTATTAAAGAGATTACTAGCTCTAATTATTTGAGTAGATGCAATTCTTACAGTTGTTATGATTTTACTATTAGCAATCAATATCTGGAAAAGCTTGCTATGAACCATAATGAGAATTAATTTATGAAGGAACATTAGAATTATTACTGCTTTAGTATTAGTTGCTTTTTGGAGTATTCAAATGCTAGAAATTCAAATGAGTTTCATTAAGCTGATCAGTTTTTAAACGATTTTTTTAAATACTATTTTCATTTAATGTGTTAGTGTGATTCTAATTTTAAGAAAAGCTGGGATGTCTTTGTCCATCAAGTATATTCATGAATCTTGTTTTTTCAGTAGTAATTTCATCGTTGTGTTCTTATGATTCTTTTTTCTTAAAATTTCCAAGATTTCTTTCTCCCTCAAATTCATCAATATCTTGATACGGTTTGTGAACTTCACTACCTTTCTTATTATTACTATTCTTGCGGATTTATGTAATCGTGTTAACTTATTTAAATTATAAAACAACTTTAGCATTCCCTTCATCGTAATTCTAGTCTTAAAATTTTGCATTTGCCTTTACCGCTGAACTGAACTGCTGACCATCCTTCAGTTTATAATTATAAGGCGAGGATGTGAGTTGCATAAATCAACAAATAACAATTCTATCTATTATTTTAAATAATTACGTATTTATTATATGTATGTATGAATGAATGTATTAGAGTGTATTCAGTTCTTCTTTCTCTATACTTTACGATATTACAATAATCTTATTAATTGTTGCTAATATATTGTATTAAAAATTTTTGATTTACTTTCTTTAATCAGCTTAGTTAATTGACTGATATATTATTCAATAATTTTATATGCCAACCCTCTTTAATTTATAATGACTTTGATTGATTGATTGACTGATTGCTTATTAATTAATTTATTTATCTGCTTTCTTTTCTTTCTTTCTTTTTTCTTTCTTTTTGTTTATATTTTTTGCAGTCTTACATGCTTTATTGAGTGTTCTTTCTTAGTTTTTTATAATATCAGTCTGTCTTCAACCATTTACAAAATAAAAAACATACAAGCTTAATTGGCATTCTTATTTTTTTTCTTCTTTTTTTTTGTTTTTATTCCAAAACTTTTAGGCATTTATTTTTCACTGTTTGTTTTAAATGGTTTGTACTATTTTTTGAATTAATTTCTATGTATTTTTCATTTTTGATATCAGTTTATATATATGTATTTGCATTGGTATCAATACTATTTTATATCTCATACGCCAAATCTTTGAAATTTTTAAACTAGTAAATTTATTTTGATTGTTTTAAATCTACCCATTTATCTCTGCGAATACTATCTTAGTTAGATAAAATTACTTTGATTCTTTATTGATCTCCTTTTATCATATTTGATTCTGCACATTTTAATACTAAAATAAAATTTCATTCAAAATTTTAAATAAATTCAGTAAAGAGATTTAACAATGTATTAGAAAATCTATAAAATAAATGAGCAAAAATATAATAAGTAAAATCAATTAATCAATTTCTTTTTATCTTAAATAAATTTATGGCAAAACCCCAGTAACTAAGAGTCAGTACCTTTTAAACAAAAACCAAAATCTTGTATAAAAAACTTTTTTTTTGCTGTATCTTGAAAGCTATATTTTGACAAGAAAAATATCATTATAGATAGATAGATAGATAGATAGATAGATAGATAGATAGATAGATAGTACTAATAAAAATAATTCATAAAAATTAACACTTTCTTGAAGAGTTAATTGAAAATAAAATTAAATTATGAATGCATGAAATCAAATGTTTTTTATTTATTTCAATTATATTTTAAATTTGTTCTTATATTTGATACATAGAATATAATAGCAGAAAAAAATAAGTTCGCTAATTATGTAGCAAAATACTGTAATAAAAATATAAATTATGTAAATTTATTCTATATAATTATCTATTTGTCCGAAATAATCCTAAACAAATCAAAAAAATATATGAATTATTTTATAAATAGAGCAAAATTTCATTGATATTTTTCAAAAATTTCTAAATTAAAAATATTTTTTTTTGTTTTGCTCATTTACATTGCTTTACTTTATTTAATATTCATTAACAAATAGCAAAATTTTCAGGAAAAAAAGAAAAGAATTTATGGGGTTATTTTTAGTTTCAAAAACAGAATTTCTCAGATGCAGTGCATATTAAGCAACATTCAAATTTCGTATAAATATTACTAAACCAGCTTATTTAATCTGTATTATTTTTTGTTTTATTGATTTTATTTTTTTTATTATCGCATTATTTTAGAAGCTAAAATATTATCAAAAACGAGAATATAATCTTTCAGAGGATATTTTAAATGTATAAAACGTTTTAAAAAGTGATAATTAGTGAATTTAAAATGTAGAAAGAGATTTATTTTCAATTTAATATTCATGCTTTATCTTAATTCTGTAAATATTCAAGTAATTAGTTTTTCATTCATTGATGAATAAAATTAGAATTTAAAAACGAATTTAATAAATTTTGGGCAATTAAAAAATTAATTAGGATTCTGAATTAATTAAAGATTTTCTTAAAATAAATAATATATTGATAGATGTGTAGAATATCCATATTTGATTTTTTAATAACAAAAAAAGGGGAAGCAATAGCAAAAGCAGAAAGATAAATTTGCTTTAAAATATTGTGGGAAAAATTAAGATTAAAAAAAATAATACTTTAGTGAATCTTATAACTATTTTGATAGACTATTAAACTTACATCAATTATTAAGTAAAAAAAGAGCATATAATATTCTACTTTGAAATAAAATGTAAGTTTTAAGAGAAAATTGACCATTTTTCTTCTATTTTATAGTAAAATAATATCTATTCAAATAAAAAAACTACTTTAAACTATTTGTGAGAAAAATCAAAAAAATGTTTTGAAGATAGAAATTGATTATTCCATTTTAATAGATTGAAAAGGTAAAAAATCTAATAAATAAATAATATATTTAAAAAACTTTTTATGAATTTTATAATTGAAAAAAATAATTTTTCAAGCTTGATTAGTTTTTTTAGTCATTTATTTTTTTTATGTTGTCTTAAATTTTATTATTCCAGACAGTATTTATTAGACATAATTTACTAAATATAGATAGGATTTTTAATAATTTTTTGCTTACGATGATATTTTTTCTTTAGCTTTATTTTTATGATTTAAATTCTATTCATACATAATAAGATTGTCTAAGTTTATTTTCATAATTATAAAGTAGTATTTTAATCTCATTTTTTATTCTAAGCCTAAAAAAATAATAATAAATGAAAATATTATATCTAATTTTTTACTGTAACCTTCAAAAATATTATATTAAATAAATATAAATTAATAATAGGAACTAAAAACTAAATTTAGAGTTTTTTTTGTTAGTTGTAAAATTTAAATAAATGATAAAACCTAATTTTTATAAATCAAATAATATTACTTTAATTGTTGGTTTTTAAATCTATTTGATATTTTAGAGCAAAAAAGTTATTTCACTTAATTTTTATCAATCAAAGCAAATATATTTTTAAAATAAAAAAACAAATTTTATACAGATTTAACTTAACACATTTACTTCTGTAAATAAGTTAATGAATTTTATCAAATAAATAAATTAAAATTTAAAGATATTAACGAAATTCAATAATAAGTTTATTAGCTTTGCTATTAAATGCTATTTATATTCTTCCATAAACTATGTTTTTCATTTTTCCAAATTCTTGCTTTATTTTTTCATATTACAATCGTTATTAAAATGTTTATTTATTTTTGCTAACTTTAAATATTAGATATTTCTTCAACCCGTTTTTAAACTGATTAAAGTAATATCACATAATAAATGAGATTTCACAAAGTTCTTATTAAGAAATTAGAAAATCTATATTACATAATATACCATTAGAATATTAATTATTACAAATTTTAGCATAGATGAACTTTATATTCAACACATATATATTAATTTCAATAATAATTAATCTATTTTTATAATTAATATATATTAATTTTTATCTTCTTATATGTCTAATTATCCGTCTCGAGCTTTCAGCTCTCTGATTTATATTATCTGATCTCTGGCTATCAATCTGAATTCAATAAATTAAATTAATCTTCTTATAGTCTCTTTCTACTCCTAATTTTGTTTCTCTAAGTCTTGATCTAATGCGCTACCTTAAATAATTAAATTAAATATTTTATTTAGGTTCTCCTTTTTAACATATATAATTAAATGTGGTGATCATTATTTTATATTTAATAACTCTTTAATTGTAATTGAAGTCAATTTATGTTATTATTTATTTTTCTAAAATACAATATCTTCCTTATATTCTTATTAATTTAAACGGTTTTTCAGTAAAAATAAAAAAATATTTGAATAAGCCTATTTTAAAAAATCAATTTTAGATTAGAATTAAAAAATGCTTTTAAAATAGACTAAAATAAGGATAATAAATTTAAAAATAAAAAAGAAAAATTTATTTTTACTATCATAGCTTAATTTATGATTTAGATATATTATTGTATTTATATTTCAAAATAGCTTCTGAACAATTTTGGTCAAATTTTCAGTCTATAAAATAAGAGTTTTGATGTAATTTATTTAAAAATTAGGTTTATATAAAACATATGAATTCCTTTCTATTTATTTTTGAGTAAGATTAATATTAGATGTTTTTCTTTAATTACAAGCAAATTACATGTTATTTTAATATTAGTATGAATTGTTTTGCATTTTTATTTAATTAATTAAAGCTAAATTATATTTTTATAAAAAAATATAAATCCGAGTACTTATAACAAAATTATAAATATTGTTAATTTTATAAGAAAAAAACTAGATTAAAACTAATGAATTTTTATTTGATAAATTTTATAAATAAAGAGAGTCTAAAATAAGTATTATAATTTTTATACTATTTATGTAAATGATTTTAACTCATTCGTAATTTAATTTCAACTAAAATATCACTAAATATCTGTAAAAAGTATTCTTCTTATCTATTCCTATTTTTGAATTTAAATAAAATAATAGATAGCTAAAATATATTTGTAAAAAAGCTAAAAAATTTAAAAAATGTAAGCTTTTAAATAGCGATTTTCTTAAAAAAGTAAATTTAGTTATTAAATTAAAAATAGAAATCTAGAAATTAATTAAGTTTAAAGTATTTTCAATATACCATATTTACTCTAGAATAAAGAGGGTGGAAACATTTTATTTTTTATTTTTTTCCTAATCCATAATATTTCAAAAATGTCAAATAATCCTTAAACTATTGGCCTCCTTATTCTATATTATCTACATTAGGTATTTATTTATTTATTTGTTTTGGATTTAACCAAAATAAATTTTCAGTTCATTAAACTTAATTATAAAATGCAAAAAATATAAAATATAATTATTGATGTTACTTTAAAATGAATGAGACAAATATCATTTATTTTTATTTAAGTAAACTATACAAAAATATAAATAATAACTTTCTATTAAACTCAAAGAAATTTATTTCTTTTAGGAGTAAATAATAATTAAAAAATATAAACTTTCATAAATTATAAAATGTCTTTCTAAATTAAAATGAATATTTTAAAGTGCTTATAGGTACTTATTTTACTAAACTTGATCTCTGCTAAAAGTGGCTAGGATGTAGCGTGTTCTAGTAATAATTGCTCTTCTTGCCCTACACCTTACACTAATACAAATTGGATTAATCATGGCAGTAGTTGCTATATTGATAATTGCCCTGATAGCAATGTTGGTTTATAAAATACTTCTGATCTTTTTTGCAAATCTTGCTTTTCTACAAATTATCCCTTTGCAAATACCGATCTTACATCTTGTGTTGCCTCTAAGTAGAGCTGTGGAAGTGATAGACCTCCAAATTCTTGGACAGATTCTGATTGCTTAGCTTGTAATGGCACAAATAAAATATATGCTAGCAGTGATAAGTCAACTTGTGTTAATTCTTCAATGCCTTGTGATAGTAATCTATTATGGAATAATTTAGATTGCATGAAATGTACTAATTATTAAAAACCTTATGCCAACGTTGATGGTACTGCTTGCATTAAAGTTAAGCCTAAATGCGATGAAATAGCTGATAATTCTTGGACTGATTAAGATTGTCTTGCTTGTTAAGGTATTTCTTCTTAATATGCTAGTATTAATAAGTCTTATTGTGTTTCTACTAAGTTTACTTGTGGAAGCGATAGACCATCTAATTCTTGGACTGACTTTGAATGTTAATAATGCTATGGTACTTCTAAAGTATTTGCCAACACTGGAAATTCTTCTTGTGTTAATTCAAATTTAACTTGTGGTAGTAGTAGACCGTCTAAATAGTGGACTAATTAAGACTGCCTTGCTTGTAATGGCCCTTCTAAATAATACGCAAATGCTGATAGATCTGCTTGTGTTCCTTCTATTCCTAACTGCGGAAGTGGAAGACCTTCAAATACTTGGACAGACTCTGATTGCCTTGCTTGCAAAGGTATTTCTAAATAATATGCGAATATAGACTAATCAGACTGTGTTTCCTCTGCTTTTACTTGTGGTAATTAAAGAACTGCTAATACATGGACTGATTCTGATTGCCTTGCTTGCTATGGGACTTCAAAGTAATATAGTAATATTGCCCAGTCTAAATGTATTTCCTCTAATCTTACTTGTAGTTATTCAAGACCAGCTAATTCTTGGACAGATTCAGATTGTCTTGCCTGCTATGGTGCTTCTAAATAATATGCTAATCCCAATAAGTCATTATGTATTGCTACTCTTCCTATTTGTGGAAGTTAGAGGCCTGAAAATTCTTGGACAGACTCTGATTGTCTAGCTTGTTATGGTACTTCTAAATAATATGCTACTATCAATTAATCTGATTGTGTTGCTTCTAGTCTTACATGTGGAAGTGGTAGGCCTGATAAATCATGGAATGACTCAGATTGTCTAGCTTGTTACGGTAAATCTTAATCTTAAGCTAAATCTGATAAATCTGGATGCTTATTACTTTAAGATTCTTCTATCTCATCATCTTATATTCTTTTTTAAAGTTTAGTAATAGCTTTTATATTTTTGCTAATTTGATGATTAAACTTTTAGAAATATCAATGCAAAATATAATAAAATAAGATTTAAAATAATTCTCATTTCCTGATAAAAACTAAAATCAGAATAAATTAAATAAACTCATTTAAATTAAATTAAATAAACAAATATTTAAAAGCTTTTTTAAATATTGTATAGGCTTTCTATATTAATTAATATTATATATAATAGTAAATGTAGTAATTTCCTTTAAACTTTACATGATCATAAAAAACTATTTTTAAATTCAATAAGTGAAATTAAAAAAAATAAATATTTTTAAAAAATTTTATACAAGTTAATGATATTTATGTACATTATATTTTGTTTCTTAAAAAAATTTTTTTTAATTAGCATTTCCGATTAATAATTATTAGTTCTACTTAAATTATAGCTTGTACAAAAATAAATGAATTCCTCTCTTTTTATTTTAAAGTAACATTCATTAAAGATAATGAATGACCTGAAATTTTAATAAATCACATTTTATTTACATAATTTTATATTTTTTTACGATTAATAAAATTGACAATAAATATAGTACAAAATGCTTTTTATTTTAAAGTAAAATTCATTAAAGATAATAAATGACCTGAAATTTTTATAAATCACATTTTGTTTACATAATTTTATATTTTTTTACGATTAATAAAATAGACAATAAATTTAGTACAAAATGTTTACTTTAAATCTAAATGATTGTGTTTTCATTTTAAGGATTGTTAAAATTGTAAATTAAATTTATTTTTATATTTTATATTTTATATTGTAAATTAAATTTAAATTTTATTTTACAAATAAAATTATTTTTTATAATTTAAGAACTTTTATTCAATAAAAAGAAGAAAAAATTATTTATGTTTAAACATTTCATAGATATTAATACTTTTTATATCAATAAAATAAAATAAATTTATATTTATATTTTTTTTATAAATAAAGTTTTTTAATATTTATTTTATTACTTTTATTCAAGAAAAAGATGAAGAAAAATTAAATTATGTTTAAACATGTCATGGATATCAATACAATTTATATCAGTAAAATAAAATAAATGCTAGTTTAGTTTATATTTGTAATGAAATATTTTTTAAAAGCAATTTAAGTAAGATTACTTATTAAAAGTAGGATGTTGGACTAATTTTAAGCAATATATCATCAACTTATTTATTTACTCATTTTAATTGAATGATTGATTACTATTAAAACTGAGATTAATTAAACTGCCTTCAATGTTTATTTGCTTTTGTTTGAATACATTTAATTTATTTAATTTAAAAGTTAGTCAAATTCATTTTCACTATTTTAAAAATTTTAATAACATAATATTAAAATTTCATTAGCCATATCAAGCATTTATTACCATAGTAATTTACCTAATTTAGTAGTTGCTGGTTGTGTTATTAATAAGCTTAAACCTAGTATTTGAATGGATCAAATCAAGTTAAAATTCCATAAATGGTAGTCAGATTAAAATTTGAATGCTAGTCTTGTTTAAAAGTAGAAATAGGTCTACTAAACATTTAAAGAATATGACAGAATAGAATAATTTAATACAAAAATAAGTATTGGCAACAATGATAAAGTAAAATATAGTTTATTTATTTAAATGCATCAAATTTTTAAAATTTACCTTTTAACAAATCTAAATCTAGTTTAGTAGACTATTAGATGATCTACATTAAGTTAACGTATAAAAGATGTCACAAATATAAAAATTAAGAGGAAAAAGCTTACTACCAAGTTAAGATGTATCGCAATTTTCAACTAATTTCAGTTCTTTTTAGAAAACAAACGACGATACCATTATTTCTACAAAACATCGCGATTCATTTTAATTTCATAGAACCCTAGGAAAGTTTTAATCTACTCTAAATTCTACATTCTTAACAATGTAGTAGAGTTAACGACCTGATATCTTAAAGCAGACAATAGACTTAACTATCTAGGATGAAAAAACTGTAATAAAAATCAATCATATTTTAGTATAATTAATAGAATTTATTTTAAAATGAACTAGGTTTTAGAAACAATTTGTTTAAACGAAGAAATTCAAGAAACTCTTGAACAAAAAATAGAATAACTCAAATATACTTCTGTAATAATTATATATAAACTCATATAGAATATTGGTATTTCAATGTTAAATTTCATTTACTATTTAATTTTGAATAGGGCAAAATAAAAAGAGAAATGAAGGATTTTGAAAAAGAAGATTAACTTTTGAACATCAAATTAAAATAATTGTAAGACCAAGAACTAATGGCTTTTAAAAAGAAAGTAAGAAAATTGAAAGAAAATACCAAAAAAATCAATCATTTATTTTATTAAATCAGAATATTGTAAAATGCAGTGTGAAAAATTTTAAGTAGGAGCTAGAATTAGATAGGCAAAGAGCTACATAGTGCATTTAAGATGTCAAGAAATAGAGAGATGATATATTTAGTTAAATAAAAAAGGATTAACAAGTATACTCTCTAGTGCTCGTTAAAATAGATGTAAAAACTTATCCAAAATTATAATTGAAATTATTTTGTTCAATTAATCAAGAGAATAATTTTAATTAAACAAACTATTTTATAAATTTAATTAAGTATTTTGTCTAAATTAAACAATTTTTTTATAGGAATGCAACTAAATAATTGAGAAATAGAAGTAAGAAATCAAATAATTAGATGTTAAAAATGAAGAAATTTGTTAAAAGCTCCTTGAATCATAAAACACTGTTAGCTATCTAGACACTTTAAATGAGCTAGAAAGGTATAAAAAAATAAAAGCATTTTAGAAGATTAATAATTTCTTTTTTTAAATATAAATAAAAGAATGTTCATCAAAGGAGAAATAGAGATGAGCAATTCGATAGTATCTTAGGATATTACTCAATCTATTTTATCTGAAAAAAATCTACATTCTAGTTAGTAAATTAAGCAAAAGACTTTCTCAAATGAGATAGTATTTGATAAAGATAAAAGCAATCTTTCACCTTCTTCCACTCCAAGAAAGCCATACAATTAGAAAAAAAAAATGATTGTTTAACAACATTCTAAAGAATTTCTTAGTGTAAAATATATTTTAGCTTAAATATTTTAAAATAAATTTATCATAATAGCAAGATGGTGATAGATAAAATTTAATTAGTAAATTAGATTTTTACTATAACGAGCATGGCAAAGGTCCAAATGAGATAGCAGGTTATTTAATTAAGCAATATAGGGAGTTTAGCTTAAGCTCTTAAAGTTTATTCACTAAATTTGAAGAACTTACACAGATGAAGAAATTGAAAGTTTTAGAATATGATAAGCTTTAAAATCAAATAAGCTAAATTGAATAATAACAGATGGAGAGCTCTTTAGTGCTAGAAGAAATAAATCATGAATAAGAAAATTATTTAGCTTATGATACAGAATAGAAGTATTAAAAGCTTTTGAATTCAGGTGATTATGGAGAAATTTCATTAAACTATGTAAAAGAAGTAGTAGAAAATAGTAATTTAGAAACGTTCAAGCTTATTGAGTACAAAAATCAAAAAGACAAACTCTCGTTTGGCTTTTTTCACAATATGGTAGAAATTCTTTACAGGTAAATCAACAAAAAATAAATAAAAATTATCAATAAAATTGATTTTAAAATTTACTTGTTTCATAAAAAAAGCACATAAAAATAAAAAATAATTTGATTTATTGTTTGAATGAAATTAATTAATCTACTTTTAAAAGGTACACCTGCTTACTCAAATTGTCAATTATGAGCAATAAGAATTCTGATCAGGAGCTTAAAGATTTCTATTAAGATTTTTCGAGTTTTATTTGCTCATTTAGATTAGGATTCAATGCTAAAAGAAACATTAAAATTGACGCTACTAAATATGTTGATGAAATCTTTGAAAATTTGAATTTAAATGTAATTTTTTTATTTTTGCAAAATATTTTCCATAAATAGATTTATTTTTAAATCTTTTAGCTACCAAATAATTATATTTTTGAATAAACAATAATATATATTATTTATGCGATTAAAATAAATTGTTAAAAAAAATAATTTTATCAATTAATAAAAATTAAATAAAATATAATTAATCTTATTTGAACATAAAAAAAGCAAAATAAAGTGAATACTCCAAGTTCAGTTAGCAGTTCTTCAAATTAAATATACACTCCAAAAGTGAAGTTCTCTATCTCTTAAGTAAATTTTGTTCTTTTGAAATTATAATTATATAAAATATTAATATGTAAAATATAGCAATTTAGTGATGTTATTAAAGAGATGAAAATAGACAGCCTCAAACAAAATAAAGAGGATGAAGCAAACAAAAGAGAAGTAGAAAAATTTACTGAAAAACTTAACTTTATACCATTTAACAAAGCTGAGCTTGATCAAATTTTAAAAAATACATTTCCAAATGCTTCGCAAGATATGTTGGAAAAATGGTAAAAATAAATAAAGGTAAATTGCTTTAATTTTATTTTCATAATTTGCTTAAATAGTCACTTTAATAAAGGAAAGCATTACATACTACTATGCTACAGAGGAAGATCTCCAAGAATTTTTGGATCAAATTCGTAATGAAAATAGAAATTTATCTGACGAATGCTAGCTTAACAAAGTATTTGAAAACTTTTACAGACTATAATCAAAAGCTTATGAGCTTCACCATTAAAATATAATAAAAATATTTGAATTCTTTTAGAAGTTTAAATAAATTTTACATAAAAAGAAAATCTTGCGTAATTTTTTTAGTTAAAATTATTAGTTCAAAAATATTTTGTTCTCTTTGATTTGATCAAAAAACTTTTAGGAAGTTGTCTTAATTGCTTAACTATTTTTTTAAAGGTTTAATAAACATTTAATTTGCTAAAAAAGAGTTTTATGAAGTTGTTTTACTTATTTATCTAATTTTTAGAGTTGAAATTATAATAAATATTTTAAATTAAAATAAAGTTTTACAAATATCAGATGAAGCAGTAAGAGAAAGTTTCAAACTTCCTGTTATGCCTAAATTAAACTAAAGCTAGTCCATGATGGGTTATGTTAGTTTCATTACTGAAAAATAAAAAAACTATTTGAATTATTAAGGAGAAATGCTAGATCCTATCACAACTAGCAAAATTAGAGAAGAAAAAGAAGAAAAAGAAAAAAATATCGAAGTTATTTAAAACGATGATACTAAAAAGCTTATTTAAAAACTGACCAAAAATGACAAAAAAATAAAACTAGATTCTCTAAATGCTAGTATCTAGTAATAAAATTTAAAGCCTACTATTTCCAGATAAGAATCGATGACCAAAAGCAAAATTCCAACATTTTTAGCTATTGAAGAAGATGATTACCTTGATAGTAAGCTCTATAACCAAAAACAAAACTTAATGAATGAATTTGTAAATATGAACTTATATTATATTATTTATTTATATATATAATTCAATATTCTATTTTTAAAGGATTATTTAGAATTAGAGAGGAAAAAGGAAAAATATTCAATATAAGTCAAGCTAAAAAACTATATATAGTAAAATTTAAAAACAGAATTAGAGTAATAGAAAAAGCTCAAATAATCATAAATGTTATTAACTGAAATAAATTTCAAACACTCTCGTTATAACAAGCCTTAAAGCAGATCCAATTAGATATTCAAAGACATCATTCAGCATAACAAAGTTATTCAAAAGCTCAATTATTGTAAAACTTTATTTCAGTATGATTTAATTGTAATTTTTTTGTTTGATAGTATCTATTAAAAAGGATTCTTTCACAAACCAGAGCATATTTACAAAAATCAGAGACTATTGTCCTAAATCTTTAGATTAAAATAGTTAATTTTACATAAGAAAAAGACCTCTCCATTAAAGTTTCATGAATGCATGATAAAAAGTTTGATTTCAATAATAAAAATAAATAAAAAAATAATTCAATTTTTTGTCAGTTTTTATATATTTATTTACAGATATAGATAGAGCTTACCTATTATGTTTATCATACTTATTGTTTTCAATTTTAAAAATAAATAGTTTTTTATTTACTGGTGTTTGTCCAAATGTACTTACTTTATCAAACAAGTCAATTTAAAATAATAATTTTCAAAATTTTTAATCAAAAAAAATCTCACAATAAATTAGATGAGAATAATTGAGTAATTATATTATAGTATTAGCTTTACAGAAGTTTAATTCTTTTTATGACTTATTAGGTAAATTCTTTAATGTTGTTTTAAATAAATTTTAGATGTAAGTATAAATTTTTTTAGAATGGAATGTTATTGTTTAGAAAATTGATATAATTCAATCGCCACATCTATAAGATATACAAAAATATATTAAGTATCTGACAACTTTACCATATTTAGTATTTTTTTAGCAAAATAAATATATTTAAATATCGAAGTAAAATGTGTTTTTTTTTTTACAAAAGACTAGTTTGTTTGCTCTTCAAATAAAAACACTTTAATAAATCAGCGATTTAGTTTATAAAATTTGATATTTAATCATGCAGAAAATCAATTTAATTGCTCAATTATTTATAAACCCAAATTATATTAGACTAAGAAGCTTCAATTCATTCTCAACAATTTATCTTTACATTTATTCTTTTTTATAGGAGAAACCAAAATAAATTTCTATCTATTTTAAAAAGATTGTATGCTTCTTTAAAATAATTGTTAAGTTCCCTCCCTGATCAAAAAAAAATCAATAATTTTAATCTAATCAATTAATATCTATTTTGGTCAAAAACATAGGTAAGTAAGTAAGTACTTTTTTAATCTCTGTAATATAGAGGATAGATATTTCTTGATTTGTTAATTTTCATTAATTTAAATATCTTTGTCGATCTTAACTATAAATTAGTTAAGTAATTTATATCAAAAAAGAAAGAAATTTATTTCTGATCCTAATCTAAAAGCAAACTATTCTGAATTAAATATATTAACCTCATAAGAAAATTGAAAATATTTAAGATAGAATATTAATTATTGCAATGAATAAGGTTGAAAAACAAATAGTGTATTTAAACTATGAAGATAATAAGTAAAAAAATTCATTCATACTTAGTAAGGCTTACTGTATTATTTATAGATAAAGTAAATTGTAATTAATTTATTAAATTATGTGGTAAAAATGTAATTTACATTACTATTGCTTAAGTTAATGCGTAACTATGGTAAAAATAGTCACTAATTATGTAATGATAATTATTCTACAGTAAATAATTGAGAAAAAAAAATAATTATTTGGTTGATTTTACGATAGAAGCAATCTATGATATTGAAAGCTTGTTTGTTTTTGATAGTAATAAGAATAAAATAAATAAATAATTGATTTGTATAAATAGGTAGTTTCTACAAAGAAGAACATCAAAATAAATAATAATATTAATTAAAAAATTTGGTTAAACAAAATTTTAAAAAAAGAAAGACTAAAAATGAATAAATTAATCGCCACTTTACCCTTAATTGCTTTACTTATTGCAGGTAGTGCCTTCTATTTGGCTAAATCCAACAACTAATTAGAAGCTGCTGTCGCCATCTCTAATAACTTATCCTTCTTCGACTGGGCTAAATGTTACTCTAACATAACCGCTTCTTCTAATAATTGCACCAATTCTGATGGATACAACACTGCCGCTGGTAGATTCGCTAACCTCACCAACAGCTTATCTGAAAATATTATTGCTCCTTGCAAGAATTTCACCAACTATTTCTTGAATGCAACTGCTGACCAAGCTGTTAACTTAAATAGCTACTTCACTAATTGTTTCTTCAACGATTAAGTTCTTTCTATTGCTCAATCAGACTCATGCTTCTATAACAACTATTTCGCTCCAATTTATTTGACCTGTACTCAAACTACCTTAAAGTCTTTCTTCAATAATATTAAGAACGAAGAAGGAGTTAATTTCGCCTAATTGGGTGGATGTTAATATAACATTACTTCTTAAGCTCAACAACCATGCTAATCAACTGATGACTACTGGGCAGCTGCTGGAAAATTCAATGCTTTAACATATCCTGATTTCGTAGCTAATTAAACTTTGTCTAGTGCTTGCTAAAATTACTACAATTATCGTGGATCTGCTTTGGCTGATTCCATAGTTAATAAAGATGGTTATTACCATGATTGCTTTATTACTAATGAAACCTAAGCTATTGCCTAATCAAACGATTGCTTTAACACCTATTACTATTAACCCATTTTTGTTAAATGCGCTGGTTTCTGAGCAAATTAAGATGAACATTTTATAAAATTATAAATATAAATATGATAAAAAATATATTTCTTTATATTGTTTTATGAAGTATTATATTCTAATTTAACAAACAAATACTTATCTTTAATTTATAAGATTTACAAATATAATAAACAAAAAAATACTTATCTTTAATTTAAAAGATTTACAAATTTAATAAAAGGTAAAATCTTTAATAATTTTTTACCTTACATTTATTAATTTACTCAATTAAATCAAAATAAAAGTTTTTTTTTGACTTCAACACTTCCTTTTAATTCATGTAAAAAATACTCAGCATTACTATCATATTTTAACATCATTGATAAGCATTTTTTAAAAATAAATTTAAGTAACAAAAATCATTTATTTTTAATTTAATTCCTTTAAAACAATCAGCATAATTTTTATTTTAATTTTCAAATTTATATCAAAAAAACCAAAATATCAAACTATTTTTGAATGATATTTAGATAATTCACAAATAACATGAACTAGATTAGCGAAGCTTTATAATTTTTTTAATTAAATATTTAAAACTCTTTCCTATTTTTAAAATTTTTAATTGAAATTAAACTTTTTACAATATAAATTTTTATTATTTTATATGCTAAAAAAATAATCAATTCAAATTATATTTTTAAAAATATTTTGCTCTCACACAATTTGAAGAGAAAAAAATAATATTTATTCTTTTAAAAGTTTTTTAAAATAATTTTGAATTTTGAGTAATTATAAAATAGAGTATAAAATTGATAAAGCAAATACAACTCATAAATCACTAATTACTAACTTTTTCTTAGTTTATGGAAAATCTTTAATTTGAGAAGCCCAATTATTTGCTCCTTCGAACCCATTTTTACTCAACTAGTAATCTTCAAACGCTTATCTTAAAGTAGCCTAGCTATCTAATACAAAAGGCCCATAATTAAAAACTTGCTCATTGATGGGTCTTCCACTTAATAAAATGAATTTTGAGAATTTTTCTTAAGAAAATATTTCAAAATATCTTTCTTCGTGGTAGTTTTCAAAAATAATTGCAGCATTTTCATCATAGATTTTATCATTTATTTTAATTTTTCCTTAATAAATGAATATTAAGCAATTATGATTAGGTTATATATATTCCTTAAACAAGATATTAGACTCTTCGTATTATATATCCAAAAACTTTACACTTATATTAGTATTAATAATTCCATGTACCTAATTTCATTTTATAAAAAAAATTAAAAAATTTTTATTAAAAACAAATTCTTTTTTTGAGTTTATTATTACAAAAAGATTCACTCAATGAATGAATCTTATTTTTTTATTTATTAATTAATTAAATAATGAAGAATTTGACTTTTTATTAAATTCTAATATATTTATTTATTTTACGTTTTCATAGTTTCCTGATATTACTTTTACTTTTAGTCCATCCTTCTAATATAAAGGAAACTTATTTGACTTATATTCTTGATATTTAGGCTCTATCATTTTATCAGAACTTTTTAAGTTTATCCATAACTAAAATCCTATAGAATCCTCATCATAAGAACCTGGCATCTCGCTATGAACAATACCTTTACCCGCTGTCATCCATTAAACATCACCTTTCTCTAATATACCCTTTTTTGCATATTTATTTTTAAAAATTTGTTAATTTATTTATTAGTCTAAGTAAGTTATTTACTTTATTTCCTCTAAAATCTTCATGATGCATCTATCCACTTAGCATGTAAGTTACTGTTTCAAATCCTCTGTGTGGGTGATCTGGAAAACCTGAAGGCAAGCGTACTTTAAAGTAATCTAACATCAAAAATGGGTCTAATCTATTTAAATCATAGCTCCCTAAATAATAAATAATTATGAATTTTTGGTGATACAAAAGATATTATACCAATAATTCTAAAGACATCTGCATTATCTCCCTCTTTTTATAGCTAAGGATAATATTCCTTTTTTATTTTGGCTTACTAACTAGATTTATTATTACCTTTAGCTGTAATAAAGATAATTAATAATAATATTAAAAGTTAATTAAATTTTAATCTCATGTTCTACTTTTGTTAATAAATTTGTTATTAAAAATTTTAATGATTTTATCAGTTTATAAATCCATCTAAATTTTCTTTAAAAATTCTAAAGAAAAAAATTAATTTTTGTAAACTTTAAAGTAATCTGAAATTACAAATTCACTTACAATTAATTCAAGAAGTATTTTTTTTAATTTTAATTAAATTAAATAATTTATTTATGAAAATAATAAATATTGAGAAGCTAAAATTTTAAAAAAAGTAAATTTTTAACATTAAAAATAATGAATTGATTAAAAATATTTCAATTATTGAGAAATCTATCTGATACTTGTTTGTCTGTAACTAAACAGCCACTTTAGTGAATTATTAAAAAATAGTTGAATCAGTTAGTTTTTTATGATGAAATCAAATTAAATAAACAAAATATTAATTTTGATGGGATGACATTTTTAAAAAGATGAGTATTAAATATAACTTATTAAAATATTTAAATGAATTTTAATAACTAACATAAATTATTTATAATTTTAGTAGAAAAATTTAGATGTTTTTTTTTTCTTCAAAATTTTTTATTGAAAAAATTTATTTTTATTTGTTGAATAAATTTTCAGTCTCAAAAATTGAAAAAAAACATTTATAATTCTTATAAAAATATTCCTAAATATTAGCAATTAATTTTAGATATTTTTGTGATTATTTTAAAAATAATTAATAACAAGCTAAACTAATTTAATAAATTTTTATATATTAAGTTTTTGTATTCTTTGTAAGAATGAATTAATTTAATAAGAATTTATTTACTTAGGTAGTAAAATGTATGTAAATAGAAATAAATAAATAACTTTTTTATTACAGAAGAAATAAAATAAATATCCAGAATTGATTTAAAATAAATGTTTATAAAATAATAAGTTATATTTATTAAATTATATGCTGGAATAATAAATTATTAAAATTATTATGAATTAATTATATTTATTTATTTATTTATTTAATTATACAAAATATTTATTTTTCCTCAAATAATTTGATTTGAGTTTTATTCTTGGTCTAATTATCTTAATAGGTCTGATGAAATTTATTTTAATTACTATTCTTATTTTTAAATATTAGGTTTATCAGTATCCTCTTTAAAGCTCTTTCTTTTGTTATTAATTTAAACGTAACTAGTGACAGACTTCCCTCTGCTGCTGGAGATGTTTGATTAGCCTGAAGGAGCTTATATTGCTGAGTTTTAAATTATATTATTGCTGATATTGTTTTTGTTAAAGTTTTCTATGCTCTTAACAAGACTGTCATTTTAATCTTTTTTAATCTCATTTTATTGCTATTGATTCTACGGCTAAGAGTAAGACACACCTTAGCTATTGATAATTTCTGATTAATTTTAAGAATTGTACAATTAATTATCAATATTTTATCTGCTATTATTTTTTTATCTATTTTTATATTTTTAAAATTAATTATTAATAAAATAAATTAGATAGCTTTATAAATTTTTAATCCATCCATTAATCTTTCAAATTAATGCTCTGCTTTCTTTCATAAAAATATTTATTAAAAAATCTTTTTAACTTAATAGCTAATTTTTATTTTTAAAACTATTAAAAAAAGCTGTTTAAATTAAACTAATAAAAAATCATTAAAAACCATAATATTATTAATTAAAAATTTACTATTTATTTCTTATACTTAAATTATAAAAATCTGAAAATAAATTTCTAATTTAAGTAATTAGAATAGTCCTTTAAAAATATTGTGTGTGATATTAATCAAAAAATAACAAAGTTTTTACTTATCAATTTAATTTTTAGGTATTTTTGAGTTTCTATGTGAAGTCTCCCTAGATTCTCCAATAGTTTGAGCAAGCCCTTTTCCATATTTTTTTATATTGGATGAGATGTTATTATTGTTATGAGCTGGCTGAGATGAAGAGGAGTTAATGACTTTAGCTGCTTCTCCGTAATTATTAAGAATTTTACTGAAAGCTCCTGGCTCTATCTGTTTTTTATTAACTGAAATGTTATTTGATGGATTGAAGTGATTATGATGACTTTAATTTGTGTGATTTTAACTACTTTGATTGGTATTTTCTCTCTTATTGCTATTGCTTTAAATATTATTTAAATTGCCATTGAAATTGTTTTATTGATAATAATGATTTTATAAAGCTGCTTCTTCTGTTACGCTGTTAATGCTTCTGGGTCTTGTTGTGTAAGTTGTTTAAGATATTTAATTAGAAGAGCTAGTTGATGTGTAATTAATATAAGAAGGATTTGTCGATTGCTATCCTTAATTGCTCATTTACTTTTATTAACTTGAAGAGGGTTTGCTCTTTGAATTATTTGAATTACCGTCATACTCTTTGAAAACAATTAAAATTCTTTTAAATTCCTTTAATATATTTTCATCTGTTGCACTTAAAGCATATTAATCCTACTCATATTGCTTAATGAGGAGCTTCATTTAATTTATTATATCTGGATTCACTTAGGAGCTTTTAATTTTATCATTTAAAGTTGCTAATTAATGCTTAAAGGAGCGAACTTTTACTCTGGCTTCATCTAAGCTCTTAAGATTCAGCTTATTGTTTTTATCTGGTGTTTGTTGATTAATATGTTGCTATTTTTGTTACTTATATCCATATTATTTTGGATCTAAAGAGAGATGGAAGTGATTCTATTAATTCATTTCTGCTTTTTCTATATTGTAAAGAAAATCTTTTATTGTCATGTCTGCAGAAACATCAGCAATCTTATTCATGCAAGAGATATCATTTAAGTCAACTAACTAAACTTCATTCTTATTATCTAAATCTTATTGGTTATCTTCAATAGTAATTTATTGGAGATATTTCTCAAAATCTTGTGGATCAGCTGACTTATCCTTTTTCTTTTCACTCTTAGAGTAGTAATGCAATTTTTATTACATATTTTTATCTAAATTGCTGTATTCTTCGAAGATTTAGTTGATTTTCTTTTGTTAGAAATCATTTATTACTTCTCCTTCGTTATTAAGTTTTAAGCTAGATATTAAATTTTACGTTTCAGCAATCTTTCCCTAAATATGAATTATTTCTTATTCATATTAATTTTGATTGCATTATTTTTTCATATTGTTTTTTTTCTACTCTAAGTCTATATTCATACTATTTCTATTATCATTTGCATTTTAATTATCTTTTTCGAATTTTTATGATGCAGCTAAACTATTCAAATTGGTCTACAAATTATTATTATTATTATTGGGATATTTGTTATTTTCATGAGATTGTTTAGATGAATTCCTATGTTGTGAAACAACTTGATTTTTACTAATTTAATTATTGTTGTTTGGATTGTTATCGCTATTCTTCTAAAATTTCTTTAAATTTGGTTTTATTTTAACATTTTCAAAATCAATATCCTTCAGTTTTTAAGCATAGTTTTTGAGCTCATCGATTGTAATTTTTTCTTCAATAATATTGTGCTTGTGTTTATTCTTCTTTTTACCTTTTTATTTATTTTAAACTACTTCTTATTTATTTTGAACTTTCTCAGTATTTTCATTTTGCTTTTTCTCAGATTTCACTTTTTGAATTTCATCAAATTTTTTCAAAGAATCCAAATCTAATTTAAATCCCTTTGCTTCTTTTTTATCATTTTACTAATTATGAGCATTTCCGCTAGATTGCTCATCTAATTTATTCTCTGATTTATAAATATTTATTTGCTATATTTTGTGATGAGACATCAATTCAATTAATCTTTTATCATCAAAGTTATTGCTAGAAAAATTATTGTTGTTATTATTATTACTTACAATTCTTTTTTATAATTTTTTGTTTTAATCAAAATAATAATATTCTTTTTTTATTTCTTCCTAGCCATTTATTTCCTCAATAACTTTATTATCATTTAAATTCATTAAGTTGTTATACTTGACTGAAGCATACACGTTTACACTGCTTTATTGTTAAGGAGACAATATCTTATCTTTAGTCAAGCTTTAATTCTTTATCTATAAATTAGTTTAAGAAAAATTATTTGAGTTCCTTTTCTTTTTACCTTGTTCTTATCTATTACTGGATAACTATCTGTTTGGTTCTTTTGGCCTGTAGTAAATTTCATGAATATTTTATGAACCAACAGGTGTTCTTTCTTATGTTAAAAGAGTAGCCTAATTTTAGCTTGATTATAATTTATTCATATCTTATTGTGTGTGAGTTGCACTTTTCTCCCTCATTCTCTTATTTTAGCTTGATTAAATTTAAGGCGACATAAAATTTAAATTCTAAAAAGTAGTAACTGATTTTTTATTTTATTCTTTCTACTCTTTATTATTGTTTGTTTAAAATTTATTAGATTCTTTCTATTAATTTTGTGGAGTTTTAGTTAATTCTTTTTATTATTGTTATTGCTCCTTTTGCTTTAATTAGGTAATAATTTAGGAACTTTTAGAAATTATTTTATCTTTTTCTTGTAATTGCTACTTCATCAATTCCATTTCTCTTTCCATTTGCTTCAACTTATTCACAGTTTTTTCTTTCTCTAATGCTAGTGTTTGTGCTTCTTTTTTTATTTCGATATTTTATGAAAATAAATCCATCTTCTCTAATTGCAATAGCCTACAAGTCTCTTCAAGAGATTTTTCTTATCCATTTTCATTACTTTCTACAATCAACTTTATTTTCTCTCTAAGTTATTTCTTTTACTAATTATTTTTTTCTAAGTTATTCTACAATTCCTAAAAAACCTTATCATTATTATCCATATTTGCTTAAATTGTTTGTATTTCCTATGATAATTTTAAAATTTCGTCTTTTACTTATTCAGTCATTGTTGTTTTTAGTAATAATTTTTATTCCTCTTGCCTTGCTATTAAGTTTTACTAATTCTTTTATCTAAGCTACTCCAAATCTTTTAAAGTTTGAGTAATTTCCCAATTTTCTTCTATATTCAAGAAAATCTAGCCTGAGAGTTCCTCCATTTCTCCATTATCTTTTTGGTCTTAATTTGATCCCCTATTAGATTCATTCACTGGCAATCCAGATTTAACTGAATTAAATCTAATTAATTTAATAAAACGATAAATTAAACAAAAATAAAAAAATCTAATTAATATCAATCCAAATTTATTTATTTATTTAATATTATAAGAATTGTTTTACTCTTATTTTTGTGTATGAGAATTCAGTTATTTTTTAAGAGATTCGATTTCTAATTTGAGATTATCAATTATCTCTTTGTATTAAGAAACGTGGATATCTACATCCACAACGTTTTATTTTATTTTATTTTAAATATTTTTAGCTCTTTGAGCATATTTTAAAGTATTCAATGTCTCTTCATATGTTATAAAGCTTGGTGCAACACATGCAATCATAACTGTTTTTGTAGTACCTCCCAATGAATCCTTTAATAATCTTGTGAGTTTTGAATCTCTATATGGAACATATGCTCCTTATTTTTTAGAGTCACTTAAAATATTAATACAATTTCCTAAAGCTAATAAACTCCTATTAATTTTAGATCCTATTTTATTCAAAATTAAACTAAGTTGAATTGCTTAAAAAGAGTTTTTGTTTCAAAGAATAAGAAAATAATTTTTTAAAAAAATATATTTTAAACAAATATCTAATTTTATTTCAATTTTTTAATAATTTATCTAAAATGTTCTTTTATTTTAGATTAAATACATAGTTTGCTAATTTACCTTCCATCATTCTTATCCCTTTGTTTTCCGATACTGCAGCCCTTTCACTTCCTGCTAAATCTATCAAAGATAATTTACTCACTATCTTATGAGAGGCATATTTCATATCAGTTGGGATTTTTTCTATATTGATTTAAATTATACAATGAGATCTTGAACTAAACTAATTTGAATGGGTGCTTGCCATAACTCTAATAGAGTTTCCCTTTAATATTAGATAAGAAAACAAAAATAATGAATATATTTATTTATTTATAATTATAAATAAAATGATTTATTTTTACTTTTCTGATAAGGTTATTTAACTCGAATTAGTCCTTGATTTGAAATTCACTTAATTCTGGAATAAGTATTCCCTTTTAAGGATCTTCAACAATCATAAGATTGGATTGGTTGCCCTAATCTACTAGCAAATCTCTAATATTTTCGTTATATATTTCTAAATAGCTAACTTTGATGCTGTATTTAAATTCCTTGTTTTTTTAAAATATGCTAAATAAGTCCTTAATAATTAGAGAGACAATTCCTTCTGCCATTTTGTCTCTCCCCTCCAGAAAATCTTAATTTTTATACTCATCTCCAAACAGCGTGTATGTTTTTCCTGCACCTGTTTAACCATATGCAAAGACTGTTGTGTTATATCCTTCTAATAAATGGTCCTTTAATAAACTTGCTATTGTGCCTTCATATACCTTTTAGTTATCATCTTTATCTGCAAAAACCTAGTCAAATCCGAACCCTTTCTCTTTCTAATTTTCTAATGATCTAGAGATGTCAGGATCTAAAACATATAACTAGAATTTATAATTGTAAATTTTGTAAGTTTTTGCATTCAACCTAAGTTTTTTTAATTCTAATTTAATAATTAATATAATACCTAGTTTTCATAAGTTTTGATTATTTCTAAACGTTTCTTTGGAAGAAATTGAGATTTTTCTTTTGCATTAATTGGACGCACTCTTGCATAAACTTTAAACGTGTCATTATTTGAAGAATTAAAAGATGAATTAGATCCAAAATTATTTAAACTTTGCTATTCTTTTTGTGTTTAAAAGTTAAAAATCTCTTAATTCACATTTTGCTGCTTGGCGCTTTCCTAATTTTGACAAGTAAAATTTAAATCAGTAAGATTTATTTTCTGGTAAAACATGAATTGCTTTTTTAATAATGAATGAAACTCAATTTACATCAGCAAACCCGTTAACGTTTATAGAATTAATTTTTTAAGCTGAAGCTTGAGGCTAAGCAATTTTTTCTCCTGACTGGTGCTTTTGTGCAGAAAGCGATTGCTAAGAAGGAATTAAATTTTAAGAATGAAAAGATTTGCTAGCCTATTATTTTCCTTTTACAGATGTTTATCCTAATGAACTAGAAGTTTATTGATTTTATTTAATAGGTGATCCCTTGTAAATTTTATTTTAAAGTTAAAATTTATCTGCATCTTCTTGATTATTGCTCATAAAATTGCTTGCTGGTGCCTTAATTAGGTATTCATTCTTTGTGCTTTAAGCAATTTAATCTTTTTTGTGAATGTCTATCTCACTATTTATAATAGGGTGATTCAGCTTCATTCCTATATTTATATATATATATATATTTGTCAAAAATATTCCTTTAACTTGCTTAATTTTTTGATAAATTGACAAATTAATTAATTTCTATCTTAATTTTCTTTTCCAAGATTGTTAAATTTACTGAAGCTAATTAAGAAAACAACGACAACTTATTCCTATTTAGTGATTTTGGATTATTTTTGATTGAAAAAAGTTAATTTTTGTATAAAACTTCCTAATTAACTACTCTTAAATTTCTTTATCCTTTTGCTAACATTTACAGATATGCAAGCAGGCAAGCAAGCTATTTTAATCTACATAAAAATTAATATTTTAAAAAAATATTTTTAAATCAAATATGTCTTTATGAACACAAAGCGCTTATTTATTTGAGTAATTTAAAATTATTCGTTAATTTTCTTTTAATGCCTTATCAATTTAAAAAGACTAACTAACTAACTAACTATTAAATTCTACATTCAAATGTACTTTCATTATTAGCCTCAAAAACTATTACTTTAAAAAGTTAAATTGATAAGTAAATTCTTTGTAAAATAAATAAAATCTACCTTATTAATTTTAGTAATATTTAAGCCAAAAAAATCAAATAGACTAAAAAAACAGATTTACCAAAAACAAAAAAAAAAAATCATAATTAAAAATTAAAAAATTTTATTTTAAATAAAAAACTTTGATTTATTTCAAAATAATTTTCGAATTTAAATTTAAACAAAAAATATTTTTTATTTTCGATATTTCTAATTAACTATCAATCAATTAGTTTTTTTGTTGCAAAATTGACTCTATTTAAATAAAAGAAAATAAATATTAATAAATTTTTGTAGGATATGATAAAAAATATTGAAATAAAAATTTAATTTAATGTTTGTATCTGCTTGAATCTTAAAAAGATATACAAAAAATAAACAAATACAAGAAAGAAAGAGAGCTGGCTCATAAAATCATCAAAAATTATTGTCAAATAAATAATATTAGAAGAAGATTTTATTTAATTTTTATGTGATTTCTAATGGATCAATGAATCAATCAATCTATGAACCATATTAAAAACAACATGCAATATCAAAGAAGCAATAAATCGATAAAATGAAGAAATAAATAAATATATGAATGAATTAATTAATTAATTTATTTATGTAAAAATATTGAATGATAAATAAAAAAAAATATAATTAAATACTTGTGCAAATAAATTGAATAAATAAATCATAGGATTAATTTCGATTAAGAAAAACAAACACTTAAATTTTAACAATATTACAAATTAAAAACAGAAAAAGAAAAATGGGAAACTGCTGTAGCAACGACGATGATAGACCTGACCAAGGCTTCCATTAGAATTAATGTATCAATTATGGTCCTTTAAAGAGAGATGAAGAGGATACATCCAACAATTTACCAAACACTTTAACTTTCGGTTAACCCGTAAAAGTTGAAGATAGACCTGTGGATTTGTAAGCATCCGAATTCATCCATGATGGACACTAATTCTTAGCTGAATCAAGAATATCATAGAGAGAACCTGTTGAAAAATCATTCATGGCTGTTATCACTTCACCAGAAAAGAACATGGAAAGATCTAATCGTATCAGAATCATCAATCAAGTCGAATAAAACAATTTCGTCAGTGAGCCTCTAACAGATACTTAAAAAGATACTAGATGCATGGAGTTAAATAAAAATTTAAAGACTCCTTAGTTGAGCAATAGTTTTTACAGAGGCTCAAACGTTAACACAACATAAGAGAGACCATTTTATAATGCTGCTACTAATTAAAATTAGCAAGCCTCATCATATTATTAAGTGAATACAACAAGTAGCTATAGCAATTAAGTAGGAACAAATAACAATCAACAGCCTGCATATAATGGATACTAACAACAATAATACCAAGCAAGTCAAGTTAGATATTCTTAAGCACAACAAGCAGCTCCAATTAACAATAATAGCAATCTTATTCACAATAACAACCCTATTATCAAATCTTTAAACTTCAGTTGATATCATTCTTTCTTAAAAAACAACCACAAAATGTCTTTGAAAATACAAAAATTATCTATCAATAAATCAATAAATAAATAAACAAAAAAACCAATCTATCTATCTCTTTATTGCAGTTATATAATATTTATTTTTCTTATACTACCAAGTTATTAAGCAAACAGTAAAATAAATAAATAAATAAATATAATACTTATGTTAAACTAGCATTTATTTCTATTAAGCTTAGCATTTATAATTTTTATTTCAATCTTTCAATTTCTATATTTTATATTGCTTTTATGAATTTTTTTCTTTAAGTAAGCTAAATAAACCAAAAAAAAAAATAAATTATTCAACAAAAGAAACTTATTTTAGTAATAAAATAATTTAAAGTTTGATTAGAAATTCAATTTCAAATTAAATATTTTTATCTTTTGGTGAAATCAAATTGTTTTTTTGTAAAATAAACTTATAAAACAACTTAAAATTTATGAATCTTTATTAATAATTTATTAAGGAGTATATAAGCAAATAAAAACAAACATGATATGAATCTATTAAAATATAAATAAATTCTAGTTTAACAAATGTCTCATTCATTTTTGTATCAAAAAAATAACTATAATTATTAATTGATATTTAAAATAGTAATAATTAAAAAATGACATAACGTGTTGACATTAATTAACTCTTCCATGATTCTAAATTTAAATAAACAAAGATTTCTTTTAACTTTTTAAGCTTTGTTTTTGTTTAGATTTCAGAGCATATTTTATAAAAATAGTAAAAATTTAAAATATATTTGAATAAATTAAAATTATTTTCAATATTATAAAAATAGTAAATTGTCATAGATTAGACAAGAAAGGAAGGAAGGAATAAATGAAAGAAGGATATCCAAAAATATGGAAAATGTTAAAAGTAGAAAGCCCTATCATAAACAAGATGCTTAGTGGTTTGAGAAAGAGAATGATTATGGATAAATAGGTTGATTATTATTGTCATGTATTTATTAGAAGAAAAAGTTTATTAAAAGACATCATCAAATATAAATAAATTAACAAACAAATAAAGAAAATATTTATATTTTGTTACAAGCAATTTTAATTTAAGATTTAGGAAAAGATGTTTTGGAGAAACGTAGTAAGAGGCCTTAATTGCTAATAAGCTTTAAGAAGATAAAACTTCGCAAAGAATATCACAACTACTGATATTCCTAAGGATTCCCACCACTTCGCTGCTAAAAGAAGTGGCTTCACTTAAACTGAATAAGCTCCTTTCGCTTACAATGACGTATATTAATATCCCAAAGATTACAAACCTTGGAATTACAACTACAAGGGTAATGGTGTTCTTTTAGCATTATTCTTAGGCAGTGCTTTCAGTCTTGTTGCTTATGAAAGATCTTATGCTTCAAAAACTGGAAGATATTAAAGAAAAGTTTAATAAAATTACTACTAAATTTGAAAATTAAATTAGCTGATTTGATAAATGATGGATCCTAATAGATACATAGTAGTGATTTATTGTCATAATAAAGTTGACTAAAATGAGAATTAGATATTTATAAAGCTATTTAACATAGAAAGCTAACATATGATAAACGCTTGATAAATTTTAATGATATCTTTTTAATTCCATCATACATATATGTCAGTATTTTAAGACTAAAATACAATTAATTTCAATTCACATCAATTCATACATACATACATTCTTACATATAAACAAATATAAATATATATATATAACCTTATCAATCATTTCCTTTATAAATCACTAAGATGATATATATCCTATTCTTTTAAATCTTTATTTGCATTTTTGTTTTTACAAATAAATATGCATGCATACATGTATGTATCAATGCATAAATATATTCTACGAAATCAATCTACAAATTATGATTTTAAAATAATAAAATATTTTTTAATATTTATATTTTAAAGAAATATAGTAAGATAAATTTCAAAAAGCATATTTAAATTTATTCAAAAAGAAAGATTTTAATTATTTGCACAATTTTAAAATACTTTATGTAAAATTAGAATCAGTTTAAAAATATTTTATTATACTTATTTACTTATTTTATCTAAAATATTTTTGTTAAATAAATAATAAACAGATATCTAACACACAAGATTCCCTTAAAAAAATAAATCATTACTATTATTATTGTTCTTCAAAAAATAAAAATTCTTAAATAAAAGAGAAGAAAATAAATAGAATATAATTTAAAAATTAATAAATATTTATTCAAATTTTAGAACAAAAATTGATTTTAATAATTATTTATTTTTTAAACATGAAAATTCAAAATATTATTATTTGTTTGTTATTTATCTTAAAAATAAAAATTATTTAGCATATTAAATATAAAAAAGATGTTCCTTATAAAATTAGACGAATCATTCAAAACAAACAGAATTTTGAGAATTAATAAATATTTTTCTAACTTTAATTTTTTATTATTTTTTTATAAAAATCATTTTTTATAATTAATTTTGCTTAAAAAAAATGATGGTAAAGTAATTATTTGAATAAAATATTTCAATCTTAATAAAAAAATAAATTATTGTTTATTCATTTTATTAATATTGTTATTTAAAAGATAATCTATTCTCTTATTTTTATTATAAAGCATTTATTTTTAATTTAAATAAAAAATAATCTTTTCACTTATCTTGATTATATAGTTTTTATTTAAATATAATAAATTTAAAAAATTAATTTTTGTTTTTATTAAGTGCCTTTATTAAACATAAGTAGGAATAATAAAAAATAAATTTAAAGATAATAAGAAAAGATTTAAAGATGGATTAAATCTTTAGCAATCGTTGCTAACTAATTGAGCATGAAGAGTTGGAAAAAGATTAAATTTGTTTAGAAGATGAATGCTAGTTTTTAAAAATGTGCCTTTATTGTAGATTGGCGCATAAGTAGAATCATAGAATAATCAAAATAAAATAATTCGCTGATAAAATAACAAAAATTCAGAATCCTATTGCTATAAAAGAGAAGCATTACAATAAAATTATAGAAATATTTAATTAAATATAAAAATAAGTTAACATTTACATAGATAATTAGCTTGAAAAAACTAATTTTTTTAAGCTATACGTAAAATTGTAAGAATAAAATATTAAACTTAAAGAAACGAATATTTAATTTTTTGATTCAGCAACTATGATATTTTTAAATAAGATTTCTAATTCGTATGAAGAGGATATTCTAAAATCAAGCTTTTTGAATGAAAATAATAAGCAGAAAATAGTGGATGCCATAACAAACTAATTTATTAAGCTTCATAATCAAAATTTCTAGCCTGAAAAATTTGATAATAATAATGAATAAATTTTAAAAGAGAATTTCTAACAATCATAAGTTTAAAAAGCTCAGACAGAATAATAACAATAAATAATTTATTAACTATAACAAAATAATCAATATTTGTAAAATTAAATTTATTATTTAGAAAATTAAATCAAATAAGATAATTTACATAAAAATTTTGTTGAATAATAGTTACAAATAAACGAATAAAATAATTAATCATTACAAAATTAAATTTATCAATTAAAAAATGAAATCAAATAAAAAGATAATTTATATCAAGACCTTTTAAAGGAATAAGAGTTAGAAAGAAATTAATTGTAAATTTAAGCTAAGTAATTTAAAGATGAGATAGATACTTTAGATTAGAAGGTTTAAGTTATTGAAAATGAAAAAAGTGCTTTAAAAATGCAATTCCAAGAAATGAGTTAATATTAAGTAGGAGCTATTTTAGCTGTAAATTTATAATAATAAATTTAATTTGATTTAGCAAATAAAAAAGTTGATGAGCAAAACAAAAATAGCTAATTGAAAAACATGATTAAATTTTGAGAGAGCATGCCAACAAGATTAAATAAAAAGATTAAGAAATATAAAGTTTATAAAAACTTTTTGAAGATCAAGATTTCGAAAGTTTCTTATTCCTAAAAATATCAAAAAATAATGAAATCAGATATTTAAATGCATTTTAAATTAAGTAAAAAAACATTTAAATCATTCAATAAGCAAGATAAAGTATTAACAAAATAGTTAATCACTTTAAACTTAGATAAAACTGAAAATAAAAGATAATAATTTATACATTCATATCTGTAAGCTTAATTCTCATTAATGATAAAATTTATACGATTATAAATAATAAAAAATAAGTTACTCCTTATTACTTTATATACTGATAAAAAAGTATTTATATATATTAGTCGTTGACAGAATATTCGATCTGTGGAATTTTAAAAACAAAATTTTGAAAATTAATAAATATTTTTCTAACTTTAATTTTTAAAATTTTTGTAATAAAATGAATTTTTAAATAAATGATTGTAATTATTTTATTTCACTTTTAATGAAAAAATAAAATATTTAGATTGTTAAAAAATTAATTATTATTTATTTGTTTTATAAATATTTTTATATAAAAGATAATCTACTCACATATCTCGTTTGAGTTGGATTTTTGTTTTATTTAAGTTAATTAGATTCTAATTTATTTTATTATAAAGCGATCATTAATTATTTATTTAAATAATTAAATAATATTTGTTAATATTAAGCGCCTTTATTAAATATATAAGTAGGAATTATACAAAATTTAAAATAAAAAGAGAAGAGTGAAAGATGGATTAAATCTATAGCAATCGTTGTAAAATAATTGACCATGAAGAGTTGGAAAAAGATTAAATTTGTTTAGAAGATGAATGCTAGTTTTTAAAAATGTGCCTTTATTGTAGATTGGCGCATAATTAAAATCATAAAATAATTAAAATAAAATAATTCATTGATAAAATAACAAACATTCAGGATCCTGTTGCTATAAAAGAGAAGCATTACAATAAAATTATTGAAATATTTAATTAAATACAAAAGCAGGTTAACATTTATATTGATAGTTAGCTGGAATAAACAAATTTTTTTAAGGAGTATGCAAAATTTTCAGAATAAAAAATCAAACTTAAAGAAACTAATATTTAATATCTTGATTCAGCAACTATGATATTTTTAAATAAGATTTCTAATTTTTATGAAGAGGATATTCTAAAATCAAGCTTTTTAAATGATAATAATAAACAGAAAATAGTGGATGCCATTAAAAACTAATTTATTTAACTAAATAATTAAAATTTCTAGACTGAAAAAGTTGATAATAATAATGAATTAATTTTAGATGAGATTTTCAATCAATCAGAAATTTAATAAGCTGAGTTAGAATAAAAAAAAAAAATTATTTAATAATTAGAAGAAAGCAATAAATCTTTACAAAATTAAATTGATGATTTAGAAAAATAAATGAAAGATAAAGATAATTTACATAAAGAATTTCTAGAGAAATAACAGTAATAAATAAACCAAGAAAATAATCAGTCTTTACAAAATTAAATTTAAAGTTTAGAAAAATTAATTAAAGATAAAGATAATTTACATCAAGAATTTGTTGAGAAATAAGAGTTAAAAATAAACGAATTGTAAATGTAAACTATGTTATTTTAAGATGAGATCAATACTTAAGTTCAGAAGGTTAAAGATGTTGAAAATGAAAAAAGTGTTTTAAAAATTCAATTAGATGAAATGTGTTAATACTTATAAACAATATTAGTTTTAAAATAATAAGAATAAATTTAATTAGAGTTAGAAAATAATAAAAAAAATGATGAGCAAAAACAAAAAGAGTTAATTCAAAAACATGATGATATTTTGAGAGAATATGTTAAAAAGATTGAATAAAGAGATTAAGAAATATAAAATTTATAAAAACTTTTAGAAGACCAAGATTTCGAAAGCATCCTATTCCTAAAAATATCTTAAAATAATGAAAATGAAGACTTAAAAGCACTTTAAATTGAGTAAAAAAACCAGGAAGTCATTAAATCAGCTGAGTAAAGTATTAAAAATATAATTAATCACTTTAAACTTAAATAAAAGTGAAAATAAAAGATAAATTATATTCATACATACATATATTCAAATCAAGAAGCTTAATTTTCATTAATAATTAAAATTAGTATTATTATAGATAATAAAAAACTAATTATTCATACTAACTTTATAAACTGATTAAGAGAAATTCATTATAAAAATATTCTACTTACTTCATATTTATATTGTAATAGATAAATCATAAATTAATTAATATTCCCTTTTTTTATTTTATTTTGATTTAATTATTTTATATGTTCTCATAAACCATTATATAAAAGATTAATTTAACTTAAAAGTGGAGTAAAAAGCTTTTTAATTTTGGATAAGCTGTGTTTATGTGCTAATTAATATTTATAAAAGAAATGTAGAGTAATGTCTAGTCCAAAAAAAAAAATAGATTAAATTTTGAAAATTTTAATTTTAGAGTTTATTGGCATCTTTTTTGGCAAACATTAGATTGTAAATTTTCTCATTTAGTTACTATATATGTTTATACTTTATCATATATTAAAGGACTTAATATAAAAATAATTTTCATAAAGGTTAGATCTAAATTCTTATTAATTTCAATTACCATGGTGTATTTTTTCAATCAATAACTTTATAAATTAAGTCAGAAAAGTACTAAATTATTTCTTATAATTTAGAAATTAAAACATACGGATTTTCTCTTTACTTTATAATTAGCTAAATTTAATGATAAAAAATTTTTTTTTCAACTTTTGTTAGTAGTTGCTTTATTATGCATGAAAAATAAAACTTATAAACTCTTTTTAAAATAATAATTCGCCATTAATTTTTCTTATGAAAAAGTTTTAAACCTTAAATAAAATCTTTATTTAAAATAAGCTCTTTATTTTTTGCTTGGTGGCTATATTGTTTCTTTTCTAAATTAATAATTTTTATATTTTTAATTTATTTTTTTCGTGAGGTATAAATTACATAAATTATGGATAATTAGATGATGACATTACAAATAACAATAATTAAATAAAAATAAGATATTTTAATTACAAAAATAAAAATAAAAAATGAGATTATTAGCTGCTTCTATTTTCTTTATTTTAGCTATTACTAATGTATCTGCTATTATAACACACTAAGAGTTTTAATAATGCTAAGCTACATATGAGAATTCTGCTTAAACACTTTGTTTACGAGGTGATTAAGATTGTTTTACTGCCTTATAAAATATTGGAAATTGTTTAGACTCATGTGCTTCAGATACTAAGAAAAGTTATAACTAGATCCTTAATTGTGCTAAAACTAATTGTACAACAAGTAATCAAAATGTTTAGTCCTGGTTAAACAAATATCTTTCTTGTCTTTATTTAGGAAAACTTTCACTTAGTTTCCTTTTATTAGCTCTATTTGTTATTGTTTTCTGAGTTGTTATAATTTCATATAATAAACTTTGAATTCTATAAAATAATAATCCATTTTATATTTGTTATAATTTTTTAACATCTTTAAAAAACAAAAAAGTTTTAATTAACTTAGTTAACTAAACTATATAAGACTGGCTTGAATTAAAACCAAAATATTTTTTTTAAAGTTTTTTTATTTTATTAATTGAAATAGAAAATTATTCAAATATACTTTGAAATTTAAATTTATCTTTTTTATTAATTTTTTATGTATTCATTTATTTATGAATTTCTAAAAAAATTTGTTTCTTGGGTGTTAATATGTTCGGGTGTTAATTAATGAGGATTGATAGTATTTTAAATCTACATTTATATTTAAAAATAGTCCATATTAAAATATTTGCTAACTTATTTTTGTATTTTAATTACCTAATTAATTTACTCTATTTTCTTCACACTTTTTTAGTTATATTGGCCAATAATTTACATTTATAAACTTTTCAATTTTTATGAAAATATATTTAATTTAATTCATAGTTGCATACATACAAAATTAATATAAATATTTTTAAATTAAAAATTATATCCCTATTAAATGAATGTTTTTCTTTCTGTTTGAAAATAGAGTTAAATAAGATATTTTTTTTTGATTTGAGTATTAGTTAAAGTCAGTTGCAGTTAGTTATGGTTAAAAATTATATTAATTTTTATTTTTCTTAAGATTTAAAAAAAATTATACTAATATAAAATGGAATATCATAGAATTATATATTTATTATATGAAATTATAAGAATAATCTTCAATTTTTATCAAAAAACAATAGAAAATATAGCTAATAAAAGAAAACTAAGTGAAAGTTTTCCAATATGAAGACAAGAAAGAAATTTGTTTAACCAGGACTAAATTGTTTTATTGGTTGTTGTACAAGTAGTTTTAGCACAATTAAGAACATAGCTATCGCTTTAATTAGTACCTGAAGCACATGTAGTTAAACAATTTCCAATAGATAATAATTAATTAGCACAATCTTAGTCACCTGATTAGCAAAGTGTTGCTATAGCATTCTCAGCTGTAGTGGTGCATTATTAAACCTTTTAGGATGTTTAAGCAGATACATTAACAATTAGTAAAATAAGCAAAATAGAGGCAGCTAAAAATTTCATTTTTTTAATTTTATTTTAATTAATTTTCTTTTTTAGATTTAATTATTATTATGTGTAATATCATCATTGAATTATTAGTAATTTATAGCTCAAAAAAAAGTTTTGAAATACAAGAATGAATGATTAATTAAGTAAGTTAAAAAACAAAATAGCCATGAAAAAGTAAATATGTAACATATTTTAAATAAGGATTTATCTAAGGTTTAAAACTATTTCTTTAAATAAATTAATGCTGAATTATTATTTTAAAAAGAGTTTATTCATTTTTTCATCCATAGTAAATAATTTTTAAACAAAAATTGAATAAATGTATGTATTTGTAACATTTCATATTGATTACATAAATTATTTTTAAATAAATAAAAGATCAAATTCAAATTCGAGTGTTTTAATTACTAAATTATGCTAATTAATTAAGTGCTTTTCTGCATTATTTTGTAAAGTTATTTATTAATAAAATTCAAACATCATCGTAATTGAAATTAATAAGAAAAAAGTTCTAATCTTTTTGAAAATTATTTGATATTAATTAAGTCAATTAATAGATAATAAAGTGTAAATGTTTATAATATTTACATAGTAAAGTTTTCCAAAAAGGATTTACATAAAAAAGCATAATTAAAAGTGGGAAATATCAATAATAAAAGCAATTCGCTATTAATAATTTTGTCTATTTTGTATGGGAGTTATAATCTATTTAGATTTGTGGTTAATTAATTAATTTATATATCTAAAATAGAAAAATTTAGTTTCAGAGGCTATAAAGAAATCCACTAAATCAATTTTCTCAATTTATCTACTTTAAAAAATCTTTCTAATATCTACTTGAAACTGTTGTTAATAAATTAAATTAAAGCCAAACATTCATAATTATAAATAATTATAATTTGAAATATTATTTGACTCTAACGCCTTCTTTCTAAATTCAATTTCGAGTAATAAATTATAATTTGTTGGAAAATTTAAGTTTCACATAATTTAGAATAATAAATATAAATTATTTCTTATAATAGTAGGATTCAAAGCTTAGATTAAAAGGGTCTATATATAAAGGTGCTCACTAAAAAAAATATTGAACTCAAAAATTAAATTTCAAAAATATAATAAAAATAATAAATTGAATTTTACATTCATTCCCACATATTTAATCATTACTAAGAAGTATAAATTTAAAGAAAAAACTTCTGATATTTTTATGAGAAAATCAAATTTTATTTCACAAAATGAATTTGATTAAATTCAATATTTGATTTTAGATTGATTCAGATATTAGTTAGATCATTTTAATGTAAGTAATATAATTAGCAATTTTAAACAAAATATAAAAAATCCTTTTTTAATTTTTTTTGTAACAAAATATTTAAGCAATCCTTTTATTTATTTAATCAACATAAATACAGTTATTAATTTAATTAAATAAAATAAAGATATACATTATACTTGTTAATGTCAATTATTTAGCTGTTTATAGGATTCATAATAGGTACCATAATATATTAGACGGTTATTAAAACACTCTATTTATATTATGTATATAAGAGAAGGTATGGAAAGGATATAATTGTTTTGTTTTATCCTGTTATTGGTTGGTATTATTTTGTCAATTAATCTTTTAAGAAATATGGAGATTCCCACCAATTTTATAAAACTTTAATCAAAGAAAATCCAAACGCAAAAGCTATTCTTGCTTTATCTGGATTTACCAATATTATTACAATAATTGACACTAACTGGGTGAAGAAATGTCTCACAAATCAGCATCTTTTTTTCAAGAAGGATGGCCCTTTTGGATTCGATCTCTTATTTGGTGAAGGTTTGTTATTCAAAAATAAGCAAGAATGGAAGAACCAAAGAGCATTTTTATAAGGAAATTTTCATTTCAATGCTTTAATGGAAAGATTTTAAATGTTCAAAGATTGTAATTTGTAATTCTGTTCAGAAGTTCCTTCTAACGGTGAGTATGTTAAGCTCGATTACTACAATGAAGCTGCCAAGGTTAGCTCAGATATCATTTCATATTCTTTTATGGGTAGATCTATAAATGAAATTAAATCCAATTAGAAATCTTTCTCTATAGAACTCATTAATTTAGTGAAAGATTGCTTTGTTTATAGAATTACTAATCCTTTTTTTATGATAAAGGCTTCAGTCTTTGGACCTAGAAAGAGTACAACATCTTTCAATAGCTCTACTGAAAAAGGCCTTTTAAGCCGTATAAAATCTATTAATAATTGTCTTTATAATATTATAGAAGAAAGAGAATAATAATTGAAGAAAAAGTATAAAAATCATAATGAAATGGTGCCTGCTAACTTCTTAGATATGTATTTAAAAGAAATTTGGAAGTAAGAAGAAGAAAATAAAGAATCAAAGAATAAAATTACTCTAACCAGAAAAGAAATCGTAAATTAATATATAACTGTCATTTTTGCTGGAACAGATACTACTTCTCATCTTATTGGGAATATACTCTTCGAACTAAGTAGAAATCCTGATGTTTACTAGCGCCTATAAAAGGAAATAGATGACAATATTCTTAGCTTTGAGAATATGAAGTATGAAGATTTAAATAACTTGCCTTACTTAAGGCTTGTTATTAAGGAAACACAAAGACTATATCCAGCAATTTTTTATCTTTTTGGTAGATTTATGGATAAGAGTTATACAGATGAAGATCTCTTTATTTCAAAAGACTTAGAGGTTTAAATTAGATTAGTTTCGCAATAAGAAAAGCAAAGTGGCTTATTCAGTGATATACAGAAGTTCAATCCTGATAGATACAATTCAACAGATAAAGAAGACCCATACGACTTTATTCCTTTTTCTGCAGGTCCTAGAAATTGCATAGGATAGTATTTGGCTCTCATTGAGACCAAAGTAGCAATAGTCTATGCTTTAAAAAAATTCCATCTCAAGAAGCGTGATGATTATGAGTTAAAGATGTTTTAAGAGTTCGTATACTCTCCAGTAGAAAAAGACCTCTTTTATATTAAAAGAAAATGAAATAATTATTAAAAAAAAAAATAAACTCACATCATAAATTATTTTAACTAATATGTTCTACTTATCTATTTTTTTAACAATCAATCATTTTAAATTCATAAAAATAAACAACAAATTCAATAAAGTTGATGATTCCTTTTATTAATGATATTTTATGTTAAATAATTTGAACACTCATTTTAATTTAAGATAATTAATTGAATTTTGAGTGAAAAAAATAATTTTATTTTTTAGTGCTAAATTAAATTTTCAAATGAAAAATTTATTCTATCAAATAAATATTATAACAAAATCATTATAATAAATTTAATAACAAATTTTCATTAATGAAATTCAAAGAAAGCCAAAACCAAACATTTTCTGAGACTAAAATATATTGGACAGTAAAAATTTTCAATTTTTAAGAAATTAAAGTTTAATCAAGTTCAATCATACATTTATAATTAATAAAAATTATTTATTCATATTAAAAGAAGACTGAATGTTTGATTAATAGTATATTAAAATAATTTTAAGTTTTTTATTAGTTAAAGCTGAGATTATTTGCTGTGTTCTGATTGTTCAGTACTTAATAAATAGATTTAGTATTATTCCCAAAGTATATTTAGGTAGTTTTTTTCAATTTTTCAATATCTAAAGCGTTTTACCTAAAAAATTAATATTTATCTGTTTCAAAATATGGCAAAATAAAAGAATAATTTTTGAAAAAAATAATTATATATTAATAAAAGTCAGTTTTAGTTATGGTTAACTAAGTTAATTATTTTTTTTTTGTTTTTTAAAGATATTTAAAAGTTGCAAGAATACGAACATAAAATAGATTCTTACTTTATAGAATTATATATTTATTATATGAAATTATATGAATTATCATAATTTTTTATCAAATAACAATGGCAAATATAGCTAACAATAGTAAGCTAAGTGAGAGTTTTTCTAAGTAAACACAAGAAATATAATTGTTTGCCCATGTTTAAACAGCTTTGTTACTTGTTGTACAGGTAGTTTTAGCACACTTAATTACAGCTGAATCACTTTAATCAGGACCTGAACCACATGTGTTAAAACAATTTCTAATAGTTTGTAAGGCAGTAAGGCAATCTTAGTCATTTTATTAGCAAAGTGTTTAGGCAGCAGTCATAGCAGTTTTAGTGCATTATTCAACCTTTTATGTTGCTTCAGCAGATACATTAGTAATAGTTAGAATTAGCAAAATAGAAGCAGCAAATAATCTCATTTTTTATCTTTTTTTGTAATTAATTTTCTTTTTTAGATTTAATTATTATTATGAGTAATATCATCTAATTATCTGGAATTTATAGCTCAAAAAATAAAGTTTGAAATATAAAAATGATTAATTAATTAAGTTGAGAAACAATAGAAACAAGGAAAATATAAATAACTTATTTTAAATTTGGAATTTATATAAGGTTTAAAAAAGTTTCTTAATAAAAACTAATGCTGAATAATTATTTTAAAAACAGTCTACTAGTTTTATTTTTCATGCACAATATTGAATTTTCAAAGAAAAGTAGAAAAATATAATTATTTATTACATTTCATATTGGTTACATTATCTTTAATTTTGTAAGATATTTGGAAAGCAAAGAGAAAATTTGAGTATTTTAATTACTAAGTTTTATTAATCAATTAAGAAGTTATCTGTCTTATTTAATAAAGTTATTTATTGATAAAATACACAGATATAGAAATTGATAAGTATTAAAATCCAATCTTTACGAAAATTATTAGTAAAAGTGGGAAATAGTAATATTAAAATAATTAATTATTCGTAATTTTGTGTATTTTGATTTGGAGCCATAATTTACTTAGATTTGTGGTAAATTAATTTAAAAAACAGAAATAGAAAAATTTAGCTTTCAAGTTTTTGAAGTAATCAAATATTGATTGATGATTTATGTTTGTTTAATCATTAAAAAATATTCCATCCATTAAATTAATTTAGTAAATTTGTCTCTCTACTTTAAAAATATCTTTTGAATATACTTGAAACTGCCAATAAATAATATATCAAATTAAATTCAAACATTAATAATTACAATTTAGTATTATTGACTACAACGCCTTTTTCTAGATCCAATTTCGAGTAATAAATTATTATTTTTTGTTTGAAAATTTAAGTTTCAAATATTTTAGATTATTAAATATAAATTATTTCATATTATTCTACTTCTCAAAGCTTAGATGCAAACTTTTATAAATTTATATAAATATTTTTCATTACAAAAACTTTATTTTACTTTCATATTAATAATTTAAAGCATAATTTAATGAATGGATAGATAGGTTGAAATATATTCTTCTATATTTATTTTTATAAAAGAAAAGTTATATATATTGGATTATTGAGGTTAGTAATTCCAAGTAACCTTGAAGAAGTGCTCTTCAAAAAAAATAAATAAGAAAATTTTTTATTAAAATATTTTAAAATAAAGAAACCAGTAGGCCCTCACTTCCAATATATATTTATTATATTCATTTATCAATTAACATAAATATCAAAAAAAATGTTAGTTACTCTAAGCTTTTTCATATAATCATATTGGGTTCAGTTAAAAAAATTAACCTATAGTTTTATTTTTCATGCACAAAATAAAATTTTCAAACAAAAATAGAAAAAGATATTGATTACATTTTTTTTAATTTTGTAAGATATTTAGAAAGCAAAGATAAATTTTGTTTTAATTACAAAGTTTTATTAATCAATTAAGAAGTTATCTGTCTTATTTAATAAAGTTATTTATTGATAAAATACACAGATATAGAAATTGATAAGTATTAAAATCCAATCTTTAAAAGTATAAGCATATATATAAATTAAATTAGAAAGTTTTTAATTTAGGATTGATACAAAAAAGCAACATTAAAAGTGGGAAATGGCAATAACAATAAAAATAATTAATTAATAATTTTGTATATTTTCATTTAGAGCTATAATTTACTTAGATTTGTGGTAAATTAGTTTAAAAAATAGAAATAGAAAAATTTAGCTTTCAAGTTTTTAAAGTAATCAAATATGAATTGATGATTTATGTTTGTTTAATCATTAAAAAATATTCCATCCATTAAATTAATTTAGTAAATTTATTTCTCTACTTTAAAAATATCCTTTGAAAAAACTTGAAACTACCAATAAATAATATATCAAATTAAATTCATATATTAATAATAATATTTTGTATTTTTGACTATAACGCCTATTTCTAAATCCAATTTCGAGTTTTAAATTATTCTTTTTTGTTTGAAAATTTAAGTTTCACATAATTTAAATTAATAAATATCAATTATTTCATATAATTCTATTTCTCAAAGCTTAGATGTAAACTTTAAAAAACTTATATAAATGTTTTTCACAGCAAAAACTTTATTTTGCTTTCATATTAATGACTTAAAGCATAATTTAATTGATGGATGGATGGATATATAGATTGAAATATATTCTTCTATTTTAATTTTTATAAAAGAAAAGTTTTATATATATATTGGATTATTTAGGTTAGTAAATTCAAGTAACCTTAAAAAATTGCTCTTCAAAAAAATACCTTTAAAGCTTTAATATAAGCAAAAAAAATAAAATTTTTTTCTTAAGCCCATCATAGATAGTACTATTATATGTAATATCCTAATCTAATTATTTGAAATTTAAAGCTCTAAAAAAAACTGTTTGAAATTTTAAAGTAATTATTTAAGTTAAGAAATAGCAGAGCCACTTAAAAAATAAATAACTCTTTTTAAATTAGGATTTATTTAAGGTTTCAAACTATTTCATTATAAAAACTTATGTTGAAATATTATCTTAAAAAGAGTCTACTAATTTTATTTTTCATGTACACTATAAAAATTTCAAACAAAAATAGAAAAAGATATTTATTTATAACATTTCATATTGATTGCAATTTTTAATTTTACAAAATATTTAGTAAGCAAAGAAAAAATTTGAGTATTTTAAATACTAAGTTTTATTAATCAATTAAGAAGTTATCTGTCTTATTTAATATAGTTATTTATTGATAAAATACACAAATAAAGGTATTAAAATCCAAACTTTATGATAATTATTTGTATCTTAAATTATTTAAAATGTGTTAAAGTATAGGCATATATATAAATTAGAAAGCTTTCAATTTAGGATTGACACAAAAAACATCATTAAAATTGAATATAGTAATAAGAAAATACAAGTAATTATAATAGTTTTGTGAATTTATTTGGGGTTATAATCTTTTCAAGTTTGTGGTAAATTAATTTATATAACAGAAATGGTTAAGCTTAGATTTAAAAGTTATAAAGTGATGAATTAAAACTGATGATTTATATTTGTTTAATCATTAAAATATATTTCATCCATTAAATTAATTTAGTTAATTTGTCTACTTTTAAAATATCTTTTGAATTAAAAATTATAAATTTGATATTTTTAACTCTAACGCCTTTTCTCTAAATTCAATTTCTATTATTAAATTATTATTATTTAAAAATCTAAGTTTCATTTCAAAGTTTTGATTGTTTTTGGTCAAAACAGAGTGCCTGGTCTAAGAGATATTCATTTATTTAAGTAAATTTAATTTATGAACTTTCATTTATTTAATAAGCTACCTACCTACCTACTAACATACCAAAATAAAAATGATATTCATAAATATGAAAATAATAATTAATATATCTATCTATCTATATTTTTGGTTAAATTATTTTATTACAAAACATTATATAAGAAAATATATTATTTTCTACTATTCATATATTTAATATTTATTCATCCATTTTCATCTAAAGTTTATCACTTGAATTTTATTTTAATGGCAACTAACGTTTTCGATTTAATACATTTACTTTTTACTTTCAATTATTATTATTTTTCATAATAATAATAACCTTAACCAACAAGCATATTCTAACTTTTTAAATGTTGAAGAAAAAATATATAATTAATAAGTTATTTAAAAAGAAAAAAGAATAAAAAATATGAAATTATAAGAAATGAATTAATAAATAATTAAAGTAAATTTTGAAAATAAAAAAATGAGTGAAATTATGAGAGATAGAAGAAAAAAACACAAGTACTATAAAAAATAAAAGGATAAATAAATCTAATAAAAAACTAATAAACAAATTAAAAGAGTTTAATTTTTTTTTTTTAATTCATTTTTGTAAATAGAAACATCACAATCCAAATAAAAAAAACTGTTTTTACCTAAGATCAAGTGTCAAATTTGAGAGATTAGTGCAATTTGCTAACGCAGAACCTAAACCTGTGGCAACAGTTGCATCAATTTAATTTCCACTTTTTAAATATTGAAGAAAAAATATATTATAACTCATAAGTTATTTAGAAGGAAAAAATGAAGAAAAAATATTAAATTATAGGAAATGAATTAATAGATAATAAAGCAAATGCTGAAAGTAAAAAAATGAGTGAAATTAAGAAAGATAGAAAAAGAAAAAAAACACAAATACAATAAAAAAGAAAAATATTAATAAATCTAATAAAAAACTAATAAACAAATTTTAATTTCTTTTAATTAATTTTTATAAATAGAAATGCCATAATCCATTATAAACAAACTGTTTTTACTTAAGATCAAGTGTCAAATTTGAAAGATTTGTGCAATTTGCTAAAGCAGAACCTAAAGCTGAAACACCACTTGCACCAATTTTATTGGAACTTTTTAAATATTGAAGAAAAAATAATAATTTATAAGTTAATTAGAATGAAGTAAAAATATGAAATTATAAGAAATGAATTAATAAATAATAAAAGTAAATGTTGAAAGTAAAAAATTATTGAAACAAAGAAAGATAGAAGAAAAAAAAACAATTAATATAAAAAGGAAAAAGATAAGTAAATCTAATAAAAAGTTAATAAACAATAATAGAAATATCACAATCCAAAACAAATAAACTGTTTTTACCCAAGATTAAGCCTTAAATTTGAGAGATTAGTGCAATTTGTTAAAGCAGAGCTTAAGTCTGATACACCTTAATCACCAATTTAAACGAAACTTTTTAAATATTGAAGAAAAAATATATAATTAACAAGTTATTTGAAGGAAAATACAAAGAAAAAATACGAAATTATTAGAAATTAATTAATAAGTAATAAAAGCAAATGTTTAAATAATAAAATGAGTGAAATTATGAAAGATAGAAGAAGAAAAGCATAAGTATTATAAAAAAGAAAAAGATTAATAAATCTAATAAACAAATTAAAAGAGTTTAATTTTTTTTAATTCATTTTTATAATTAGAAATATCACACTCCAAAACAAATAAACTGCTTTTACGTTAAATTAAGCATCAAATTAGAGAGATTAGTATAATTTGCTAAAGCAGACCATAAGCTTGATACACCTTTATCACAAATTGAATTGAAGCTTTTTAAATATTTAAGTAAAAATAAATAAATAATTAGTTATAAGAAAAAATATATAATTTTTATAAATGAATTGTTGAAAATAAAAGAATGAGAGAAATTAAGAAAGATAGAGAAAAAAAAACATAATTAAATAAAAATAAATAAAATAAAAAGCTAATGTTTAATTTTTTTAAATTAATTTTTATAAATAGAAATATCACAATACAAAACAAATAAACTGTTTTTACCTAATATCAAGTGTCAAACTTGTGAGATTATTGCAATTTGTTAAGGCAGAACCTAAGGCTCCACCACTTCCACCAATTTTATTGGAACTTTTTAAATTTTGAAGAAAAATAAATTTTTAATAAGTTATTTAGAAAGAAAAAATGAAGAAAAAATATGAAATTATAAGAAATAAATTATTGAAAATAAAAGAATGAGTGAAATTAATAGAGATAAAAGAAAAATAAAAATAATTACAATAAAAAATAAAAAGATAAATATATCTAATAAAAAGCTAATAAACAAATTTTAATTGTTTTAAATTAATTGTTATAAATAAAAATATCACAATCCAAAACAAATAAACTGTTTTTACCTAAGATCAAGTGTCAAATTAGACAGATTAGTGCAATTTTTTAGAGCAGAACATAAGCTTGATACACCTTCATCATAAATTGAATTGAAGCTTTTTAAATATTTAAGAAAAAAGTTGAAGGAAAAAATAAAGAAAAAATATGAAATTATTTGAAATGAATTGTTGAAAATAAAAAAGGAGTGAAATTAAGAAAGATAGAAGAAAAAAAACATAAGTTTAATAAAAAAGAAAAAGATAAAAAAATCTAATAAAATGTTAATAAGCAAATTGAAAGAGTTTAATTGTTTTAAATTCATTTTTATAAATAGAAACATCACAATCCAAAACAAATTAATTATTTATACCTAAGATAAAGTGCCAAATTTGAGAGATTAGTACACTTTGCTAAAGCAGAACCTAAGTCTGAAGTACCTTAATTACCAATTTAATTTTCACTTTTTAAATAATGAAGAAAAATATTTAATTAATAAGTTATTAAGAAGGAAAAAATGATGAAAAAATATGAAATTATAAGAAATGAATTGTTGAAAATAAAAAAATGAGTGAAATTAAGAAAGATAAAAGAAGAAAAAAAAAAGTACAATAAAAAATAAAAAGATAAATAAATTTAATATAAAACTAATAAACAAATTTAATTTAATTGTTTTAAATTCATTTTTATAAATAAATAGAAATATCACAATAAAAAACAAATAAATAAATAAACTGTTTTTACCGAAGATAAAGTGTCAAATTTGAGAGATTAGTGAAATTTGCTAAAACAAAACCTAAGCTTGATACACCACTTACACCAATTTAATTTCCACTTTTTAAATATTGAAGAAAAAATATATAATTAATTAATAAGTTATTTAGAAGGAAAAATGAAGAAAAAATATGAAATTATAAGAAATGAATTAATAAATAATAAAAGCAAATGTTCAAATTAAAAAAATGAGTGAAATTAAGAAAGATAAGAGTAAAATTGTTTAAAATTCATTTTTATAAATAGAAATATTACAATCAAAAACAAATTAACTGTTTTACAAAAGATCAAGTGTCAAATTTTAGAGATTAGTGCAATTTGCTAAAGCAGAATATAAGTCTGATGCACCTTAATCACCAATTATATTCTAACTATTTAAATAATTTATTATTTATTTAGTTATTTAATTAATTATTAGTAATAAATAATACACAATTTAAAAAATTTACTATTATAAATCAATTTTGAGGCTTTTATGAGATGATGGAGAAGATCTTAAAAGCTTTTATAAAAATGATAAATATTTTATAAGAGTTAAATTATTCATTAAGAAATAAATGTTTTTAATATATATAATAAATTTGTTCAGAAATTTACTTCTAAAACTTTAACATATTATTTCTATTATTCTCTTTTTTTTTCTCTTATTTAAATACAACCCATATTAACTATTTGTTTGTTGACAATTTGTATTAAACTTTTAATTATTAATTCAATTTAATAATTTGATTGTTTGTTCATTATAATTTTTTCATCTCTACCTTGATTATATATATATGTTCTATTTAGTGCTGGGAATGAAAAATAAATGAAGCCAACCAAGTCTTATTGAGTTAAGCATTTTAAGATTTTTTTTACTCATAATATCCACTATTTAAAATTATTTATCGAAGACATTTCGCTATTGCTTGTTGTTTGTATCCTTTATTCAGAATGTATTTACATAAAATTCATGTAAATTAAATTAATTACCTTTTGGAATTGAAAGCTCAAATTCTGCTTACTTATTTACTAACTAACTAACATACATACATTTTAACATATTTTTTGCTATTTTCTTCTTTTTATTATTGTAAAATGCAACTAATTTTTGATTTTCATTTATTATGATCTAATTTTTCTATTAATAATCACAATAGTTTAAGATAAAAAATTTATTTATTTTATCATTCTCCAAATTCAGATTTCTTTTTCTTAGCATTAAAGAAAAACAGCAAGCATATTTATTTCTTAAGGAAATCTTTAAATGTTAATTAATCAAATAATTAAATCAGCAATCAACTAAGCAAGCAAGCAAACAAATAATAACTTGTAACATAGATTCATATGAAAATTTTAATTTTTCTGAATTTGAAAGTTCGTAAAAATTTAAAGATCATTAATTTTCAATTATAAATAAAAAGATGATGATAATATGTATGGTGATAATAATAACAATAAAATAAAGATACATAATTGATAACTGGATATATAATATATATATAAATAAATTCATTGATTAATCAACTAAAACTAAAATTTTGGGTTTGTTTGAAATATTTTATTTATTTTGGTTAATACTTTTTCTATTTGTTGAATATGTATGTATGTTTGTTTGTTTGATTCATAATAACTCTCAAAAATTCTGCTCAAGAAATAATTTAATATATTTTTTTATATTATTTTTTAACAGAAAAATTTTTGTAGGAATTAATTTATTTATTTATCTAATGGTTAGTTAGTTTGTTTGTTTTTTTATTTGTTGGTTTGTTAGAAGTAAAAAGTTCGTTTTTATTTATAAAAAAGTCTTATAATTATTAATTAAAAAAGAAGTCATTGAGTTAGGAAGTAAGTAAGTATGCGTGTATGCGTGTAAGAAAGTAAGTAAATAGGTAAATAATTAAGTTATTTTGCCTACTAATTAATTAGAGCTATTTAATTCTAAACTTGTAAATCAGTTTGAGCTATTAGTAATTTATTTTAAGTTTAATCTTCTTTTATAAATATTTGGATTATCTTCATAGTCACTTGAAGGAGTTTTTTATTATTTAGTTTCTTTAGTGATTTATTTAGTCTCAGATTCTTTCTCTTTTTAACTTTTTTCCAACTATTCCAACATTTTTACTCTTTGCTATTCGCGCTCTTTTCTTATTCTTTGTTTTTCTATTTCTTCTTGGTCATTAGCATCATCGTCATCTGAAATATAGCCTTTGATTTTAATTTTTTTGTTTTCATCAATAGTTTTATTTTACTAGCTAGTAGTCTGTGTGTTCAATTAGCTTTTTTTGCACGAATTGCTGTTACTCCTGCTTACTATTTTATAATTAATTTTTTAAGAAAATTAAAAGCTACTTTCATCATCTAATTTTAAAAAAATTTAAATTCATTTTTCTAATATTAATTTCATCATGAATTATTTAGTTTGTTTGTTAGTTAGTATTTGGTTAAAATCAATCATATTTATTTACCTATTTATTGTTATGGTGTTGAGGGTTATTCTTCTATCACCATTTAAGAATCTGAAGGTAATACATTAGTTTGTTCTATTTTAGTCTTGATATTTTATTGAGCTTAAAGTGAGGGACTAGCTAAATTTGTTGAAACACCAATTGTAGTAGATGATGAAGTGGGTGATTAAGCCTCATTTGGGTTCTGTTTGGAGCTTTATTTTGAGCTGTCATTAGACTCAGATATAGATTTCAAGCTTGTGATTTTGTTTTACTGAGCTTTTTTTCTTTAGTTTTGTGAGGGAGGTTTAGAACAAAGAGATCTCCCTCCTCTTAGAACTCTCGAAGATTGAGTGAGTGAAGATATTTCATAATCATGAGAAATGAGGAGCTGAGAATTGTTTTTTTATTTGCGAGTCTTAGAACCCATGTAGTCCAATTCTTATTGCAACTATATTGCATATTTTTCATCGTCATGTTGCTATTAAATAGAAGATATAGAAGAAAAGTTATTTTTTGAATCAGTTTAATAATCATTTTCTAAGTTGCATTTTGAATAGTTGTTGCAAAGTTGATTTTAAATTTAAAATTCATTTTAAAACTATTTATTTTATAATGATGAAAGTTGTTGTTTATTTGGTTTATTTGGTAATTCACTTTATTAATATTAACTATTTACATTTGTATTTTTGTTTTGGCTTAAATCGTTATTTTCTACTGATTCAAAATTCAAAGATAACTACTTCTGCTATATCTATCCATTTTTCAAATTTTCTTTTAATTCTTAGTTTGTTAATTGAGTAGCAATTTATTATTGTTGCTACTACTGAACTTTATTCTTATTAGCTGATTTAACTTATTGACTATTAGAAACCAAACTATCATCTTCTTTTTTACCAGCATCTTCTATCTTAACTTATTGACTATCTTTCTCCTAATCATCCTCACCATCATGCATAATATCTTGACATCTCTACTGCTAGTTAGGTGCAATAAATTTCATAATAGGTTTCTCAATAAAATCGATAAGTCTTCCTGATTACAAATCTAGTTGAAATTTCTACATTTCTTCCTAATCATATCAAATAAATTATTTAAGTTTTTCAATAAATAAACCAATAAAAATTTTCTCAAATCTCATTTAAAAAATATTAATTCAAAAAACAATTCTAACTTTTTTTTAATTTGTTTGTTTAGTAAAAAAAATACAACCAATTAATTAATTAATTAATTAGTTAATTCATTAAAAAACTTTATTAATTATGGATTTAAATTAATAGATAAAAATTATTTATTAAATTTTATTTGAGTAGATTAAATAAATTAAAGGGTTTTTTTATTAAAAATTTGAGTAAAAGTGTTTAATTTAAAATTAAATAATTGATTTTGATTATATTGCTAAAAAACTCTAATTATGAAAATAAAATTTTTGTTTGTTTTTAATGCTGATCAAATAAATCAATTATGAAAACAAATTTTGATAAAAATAAAATAAGATTTTATTTTCTAATTAAAATTGATTAAAAAATTAAAAAATTTTCAATTAAATCCTTTTTAAAATAAAGAAATAAATGTGCTAAATTAGAAAAATAAAATTTGATAAATTTTTAAAGCGATTAAATTACGACTCCCTATGAGGCGAAGACATCAGGAATGTAAACTTGCTCTAATCTCCTTACGTCTTTGTTAAAAACAAAGTCATTTATGTTAGCGATTTAACCACAGAAGTGACTAATGTTGGTTAAATCGGAAATAGGGTAGAGAGACTATTACTTTCCTTCTTCCTAAATATAATTATAAACTCTGTTCAACAAAGTCTTCAACGAATTTAGATCAAATTTTCTAAAAAGTATTATAGAATCATCAATTTTTTTCATTTCCTAAATGCAAAGAGGACAGAAATACTTTCCACAAAAATCTTAAGAAAGGAATAGGCTATTGTTAGGTTCTTGATATTAGAATTCAGAGCGGAGGATACCGAAATAGCAAAATATTTCTTTTCCACAGCCTATTTAGCTGCAGTAATAAATTTGGATGTGTTTAAGCTAAGCAGGCATTTAGTCATAAAAAATCACTTAGTTCTTACACTTGAAAAAATACATTAAAAAATTGTTATTTGATATAAATTTTTTCAAATATTTTACTTTAAATGGATAGTGAGTCAAATTTTGTTCAAATTAGTATTCTTTCTAATAGTAATCAGCGACAATACTATGCAATTTCTGTGCTACTTCCAAAGGTAAATTGTGGTACTCAAAATTAAGTAAATCCATAAAAAGAGATTTATTCAATATTATTGTTTCAAAGTTGATTTTTTAATTATACAAAAATCTTTCATTCATAGCAATTATGTCTTCAATCCTTCTGTAAGCAAAATTCCATGCAGTTTACACACTTCTACCTCTGCAGCGTACCCAATGCAAAACTCCAGGAGCTAAAATGACCTTAAATGATAAAATAAAATTAGCATAATTTATAAAATTAAAAATCTAATTAATTAATCATAATCAAAATTTAAATATCATATTAATCTTTTTAAATTAAACTTACAATATCATTTTTTCTTTAAATAACTTTTTTTATCCTGATCCCTGCTTTGATAACATCTGGGTCATTATACTTTCCGAACCATAGACCTTCATCGCCATGTATATCAACTTAATATTTTCTTTTCACATAATTTCTATACTTTTCTACTTAGTCAAAATCGACGCAATACCAATCACTGTCACCATCTCCTATTTAATAAATAAAAAATATTTTAATTAAATAAATTTATGTTGTAATTAAATTAAAATTTTTAATTGAAAAATATCCTCTTGAATTTAAAGTAAAATATTTATTTGCATTAACATTTAAATATTTATTAAAATTTGATTATTGATTTTATTAATTTGACCAAAATAAATCAGGCTTGTAAATTAATTAATTAAGTAAAAATTGTTCAAAAATTGTAAGTTATTTTTACTAATTAATATTAAGTCAAAATTGAATTTAGAAACTAATTATTTTGGACTTCAATTTTACTTTAATAATAAATTGAAATAAAAAGGGGGAAGCAAAATTCAAAAGTTTGCTTGATAATTATTTACAACTAATTAATGTTCAAATTCAAAACTAACAATTTTTATGCTGACTGCGAATTAATAACCTTTGATAATTTAATCTTCCAAAAATATGCAAGATTCAATTTTAAGTTCTAGCTTTGCTAGTAGTTATTTAAAAATAAACTAAAATTTAATCAATCAAGATTGTTTGATTATTATGGTCTTTAAATTTGAAGAGAGATATTATTTATTTATTTATTTATTTTTTTGTTTGCTTTTTTGGTCTAAAGAAAATTATTTAGATGGAGTGATAGGATTTATATTGTTGGATTGGTGGATGGATGGATAGGTAGAATATATATCAAAAAACAAGCTTAATGGAAACAAAATTTTAGATAAATTCATAAATTTATCAAAAGTAAATTGAATCTTGTATTTACCGTGGTTGATATTTATAGCTCTGACAGAGATGTTCTCTTGGTGTCCTCCAGTCCACACTCCAGCGACTTTTAGGTACATTTAAGGTTGAGTGCATCCCATAACGTTTTACCTATGGTAGCTAAGGATATCATGTTTGCCTTTATTTAGGAGGTAATGGGGAAGCCCTGATCTCAGACGCATGTTTTCGGTTTACCAATTAAAATCATCCATGTCAATGTTTACAGCAAACATTACTCCGTTAGATAGTTTGCTAAAGTATTCTTTGTAATATGGTTTTTTCTTAATTTCTTCGTACCTGTCTTCTTAAAGCAATGCAGCATACTCTCCGTATTCCTAAATGGTGGTATTGTAGACATGCTATTGGTTTTTGGGATTTAAAACATTAAAGCCATAAACTGTAGGATTTTAAACTCTACAGTCAATTTACATATCGCTATGATTTTTAATCACACTTTCAAAGCTAAATAAGTTTTTGGGGTTCACATTAAAACCTTTAGGGCCAGCTGCTTCTCTCAAAACGATGGTTTATTCTTTATAAATTGCTTCCTACAACTATGTGTGTAGGTCTTCAGGAAATATTTCGCGAAATCCATCGCAGTCAATATCACAATCATTATTAACATTCTACTAATGCTAAATAATTTGTTCTGCTGATTTTAAGCAAGGAGCATTCGCAGAAACTTAAGTTTGAAATGCAGCACCGCTATTTGTCTTGATTTTCTTTGATACGTTGTTTCCATTTATTAGGATTTAGTCAGTTGTGGAGACGAAAGTGCTGCTGGAGTTAGCTGCCAATCCATTCTTTTTAGGAGAACCTTCTTTTTCCTAAGAAATATTGTATGCTGCAGTAGAATCGATATTGACCGAAGTTGTTGCATTCGAATTTATATTTTCATTAGTTTAAATCAGGCTAGAACTAAAGTGTTAGTCTTTTTCTTCGCTAGTACTTGAAGAAACCTTTCTCTTGTTCCTAAGATTCATAAGATAATTTGGATCAATTCTATGTATCTAAATGTATATAAAAATATATATAGATATAATATCTTTTGTATATATTTGTTTTGCTTGTTTATTTGTTTTTTTTTGCTTAATAATGTTGATTGGTTTAAATTCCTTTTTACAAAATTCAGACTTGATAAAGTTATTTATTTATTTCTTTAATAATTTGTAATTTGAATAAATGTTTTAGCTACAGTAAGTAGGTAATATTATGAATAAAAGATTATTTTTTCTTTCACTTGTTTGTTCTTTGTTAGTTAGGTTTTATTAAGTAAGAAAGTAATTTAAAGCTAGCTTAGTAAAAATATAGCAAGAAAGATATCTACTTTGTTTGTTAATTATCGACTTATTTGTTTGCTTTTGTTAATTTATTTATTTATTGCTGCTTGTTTGTATTACGATTAAATTGTTAGCTGATTTATTTTAAATTTTGTGTTTTCGAAACTCTCGCAGAATTTATTTTTTTTTTGAATTTATTTTTAAATATAATTTGTTTACCAAAAGTGTTTAACTAATTTCATTCTTAAATTGTGCAAAAAAAAATTTTGTTTATTTAAATCATTCTAATAATTAGAAATCCTAGCTGATTTTCACTTCAATTTAATTTATTGCTAACTCTTTTTCACCTAATAAATAAATTAATTAATTGTTATTTATTATTCATTCTCTCCTCGTTTATTTATTTATATTTAGAAATATGATTTTTATTGTAACAAACTATATATAACTCATAATTTTTTAACTAAACTCATCTTTAAAAAATTTTCTTGCTTAAAGACTCTACTTGAGTAATAAGCAAGTTTCTTAGTTTAGCTGTTAAACTTTACTAAAGTTTTTATAGGTAACATATGGAATTCAAGAGAATGCTTATTTAGTTATTATATGAATTATTTACAAGCAAGTTAGAATAATAATGAAACTAATTATTTTCTGAGTTTGTATGTAGAATGTAGTTTTTAATTTATTTAAATAATGGAATAGAAATATTATTAAAATGAATCTCTCATAATATTCTCATAAAAACACATAAATATTAGCAATACCTGATTAAGCAAATTCTTCTTTTTTAAAACTAGAAGAATAGCTATGAAAATATTCTTTGCTTTCAAAAAAAAGGATATAGTCTTTTTTTTAAGGCTAAGACCTATCGATGATTTTTTAATAAAGTTTTGTTGTAAAAACAAACAAACAAATAAACAAACAAACTTAATTTATATTTGGTTAGAATTGATATATTTTTTAATTATTATTTTGTACTAAAGTAGAAATAAATATCAAGTAGGTCTCATTGAAACGTTTTAAGTTTATTTGATTAAAATTAGTTGACAAATACTTTTTTATACTTTCATTCAATTTTTATTAATAAGTTAATAAATCTAGTAAAAGAAAGGAGTCTGTCTAATTGCATATATTTATTTTGACTGGATTTTAAAGAAGATTTTTTTATAAGTCACAGCCATCAAAAAGCAATCAAAAGCAATATTAAAGAAAGTTATTAATCTATTAATTTGTTATTTAGATTTTCAAATTTGTTTTTAAAAATAATCTGTCTGATAAATAGAAATAATAAGTATTTAAGTTAAACTAGCATAATATATATATGAAACTTCATTAAAGAAATTAGCAAATAAGCAGGGTGTTTCCAATGAACCCATCTATGACGAATGGGATAAAAGTTAACAACTTCTTATTAATGCAAATATTGATTTATGAATAATTTTGATGTTATAAAAATAGATTAATGAAAGATAAGAATTAAACTTATTAGAGAAAAATAAAATCAACTTGTTGCCATATCATCTTGTTAAAAAGTAAAATCAAAAAAAGGGATTTCTGAAACTTGATTTTCAAACAATTGAATAAGTAGATGTTAAAAATATTAAATAAAACAACGACTTTCTTGCATTGGCACCTCTATAATTTAATTTACAGAATTGTTTGATTTCTGAATATGAATTCGATGATTATTTCGAAAACAAGTAGAGAAAATTGATGCAAAAAAATTAATCACATGAATAAAATGAGGATCCAGACATTACTCAATTAGATTTCTAGATTAAAATAAAGAAGCAGAATTTTTAACAATAAAACGTGTTCAAAAAAATAATCCAAATTTAGCAATTACAGATTTAATATATGCTGTGGAAAGACCAATAGCAAAAACATGAGTAAGAGAAACTAAATCAAAGTTGTGAAAATGTTGAGTAAGCAGTAAATTCTTTGAATATTCTTTCTTAATATTTGCATTAGTTGTTTCAAAAATTCTCATTTAAAATGGAATTAAAATTAAAAATTTATAAAAACCTTTTTAAGCTAGCAAAAAATAATGCAATTAATTGCTAATAATATTCTAAATTTATTTTTTTAGTTTATTAAAAAAATATTTTTTAAAAAATTATATTAAAGGAGTAAATTTTATATTCGGTATTTTATTCTAAGCTTTTATTTAATTTAAAGATAAAAAGGTAGGAACATGACTTGAAAAAAAGCAAGCTGTAACTTAAACAATTGAAGGAGGAAATAAAAATAAAAGAGAATATCATCGAAGAAATTCAGAAAACCTTAATGGTTAAAACTTATTTTAAATGTAAAATTTGTCCTAAGATGTTCGAAAAGGAAGAGAATCTAAAAAGCCATCATAAAAGAAACCATCCTGGTATTTTAGAAATGCATTATGGAGATCTGAATTACAAGATGATAGAAAATATTTAATAATCTAAGGAGCTTATCCAATAGAGAATGAATTTTTCAAAATAATATTTTGCATAAGAGAAAAAAAGAATAGAAGAGTCTATCGAAGATAATGTTTTATTTGAAGTTCAAAAAAAATCAACCGAATTTAAGCAAGAGCTTTTAGATTTTCATTAAAGATTAATAAATAACCATAAACACCAAAAAGAAGTTGTTGATTAATTTCAATAATAAAATAATATTTTATAACAATAAGTCGAGTTGCTTTATTCGGAATTCGGTAAAATCTAAAATGTAATTAATAATTCAATTTTTAATTTATAAAATCTTAATTATGTTTTTATTGCCAAAGTTCTTTTTTTTGTTTGTTTTGGGTCTAATTTACTATTTTTATTAAATTTATTTTTGAAAAACAAACAATAAATGATTCAAATAAATATTAAAATAACTAAAGGAAATTTAACAAGCAGAAATATAGTGCATAAATGCCTATATTGAAAAAGAGAAGGAGAGAATTAGAAGAGAATAAGAAGAGAAAGAAAGAATTGAAAAAGAGAGAAAAGAAGAAGAAGAAAGATAAAGGAAGATTGAGGAAGAGCAGAATAAAAGGATACATGAGTTAGAAGCTTTGAAAAAGCAAAGAGAGGTTAATTTAATTTTTTATTTCAAACAATTTGTTTGACTTTTTATTTTTTACTGATTGACTGACTGAATGACGAACTGGACTTATCTAATTTTTAAAAATTAGGCAGATAAAAAGAAGAAAGATAGGCAAAGAGGCTCCATTCTTAGTGCTTAAGATAAAACAGAAATTAGTGAAGAGGAACAATTAAGACTAAGAATTTTAAAAGAAAAGTAAGAGGAAGAGGAAGAAAGGTTAAGGATTTTATAAGAACAAGAATAATAAAGAATTGAAGAAATTTAAAACACCATAAAAAAATTAAAAAATAGCTCAAAGTCATACTTCAATAACTTTAATAGATTAGTTAATATCAGGAGATAAAATAGATAAAACTATACTGAGAAGGACTTCAATGAAATGCTTTCTACAAAGCTCTTTGAACCCTACGATAAGATTTTAGAAAGATATAAAATACCCCTTAAAATGTCTGAAATCACAGTTAGATCAACTCAAGTATTTTTTTAAATTTATGCTATATTTAATTATTCAAAAAACAAAAAAAAAACATTTTATTAATTATTTACAATAAACCAAATACAAAAATAATGAATGAATAATGAATAATGACTTTTATGATATTTACTTTCAAAGATATCATTCGGAGCTTAAATTAAAATATGACGATAATAGTTTTATAAAGTAAAAATAAATGATCAAAAATGAATGCTCTATTAATTTTTATTTATTTATGAATAGACAATATTTTACAATTAATTATACATACTATACTATATCTTCATATATAACTTTTTAGATATAAGAAATAATCATTTATGCGTTTATTAACTAACTAGTTTATAACATTCATCAATAAATCAATCATTATTTTTTATAAATTTTTTAAAATTATAATAAATTATCAAAAAATTTGAGAATTAAAAATGATAAAAATAGATAAAATAATTTATAAACAAAACATTAAAAGAAGCATTTAAAATTTAATAAACTAAATTATTTCATTTAAAAGGAGAGATAGAAAAAGAATTAAAAAATTTTTATCATTTAAACAAATTTATTTTATTTTATAATTTGAGAAATTTATTTTAAAATTGACTTGAAATAATTTAACTTGTTTTACTTTTTGAAATAAATTAATAATAAAATAAATAAATAAACAAATATTTTATTTGATGGATTTTTATTAGCTAAATATTTTATTTAAAACATATTTAATAATAAATATATTTTGATGATAAAAACTTAATAAATAATTTGATATTCTAAATATAGATAACATAGCTTGAAGAAATATACTTAAAAATAACTGGAGGTGAATCTATATCTAAGAGTTAACTTTCTTCTTAAACTTAAATTGGTGAAGATAAGCTAGTTTAGAGAAGAATATAGAAAAATATGGATTTTAAGAGATATAAGTAAGAGCAAGAAGAGTAATAAATAAATAAATAAATAAATAAATAATAAATTAATCAATTATATTATTTTTATATTTATTTTATGGCAAAATTAGATTCATTAATTATTGATTATTTCTTATTCTTTCTTTTATTACGTAAATAAATAGGGTTATAGAAGAAGAGCAAGAAGCTCAAGAAAAAGAATATGAAGATAATGGCAAGAGATCTGCTTTCTCTAAAAGCAAAATGAATCCTTTGTTTAAGCCATAGAAATAATTTTACCCATATTTTAAGCAACCCATAATAAATCCTAAGCTTAATGCTCTCGAATTTAGAAAAGAAAAGGATGTTTGTAGATAAATTTTATACTTTTAATTTAAGTTTAAATTATTTTTATACAAATTTTAGAACACGCATTAAGTAATGTAGATACATCAGATTTATTTTTCGCTATTGGTATCACTCCTATTTAAAAACCTCGTATTATAGGAGAAAAAATAGATCCTAAAAAAAACCTAAACCAGTAATTTCTTTAGTATGAATCTTTATTTTAATTTATAAAATTTTTAACTAGAAATATTCAGCTACAAGATTAGAATCCACTAAAAATAGACAGTCTTAATTGAAAGCCTTCAATCTTACCTACCTAATTCGAAATTAAAAATATTATTAACAAATTACTTATAAAATAGATAAATTAAATGTTTTTATTTATTTGTTCTTCATTTTTTTTATTTATTTAGTCTTATCCCAATTTAATAGAAAAGATACATTAACAATTTCTAGAAGATTTTTTATTTAATTGTGCTCATGCTCAATAACTCACTCACTCACTCAATCAATCACTAAACCAAACATTAAAATTCTATCATTTATTGGTTGATTGATTGATTTATTTGTTGCATTAATAATAAAAGCAAAATATTAATAAATAATCATAAAATTTGTAAAAAACGATAAAAAATTAATATACATAATAACATATATATCTATCTATCTACTGTTATTTTTGTAAAAGAAATGTCTCAATCTTAAATAAAAGAACCAGAATAGCAATAGTCAAAGGAATTTGAATAAGAAGGAAAAGAAGCCATAAAAGCTGTATTTACTAAATTTGATAAGGATAATTCTGGGTAACTAGATTACTCAGAACTAAAATAGGTCGCATAAGAATTAGGTGTTTAGTTGGAAACAAATGAAATTTAAAATGTAATTAATTTTATTAGCATTTAAAATCAATTGATAACACAAGCAAGCTAAATAAAATAGATCCATTGATTCTTTGAAATATTTAACATGCATAACACAAGGAGATAAATAAATATACTCTCTTGTTTTAATTTTACTTATAATAAATAATTAGTTTTATAACTAATTAATTTCATTTTTGAAACTATTTATTTTTGTAATAAATTAAATTAGATTTTCTAAGAACTTGATGTCAACAAAGACCAAAAAATTAGCTTTGAAGAGTTTTGGGAATGGTGGAAATTAGGTAGACCAAACAAATTAGAGAAAATGATTTATTACAAACTTAAATCAATGAAATTGTTAAAAAAGGCTCATGCTGACTTCCTAAGATTAGGTAGTGCTTTAGATGTTAAATACGATAAATCTGTTGATAAGCTGTATGTAGCTTTGAATTATGGCTCGCACCCTGGCGATACTAGACTTTAGGCAAAGGTACACCTCAATACATAGGAAGGCGAGGATTTAATTAGAGAGACTTTAGAAGGATTTTAAAGAAATGAGAACGAACTAGACCATTAAGAAATAGTTGCTATTGTAATTAGAATAAAATCAAATAAACCAGAAGAGGCAGCAAAAAATATTCAGTTTTTGATTGACTCTTTAAAAAGTATGCTTTTGCAGCTTGCAAATAGTATGAATTCTACTGAACTAGTTAACATAATAAATCTTTTTAAGATCTATGTTTAGTCTTATTAAAACGAAGTCATCATTAAATTTAGTTTCCCACCTGATATTTATAAGGGATTCACTGGCGATGATCCTACTGTGAATTAAATCACAGCAATCTACGCTTAAAGTTTTTATTAGACAAATCTTAACTTCACTTTGACAGCTGGTATCAAAAACTCTTTAAAAAAAATATCATCAGATTTAAACCAAAAATTTGTTGATTGGCTCTTTGAAGGCTTTTTATTCGAAGTTATCTTAAGCTGCAACCATTCCTTTACAGAACAGCTATCTTTGGGATTTATATAAGTATTTTAAGCCTCACTTGACCTATTAAAGTAATCTGCAGAGTAAAATGATATTGTGAAACTAGCATATAATTAATTGTAAATTTTCTTTATTTTTTTATTCATTTTACATTATTAAAATGCTTTTATTAAATCTATAATTCAAAAAAATAAAATGAATGAAAAAGTCTACTTTTTTTTTGTTGAGTTAAATTGATTGATTTAAGCAATTAATTAATTAAAATAAACATTATCTTTTTTAAATTGATTTTTTTGTTGAGTTAAATTGATTAATTTAAGCAATTAATTAAAATAAACATTATATTTTTTAAATTGATTGATAAATTGTTTATTTAATAAAAGGAATAGATTGGTTTAATAATTGTCTTTATTATACTTGCTAAGATCTGCCAAATTTCACTTGGTTTTTAAAGACATAGAAAATGTTGAGAGCTTTTTTAATGGAATAGGAATGGGAGAATTACTTAAAAATTAACCTTCTTGCAAAGAATTATTTGACGAAATAAAAGAAGAATTTAATAACTTTGAAGAATTTAAAGACCAAAACTCTTATTGGAATATTTTATATAAATTCTTCTAATGCTTTGCTGAAAACTGTGAAGGATAAGCTTCAATAAGCATAATATATAAGAAAATGATTGCATAGCTAGTTTTCTCTATTGAAGGATTAGCAGAAATATTTGAATATTTAATGAAATGATATTTATTTATTTGTGTTAGTTAGTTATTAAAAAGTCTGACTGACCTTTTTTGTCTTTTCTTTTATATTATTCAAATTATAATTAATTAATTTTCTCAATTTCATCAAAAAAATGTTTTAAAATAATAATTTCAATAAAATAATTAGAAATAGATTTATCCAACATAGATTATATAAATTTTTATTGAATGAAAAAGCTAAATAAATATATTAAATTATTTTATTTAAATTTTTAACATTTTGTGAAAATTGATAATTATTCAATTATTGATTTATTTAAAAATTAATTAATTTATTTTTTATTGAGGTTTTTAATTTTAATAATATTTATTTTCTTATTTTTATTTACCATTTTTCATTAAAATAATATTTATTTTTTTATTAGCTTAATATCTAAATTATTTTATTTATTCATTTATTCAAGACTAACTGGGTTGGGTTGTTCAAAAAATTTTATTTTGATGATAAAATTTTATTTAATTAATGGAAAAAAAATCATTTATGTGAATAAATTTTCTTCAAAATACTTTAAAAATTTCCTTTTTTTTACTATTTATTCAAAAATTAATTTCACTTTTTTCATGAAAATTACTTTTTTTCTTTCATCAACCCATCTTCTTAGATAAAAGTTTAAATTTCATCCTTTTTTAAATAAAAAATAAATAAAGTTCATGATAAGTTTGTAAATAAAAGGTGTTAGATAGTTAGTTAGTTAGTGTTATAAATTGCAAGAATGCTTATAAAATAGATTATTAGAAAGATTTTATTCAGAGTTCAAATAATTTTATTTATTTTTTACTTACTTATGAACTGAACTTATTTTATATAAGATGATTAAGATTTAGGTTTAAATGGAGAGAGTGATTAACTGACTGACTGACTGACTGATTATATTTATTTATAAAAATTGTGACATCAATTAAAAATCATCATGTTTAATCTAATGACGAAGTAGAATATTGTAGAAAAAAATAAATCTAGATTTCATTTACAAATAATAAATAAGTCAATAATAAAAGTATAAAAACATCAAAGATAAAATAATAAGGTGGAGATAAAATTATTTAATATTAAACTCTATTTATAAGTAAATTCTGAATTCAAAACAATTATTAATATTATTTGATTTCTTAAAAAAATGAATTTTGCTTTTAACAATTTTCATTAAAATTGTAAATAGTGATTTAAATAGATAATTATAATTAATATTATTATTATTATTTAACTCATTTACTCTTTTCTTATTCAAGCCTTCATAAATCTTTCTTTAAACAAATTTCAGATCAAATTTATCTTTAAAATATTTTTAGGAATAAATTATAGCAATAATCTTAATATTTTTTATAGAATATTTAATTTTAATTTTAATAAATCAATTTTAGTCAAATAAAATTTCAATTTTCTTAAACTAAGCAAAATTAAGAGAATGAATGAATGCAATAACTAACTAACTAATAAATAAATAAATATATTAATAAGTAATCAAGTAAGTAAGTAACTTCAATTAATCAATATTCTTTTGAATCAATCCATTTGTTCAGTTAATTGATCTTTACTGAAAAACGAAAACAAACTGTTTGCTTTTAATTGGTAATTATAATTTTAAAACTTTTTAAAATACATAACAGTGATTTGATAAACGATTTATTATATTTTCAAATGCGATATAGAATAGAATTTTACAGAATTATATGAATTCCGTCAACTGATTATAAATATTTGATTTAATTTTTTAGATTTTATTATAATCAAAATATTAATTGATAAATATCATCTATAAGAATCTAAATATTTTGAAATAAATAAATAAATATGAAGGTATTTCTAATTTTTTTATTTTTCTTTTTATTTACCTTTTTCAGCTTTGCTTAGAGTGAAGGGCTTGAGAAAGATATTCATTAGGAACACAAAAATATATGCGCTTATCTCGGTAATTAATGTAATGAAGAGAAACCAAATTGTTGTAAACCCTTTAATTGTTATCTCGGAAGGTGCCGTCATTGCTAGGTTATTGGCTAAAAATGCTATCCGGGCCATCATTGCTGCGAAAATTTGATTTGTGTAGAAGAATAATGCTATCTTCGTATTGATTGAATGTTAATTCAAAATATAATAAATAATATTACTAAATAATTAAGGTATTTATTCTACTCTGTATTTATAATTTATTTATTTTTTTGTTTGTAAATAAATAAATACATTCATTTTTTACCTTAGAATAATATTTTAATTTGTATTTTAAACATATTAATAAAAAAGCAGAATAATCTTTTTAAAATATTTTTTTAATTGCTAAAATAGCAAAATAAATTAATTAAATTGTTTATTTAATCTTAGCTATGATTAACATAGACATAAAAAGTATTTTTATATTTTTTCATGTGTATAAAAAAACTTACTTATTTTATTATTGTTATTTTAATTTATGAATTTTGTATTATTTATTTTCACTTAAATTATAGCAAATAAATAATGTGAAGTAAGTTAATTGTTTATAAATAATTTCTATTAAAAGATCATAATATTTTTATTTAACTATAATTGAAATTTTACTTTTTTTGGATATCTTCACTGATATTTTTGATTGTATTAATCATGAAAATGCTAATAATTAATTAATTATTAATCAATTAAATAATTAAAAAATCGAAGTATTTCTGTTTTTATTAACACATTTAAACAAACAAAAAACTGTTTGTTTTATTTAAATACATTCAATTTATTTAAACAGTTTGTTTTCTAAGTTATAAATTTGCTTATAAAATTTTTCAATTATCCTATTTAATTAATGTTTAATTAAGTTAGATTAATTTCAACTTGATATTTTTACCCAAATTAAATAAAGAAGGCAATTAACTAATTGTCAAGTTTTAATATTATTTTAGATAAACTTTAAATATATAATTGTAATAATTTTATATAGATAGATAGATAGATAGATAGATAGATAGATAGATAGATAGATAGATAGATAGATAGATAGATGGTAATCAATCCTAATAATAATTAATCAATTAATTTAATAATCTAAATATTTCTGTTTTTTTAATTACACATGAAAAAAATCCTGTTTTATTTAAATACATTCAATTCAAACTTTTCTATATTTATTTAACAGTTTTCTGATGAGTTACAAATTTGCTTATAATATTTTTCAATTATCCTTTTTGATTAATGTGTAATTAAATTAGATTAAATTCAAAGTGCTTTTTTTACCCAAATTAAATAAAGAAGGTATGTATTTATTTATTTATTTATTTAATGTTTTGAGTTTAAATTATTTTAGATAACCTTTAAATAAATAATTGTAAAAATTATATTTAAAGATATCATTTCTAATAATAATTAGTCAATTAATTTACAAATCTAACTAAGTATTTCTTTTTTTATGAATGCTTCAAAAAAAAAAATTGTTTTATTGAAATACATTCAAATTTATTTTTCAACATTTAATAGCTTTAAAAGTTAAAAATTTGCTTATAATTAATATATCTAATTAAAAAAAAATTGTTTTATTGAAATACATTCAAACTATTCAATATTTAACAGCTTTTAAAGTTAAAAATTTGCTTATAATTAATATATCTTATTTCATAAGTGTGAAAATAAATAAGATTATTTCCAAGATGCTTCAATATAGAAGGAAGTTTATATTTATCTATTTAGAGTTTAAATATTATTTTTATTTTAGGCAGACAGCACTTAACAAATTTTCCACCACATTAAAGAAAAATAATATAATTACATAATTTAAGTTTATTTTTTTGCAAAAATCAGTAAATAAATAAATTACAAAATATTAAAAAGCATTTAATGAAATAGTAGCTCAAGAAAACTTTTTCTATATCACTAAAATTATAAAAATAAATTATCTTTAGCAGAAATTAAATTTTCTAATACAATCTTAAAATTTAATTAAACCAGAAAATACCATGAGAAAATGTTAATTAAACTAAAGTATTTTTTTTTTATTTGTAAATTAATTAATACCTCCTCCCTCCTTGATTCTCTGGACCAGCTAACTTTTCTTTTGAAATAACTTAAAAGTAATACTTTTTAAAGTATAATTTTTTGTTTAACGAAATCAAAGTAATAATATTAGGTTTTATTTCTTAATGAATTATTTTCATTTTTTTATAATTAAATCTAAATGACAGACAGACAAACATACATACAACAATAAAATAATTCGAAATAAATCCTAAAAATATATATTACTGTAAATGAAATGTTTTTTTGAGTAAGTAAAGTAAGTAGGTAATTTTATTTATGGTAATATATTTCAACATTTTTTAAATATTTTTTTAGTTTAATTGTTTATGAACTTAATATAAAAAACCTACAATTTAAGTATAATCCTATTTTTGTAGATTAAATGTGATAGAAAACATATTTAAATTTACTTGCAATCCTTTTTAAATAATTTTTATTCATTTTCTCTCTTGCTCATATTTTATATATTTTTGTGGATAAAATTAATTTTAATTTGTTTTTTTAGTATAAAATTTAATAGATTTTTTCTCAATTTCTTTTTTGTTTGTTTTCAATAAAATCTTTTGGAAACATTCATCTCCTTAATATTTGATAATCTAAATTTACATTTCAAAATTACTTCAATGAAATTTCGATAAATTAACTAACTAACTAACTTACTTAATAACTTACAAATTAATTAATTGATCTTAAATATTACTATAATATGGTCACAACAATTACAATTAATTGCTAGCTAAACTTTTATTTATTCTCAACATCAAATTGAAATACTTCAATTAATTTTGTAATAATTAATAAAAATATAAATAAAAACCCAAAAGTAAAAGTAAAAAGAAAATAACTTAAATGAAAACTAAAATTTTTGTTTTAATCTTGCTAGTGCTTACCTAGATTCTTTGCCAGCAAGATCCACTTTTGAACCCTGGATTTTTATATAACTCTGGAATTCCCGCTGCCACTGCCACTGCCACTGCCACTGACTAAGATATCTGTGATAATTATGAAATTTTATTCGATGAATAGGAACTCAAACTTTTAGAATCAATAGAGAAATATGCTTAAGCTTAAGCCTAAGCATAAGCATAAGCTGCACCTGGAGCTGCACAATAAAGTGCTTTGTTTATCCGCTTTCCTTGCTGGTATTACCAATACTATTTAAACTACTACTACCCTTACTACTGGAACTATTGCTGTGAGTGCTGCCATCCTTATTATTATTATGATATTGCAGCTACTTAGGCTAATTAATAAGCTAATTAGGCAGGTGGTGCTTCCTCTGCTGGCGCTTAATAAAATGCATAAGCAATACCAAATATATATTACCCATATTATCCATGGTGGTGTTGCCGTTATCCTTATTATTATGAACTTGCTGCCTAAGCAAATTAATAAGCAACTGGCTAATAAAGCGCATAAGCTTAATTCTTACCTTATTATCCTTACTGGAATAATTGCTGTTGCCATCGCTACCCTTATTATTATGGATTATAAGCAAATCCTCAGGCTAATTAATAAAGCAATTAAGGTACTACTACTGGATAATAAAACACTTCATCAAATGGCACTCCACCACCACCACCAGCAGCATCAGATATACTTAATCTTCCAGTAATTACCCAGAATGTTTATTAAAAGTGCTTATAATGTCAGCAAAAAGAAAAAGACTGTGATAGAGAATTAGATTGCTGTGAACATTTCCCATGTTTAAGAGGAAAGTGCATACCATTCTAATTTTGAATAAAACATTTTCAAAATAATCTAAGAAGATTTATTTGTAAATGAAATAAGAATTATATTATTAAGTAAATAAATATATATCAAATATAAATTGTAGTCAAAGTATATAAAAAGTATAGATTAATTTGATTAATTACTTCAAACTATATTTTATCATTTATGTATTTCTTTATAGTTTTTAAAAATCAAATTTAAGTTTAACTAAATAAAAGCAACCTCTCTACTTCATTTAATTTTAATTTGTAGATTTTGTACCAAATATAGATAGATAGATTGATAGATTCATTATTTTTTTCAGTAAAAATTAAGCTAAATTTATTATCACTTTATTTAAACCTTCTATCAAACTTCTTCAATACAAAAAAGAAAATAAAAATATTTATTTATTTATTTATTTGTTTATTTCTTAATTTATTTATTTATTTAATTAAATTATTTTACTTTTATTTTTGAAATAAATAAAAAAATACATGCATGAATAAAATAATTTATTAATACATCTTTATAATTAAAAAAGTTAATTAATAAATAAATAACTTTTCTTCAATCAAAATTAGGTTTTTTTGCCTAAAATTTAAAAAAATGAATTGACTATTTGAGATATAATTTAGATCAATTTAATTAGGAAAAACATGATGAATTTTTAATTTATTTTTAAAATATTCTTTCAACTTTTATTTTATTTTTTTATGGCCAGTTCTTAAGAAATTAATTAATTTTTAAAATATTCTTTCAACTTTTATTTTTTTTTTTTTATGGCCAGTTCTTAAGAAATTAATTAATTAATTATAGTTTAAATTAACTGAGTTATTTTAAAGAGAAAAAGTAAAAGAAATCAATAATTGTTTGATTTTGTCAAATTCCAAAAAATACTTTGAAATAATTAATTAGAAACTGAATGAAGAGTTATTTAAATTGCAGTATTACATTAATTAATTAATATAAAGTAGTAAAGAAAAATAAAAAATTAATGATTTTCAAATAGTTAGTTTTTTAATCATTTATATTTAAATTATTCAATTATAATTTATATATTTCTTTGTTTGTTTGCTTGTTTATTTGTTTGCTTGTTTGCTTTTTTTGCGTTTATTTTGTTAAATGTTTGAAATTGCTTGTTTCTCTTGTTTGAAAAAATAAAAATCAAACAACACCAGGTTGATTTTGTTCGCCTAAAGAGAAATCAATCTTTCTGAATTTTATTAACTTTTCCATGAAACCTCCTCTGTGTCTCTTTGCAAATTCAATTGACTTTTTGTCAAAGAAAAAGGTGATTAACCAAGCAGATATGCAAACAAGAATGAACACTTGTGCCTCAAATCCTGTCATTTTGAAGATAACATCAGAAGTAAGCACTGTCATAATAATGGCAGCTACATAAAAGAGGACGCCTATAAATATGCTACTGCATCTGCCATTAGGATCGCTTTTTAAGCACATGCAGTATGAGAATATCTTGATAATAATAGGTGGAATGAAAGATGCTAACCAATATATTAGTATGCAAACCAAAAATCCTACAAATAGTAGCTATTTTTGTAAACTGCTATCGTCATCAGCACCTCTACCTAATGCCATGCGGAACATAGAAGAGAAAATCCTCTGTAATATAAGTAAGTTAATAACAACGTGCTTAATTCTGTGAAAGTTATTAAAATTCTTGAAAGAAAATCTACCAGCTTATGTGAGCCAATAGCCATTTAAGTCTGAGGTAATAAAGAGTCTTGAAGAGTTTTATTATTATTGATTTTATGTTTGAGGTTAAAATTATGGAATGAAGTCACCTTATTGCTAATTGACAGGATAACCCATTGCAAAATTATTATTCTCATTGCCACTATTATTATTGCTTTATTTATCTACATCAAATACAGGATTTTATGTAGGGGATTTTTAAGAGAATTTCATCTTCATATCTTTTTCATCTAATTGCACTGGTTCTACTGTACTGCTTTTTTTAGAGCGAGTGTCAAATTCACTTGGAGCTCCTATTTTGATTATTTATGCTTCGAAATCATTCTCTTATAATTGAACTCCCTGTTGATTATTTTGCTAATGCTATAAGTTATTTGAGTTAATAAATCTTTGCATATTTTTTCTTGAGATAATCATCCAACCAAAATAAAGCACTACTAAGAATATTATGTTGATAATTCCAAACGCCAAAGAAAAGCCATCGCCTCTATCATCAAAATCCTCTCTTCTCGAGCATGAAAAAGTTGATCTATGGAAATCGTATCCTTCTTTGCAAACTAGACATAAGTTATCAGGACCATTCTAAATCAAACAAATTTCGCATGCATGAGGATTGCAACGATTATTTTTAGGATCTCCACGACCTTAACCATCTTAAGGATTAGGTTAATGTTAACCATTTGGCCCATTTTATGCCTAACTTAATGTTATGATAATTGAGAGAACAAGTAGGATTAGTAAATATTTGGATTATTTCATTTATATTATTCACTTATTTATGTGCTTTTGATTTAACTATCAGCTTTTAACACTAATTATCAATATTTAATTACAATTTAATCGTATTTTTTTAAAGAATAATGATTATATTTTTGCTTTAAGTTGCTATTTAAGGTTAATTGCAAATAAAAATTGGCTAGTAATAAAAACGCAATATTTTTTTATTATAAAATTTCAAGATAACTTAGGATTAATGACAATTTGTTAGATACGTGAATTTGTTTCTAAATCGTTTAAATTTTAAAAAGAGACCTAATATCAAGCTAGCTAACTAGCTAGAAGTATATTGAATTCTGAAGCAATTTTTAAAAGTATCTAAATTATTAAAATCTGATTATTCGAAATTTAAAATAGAAATAAATTCAGATTATTCTTTATTTATTCTATTAACTTACTATCAATATGATTAGAAAAACTAACAATTAACCAAAATTTACTTCAAATACATTCCAATCAACAAAGAAGTAAATTGTTGTTTGTGGAGCTAATATTTTTTCCATTTAAAAAGGTGGCTGAATATGTAAAGAAAGATACCCCTCAAACACTCCTCTTTAAGTACTTTGAGTTATAAAATATTAATATAAACGCAAATTTAAATTTTAAATTGCTTTCGAGGTTAATCATAAACTTGCCTGAAAAATATGTTAAAATATGCTGATGAGTTTTTATGCGTTATGAACTCTATTTATTAAGTTAGCAAGTTTTGTCTTTGAAAGCAAAAAATTTCTAGAAAATCTTTATGTTTTTGATTAATATAAAAATTAAATTACTCTTTGAACATAGAATAATTAATTTATTAGTTAGTTAGTATTTCTATTTATCAGAAATATTAATTTATTAATTTATTTCTATTATATTAATCAACAATTTTTTTCGATTTTATAAATTACAGTTCATATAAATAAAAGCTTAGGGAGGAAAGGAGTGAATGAATCATTTATTTTTTACCATAAATTCATAAAATAATATAATTTTTTACACAGTAAAAGTAGAATATATTAGTAAAGTCTATCCCTAGTTGTATAAAATAAAATTAAAAAAAAATACATTATCCCACTTTTATTTAGAAATAAGTAAAATACTTTAACTTAAGTTAGAGTTTTTATTGAAAATTAATATTGTTTTTTAAATCTTAAGTTAGAATCAGGGACATTCATTATTCAAATAAATCTAAATTTTATAATAATTTTCAGATTTATTTGATTTGGCCATAACAAAATAATAATCACATAGTTACTTAAATCACAATTAAAAATATTACTTTATAGAAGATTATAAAGCATAATAATTTAAATCATTTTAATCATAATATCAAATATTTTTTTATTTATATTAGAATTTATTTTGGATATAAGCGTTAGATAATTAATTTATTAGTTAAATGAATAGATAGATAGATAGATAGATAGATAGATAGATAGATAGATAGATAGATAGATAGATAGATAGATAGATAGATAAATAAATTATTGCAAGTTATAACGCATATTAAATTTTGATTAAGATGAATTTACTCTAAGATGCCTGAATTAATTAATTAATTATTTATTTATTTATTTTTATAGACCTCTTTATTAATGAACAAAAATCTTGAAATAAATAATAAGCTTAAGTTTTTCGAATTTTAAAGAAAAAATATCGAGAGTATCAATTTTTGATCAAAAAAGGGAGGAAAATTAAACGTTTTTGTTTGTTTATTTTTCTAAATTAAGAAATGTGATTGATTATTAATTTAATTTTTCTTTAATTAAAATCCAAATAAAATAAGATTGTTTATTCCTCTACTCTATGAATTTTAAGATAAAAGATCATTTTTATTTTTTCTATCAATTAATTAATGGGTTGAAGTAGAAGTCTATAAACAAAACAAAGAAAGCTATCAAATACATTAGTAATTTAAAATAAATTATACATAAAAATCAATCAATTTATTAGTCAATTAATAGATTATTGAATTTAACTATCAATTAATCAATATATTGTATTGATCAATCAATAATCGTATTTTTTGGCTTTACATTCAAGAAGAAAAGTCTATTTTTCTGAACTTTATGAGTTTTTCTAAAAATCCACCCTTTCTGTTTTTGGCTAGCTCCACAGATTTCTTATCAAAGAAAATAATTATTAACCAAGCAGCCAAACAGAGAAGGATCCATACTTGAGCTTCGAACCCGGACATTCTCAAAATGACTTTGGTAGATAGGGCTGTCATAATAATTGTAGAGATGAAGAATAACACATTAATGAATACTCCACTACATTTTCCATTAGGTTCTTATTTCAAACAGCAGAAGTATGAAAAGATTTTGAGTACAATTGGAGGAATTAAGGATAGAGCCCAGTAAATGATCATACATACCAAAAAGGCAACAAACAGTAACTATTTTCTATCATCCTTATCTGTATCGTCTCCTCTTCTACCAGCCCAATAGAACATAGAAGAAAATATTCTTTGCAAAATGATTAAATTGATGATTACATGCTTAATTCTATGGAAATTGCTAAAATCTTTAAAGGAGAACTTTCCTGCTTAAGTGAGCCAATAGCCATTCAAGTCTGAGGTTACAAAAGGTTTTGGTTAATTTGATTGTTGCTGACTGTTCTGAGGTTAAAACTAAGGCACAAAATCATTTTAGACATTAAATTAATTTAAGGCATACCCCTTTGTTTGATCTGGAGAAGCATTGTTGTTTTGGTCTATGTCATATGCAGGTACTGGAGACTTATTATTTTTACCATAAACATTATTCTTTTCATCAAACATTTATTATGGTTAATTAGTACTACTTTTTTTGCTAACAGTATCAAATTCACTTGGTGCACCTACATTAATGAGTTATGGAGAATTCTAAATATTTTATTATTGCAAAACCTACAGCACTTCTGCACTCAGTTAAGGAACTTCATTGTTAAGGTTAGTATACCTAAATTAGTTTTTTCTTGAAATGATAATCCATCCAAAATAAACTACTACCAAAAATATTATGTTAATAATGCCAACCGCTAATGAATAGCCATCTCCCCTATCTTCGTAATCCATTCTTTTGTCACAAGTAAAATCTTACCTTAAAAAGTAGCCTTCCTGGCACAAAAAACAAAGATCATCAGTAACATCGCATAGTCTACAAACCCTTGGATCGCAAGGATCTTCTCCATCTGGCGGATTATTATCTTAATTAGGGTCTTATGGAGGATTTTAGTTATTAGGAGGAGGGAATGGTGGTTATTATCCTTAGACAAAGCAATTATTAAGAAGCACTGTTAAACTCAACACAATGAGAATGAAGTAATTTGGTCTCATCTGTCTATCTATCTTTATTTGTTTCTTTCTTAAATTTATTAGATTAACTTTTCTAAATTATTTATTGAAAATCAATCAAATTAATTTTTTTTAATTATTATTAATATATGTCAAAACGATATTGGTTGATTGATTATCTCTATTTAATTAATTAATAATGGCTAAATATGAGGCTGTTTATTTAGTTAAAATTTTCATACAATCCTTTTTTATCCAGCCTGCATTTTTCATGAATATACATTTTTTGCAAACTATTAGACAAAAATTTACCTGAAATTTTATAAATGATTGTAAAAATTATTTGATTAATTATCTTATCTTTTTTTTGTATAATATATCTACCAAATTAATCAATAAATCAGCTAATTATACACTTTACTTATTTATTCAAACACAACAATTTGATCTCATTTACTTTTAATTACCAAATCAATATTCAGGGATAAAGTGAGAGTAATTTAGTTAGTTAGTTAATTATATCAAGTATTTTTAAGAAAAATTTTTTAATTTTACACTAAGAATTGTTATACTCTAATTTCTATTTATTTGATCTACTTTGCTTAATTTTCCTTAAAATAGAATCTATGAAAATCAGTTAAATATTATTGATGTTATATAAATTATTTATATAATCTAATAAATGCTTAATTATTTACTATTTACTTACTTACTTATAACTTTAGAGTTTGACTAAAATACTCATACATAGTTAATAATTTCTCTCATCATATAAAAATGAAGACAAATAAATAACCAAAATCCTAAGTTTGAGGCATTAATTTTAAACTGAAAATGAATTAATTAGTTAATAAATAAATAAATAAAGTAAAATTTGAAAATAAAAAAATGATTTAAAATAATTAAAATGAATATTTGTATTCATAAAAGTAGATAGATATTGGTGAGAATATTTATTAGAAAAATAATATTTTAAATTAATTTAATTTAAAAAAAATATTAATAATAATAAATTTAACTTACACAATATTAATATTTAGAGAAAAAAGAGTTTAAAAATTTGTTTTATTGATAATACTAAATTTAAATAGTTTTAATAAAAAAATAAACAATTAATTACTTCTTCTAGATTGTATTAACAATATTTGTAAAATAATATTTATTTATTTATTTTTTTTCAAAAATATTAAATAAATAAATAAATATCAATTTATGAAAATTTAATTAAAATAACCATAAATTCTTTTTTATACTTAAAATTTTTGGGAAAGTTTAAATTAAAGTATGAGAAAATAATGAAAAAATTATCAAAGTTTTGGATATTTTTTTTGCAAAATAAAAGGTATTTCATTTAAGGTATATTTTATTTTAAAGATTTTTTTTATGATTTGGTTAATATATATTATCAGATTATTTATTACTTGTTTTTATTTTTATTTATCTTCTTTCTACTTATTTCATAATTTCTTTTTTTATTTTTATAACTTTTTAAAAAATCTTAATCATTATAAAATAAAGACGGAAAAATAGAGCAACTTAATTATTATCAAATCAAACAGATGTATTCCTAGAATCACATGAATGATATAATAATAAATTCAAGTTAAGATTGTAAAATTAAATTTAAAAATTATTTTAAATAGCTAAATTTAATTGAAAAATTTGATATTTATTATTTTGACAAGTTTTTTCGAATCTAAAACTAAATTCTTGCTTTGATTTTAAATGTTGAATTTAAATTAAACTTATTATTTTATTTTTAAAAATCTAAAAATAGTAAATAAATAACTAATGACCATAATAATTATAAAATAGTTTTATTTAAAGGTGAATAATTAATAAAAATATGTTAGGTTAAAATTAAATTTATATTTCTTTTTAATAAAAAAATAAATATCCAAAAGCACTGAAAAGACATCAGTGTTTAATTTAAACATATTGTTTAAATAAATTCAATTTATTTTTAAGTACTAAAGAAGTTATTCATGAATAAAAAGATGTGCTTTTTTGATTGTAAAATATGATATTATTTATATTTTTATTCAATTTTTGCTCAATTAAATAATAAACAAACATTTCTTTTTTTTAGAGATTAAAAAAATTTTTTAAGATTTTTAAAGCAAATATAAAAATATGTAATATTTTTTAATATCATCATTTATATAGAAGTTAACTGATGGTATTTTCTGTTATATAATTTGTTTATTTATTCTTTTTTTTTAAAGCGAGAAGTTTCAATTAAAAATTTGTTTAATTTTTTTATTATTTGTGATTATTTATAATACTTATAATAGAGTATTCGTTTATTTAATTAGTTATTTATTTTTTTATTTAGAGGGTTTTAGAGGAATAATTGGGAAAAGGAGGATAAGAAATTTAGAAAGAAAGATGTTAAATTTGTTTAAATTAGATAATATTTAGTTAGTTAGTTATTCTTTTCATGTCTGCAGGTTCTTCAAAATTAAAGCATCATAGTTTAAGTAGAAGCTATTTGCATTGAGAACTAAGTTGCAAATGAGAAAAGAGAACTTGTATAAGCAATGTTTTGAATAAAATTTTATTAGGTTTCGCTTAAGAGCTAGCTTTGTTCCTATTTATTACTGTGGTTTTGGTGATGGTGATGGTTATTATTTTAATAGCTCATATACATTTACCAGCCAACTCCAACTAAATTAGTCTAATTTGAATAAATAAATAAATATTAAGTAATTAATATATTTGTAATAAGAAAATATTTACCCATAGGACTCTGAATTGTAATGGAACATATCCGTAGCAAATATAATTAGAAGCAGGCCAAATTTTATATGAATCAACAAGTGACTTAGGCATTTTATTTTTAATAGCGTTAATTCCAGATTCTAAGTTGCCATTGATAAGTAAGTTTGTAGACATATAATAGAAAAATTGAATAAAAGGAGAGTAGAGTAGCTGATCTAACACAACACTCCAAATAGTTTTTTAGGTATTGGTTGCGTTTACGAGTAAGCCCATTCTAGGAAGATAGACATTTAATACTCTTTGTAAAACAACATTCATCCAGCCGTGAAGTAAGGGAGCTTAAATAAATGCTCCAACAAAAGTATTACAAAATGTTCTTCTATAATCAATCTATTTTTTTTCTTCAACAAATTTTTGGCACATTAAATCAGCTGCTGAGAAAATAACACCTTTTTTAAAAATAAAAAAAATTAATTTCATCAAATTTTATTTTAGCTATCATAAATTCTCATGCATATATATATGTATTTATTTGTAAATTAAAATTACAAAATTATATTTAATAAATTTGACCAAAATTAATTCTAAATTTAGAAATAGAAAATAAATATGAGAATTTATGGTGCGTGTTTATTTATAATGTGCATCGAAGAGTAAGTAAGAATTTTACTAGCAGTTGCCATTTTAGTTTTAAGAGGGTGAGTAACCAACAAATTGGAGTATAATTTGAAAAGGCTCATTTTAAAAATTAATTAGAAAAATGCTTATCGAACTTTTGATTTTAAATTTTCGTACAGTTAATCAACTGCAATATTTGTTTATAGTATTTTATATTTTTTAATTAAATATTTATTATAAGTTCTAGACGGTGACCAGATTATTTAAAAAGAAAATTCAATTGAATTTGAAAGTATCTTTTATAGCATATTAAATTAATCATATGTGATGTATTAAGACAAACTTTTTAATAAGTTTCTTGAATTAAGGTAAAAAAGATTCAAAGGATAGACGCTAGATACAAAAAAATAAAAATCTATGTAAGGTTGACAAATTGGTACTACTTAGAATAGAACACTAGACTCTGTCTAAATTTAGAATTTTAAATGGTCAGATAATTTTATTCAGAACTACTTTGGTCTAACTATATTAAAACTCGCGCCTAAATTTAGAAACAGAATTTGAAGAAAAGCATGTCTCCTTCCTTATTTATTAAAAAGATTTGTAATAGAGTTTTGTTATTGACTATTCCAAAATTTATCTATAGTAAATCCTTATAAATTCTTCCTTGAAGAAATACATATAAAATTGTTAATAAAAAGTGTTGGCAAAGAATGTTCTATAAATTTTTTTCTTATATCATCATTAAAGCATGAAATTTTAATTTAAGTATTAGAACCTTGTAAATTCGTCAGCAAAAACAGGCTTTATCCCAAATAATTACACAATTTTAGAGTATACCATATTTTGCATCCATAAAAATTAATTCTGTAACATATCAATAATTTGAATACTTCTCAGTCGTTGATGATGTCATTTCTTTTCTATTTAACTAACTTGTTAAAAAAAAAAGGCACACTTTTTCTCCATCAAATAACTTCTTAAATTAACTTTTATCAATCAATTTACATGAAAAAAAGATATTTTAAGTTATATTTTTAGTATTCAAATTTTTATATTAATTTAACCTACATTAAATAAATAAATATCTTGAAATAGAAAATATTATCACTGAACCAATATTTTTTGGACAGAGTTTATTGAAGACGTAATTTATCAAACATTTATTTTTCGACGAGTAAATTCTTATTAATTTTAAATCATTTTTGTTTGCTATTTATGGAATATTTCAAATCTAAATTAAATTATTTTAAAAAAGGTTACTGAAAAGGAAATTAACTAACTAGATCATTTAAATAAGTAACTAAATCGCTAAATATTAATTTTAGTTTGTAACTCACTATTTTAAATTTAACAAATATGTTAAATTGATTTTTTTATTACAGAATCAATCTTTAATTCTGAAAAGAATTTAATAGCTTAAACAAACACAATTTTAACTTTCAAAAATTAACTTTATTAAATCTATAAATTTAAATATCTTTCTAAGAGAAATAGAATTTTCTTAACGTTTTATATCAAAATTTTTATTTTGAATTTATAGTTTTGATCAAAAAATTTATTTATATTAATTGTCATGTTAAATGAATGAGAAGAAAGTTCCTAATATAATTCAGATTAATTAAAGAAAAAAAGTGAAGAAAAAGAAAGAAAGAAATTTAATCATTCATTCATTTATTCATTTATACATACACAAATATATTTAATATATTGATACATACATATTATTTTTATACTAAAATTTAGGCACATTTGTAATATATAAAAATAGATTTAGCCAGAAATGCAATTTGAGTTATTAAGAAAGCAAGTTTAGTAATTTGTTAAGTTACAAAATAGTAAAAACGTATTACTCGTTAGACATGGTTAATCTATGGGCAATTACTCTGGAACTGTTACAGGTTGGACTGATACTAAATTGACACTAAAAGGTAATTAATGACAAAAAACTAATTTTGTTCAAAACGTCTAAAAAAAGCTAAAATAATGTAATAAAATAGGTAGAGCTTAAGCCAATAAATTGTTTTAAGGTTTTGTTGGAAGCGTAGATAAATTCACTTCTATTAATTCATCCGATTTAATAAGAAGTCTTGATACTGCTTATATTTCATTAGCTTTTCCTGAAAAATCTATTATTAAAGTTGATCCTTTATTAAGAGAACTTAACTTCGGTAAAGAAGAGGGCATCCACTTCGATTCCTTGAGCTAAGAAAGAAAAGACTTGATAAACAATATAGAATTTAAAGCAGTTGATGGCGAAAGCTGGCATGACACTAGAAAAAGAGCAATTTAATTCTTTGGTAAACTTCCTGAAGGAAATCATTTAGTATTCACCCATGGAGGATTAATGTGCTCTTTAACTTGGTATTTAGGATTGTAGAATACTTTGCCTAACGGTTCCTTGGTTGCATTACAACTTGATCCAAAAACAAACGAACCTAATAAAATAATATTCGATTGGTCTTACCCTAAAGAGGAAGAAGAAGTAGAATTGTGATTTTAATTTATTTTCGAATAACTGTGTAATTATAAGTGTATAAATGATAATTAAATCCCTAATAAGTATAATCAATATTTTACATATAAATATTTTTGTATTCAATTTCTTACTTACTTTTCATAATTTACATACACTCCAAAATGAAATTCAAAACAAATAATTCTATTCCAAATCATTTTGAATTAGTTTCATTCCAATCATTCAAATTTAAGTAAACTTAATTTGTTTTTTACTCTGACGCCATGATTTATTTTTTTTTAAATTTTGAATTTTCAAATAAATAAGTTGCTTATTGCATGCTTTTTTGAAGAAACCTTTTGATTGTTTGGATAAGATAAAATCAATATCACAAACATTCAAACTTAAAACTTTACTTGGCTTTTAATCATAATAATAACTAAAAAAATATTTCTTTGAATCTTTATTTTATCTTTTAAATTAATATTATAATAAATCAAAAATATATTTCAAGCTTTTAAATAATTTAACAAAGAAGCAATAAATAATAGTAATAAGAAAAAATTCGTATTTATAAAATTAAATTCATTTAATTATTTTAACTTTCTTAGCCTTTAACTTATTATTAAATCTATTAATAATCAATAATTGTATTTCAAATATTCGTGAAGTATACAATAACAGTAGGTAATTATATTGTTTAAATTAGCATGACCTTTATCATTTAAAAAAACAAATGTAGATAAATAAGAAGTTTTTGTCATTTAAATGCTAAAAATTAATTTCAATGTGAATAAATAATTAAAAAATATAAAAATTTGTTTACTTTTAGCTAGAATAAAAATTATTAGTTATATTTGATTAAAGATTAAAAACATGTATTTCTAATTTTATATTAATTTATTTAAACTAAATTTAACTTTTGTTCTAATTTTTTCATTTTATTTAATTATCTTCATAAATTTTAAATGAATTATTTTTTAAAATTAAAAAAATATTTTACTTTTTATTTACTTAAAATAAATCTAAAAATAATAGAAAAATATAAATACCCTAAAATAAAAGGTAATTGCAAGACTATAAATGATTACCATTAAAGAAATAATTTAATATTAGTAATATTAGGAAGTAAAGTTTACTAGTAATTAGATTACTAGTGATAGCATAGTTTACGGTAATATTAATTATTTTAAAAAACATTTTATTTTAATCTTAAAATAAAATAGCATTTTTATCAAAATTAATTCTAAAGTTAATATTTTTTTTAAATATTTTATAAATTCTTATTGTTGAGTTTAATTTTAAGCAAAAATATACATACATACATATATGCATACACATTTAAATGCGTGTACCACCATACACATAAATACACATGCAGACGACATGAATAATAGAATGAATTATTGAAACTTTGTAATTTATTTTTTTAAATATTTTATTTATTTGATAAATATCCATCCATCCATTTTATTGATAGATATAATTTGAAAGAAAAAAAGCTAAGATGAAATGATAAAAATATGATTGATGAGCATTTGTTTGATAAAATTTCCTACATTTTATTTAGTTTTTTATAGATATATTTAATTAGATCAATCATTACTTTTAGAAACTGCTATACAGTTCTTCTATGTAAAAGTAAAGGTTCTCGTACGAAACATTTTGGTGCTATTTTTAGTTAATGTCAAATTTAATATTTAGAGATTGCACGTTGCTCTTAGATAAATTAAGAATATGTTATATTTCTGATTTAAGAGTGTAATGGGCATTCTCTTCTTTATTTAAAATGACTTTATTATAAAAAAGATCTACTAAGAATTTTTTATAATTATTTTTTTGGAGGGAGGAGTAATTGGCTATGTATGAAATCTTTTATATAATCGAGAGGAACTTGCTGATAGGATCATCCTCTATTTTATGCAAATTGCTTGGTTCTATTTTAATCAATGGTTTTTTTTTATCATTATCGAAAATAGAGAAATCGTTCGCTTTTTTTTGGTTCATTTTTCTAGTTAAAAGAATAATTTCCTAGTTCAAATACTGCTCCTTATCTTTCAGTAGATCTATATGCTAAACCAGTTAACTAGAAATTGAAGAAAGTATTTCTAAGATGCTTGGTCGTTCCTTTTCTTCTACTGTCAAGCACCTACTTACTATTTCTATAAGCTCTTAGGAGTATTGAGGTGCATTGGCTTTAGTAATAGCTTCATATTCCAAGTCCACTATCTTTTTGGCCAGCATTAAAGGATTGCCGCTTTAAAAGGGAGGCTTTAGCATCATCAGCTCATACAAAACACACCCAAAAGACCATACATCAGCCTTTTCAGAATATGGTCTGTTTTGAACGATTTCTGGACAAGAATACATCAAAGTTCCGACAAATGACTAAAGCATATTGACAGATTAATTTAATGTTTTTGCTAAACCAAAATCTGCTAGCTTAACATTAAATTCATTGTCAATCATAATATTAGCAGGATTTAAATCTCTATGAACTATTTTTTTATCATAGTGTAAATATTTTAAAACAGAAGAGAGATTTACAACAACCTTCCATATTTGCTTTTCACTGAAATGATCTTGCTTTTCTATTTGTAATTTAATCAATTCTGAAAGATTAAAGCCCTCCACGAATTCCATAACAATACACAGACAATCATCTTCTATGAAAGATTCGTAGTAAGTTACAATATTAGGATGTTTAAGTGTTTTATATATCTTTACTTCCTTAAAATATTCTTCTAAATTATTCTCATTTATCTTGACTTCTTCTTGTGGTTTACCATCCTTATCTCTAAGATCTACATTAGAAAAAGGTATTTGCTTTAATGCATACTTGTTACCTCCTTTTCTAACCAAATAAACAGTACCAAAAGCGCCTTTTCCAATCATTTCTACTAATGTATAAGATCCAAACTATGTCATAGTTTTAGCCTTTGAGTCATTTGTAATAGCTAAATCTTTATCTATTTCTACTAAATTCTTCTCAATTTTGAGCAGTTCATCTTCTTTTAAAAGATTAAATTCTTCAGCCAAGTTTTTATATTTAGAGTAGTTTTTCTAATAGTTTCCGATATCAATGAATGTGGTAAACAATCTACAAAATAAATTAACAAATTCTTATTAATTTTTTATAATTTTTTCATATTTTGTTAAAATTATAAAAATTCCAATGAAATAGCTTTGAATAGCCAATAAAATTGCTTTAAAATACCAATTAATTTAAAGAAAAAGGTATTATTTGATTTTAGAAATAAGCTTTCAACATTAATTTAAATTTACAAAGTAAAATATGAACTCAAAATTTTGATTTTGTTATTATTAATAATTTAAAAAAATTAAATAATATTTTTTCTAAAATTGATGAAAATAATTTTTACTTTGTTGGAAAGAGGAGCTTGAAGATTTTTCTATTTTTTTCAATTGAAAAAAGGAATCTGTTATTAGTTATAAATAATTTTAAGAGCATTTTCATTTAAAATTAAATTTACCTTAGGAGCTTAAAGCATCTTAACTCTAGTTCAAATATTGCTTCATTTAATTATTCGGGTTTGATGTCTTCAAATATCAATTTCTTTTTTCTCATGGGATGGCAGCCTATCAAGAATTTAGTGACGCTTTGAAGACCAGAATTAATAATTTTAACAGAAAGATCATCATCCATAATAAGCAAGCTGAGAATGTCAATAGTCAATAGAACTTCCATGAAGTTTTTACCATTTTTTAAAATATTAAGAAGGATTGGGACTATTCCAAACACTTTGAAGTCATAAACAATTTCTGTTTTTTAAAGCAATTGATACATGCAATTTAATATACAAATTTTTAGATTCAGTGATTTAGCTTTTTTTAGTTCTTATATGAGAGTTCCAATTCCTTGGATTCTTCTGAAATTATCGCTTATTATTTAGTTATTCATTAACTTAGTTAAAATATTTATAGCTGACATTTTGAAAGATTCGTCATATTTTTCACATACAAAAAGCAATTTTCCTATGTAATAAATCTAGCCGAATTCAGATATATAGAACTCTCTCATTTAATCAGGGATAAACTAAAAGAAATGCAGTATGAAATCAAGTAGAGTTTTAAGAAGCAAAGAATTGTTAACTGAAATCAAATCAATTACATTGGTAAACACTCTCCTGTTTTCATAGATTTCAGGACAATTGAGTCTTTTAAAAATACGAATAATCTCTATGTTGATTGATATGGCTGTGTTTATTTCTTAAATATCCTTAATGCCTTCTTCTTCACCAACTTATCCTGTTATTTTTGATGAAGAATCAGCTATAATTTCAGTTAATATTTCAAGAATGTTCTTCAACTCATGCATTAAAAATTTCAATATGTTTGCATCTCTAGATAACAAACGAATTATCTATAGAATCTTAAGTAAATTTATGGAATTCGAAGACTAAAGCCATTCCCTATTACAAATCCTTTTGTAGAGAATTTCCTAAGTCAATGTGGTATGCTCTTTTGACTTAAATTCGTACAATTGGTTGTTATCAGCGATAAACTAATCTATTAAAATAACTTCTTTTTAATCAGGATCTTCGCCTTACTAAATATTCAATCCCTTGAAATACTCTATAAGTAAATCCATCTTTAAATCTATATAGTCAAAACCTAAAATTAATTTAAACTTTTTGATGCTTTAATTTTCTTTTTACAAATAGTTACAAGTATTTTTTAATATTGAAAAATCTTTTAATAATTTAAAGTTGTTTAAATTACTGATGTATCTATCAATTATCATTATAACTTTATATATTAAGCATCTCTTTATCAATGTGTTATTATTAATAAATAAAAACTCATTTTTCAATATTTAAAAGCTTTAACTAAAAGCAAATCCATCAAAAAAAACTTAACAAAACAAAATAATACAAAAGCAGTTAAAATATTCAACAAAAATAATAAAACCATAAAAAATATCATTAAAAAAAGACACATAATAAATAACACAATTGAAGTAGTTTTTAATGAAGTTTTAATTTTTAATATTCAATTTTTTTGAGTCTTAAATTTTACTCAAATGTAAATATTTAAAACTGGTATTCCAAAGTTTTCAAGAGCAAAAGCTACTTATATAATTACGTTTAATGTGAATCCAATAGCTCTAAAAGATGTCACACCTGTGAATGCTCCAATTACATAAGAAAATAAGAAAATATATCTAGCTTTGATAAATAGACAACCTAATACAAACGATTTTAATGCTTTTATTTAATCACAGTTAAAGTAGATAAAAAAGGCGTAATTCAGCATGAAAATGAATCCTTATTCTAAACTATTTTAAATTATTCTGTTTAAAGTAATGATAATTTTAGGATCTTAGAAGGAGATTGGATTTGATCTTCCAGTTGCAATTCTGATGACCATAACTGAAAAAGTTAGAATTAATATAAAAGTTGCTAGCATATATCCTATCTTAAGAACAATATACTACTTGCTTTCGTTATCAAATCTTTTTATTAAATCTAATTTTGTTTCATAGAGCTTCACTTGGTTCTCTTGGTAATTGCAGAACTAATAAAAGCAAATTAAAACAATAGCAGTACATATTGTAGCTACAGCTTAATTTATGTAGCCTAATTTTTTGCTTTTGCTTTTTTTAACCTCCTTATCTTCGTTAACGTGCTATTCTTTAATCTTTTCAGCTTATAAGTTTTTTTGTGACATTTCTATAATATAAATCTTTTTTTATTAAACTAAATATTATAAACTAAAATTTAGATAAATTTTTATTATTTCTTTTAAAAAGTCTTCTGATAAAAGATTCTAAAAAGATTTCCTTCTAGATTAAACAAAATCTGTAAAAAATTAGTTGATACAATAATTTCTGATTACAGAAAATGTTTGAAAAGATCATCGATTATCTGATTCATTCCAAATTATTTCTTTTTAAATAAAATCGATTTCAAGATTCAAGTATTTCTAGAATAACTCTATCAAATAGAAGAAATTAGTTAAATAAATACAATAATTATTTTATTTTTTAAAGAATTAAATACCTCATAAATAAATCCTTTTTTTATTTTTTGACAAACATTAATTTAACAAAAAAATTTTTTAATTTGCTTTTATTTATTTATTGAAATTTTTAAAAAATTCAATTTAAAATTTAAATTATTAAATTTATTTTTGAATTAATTTATATTTTTTGACTAAAAAAATATTTTTTAATTATTTCCTGAATTAAACAAATTGATTTTTCTTTACTATTTAATTTAATAACGCTTATCTTTTAAAAATTAAAAATGATTTAAAACAATTATATAAAAATTTAAGGACAACTTGAAATAATTAATATAGTAATTACATTTTTTTTATGTTTTAATATATAAATTATCTAAATTTCACTAAGCAACATGTATTTTCAAACTTTCATATATAGATTTATTTAGATTTATGTTAAAAATGAAAAATTTTGGTATTTTATTATTTATAAGTTTGTATCAAATACTTTCAAATTTAGATAAATTTAGTTAAAAAAATTATTTATTATTTTAAATTTAGTTAATTTTAAAAGAGTTTTTATATATTAGATTATATTTTCAAAAATATTTTAAAGAAATAAATACAAAACTTTTTAGAATTATTTTTAAACTGTTAAGTAATGGAATCATTTTGAGAAGCAAATAATTGCTTTTGTAATAGTTCTAAAATGAATGAATGAATGATTGAATGTATAAATATTAATCGAAATAGAAGAAATATTTGATAATGAATGAAAGTTTTAGAGGATTTAAAAATTGTTTATTATATTGATGAAATAATAAATTAATTAATTAAATCAATTATTTTGGTTTATGTGAAGGAGCATAAAAAAGCCTACCTAATTAATGAATTGATACTGCATTTATTATTAACTAGGTTTAAGGGACTGTTTTAATTAAGAAAGAAAAAAATTTTCATTTTGTTTTCTATGAAATTATTGATTATTGATTGATTGAGAGAACATATGAATTTAATATTTTGAAAAAAAATAAAAAATTGTAAAAGAAGACAAAGTTTTACATAAGTTATTATTGCTTATAAATTAGTAGATTCATTTAATAAATAACCTTTAAGTTAGCACATAACAAATAATATAGATTTCACCAACCAATATACACTTTTTATATTGAATGAATAAATATGAAGTTAAAGGAGTTGTGGGTGAAGGCGCATATGGCGTTGTTTTAAAGTGTATGAATAAGGAAAACGGAGAATATGGTAAATTTACTTATTATTACTATTAATATTAAAGTGAAACATCAACATTTATTTTAAGGTTATTTTCAATTCAATATGATTTATCAAACAATAAACCAACAAATATATAATAAATATAATGTTAGATTAATATTTAACCAATATTATCATTAGTTGCTATAAAGAAATTCAAGGAATCAGATGAGGATGAAGTGGTTAAGAAGACCACTCTCAGAGAAGTTAAAATTTTAAGAATGCTTAAGTAAGAAAATATAGTTCAGTTAAGAGAAGCATTCAGAAGGTACATATTTATAAATAAAGAAATAAATAGAATAAAATGAGATAAATATAAAATTGGAGCTTTTTTGAATAAATAAATAAGAATAGAATAAAATATTTCTTTATATTTTTATTATTAGTTTAAGGAAATTTGCTAGTTTGTTTAATTGTTTCGTTTGATTAAAGAAACAGCTAGCTACAGATAAATTATATGCATAATCATAATTGTATTAAATAGAAAGGGAAAATTGTATTTAGTCTTTGAATATGTTGAAAACAACTTGCTTGAAATTCTTGAAGAAAGGCCGAATGGGCTGGATGTAATTAATTTATTATTAACATACATATTCAAGTCATTAAAAAAATAGTTTAATGAAGTTAACTTATTTATTTATTAATTCTAACTCTTTTTATATATCTGTTTATTAGCAAGACGATGTTAGAAAATATATTTATCAGTTATGCAAGAGTATTAGTTATTGCAACTCAATGGATATTATACATAGAGATATTAAGCCAGAAAATCTTCTCATTAGCAAGTAATATTTTAGAATAGCTTGTTTCTTTTCATAAATTCACGATTGATTGATTGATTGATTGATTGCTTAATTTGTTCTTGATAAAATTAATTTGCTAATATTGCTTTTCATTAAATTTTATTAAAGGGATGGTACTCTCAAGCTTTGTGATTTTGGATTTGCCAGAGTTTTGCCTTAGAAAGGAGGCAACTTAACAGATTATGTTGCTACTAGATGGTAAATATCTAAATAACTAAATAACAATTTTAATTATTTATTTTTTTAGTTCATTTTAAAATATATTTCATTCGTTTTGAACTAAAAATTTGATAAATATTTTACTTAATTGAGATATTTATTCTAAAACCAAATATATTTCTAATTCGTTTATTGATTTATAGGTATAGAGCACCAGAGTTGCTTCTTGGTTACACAGATTATGGTAAAGAAGTAGATATGTGGGCTGTAGGTTGTATTATGGGAGAATTAACTGATGGATAGCCTCTCTTTCCAGGATAAAATGAGATAGATTAACTCTATGTGATTTAAAAAGTACAAATAATTTATTTATTTAATTAGTAAATTTAAGCTAAATTATAAGCTTTTTATTGATTTATTAAGCTCTTTTAAAGAGTATCCTAGTACCTTTTTACTTAATTATTATGCTTTTGCTGAATTTTCTAAAAATTTTTGTGAATTTAAACAAAAATTCATAGATTTTTTATTATAATTGGATAACAAATTGTATTTGCCCACATAATATTCAATATATGATTACTTTAAATAAATTATATTTTATTCAAATAGGTACTAGGACCACTAACTGCTGAACAATAAGAAGTATTTTTAAAACATCCTGGATTCTTGGGAGTAAAATTACCAGAAATAAGTAAACCAGAAACAATAGAAAAGAGATATTTGGGAAAACTATCAAAAAAAGCCCTTTCATTTATGAAAAACCTACTTAAAATGGATCCTTCTTAAAGAATGAGTGCAGATGAGGCTTTATAGCACCCTTATTTCGATGGAATTAGAGATAAAGAAATTTAATAAACAATTAAACATGGAAGAATTGAAGAAAGAGTAGAATCTGCAACAATTAAAGAGCCTAAACAAATCAATTAAAATGTAATAAATTATAATTTTTATTTTTGTGTTATGAGTTTATTTTTTAAAAAAGGGCACAAATTCTGGTTTTTATAATTAACAAACTTAAAATGCTTCAACTATTAAGCCAAAAGATAAACCTCCTCAATAATAAGCTATTCCTCCAAAGTAAGTATTTTTATTTATAAAAGCATCAAAAAAATAATTTAAATTTAATAAAGAAATTAAACTCAATAACCACCTCTTGGATCTAACAAACAAAAGGCATTACAGTAGTAACCAGACCAATAATGTAAAATTTATATATTTATTTTAAAGGTTTTTATTAATTTAAAAAGTATCAATCTACCTACCTACCTACCCATCATTTATCATATTAATCAAATAAAAAATAATTTTTTTAAGTTTTTAATCGACTCATTTATCATCAAATAGATGATAAAAATGTTTAAAATAAATTGATATTTTACAATAAATAATATTAATATTCCATAAAATATATTTAATTAGAATAAAGAGTTAATAACTTTGTAAAAAATGGCGTAAGACAAGAAAAGAATACTCCAAGTCATGAGAATAATAGAATAATTAAAAAAGATATTTATCCTCATCCATAAATAAACTTTATGTGTAAGAAAAGCTTATTTATATAAAAACTTCTTTTTTGCTTAATAGAATTTTTTAATTTTTATAATAGAGTCAAGCTATTCAAATATTCCAGATATTTACATTAAAACGAAAAATGCTCAAAATCAGCAGTATAATTATGAAATTCAAGAAAATTATCAACCAGATTTTCATAATGAGGACCCAGATGATTCACAGTAACCTTCCGTTCCCCAAGTGTTAATTAGAAACGACACTCATGGAAATCATAATAATATGGTTAACGTTTCAATCGAAGATAATACTCCATACTCTAAATTTAATGAAAGAAATAAATCGAAAGAAAACATCATAGTATCTAATAAAAATCAATCACTCATTTAATCTAAAAAAATATAATTTTATTAAGCCAAAAGGAAAGAAGAAAAAATCATAGATGTCAAATATAGAAAATTTCTATCAAGATAATGCAGGTATTTTCTTATTTTATTATATTATGAATAATAATTCAACAAAAAGTGATTTATTATTTAATAGAAAATTCTAATAATCAAGAAGAAGATGCAGAAGGTCGCAAAAGCCCTCTTCTGACAAATAACAAACTTTATGGTACATCAGTCGCACAGCAAAAGAAATTCAGATTTAATGTTATGGCTCAGAATATTCAACAAAATGAGGAGGCTTAAGAATATCCAAGAGTAAAAATAATTAATTTTTTTGGATTAAAAATTTTTCTTTTTAGTAGCTTTTTACTTTTTATAGCTAATAAATATTTACTAAAAATAGTAATAAAGTAGAGCAAATAGCAGGTCTAAATTTTATAAAAATGGATAACTCCAAAAGAATGCCAACTATGTAAGTTCATAGCAGATGAATGTGCTTTTGCACACAGAAGAAGGTCCTGACTATGAAGAGAAAGGACTTAATTTAAATAGCAACACAAATAATAATAATATGAACGTAAACAATAACAATATCAGTAGTTAAAATATGATGGAATAGCAAGTAATGGGAAATGAAATCTTTTAGAGTACTAGTTAATTGCCTTATATTTAGTAATCATCTTCAAATTATAATCCAAACTTTAAATTTTATAATATGTACCATTAGTAATAGAAGTAGACCTAAAAACCAAGTGGTAAAATGAGTACTTAACATAATAATAATACAAATTAAAATATGAATTACGACCAATATACTTACTCAATGCACCCTTACGATTAGTAAGATTAAGAAATGAAGAACTTAAACATAATTTACAACAATAATACATACAATTATAATATAAATAACTCTCCACTTTGGAATTCGATTAGCAAGAAAAAAATATGAAGCGTAATTAATTATAAAGTATTTAAAAAATAAATAAAAACAAATAAAATCACATACAAATAATAAAATTATAAATAATACTAATTTTTATAAGTAGATTTTATAATTATAATCTAAAAAAAAACAATATATGATTCATTTATTGCAAAGAATGTAGTAACTAACTCAGTCAGTACAAGGAAAAAAACAAATAAATTTATAATTAAAATTATTATAAAAAATGAAGATATTCTGATCACTTTAAATACTTAATTTTTCCCCTCTTTCAGAATAGCCTAAATACCTATATAACTCTATAATTAAAAGTGTATATTCTTTATCATATCAATTTTACATTTATCTATCTATCTACCTATCTATATATATCTAAATATACGATCATTTATTTCATCTTAAAATATCTACTTAATATAACTTTTATCAGTCAGTAATTAAAAAAAAAATTATGTTCAGAAATTGATGTGTTTACGGCATAGGCAATATGCTTGCTTCTTTTCATAACTAAAATTTTGTAATATCTGATTAAATTTATGATACGAAATATAATTAGATATTTAATATTCATGCATTTATAGTATAAAAATAGAGCATTACTTTTTAAGATTTATTTTTGTTTAAAATAAATTTTTTAAAAAACTACTTCTAAATTCAGAGATTTACTAAATTACACAAAAAATATTTCTCAAGAAAAATGGTAGTTGATTGATTTATTAATTTAACTCTCTTTCAATTTAAAAATTAACTAAGCAATATGCAAATATTAAAAAATATTGAAATTATTTTAATTTTAAATTAAAAAAATTTTTAATTCTTAGTCAATTTAAGAATAGAGAGAAAATAAATCCACTTCATTATAATTAAATAATTTGATTGACAAATCTTTTTAATTACTTATAAATTTCCTCATAAAGAAGATAAGCTTTAATAATAAATTATCGTTAAATTGACGGTGATATTATATGAAAAAATATCTAAAAACATAGATAAATAACAAATTTAAAGACAAATTAGCAAAAAAAGGCTAATTTTAAGAAATGGTTACACATAGCATATTGCTATAAAATTAAATGAATTACTTTTTCCAATTTAATTCATCAATCTATAACATTTATTTTTTTCATTCATTCTTTTCTTTAAACACATTATTAGACTAATTATTTTAGTATTAAAGGTGGGCAGACAGAAGCTGATAGTAAAAAAAAATAGTGTGCTTTTTCATAATATTTTTATTAAAAATTCAATCACTAATTTCAAATAATTTAATTTTTTTATTGACTCTCAATCTTTCTTTCTCTTTTTTCAATTTTTTCAAGAGATAAAGTAGAGCTTTCATCCATTTGGCTAATTTATTTGCATTTAAAAAAAATTTTTAAGAAAATTTTTAAAGCAAATGAGGAGTTTTGTGCTCTCTTTAATGGATTTTTCCTTTATTAGATAAATACAATACAATAACTTAAACCCTTAACAGAAGATATCTCATGTATGCATTGACTTAATAATAGCTTTAATTATTCGTTTACTATTTCCATTGAACCTTGAAAGTATTATGGATAACTAATATCTTTACAATATTATTCAGATTCCTATGCTATTTCTAGACTAGATTGTCTTAAAATGTTTATTCAGAATTATTTTTTAAGCTAAATACTCTTTTTTACTAAGCTATATAACATTAAATATCTATTTATGCCTGCTAAAGCCAGACCAATATAACTTAAATTACTATTATTTTCATTTGCAACTATACATATGCTTTATTTATTAGGTGATACCTTCAATCTTAAACTGCTCTTATTAGAATGATTTGATTGTCGCAGAAATTCATTAATATTACATAGATTCTTATTAAATCATCCTTGGATTGTTTGAAAGTTTCCTTATTTCTTACTTCCACACAACTTCTTTTTCCTTGCTTGATGAGTAAATAAAATTGTTCTATTTATTTATAATTTTATGCAATTTGATATGCTTCTCTTCGATTATACTATCAAGGCTAGACAAGTAAGATAGAGATACCACAAAAGATAGGATAATTTTGTTTATAACAATGGCTATTCTAAATCCTCCATGGATTAACATAGACATCTTTATTGATAAAACATAGTCTATATGTTACGAAATTTCAAATTGGCATCTCTTCTATAAGCTAATGCAGATTTCAACTATAACTTTTAGTTTGACCCTGAATTTAGTATCAGATTTGAACAATTTCTCATCTATGGTTTTTCTATTACTGGGAATAATATTAACTTTTAATTACATCAAATAAATATCTAGACACTTAAGTAGAAAAAACATAACTAATTTTGATAGACAAGAATTAAAGCAATACTACCAACTTTCTTTCAGAAATAGAGAAGGAGATGTGATTGAAAATTAACTTTGCTACTCATGGATGTAAGAAACTAAGTTGCTGTCAAACAATCTGAATTAGTCACAATTAATAGGATCTCAAATTGAATATTTGTTTCATACCTTCTTTAAGCCAGGTACTCTTGAAGAGAATTAAAACATGTTTAAAAGTAACCAATCTCTCTTTTTATGTATGGAAAATAAAATGAAACTTTAGTATTTTAGCGCGGATCGCCTCTTTGCTTTTGCACTATTTTGCATCTATAAGTTTATTCGATTCTCTAATGAAACGAGCTTAAGTTAGCTCCCAGATATCAATAAACCAGATTAGGTTAATGCCTACTTTGAAAAATTTTAAGTGTTCTAAAATAAAATATTTGGAAACCAAAATATTAAAGAAATTACGCTGCAAAGCCAAATAGATTTCTCAAAAAGTATCTTCATCTATAAGTTTTTTGAAAGAATTCTTGAATTACCATTAGTTAAAATAGTTATTTTCTTTGACCATCAAAAGTATTTGTATAACCATAGCATAAACAGATATAGAGATTTTCTGCAGTAATTTGTAACTTAAATTGTTTTCAAAAGGATTGATAGCGAATTTAATTTCAATTATAAAATATTACTCTACGACTTCTATGAAGATTATTTTTTATAAAGCAAATTAAATAACTAAGTAAAACAAAGTAGAATTTGAATATTGTCAAATTAATCTGAATTATTGTGTGCTTTTTCTTTTCAATTTAATCTCTTTTTAATAATATGTAAAAAATTTAGTGTTTTGTTTAGTTTTCAATTTAAAAAAAATTATAAAAAATAGTAAAAATTAAGTAAATATTTAGCTTGTAAAAAATATAATCATTTTAATAAAAATAAATTAAAATATTAATTTTATATAATTTTTATAATATACTCTAACTCATCATTAATTAAGAGCCACTTATATTCAGGGCCAAATATTTTTGGTAGATGTACAATTTAAGAACAATAATTACTAGATTTTTTTCAGCATATGACTACCTATCTCAAGTTCCTACTATATTTTTAAGTGCATATTTTAAATAGAAATATTAAAATTAAAAAAAATACTACACTAACTTTTTTGTGATATCTCTTCCTTAAAGCAAATTTATAAATTGATATAATTTATTTGTTCTTTTTATCCACTTATATTTAATTAAATTAATATTAATTGATATTCAACAGTATTGAAAAAATAAAAATGATATAATATAATAAATATTACAGCTAATTAGAAAAAGTAATTATTTTTAATATGAATATACATTAAATTTATTTTAATATATAAAAAAAGTTTTTAAAGTCTTCACTCTAGTCTCATTAAGTTCTCCATATTCATCTGAGGTATATTTAACTTATAAATATTATTATTATTATTAATATTTTGTTTATACTTAATTTTTAATTTATTTATAAAACTATTTTTCTAATAGACTGTTTAGCCAAAGCTAAACCTAAGTTTGAAGCACCCAATGCACCGATTTTATTTTTACTTTTTTCATTCATTTTTATTTTTAAAAATATATTAATAGTTATTTTAACTTTCAATTCATAATATTCATTATCCATTTTTTATTATTTGATAATTTTTCTTCATTTTTTCCTTATACACTTTTAATTGATAAATCAGTTTATTTTTATTTTGGATTTTGATGTTTTTAGTTATAAATATATATTCAAAACAATAAAACTCTTTTAATTCATTTTATGGATTTTTATTTATTTTTCTTTTTTATTGTTCTCTTGTTTTTTTTCTATTTTCTTAATCAAATAAATTCATTTTTTATTTCCAAACTTTGATTTTATTACTAATTAATTAATTTATTTTCTTATTATTTCATATTTTTATTTTTTACCTTGAATTAACAAATTACTTATATTTTATTTTACTTAAATATTTAAAAAGAAAGAATTTAATTGGTGATGAAGTTGTATCAGGCTTTAGTTCTGCCTTAGCAAATTGCACTAATCTATCAAATTTGACACTTAATCTTAGGTAAAAACAGTTATTTGTTTTGAATAGTGATATTTTTAATTATAAAAATGAATAGAAAATAATATAACTAAGTTTTTAAATCAGACTCTGATGTCTTTTTTTATTTTTGTTTAATTAATAATTAGTGAAATTACATATATTTTATTTACAATATTTGCTTCCTCTATTCAATATTAAAAATTAATATATTTTTATGGACTTATTCTTATTTATTAGAATTTAAGTATCTAAATTTAACAATTTCTATAAATTAAATCAAAAAAAAAGAAAGTAAATTTTTTTAGGAATTTTTGCACAAAATTTTTAAATATTTTGATGACATATTTACTATTTTTCATTTAAAATATCAAAATATACCAGAGAATAAATTTTTATCTTATACAAAATCTTTAATCAAATTATGTTTATTGCTAAATATTATTTAAATCATCTCTGATAAATTTGCTAAATTTTTTATAGTATTATCACTAAGAAATATATGAACTTTCTATATAATTTTCCATTAATTTTTTAATAATATTTTCAGTAAATTTGTTCATCAATTAATATAAACTAAGTAAATTACTATTTCGAGAATTAATTTTATTATTGTAATAATGTGCAATAATTCCTAAAAAATAATGGTTACTATATACTGCTCGACCAAATATCAACTGAAAATGAAAAAAATCATCATTATCTGATTTCTTACACATTATTTAATAACACTTATCAGCAATCCAACTTGTGCAATAAAACTTATCTGATTAAATCTGATAATCAGTTGCATTCTGTTAAATTTTAATCTATTTATTATAGAGTAAATTGACATAAAAATTACAAAAAGCGAGTTTTAAACACCATGTTTTTACCATTATAAAATTAAAATTTTAAATATTTTTTGCAAATTTTTTTCATCCGATGGAATTCACTGTGAACTCATCTTTTTTCAAAAATATCAGAGAATTTACAATCGGGGCTTTTTTAGATCAGCAGGCAGAAAAAAACCTCTCTGCCACACTATTTTTTCGCCTTCCAAGTATTTTCCTTGGAGGGCTACTTTTTAGACTTTTTTAAAAACATTTTTAACAAATTTTTAATAATTGAAAATTTAATTTTTTGAATGAAAATCCCTAACAGCTACCCCCCCCCCCCCCATTAATTATATATATTTTCTTCAATATTTAAAAAGTGCTAATTAAATTGATGATAAAACTGTATCAAGCTTAGGTTCTGCTTTAGTAAATTGCACTAATCTCTCAAATTTGACACTTTATCTTAGGTAAAAATGTTTACATGTTTTGGATAGAGATATTTTTAGTTATAAAAATGAATTTAAAACAATATATTTAAACTCTTTTAATTTGTTTATTTGTTTTTATCTGATTTATTTTTCTTTTTTTATTGTAATAATGTTTTTTTACTTCTTTATATCTTTCTTAAATTAACTCATTTTTTTATATTCAATTTTTACTTTATTTTTTATTAATTTATTCATTTCTTATTATTTCTTCATTTTTTCATTTTGTCTAATTATATAATTTTTCTTCTATATTTAAAAAGTATCAATTAAATTGGCTCTGAAGGGGCATCAGGATTAGGTTCTGCTTTAGCAAATTGCACTAATCTCTCAAATTTGTAACTTTATCTTAGGTATTTGCTTTTGATTGTGTTATTTTTAGTTATAAAAAAAAATTTAAAATAATATAGCTAACTTGTTTAATTTGTTTATTAGCTTTTTATTTGATTTATTTTTTTTCTTTCTTTCTTTATTTTACTCATTTTTTTATTTTCAATTTTAGCTTTTATTATTAATTCATTCTTATTTTTTTTCATTTTTTCCTTCTAAATAACTAATTAATTATATATTTTTTCTTCAATATTTAAAAAGTGGAAATTAAATTGGTGCAATTGGTGCATCAGGCTTAGGTTCTGCTTTAGCAAATTGTGCTAATCTCTCTCATTTGACACTTGATTTAACGTAAAAAAAGTTTATTTCTTTTGTATTGTGATATTTTTAGTTATAAATATGAATTTAAAACAATATAAATATCTCTTTTAATTTTTTTATTAGCTTTTTATTTGATTATTTTTCATTTTCTTTTTTATTTTTTTTGTTCTATTTTTCTTAATTTAACTCATTTTTTTTATTTTCTCCTTTTGCTTTTTTATAAATTAATTAATTTCTTATTATTTGATATTATTTCTATATTTTTCTTTCTAACTAACTAATTATATATTTTTTCTTTTTATAAAGTGATAATTAAATTAATGCAATTGGTGCATCAGGTTTAGGTTCTGCTTTAGCAAATTGCACTAATCTCTCAAATTTGACACTTTATCTTAAGTAAATAAGCTTATTTTATTTTATTTTAATAATTTTTCTTTTTTTATTTTGCTTGGGTTTTTTTTATTTATATTTTTCTTAATTTAACTCATTTTTTTATTTTCAACTTTTGGATTTATTATTAATTAATTCATTTCTTAAAAAATTATATTTTTTCTTCATTATTTTCAACTAATTAACTAATTAATTAAATATTTTGTCTTCAATATTTAAAAAGTTCTAATTAAATTGGTACAAGTGGTGCATTAGGCTTAGGTTCTGCTTTAGCAAATTTCACTAATCTCTCAAATTTGAAACTTTATCTAAGGTAATAAACAATTTATTTATTTTGGATTGTAATATTTTTAATTATAAATATAAATTTAAAATAATATTACTCATATAATTTGTTTATTAGCTTTTTATTTGATTTATTTTTCATGTTTTAATATTTTGCTAGTGTTTTTTTTATATCTTTCTTAACTTAATTAAATTTTTTATTTTCAATTTTTGCTTTTATTATTAATTAATTCATTTATTAAATCATACTTTTTTGCTTCTAAATAGCTAATTATATCTTTTCTTCAATATTTAAAAAGTTTCAATGAAATTGATGATGAAGGTTCATCAGGCTTAGGTTCTGTTTTAGCAAATTGCACTAATTTCTCTAATTTGACACTTTATCTTTGGTAAAAAAAGTTTATTTGTTTGTGATATTTTTAGTTATAAAAATGAACTTAAAAAAATAAAATATTTTAATTTATTTATTGGCTTTTTATTTGATTTATTTTTCCTTCTAACTAACTAATTAATGATATATTTTTTCTTAAATATTTATAAAGTTCCAATTAAATCGGTTCAATTGGTGCATCAGGCTTAGGTTCTGGCTTAGCAAATTGCGCTAATATCTCAAATTTGACACTTTATCTTACGTAAAAAAAGTTTATTTGTTTTGTATTGTGATATTTTTAATTATAAAAGTGAAAAAAAAAAAAAAAAACAAGATAACTTTTTTAATTTGTTATTAGCTTTTTATTTGATTTATTTTTATTGTGCCTTTTTTTTATCTTCCTTAATTTAACTCATTTTTTATTTTTCATTTTTTTTTTATTATTAATTCATTCCTTATTATTTCATATTATTTCTTCATTTTTTCCTTCAGATTAACTAATAAATAATATTTTCTTTCTCAATATTTAAAAAGTTCCAATTAAATCGGTGATAAGGGTGCATCAGAATTAGTATCTGCTTTAGCAAATTGCACTAATCTCTCTAATTTGACACTTGATTTAAGGTAAAAAAAGTTTATTTATTTTGAATTGATTGTGATATTTTTAGCTATTAAAATTAATTTAAAACAATATAAATAATTCTTTTAATTTATTTACTTCTTATTAGATTATATTTTTACTTCATTATTTTCCTTCTAACTAACTAATTAATTATTTATTTATTCTTCTATATTTAAAAAGTTCCAATTAAATTGGTGATGAAGTAGCATCTGGCTTAGGTTCTGCTTTAGCAAATTACACTAATCTCTAAAATTTATCACTTGATCTTAGGTAAAAACAGTTTATTTGTTTGGATTGTGATAAATTTAGTTATAAAAAGGAATGGAAAAGAATTTTAATTTTTTAAATTTGTTTATTAGCTGTTTATAGTATTTCTTTTTTATTTTCTTTTTTATTGTACTTGATTTTTTCTTGTTTATATCTTTCTTCATTTAAATCATTTTTTTATTTTCAAGTTTTGCTTTTATTATTAATTAATTAATTTATTTATTTTTTATTTCATATTTTTTCTTAATTTTTTAATTGACCTAATTAATTAATAATATATTTTGTCTTCAACAATATTTAAAAAGTTCCAATTAAATTGGTGATGAAGTAGCATCTGGCTTAGGTTCTGCTTTAGCTAATTGCACAAATCTCTCAAATTTAACACTTAATCTTAGGTAAAAACAGTTTATTTTTTTTGGATTGTGTTATTACTTTTCTCGAATAATTATTCCTCAAGCTCTTCAAGTTGTAAATATAAACTTAGTAGAATAATAAATAAATATTTTTTATAAATTTAAAATAATAAAAAAAGTTATGGAAATAGGTCTGGAACCTTAATAAACAAAAAAAAATAAAAATTGTTTAGTCAAAGATAATTTTTTAATGAAGAAAATCTAAATTTTTAATCAATCATTTAATTTTTAGAATAAAACATTTTTTTCATTCATATAATATGTAAAAAAAACTAATACAAGATTAAACATTTTTTATTTTTTTCTTCAGTTAGGTTCTAAACCTATTTTATTTTTTTTTTATTTTAAAATGTCTACTAAAATATATATTTCTTACTCGATAAATAATTAATCGAGAATAGCTATATTTATTTTTAGTTGTTAAAATAAATTTAAAACAGTATAACTAAATCTTTTAATTGGCTTATTTGCTATTTATATGATTTATTTTTTCTAATTCTTTTTAATTATAATTGTGTTTTTTCTTTTTATCTTTCTTAATTTAACTAATTTTTTTATTTTTAACTTTTGCTTTTATTACTAATTAATTCATTTGTTTTTCATATATCATATTATTTTTCCTTTTTTACTTCTAAATAGCTAATTAATTATATATTTTTTCTTCAATATTTTAAAAGTTTCAATAAAATTGGCGTAATTGGTGCATCAGGTTTAGGTTTTGCTTTATAAAATTGCGCTAATCTCTCAAATCTGACGCTTTATCTCAGGTAGAAAAAGTTTATTTGTTTTGGGTTGTAATATTTTTAGTTATAAAAATGAATTAAAAAAATTTATATATACTCTTTTAATTTGTTGATTAACTTTTTTTTTATTTATTTTCATATTCTTTTTTATTTTTGTTGTGTTTTTTGTTTTTTTCTTAATTTAAGTCATTTTTTTATTTTTATTTTTAGCTTTTGCTTTTATTATTAATTAATTCATTTTTTATTATTTCAAATTTTTTCTTCATTTTTTTCCTTCGGAATAACTAGTTAATTAATTATATATTTTTTCTTCAATATTAAAAAAGCAACAATCAAATTGGTGATGAAGGTGTATCAGATTTAGGTACTTCTTTAGCAAATTGCACTAACCTTTCTAATTTGACACTTAATTTTAAGTAAAAGCAGTTTATTAGTTTTGGGTTGTGATATTTTTGTTATAAAAACGAATTTAAAACAAAATAACTCTTTTAATTTGTTTAATAGCTATTTATTTGATTTATTTTTTTTCTTTTTCTTTTTTATTATAATTATGTTTTTTTCTTCTTCTTTATACCTTTCTTAATTTAATTCATTTTTTATTTTTAACTTTTGGTTTTATTAATAATTAATTCTCTTCTTAAATTATATTTTTACTCTTCAATATTTAAAAAGTTCGAATTAAATTGGTACAATTGGTGCATTAGGATTAGGTTCTGCTTTAGTAAATTGTACAAATCTCTCTAATTTGACACTTTATTTTAGGTAAAAAAAGTTTATTTGTTTTGGATTATTATATTTTTAGTTATAAAAATGAATTTAAAAAAATATATTTAAACTCTTTTAATTTGTTTAAAAGCTTTTTATTTTATTTATTTATTTTCCTTTTTTTTAATTGTACTTGTTTTTTTTTGTTTATATCTTTCTTAATTTAACTCATTTATTTATTTTCACCTATTGCTTTAATTCTTAATTAATTAATTAATTCATTTCTTCCATACTTTTTCTACATTTTATCCTTCTAACTCTCTAATTAATTAATTATATTTTTTCTTAAATATTTAAAAAAGCTTCAATTAAATTTGTGATGAAGGTGTTTCAGGCTTAGGTTCAGCTTTAGCAAATTGCACTAATATCTCAAATTTGACAATTAATTTTACGTAAAAGCAGTTTATTTGCTTTGAATTGTGATATTTTTAGTTATAAAAATAAATTTAAGACAATATAATTTTTTAAATTTGTTTATTAGCTTTTTATTTGATTTTTTTTAATTTTTCTTGTGTTTTTTTCTTCTATTATTCTTAAATTAAATAATTTTTTTGCACCCAACTTTAACTTTTATTATTAATTCGTTTCTTATTATTTCTTCACTTTTTCCTTCTAACTAACTAATTAATAACATTTTTTTCATCAATATTTACTAAGTTAAAATTAAATTTGTGCAATTGGTGCATCAAGTTTAGGTTTTGCTTTAAAAAATTACACTAATCTCTCAAATTTGACACTTGATTTTAGGTAAATACATCCTATTTATTTTGAATTGTAATATTTTAGTTATAAAAGTGAATTTAAAACAAAACAACTCTTTAATTTGTTTATTAGCTTTTAATTTGATTTATTTTTCTTTTTTTTAATTCTCAAAATTTTTATTAATTTTAAATATAATTTTAATTTAAAAATTTTATTCTATCTTTTTAATAATTTATAAAAATTTATTATAAAAGTTTTAACTAAATCGAAGAGCCACAATAATTGAATATTAAAAATAATTGTCTTAAATCAAAAAGATTAGTTGTCTTTGAAATATATTTTGAATGACATACAAGTGAGTGCTGAAAAAAGGATGAATAAATATTAAATATTTAAATAATAGAATATAACATGTTTTATTATGTAATATTTTGTTATAAGAAAATTTAACCTAAAATATTAATTGATAGATAGATAGATTTATTACTATTTTTATATTTTTATGAATATCATATTATTTTAGTAAGTTAATAAATAGATTATTAAATATGTAAAAATTTATAAATTAAATTTACTTAAATATATTAATTTCTCTAAAACTATCCCTCAAATATCACCAATAACGATCAAATCTTTTAAATGCGGAACTTTTATATGAAGTTAGATTTTCATCTTAAATATTATCCATACCTCATATTTAGGAATTTGAGGGATTACAAATTGTAAAATCTAAATTACTTTTATTTTTATTTATCATGAGAAATTAGATATCATAATTCAAAACACTAGGGAGAAATCAAATAGTGCTTTATTTTAAATTAGGCGATTTTTCAAATCTATGGATGAGTGGCTACTTTTACGGATTTAAAAATTTTGATAAAAAAAAAAAAAAAAAAATTAAGATGAGAGTAAAGGTAATAAATTAATATTAAAAAAATTACAAAGCATATTAGGTGCCCTAATTATTTATTCTTTTATTAATATGAAATTTTATATTTAATTTCTCTTAAATATATTTGTTATCTGTATTCAAATAAACATAAACTTCTAATCTATTTATAATTTATAAAATTTGCATAAATTTACTATCCGAAATTCTTCAAAAAAAATAAATTATGAGAAAAGAATTTTGTGATTATCGATTAAAATAAGTAGTTATTTAGTTTAAAGTGAATATTTTTTAAGTGTATTTTTGATAATAAAAAAGTTTCATCTAACATCAATTGACGATTGTGAATTATTCCATTTTAATTTTAAGTAAATTAAATAATTATTATTAATTTTATTTATAAGTTTATTTAAAATATTGTTTTTAGAATAAATAATCTGATTTAAATTCTTTATAATTTATAATAATTTGTTTTTTCTCATTTTAAATATTTTTTTAATTTTTCTTTCTTTGGTTATTAATTAATTATTTAATATTTTTTATAATCTTTCTCAGTCTTTCACTTATTATATTTTTTATAATATCAAAAAAGTGGAAATAAATATGGCGATTATTTGATAAGAGATTTTGCTATTAGATTAAAACGAGCCACTAATCTCTAATTCATGACACTTTATCTTGAGTAATCATATTTTATTTGTTTTTAATTGTGAATTTTACTTATTAATTTATTTTTTAATTTTATTTTTGGTTCTAATTTTGTAGATTTTTTTATAAATTAAATAATTTTAAAATTTTTCAACTTTGGTTTGACTACAAATTAATTTTTTATTCATATATTTTCTTCATTTTTTTCTTCTGAATAAAAAGTAAAATTTTCTTCAATAATTAAAAAGTGATAATGATATTGGAGAAGTTGGTTTATAACGGTTAGGTGAATCTATAAGAACATTCAGTAAACTCAAAAAGTTGATAATTACTCTGAAGTAAAAACAATTTATTTGTTTTAAACTGTGATACTAATAAGTTTAGCACCATAAAACTTCATATTTTATTTAATTTTTGGCTTTTATTAGATTTATTTGCTTTTTGATAAAGGCTGTGTTTTATTTATTCAGCTTAAATTGTATTTATATTTTAAACTTTTGGTTTGATTGCTAACTACATAGAATAAATAAAGAAATAGATAGAAACTAATCAAAAAATCCCCTCATTAGCAAAAAAAAAATGTATAAACATAAAATAAATATTGAAATCAGCTCCTAATTTAAATAATGGATTCAAAAATTATATTTATTTTTCTTCTAAATATTTATTTTCTGCTAGTGCGCGAAATATTTATTCTAATGAGGTTATGTTTTTCTATCTAGTTATTTTAATATATTTTTATATTCAAGTAATATTTGAGTATAAATTGAATATCTCTTCAAAAAATTAAATTATCAATTACTAATAATGCAAAATTTAATAAACATAATTCTTGCAAACAAAAAATTTTCTTTACTAATTCTATAACAAAATTTAACTGGTTTTTACATCTCTTGCTTAGATAATTTATAAGTTTATTTAATTTCATATTAATTTCATTTTTTTTTCTAACTTACTAATTCAAAATTTAAAAAGAGAAAATTATCTGAAACTTCAAGATGCAATGAATTTAATTTCTCAAATAGCATAGTGCACTGAACTTAGATATCTAAAACTTGAATTTGGGTATAAAAAGTTTATTAGATTTTGTTTTTGATATCATTTTATAATTTTTCTCTCTTAAATTAATTCATTTTTAATTTTTTTAAATTTTGCCCTGATTATTTATTAATTAATTTTGATAATTTAAAATTTTTTCTTCATTTTTTTTTTTCTAAGTATTTAATTATATTTTCTTTAATATTTAAAATATTTTAATTTTATTCTGATTGATTTTAATTTTAGTTTACTTTAATTTATATTTAAAGCTAAAATTACACTTCATAAAAATTATTCGAGATGAAAACCAAGATGCTTAAATTTAAAAGGCTAGTTGTCATTGATATAAAATCTTGATAATATTTAAGTTATGGATATAGAATGAACAAATAAATAATATATTTTAATTATAAAATATAGTTTGCTTTTTTATATACTGTAAATGCTCATTAATTAAGGCGTATTTTAATTAAGGCATTTTTTTCTTAAATTTTTTAATAAAAAATGTAAATTATAAGTACTTGCTTATTTAATTAGGTCTTAATAAAAGTAAATATAGGGTAATTTAAAAAATAGATTGACATAATCATGTAATATATTTATTATTTCTCTAAAGACCTACAATTATTTTATATTACAAAGAGAGATAGATATCTTAAGCATTTAAAACTCCTTAAAAAAAAATTCTAATTTAAAATAAAAATTTCTTTTAACAAATTTTTTTGCATTGAAGGAATAATTTCAAAACAATTTTTTCAAAATAATATTAAAGATAAAATAATTACATAAAAATAATAATCGACTTGATAAAATATGATAAATATTCTTTGTAAAGAGTTTTAAGATACTTATAATATATAATATTTATATGCGTTATATAATATTTTTACATTTTTATTTTATGTATCATTCCATTCATTCATTATATTTTGACTTATTAATTTAATTAAATCCAATTAATAATTATATCAAACTTCAATTTCCTAAACAAGTAGTATAAATAGGCTTGTAGTAGTATTAGTTGAAACAATCGTTGGATTAAGCAATGCTCTAGATTTTACTAGAAAGGAAGCAGCTTTGATAATAATTATTTTTATTGATAAGATCATCTGCATGAGCAACTTTAAGGTAGCTGTAGTAATTCTTGCAATCACTAGACACATTTGAAGAGTCAGGATAAGTTAAGTCAACGAATTAACTAACAGTACTGTAATAAGCATCAGTAGTTTGGCAAGGCTATACACTATATTAAAGAGTTTTTAAGCATTCGGCATATTGAGTAAAAGTGACAGTGGTAAGATTATTCTTTGGCTTGTTGGAATCAGAGGAAGAAGAGGAAGAAGAGCTAGAAGCACTAGATCTGGTGCATTGTAAATAAAAAGGAGCAAAATACTTATCGTAAAAGCACTAGTTTGATTTAGCGATTGCGAGAGCTTAATCATTCAAGTAGCAATCAGCGAAATAATTGTTTTAGTTGAGAGGTTGAGAAGCAAAAGCAGTTTAGAAGAATTTGTTGTAATTAATGCAAGCAGTGTTGGGGTTGTCTGATTAAGCACTAGTCAAATTATTGAAATTAGTGGCAGCTTAGTTATAAGCATCAGTGTTTTTGCAGCTATCAGTAATAGCTGGTAAGTTTTAATAGCATTGAGCAAAATTGTAGATAGTCAAATCATTAGGGATGGTAAGAGAAGACTCCAAGTAGTTGTTAGAGTTCTTATAATAGAGTATTCCACCTAATGCAAGCAAAGCAAAAATAGGTAAAGCAATGATGAATTTGTTCATTATTTGTACTTTCTTTAATTTTTTTTACTTTTAGGTATTTTTAATATCTTTTTTTTAGAATTTTAAATATGAAAATGTGACTAATTAGTTTTTGCTTAAAGAAATTTTACAGATTTTTGGTTGAGAATTGTAAAATTTTTAATTGATTTTGAATTTATCCCTGAATGTGTAATAAAATAGTTTCTTTCTCAAATATTATGATATCAATCAAGTATTAAATTAATTAATTTTCAAAATTTTTTTGTCTTAAAAATATGATTAAATCTTTAATAACCTTAACAATACCCTTTCATCTAATTAAGCTACATTTTTTAAAGCATAAATGATCATTTTGACAATAATAACAGTAAATAGATCATTTAATTTATAGCTGTATTTCTGAATTTTAATTTTACATTTTATATATTAAATTAATAAGCTCACATTAATAGTATAATAGTGATTAATTACATCAGATTTTAATTATCAAAACTAAAGAAAAAATAATGATGTATGTTTACAAGTCAATATATGACACAGATTCTTTTAATGAAAAGTGCTTTTGTCTACTGCGTAAATTTTCTTATTTTTTATTAAATTTTGAAATATTTATTTAAATTGTTTTCATTATTATTGAGAAAATAGAAAATTTTTAATCCTGATACTATTTAAACAATAAGATATTTACCATTAAAGTTATTGTATCACTTTTCCATAATAACTAAAAAATGTAATCTCAACAAATAAAAACAAAATCCTTTTGATTAAAAAGTAAAAATTCATATTTGATTTGTTTATTCTAGTAAATGAAAAAAATTAAAATGCATTTATAATATATAAAATAATATAATACTAATAAATTAATATAATAATTAAAAAGATTCAACTAAGATTTCACTAAAACATTACAAATGATTAACTGTAAATGAATGACTAGGTTTTCATATATTATAAAACCCACTTCTCAAAACTTATTTTTCTTTAATTGTATTAAGGACAGACTTAAAATATTGATAAATAATCTTTTTCAAAAAGTTTCAAGTAGCTTAAAGAAATTTTTTCAATTCAAAGTTAAATTGGCTAAAATTAATTTTATAAAACTAAAAAAATTTAAATTTATTTCATAAAAAAAATGGATAAAAAAATAAAATTATATCAATTTTTTCATATTTTTTTTTAAAAAAGTAAATATTATGTGAATTCAAAGTAGAATTAAAAAAATTAAAAATAAATATTATTAAAAAAACTAAAATTATGCATGAAAAAAGGAAGTTGCTTGTTTAATTTTTGATCATTAAATTGGAAGATTTTTGATTAAAATCAAAAATAGAAAGAATAGATAAAATGCAAATTATTAATTATGAATTATATATTTAAATTATATATAGAGTTTTTAGTTTATAAATATGTAAAAGAAATGTTTAATGTAATTTAAATATCAATTATTTTAATTGATAATTGAGTTGCCAAATGGCTTTCTTTGTTTAATAAGATAGTTTCTATTTGTTTAGCTTGTGGCTGAAGATTAAGATTTATTTCTAGGAATTTTGTTTGAGAATGGTTAATTTTCATCGTATTCTGTATTTTTTACCTGATTTGTGTAGGGCCTGGATATCTGAGCTCTACTTATTTAAGATTATGTAAGATTTTGTACAATTTGCTAATTTTATTCAGATGAAGATCTTTTATTTATATATTGTTCTTGATCATTTTTTATTGTTACAAAGTTTTCGATGAAGAAGTTGCTATTGTTGTTGTTCTCATTTTATTTTATTGACATTTTTTATAAAGAAAGAGTGTCATGATATTCAAAGATTTATTTTTAATTGCTTCCTTAATTCTAAATACTACTTGTTCCATTATAGATATTACTTCCATTATTTATTTGTATTTAATTTTTTTCACTGCTTTATCTTCTATCTTTTTACTTTTATTACTTGCTTAAAGTCTTTTAAAACTCCTACTTTAAAACACTAAAGGGAATCTATCCCTAGAGTGCGTTATTATTTGTTGGACTATTTCGAGAACTAAATTTATAAAAATAAAATTTAAGTATAAATATTTTTGCTAGTATAAATATATAAACTCTAATATCTTTAGAGTTAAATTTTAGCAATAAATTACCTATTTAGATTATTATTTTCTCTTTAATTGCTTAGAGCAGTTGATTCTCTTCTAGGATTATCGCTAAGATCTCTTTTTCTAAAGTGATTGTTTGTGAAAAGCTTGTTGTGGTTGATGTGTTAATTAATATTTTAAGTTTCTTCTTTTTTGTATAGAAGAATTTAATTTAAGGTTGGACCATTTAAGGTGAAATTTCTTTTTCTGTTAAAGTATTACTTAGCAGAAAATGTTTAAGATTCATGGTCTATTGAAGCTGATTGCTGAGAAAGCTTTCTCATGTCACTATCTTGAGAACTTAGCTATTATTTATCTTACTTAATTATGCTTCTTAGCTTGCTAACTAATTCTGAAGTCTAAGTAGACACTTCTCTGCAATTTAACTAGGGTGATTTAAAAACCTCAATTTACTTTACATTCTATATGCATTAGTCATCTTTTACTTTCTATCCTGTAATACAAAAATTTTTAGCCATTAAATTAGACAATCTACCTTCCTCTATTGATCTAATTCAAAATAAAATTTATATAATAATAATTGAAATTAAAAAATATTTAAATTTTTTTATTCGATTAAGGAAAATAAAAAATAAAATATTTCAACAAGATTAATATTTATGATGAAAAAATCTTTTTATTAAAGATAAAAATAAATTTGAAAAATAGAATTCATTTTATTATAAAATAATATTTAATGAAGAAAAGTTATTATTTTTATATATTTAAAACTTGCTTGAGTTAGCCGCCATTAATAATTTAATTAAAATGAAAATAATTCAAATAAAATATTTAATTTCAAAAGTTATACTTGGAAAAATTTATTTTGAATTATTTACCTTTGAATGATGTATGGATTTATTTTAGGTAAAACAGCGATTTCGTCTTCGTTCTTAGCTCCATATGCTTGAGAATGAATTACATCTTGGTTTAGCTAAAGTTAAACAGAATTGCTATAGTTGTTAGAGTTTTTTATAAAGTAAGGACGAGGAGGAAGTTGACTGATTTTTTGCTTTTTGTCTTATAAAATTATATTTTCTTAGGTTTTTTTTAAGAAATTAAAAGCATTTTATTCATATTCATCAGTTTATGTTTATTTTTCTTATTTTATCACTTGTATTTGCATCATTCTTTTTTGTATGCTTGTTAATTCAGTTATCCTTTCTCTAGAGGTATTCTTTATTGATTTTCTTTTTTCTTTATATTCTGGCTATTGAGGTTGAGCAGGAGTAGCAGCACTAGGTACTTGTTTAATAGAATCTCTTTTATCTATTTTATTTTAAACTAAAGTGGTTCCGTCTTCCTTAAAACTTTTCTTTCTCTTCTTTTTATCTTTTTTTTTCTTTTGTAAATTTTTAGGCATAATCATATTCATGATATCTTCATCCAATTCATCACCTGAGCAGCTGCTTTCACTACCACTGCATTCAACCTCACCACAGTCTATTAATTTTTTTTAATTTTATAAGTCATTAATGACAACTTCCAATAAGCATTCTTCCCCTTCTTTTTTCTAAGTATCCTATTTATTTATATTTTACTCTTCTTTTTGTCTTCTTTTAAGCTCATTCTCATCTTCGATAGGGATAAGTAGATCTGGATTTATTTTTAGCTCATCCAAAAGCATGTTATGAAGTGAAGTACAAATACTTCTTCCAATTTATATATAAGATCTAAATTAATTTTTAGTGATTTAAAAAATAAATTTATTAAATATTTTAAAATTAAATTAAATCATTATTTTTTAAGATAATATTTTCATCCAAAAAGCAAAAATTTTGTAAATTTTTTATTATTGAGTTATTTTAAATAAAAAATTACTTTGGTGTAAAGTTAACATGCCTTCCTTCTTTGTTTTAATATCCATAAAAACTGGCTTCTAGAGTAAAAACATTGGGGATCCTTAGCATTCTCCATAAAGCTATTCTTGCAGTAGATTCATAGTACTTTTATACTTTAAATCTGCAATCTTCAAAGCTGATTCTGGGTTCATGTTTACTCAGCATCATAGGAAAGATTCTTGTTAGTTCTGGCTGTGAGTAATAAGTATTGCCATAGAAGAATGCGTTCAATCTAATATGAAATTGTTTAATAAAAATTAATAATTAAAATTAAAATTTTTACTTTTTACTGTGTCCATGAAAATCTACTAACAGCTTAGTTTCTCTCACATGGAGATTCTTTTTTATCAAATTCTTAATATAGTTGATGCAAGGATGTAGCTTCTAATAAATTAGTTATATAATTAAAATAAATCAATAACAAATTCACTTAATAATTTACTTTATGAGGATTTCTCCATTTCCTATTAAGGTCAATTCCAGCAAGTGAGCATCTATTATTCCCATGAATAACACCATCAGGATTTATCATAGGGATAATTTTGAATACATAATGTTACCTTAATAATTCAGCTTCAGGGGTGTCTTCAGTTAAATAATTGATAACCCCCTCAATAATGTAACTCCCCGTTACTTCACCAGGATGCTATCTGGCCATAAAATAAACTAATTTTCTTTTATCTCTTTTCTATTTAATTTAATAAAAAATAAACTCTCTGTAAATATATAAATAAATAATTATTCGATTTTTATTTATTGATTGATATCGTAGAAATATCATTTTTATTTATTAAAATAAAAATTACTAATTTTTAATATTTAGCTATTTTTGATGCTTAATTTCAAAATAATTTATAATTATCAATGAAATTCATTTTTTTGTTTATAATTAATTGAAGGTTTTGGATAATTTTTTTTTATTTTAATTTCGTAAATTTTTAAGTTAAATGAAATAGTAAATAAATACAATATTGCAAGATGAGGTGATTGTAATAACATCCATGTTATTTTTTGCCAAAGTTTTGCAGCCTATCTTTCTGTGAATATATTAACTTTTTTTAGGATCTTCTTCAATTTTTTTTAGATAATTGTTCAAATCAGAGTAAGTATAAGGGTAGGAGTAAGCAAAATAAACAATATCTTCATTATATTAAAACGTATAAGTGAAACTTAGAGTGTAGTAGGACTATATTATAAAAATAAATTTAGATTAAGATGTATAATTAATTGCCTTACTCTATTATAAAAGCCCTCCTTTTATATGAAAGATTTGTAGTATTTAATTGCATAGCCTTCTCTTTTCCATCCAGCATTTTTTGCTTCTTTCCTCTATTTTTAGTTTTCATAATTAATTGATTTTTACAAAATTTAAATGTTACTTTCACAGAATAAACACAAGGTAGCATACCCTTTTGAAATAGTGATGTCTTTTTATTCTTTTATTTTAAACAGAATGGTAAAATTTAATAATTTTTAATTAAATTTGGATTTACTAAATTAATTATGTTGAAAGTTATTGATTGGCCTTTCTTTGCATTTTGAACAGAGAAAAAAAACCATTAAGTGTTTCCTTTACTGTTAATATCATTTTGCAAGATCAAATTATATTCTGTGTTCGAAATCTTATTTTTTATTAATAAAAAAAAGTATTTAACTGTAATTATTTTTTAATTTAATTTAAAATACCTTCCAAGCTTGGAACAAATTTCCAGACTCAAATCTTGAGTCAAATATTAGATCATTTTTTTATATTTTAATAGCTTTCTCTTTTTCAGCTTGAGGGTTATTGTTTAATTACTTGAATATAAGCTCATTCTTGTTTTTGAATACATTTTTTAAATCACATATGTAACTTGCATAGTATTTATTTGGGAATAAATCATAGTATCTTTTATAGACTAATCTAGCTTGAGGATTATCATGATGGAATCTGAATAAAGTTTTTAAGCTTCTTTCTTCTGAGTTAAGCTATTCCTTTATGGATAATGTTAAATGATATTACAACATTTGCTCTATTTAGTTCTTGTAAAAAAAAAGAAGAAAGGAAGATCTATTGAATCATTACATTGGCTTGGAAATTATCTTTTAAACTTTCTAGACATTAGCCGAAATCTAAGAAATTTTTATCTAATTCATCACTAAAATTTTCCTCTTTCTCTCTAATTTCGTCAAAAAAATCTGGCAATTATCTTTTTTTTTGATAAATATGTTTTGTAATATAATTTGAAAAACTATAAAACTAAATACAATAATTCTTGGTCAACTGCATTTCTTATATAGTAATCTTCTCTTTACTCAGGCCTCATTAAAGGGTTTGGGTCACTGATGAATTTGTATAAGTTAAATTTTTTTGTAGGACTGCTTCCCTATACGATTTCATCACAAGACTCTTCATCTTCACTGCTTCCGCTTGTAAATTCATCAGATGAATCTTTTTAAAAAAAGAATTGAAATTGAATAAAATAAACAGTATTCAATACAAACAATACCCTAAAACTAATCTTCTTCTTTGCTATCCATAAAGCTCTTATATAATTAAATGCTAATATATTTTCAGTTATTTTGAAACTTCTGTAATGACTCTCGTATTGCTTGCTTCAAAAACGAGTTAAATTAATACTTTTTTGTGTTCAAATATTAATGTTTTGATTCTATTAAATGCAAATATTATCTATCAATAATTTATTTTTTTAAGTGATTGATATTCGTGTAAATTAAATACTCAATCAACATAATAAGAGAGTTCTAATTTTTTTTATTAAACAATTTAAGCAGCAGCAAAATTCAAAAAATCAAAATTAAAGACCTAATTGAAATTTATCAACGTTCATTTGATTCGTTTGTTTTTTTTTTTATGAATCCAAAATAATTAACATTAAATAATATCTTCAAAATGTTTCAACATTTTTTGAAAAAATTTAGAATAAAATGAAATAAAATATTTTTTAACAAAATATAATTTTTATAATAATTTTAATGAAATTTATGAAAGATTTTAAAACCATTTGAATGAAGTAGAAAAATAAACTAGGATATTTTCTGATAATGTCTTTATTAGCTGTTTGTTTTTAACTAGTAAATAATTATTTGCTTTTATTTTTGTGGAAATAATAGTAAATATTAACAGAAACAAATTACTAGAAACCAGTATCTTTAATTATTATCATTCTCTCAAACAAAATAATATCATATATAAAATGTTGCAAGAATAGTTTATTTCATAGAAAGTTTTAGAAGAAGCCTCTTATTTATAATTTTTGGAAGAGTTGGAAATAGCGAAAAGAAGCGATTTCTTCTCCATTGAAGATTATTAAAAACTTATGAACAGGATAGTAGAAATTTCATTTTCTTTTAGGATTACTTTGACGATGATTGATAGATTGAATCATATTTTCATAAATTAATTATATAGATTAATGGAGTATTCGATGAGGAAATCAACATAGAGATATTTGAAGTATGCCAAAAGAACTATAATAATTAAGTTAGAGTTGATGAGTATATCAGGAATACTATTAAGGCAGAAGATTAACTGCTAGAAAAGATTTAAATATTTAGCGACTTGAATATATAAAAGTAAAAGGAAATAGCAGAAATTTAAAAGCAATAAGAACTAATTGCGTAGAACAAGTTAGAAGTACCAATTGAATCCTACTTTAAAATTAATATTTAGAGTGTGGAAATTGTTTTGAAAAACTAAAGTAATATCCATACATCGGTAGATTTAATTTATTTAAAACTGCAATCACATGACGGATTTCTTCGTACATCTTCAGCTTAACTAAGTGAAGACTAAAGATAGGTTATTCCATATAAAGAGATATTTAATATGTATTTAATTTTACAATTTTCTGAGAACTTTCATTTTCTTTAATTAGCAAAATTATTTTTTTATTCTTAAAATAGCCTACTTTAAAAGGAATAATAAAACCTAGAGATAGAAGTTTGTGGGCTCTAAAATTAAGAAGAAATAGTTTTGTTTAGATAATCAGTTCCTTTGTATTAATATCAGTCTGGATACAGTATTAATCAAAGAATAAGAACAACATGTGAAAAAAAAGATCTTGCTGAAGCATGCTTTGTCAACATAATAGCAGAAATCAACAACGATATTGTAAGAAACAACAAAATATTTATAAAATTAGCAAACAATTTATTTGGTAAACTAAATAGCATCAATTACATTTACTATTAAAATATAAACAATTAAAAACGAATACCTAAAAGAGTTAGCTCATATTCAAAAAAAAGTTTCATTTGCAAATTATATTAGGAATTATTAGTGAATTTTTAATAAAAACAATACTTTATTAAGTAAATATGTATCTTTTAAATAATAAATTAGCTACTATAAAAATCTTTAGCAATATTATAAAATAATTACTATTTATTTTTTAAAGTATAAATTAATAGCTATTATTAAAATATAAAATTTTCACGCATAGATAAATCTATTTTAAGTTAAAATAAATAATAAATAAATTAAATAAGTTTTAACAAAATACGAAAGTTTAGTGCTTTCTTTTTACTTAAAAAATAGATTTTAATTATTATAATAAAGAAAATTAATTAATTCGATTTGGTTTTAAAAGTAAAAATAATTTTATTGTAAAAATATAGAATGGGTATTATGAAACACTTATAAGCCAGTTGATTCTGTAACAGTAAGAAAATAATGATGAAAAAGTTCAATATAAGAGCGATTTGATGTATATTCAAAGACCTTATATTAGACTGGCTAATGATTACAATGAAAAAGTAATTAAAACTCAAAAATTGAAGTAATAAAATTAGATGTAAAATCAATATTTCAATAACACTACGAATGTCATTACAAAAAGTTCGTTACCACCGAATTTTACAAATTTAGAAACAAATGATAATATGAGAGTGCCTTCTCTTCCAACTAATATTTTGAATTTAAGCTATTAATAAAGTGGACCGTTTTAAAAAGCAAAAGAATTTATAAAAGATGCAAGCAATAATAAAAATTAGCAGAAAGCTACACAAGAAGAGTAGTAAAAGTAATAATACAAAATAAATTATTTCGTATTAACTCTTTTTGCTTACTTTTTCTTCTCTGTTATCAGCTGTTTAGACAGCTCGAAATTCATGGATGTAAATTAATATATAAAATTGTAATAGCTCATTTATAATTTTAAAATAGCTGACTGCCTGCTGCTTTCTGTTTTTAATTCTTATCAATAACGCTGCTTAGCTTAATTACTTAGTTTTTTGCCAAATTATAGTTTTTATATCTTTATTACAAGACCTTGTTTATCTTTATATCCATACATAGGTAATTTAAATTTTTTTTTTTTTGCCTCTATAATCACTTATCAAAAAAAGGACTTTTAGTTTAAATTCGAAAAATCTTCTCCAACAGAAGTAGAAGCAGCTAAACTATTTAGAGGCTTAGAGAGAGTATCAATACTAGTTTCATTCATAAATGCATTTATAAGGGTATATATAAATTTTGATATTTTTTTTCTACAATGAATAATTTATTTATTAAAAAATAATTTAATATTAAAAAAACGGTTATTAAATAATACACATTTATAAATTAAAAGGTCGCTTTAATTTACTATATTCACAAGATATCAAATATATTTAGTTCATTTTAAAGTCCGTTTTATTTTGGTGTTGAACCATTTAAATTTTAACTTGGCGGAATTTATGTAAAGAATCCCTTAAACCTTCTTGATAACAAACCAGAAATAGACTAATAATACGGAACAAATTATTGAAAAAGATAGCTTTCTTATGCATTTACTTAAAAAATTCATGTTGCATTTAAAAAATTATAAAATAATTTAAAAATTATTTAAAAAAATAAAATAATTTATTTTGATTTTTCATTTACATTTTTATTTACAAACAAAATTTAAATTTTTTATAAACAAACAAACACATTATTGCATTAATCGATTCATTTTTACTTCCAGATAACTTCAATCAAATAAGAAATATTATCATTAATAATGATGTTAGACTAATGAAATTGCTTAAAATATTTCCAATAGTTTTGGAATCTGTTGTAGAGGGATTTTCAGTTGAATCACTACTTGAGCTATTTTTCACAGATTTGTTACTTGGTTTTTTCTTTTTAGAAGTGGTTGAGTTTTTGGAATCAGTTGAGCTATCTGTAGAGGTTGTCTAAGCATCATTATCTGTGGAGGTTGTCTAAGCATCTTTATCTGTTGAGGTTGTCTAATCATCTTTATCTGTAGATTATTAGCTATTTTAACTTGTTGAAGCACCACTTGAAGAATTTGAGGCACTTTGATCTGTTTTATCTTAAGACTGTTAGGTAGGCTATATTGTTTATTGATTTTTAGATTTACCCAAACCACCTCCTAATCCACCTGATTTAGGTAATGTACATGATCCTACGTAGTTGCAAGTTGAAGCCTATAAAGCACTAATCAAAAGATTTTTTAAACTAGCATTGTCAGGTGTTGGTGGTACAGTAGAAACATTGGTATTTTATGCTTAGGCTGCAGTTAATTCTTCATCATAGCATTCGCCTATTAATTTTGCATTCAAAGTACAAGAAGTTGTTTGTTATTAGCAATAACTAGTTTACTTTGATTTAGAGGTATCAGTGTACTACAATAAAACGGCAGCTTGATCATAGTTTTTAGCTTAAATTTAATCAATGAACCCAGTAAGTAATTTTAAGCCAGACAAAGTTAAGTCATAGTATATTCTAACCAAGGCCATTTAAACAATAGCGGGAGTAGTTTGGTAATTGGTGAATATAGTTTAGAGATCCGAAACAGCAACATCAGCTGATGATGTTAAAAGTTGTAAAATTTAGTCTGTTGTTAATGGTTAATTTCCTGAAACAATATTGTTTAAACTATCTGAATCTAATGAGAGCATCTGTTGCAAGTTTTGTTGTTATCTTTGGGTGTTCAAATTATATCCTACACCAATAAGTTTCTATCCTGATATATTTGTATAAGCACATCTACAACCGCCTTCTACATCTAAAATAGTTTCTTCAATAGATTTTAAATTACAGTCTTAGTCTCCAGTAGTAGCTGCTTGAGTATTAATCCCTATAAATAGATAAGATAAAACTAGTATAAGGTAAAACTTATTTTTCATCATTTTCTTTTACTTTAATGATATTTGTTTGATTCAAAAAATTAAAAGAATTGCTGATTCTGTATTATAATTTTGCTTTATTTTTCGAAAAAGATTAATTAATATTTACATTAATATAAATACGTTTTGTATCTATTTACTCTATTAGAGATCATTAATTATTAATAAAAAATACTTATAATCATAGAACTTCTGCAAATATCAATCGTTTTGTCCAAACGTTTTTTCCATTCTCTAATAATTTATCATATTTATATAAAAAGAAAGAACATATAATTATACTTTTCATTTTCGTTTTTATTTTAAAGTCTTATTTTTATCTTAAAATCTAAAATAATTTTATTAAACCTATGTCTGGTTTTGTCTCAGTTAAAAATCTAAATAAATTCCATTTTTAAAAAAAATAAATTAATAATCCTAAAATTGCGATATTATTCTATTTATATAAGAAATATCATTAAGTTTTTACCAAAGAAAAATAATATGATATCAAACAGAATTAGATAAATCAACACACATATTTGTGCTTAATCACTTTTATTTTTAAAGGAAATTATAATATATGTTTTTTTGTATTTCAATTAAATTTAAATTTCAAATTTTTTATAAGTAAAAAACAAGAGATAATAGGTATTTTTTCGAAATATCTTTATTGGTTTTATATTTTTTATTTTTTTAATATAAATATATTTTATCTAATAATTATACCGTTATCCCTCTAATTAGGACTCAATTAATACAATGCAAAATCTAAAATTAGCCTATATTTTTAAAGCTTAATTTTTTTAGGTAAATAATTTTAACTTTGGTCTTAAATTAGAGGAATAATGGTAAATTTTATTTTTTTAATAGTGCTCAAAATATTTTATATCATATTTATATATTTAAAAAATTAATTGAAAATACATTTTATTTAAAATAAAAATTTAAATTTAATCTAGATAAGCAAGCTCAGTAAGTAAAAATGATAAAAAATATGTCTCAATAGCAGATAATTATTTTTATCTTTCTTAAATCTAAATATTTTGATTAAAATTAAAAAAAAAAAATCTTCAATAAAAATTATAAATAATTTATTTAAAAATAAATTTAAAACTTAATTTAAAATAATAAATTTAAAAAATTTAAAAATATTTTAAATTATTGCATTTAAAAATTGATATTTTCATTAAATTAGTTATTAATCTATTTGGAAGTATGTAATTTCTTTGGATTAATAAAATAAAAAGATTTAAAGATAGATTTTATATAATATTCTAAAAAAATATTCAAATTATATTCATCAAATAGATTTATTCAATAATCAAATAGATTATTTATTCCATCTTAAAATCTGATTAAATTTACCTAAAATAAATTCAAATATTCCTACTATTTTATTTGTTTGTTTGATTGATTGATTTATTGCTTGCAAACTTACTTTCTTTCTTTATTCCTTCCTTAACTTAAAATTATGAATTACAAATATAAATTAATGAATTAATTAAATATCTCTACAAACAAAATAAATAAATATTTTTATTTTCAGCTAGAATAGAATAGTAAAAAAGCATAAACAAATATAACAATAGTATCAAAGATTAGCATTAAATGAACGACATTTACATAGAGCTTAAAGATATAGCCATAAAAAATAATATCAGATTTTCAACAACTTCGTCAACAAGAAATTCTGTTTAGGAGTTCAACCCGGAGTTTAGAGCTATTATAAATAAAGTATAGACAACAGTTCAATTGATTAAGATGAATAATGAGCAAATAGAAGAACTTAAATAAGATTTAGTCGGCACAGCCTCAACTGAACGTGAGAGAGGTATTTATATTTTCTGCTAAAGTTATAATTAAGCAAATTAAAAAGACAGATTTGTTCATTTATGTTTTTAGGCATTTTCTTGAGCTATTTATTTAAATTGAAAAATAGAAATTAATGCTAAAATGCAAAACTTAGCCTCTCAAAACATGAGACATACAAATAAAATAAAAGAGTTAATGTAAAAGATAAATGATGATTTAGAAAAGAGTTAGAAAGAGAATCCAGTGAGTAATTTAAATTTGAATTATTATGAAGTTAATTATGTTGAATTCATTTTTTTAATAGGATGAGCCAGAAACTTAAGCAAAGGTATTTTAAATAAGAGCAATTCAAAATGAAATCAAAGAAGTGTTGAATGAAACTTAAAATGTACATTAAGATTATAAAGCAGCAGCAAATGCTAAAATTAAAAGATAAATGTATATCCTTAACCCTAATCTCACAGAGGAAGAATAAAAGAAAATTCTTTAAGATCCTAAAGGAATGGAAAATTTTGTAATGAAAGAGCTTTTAGGTTAACCTAGCTTGCAACTCCAATATGCTTTAGAAGATGCAAAAGAAAAGAGTCTAGGAATAAGAAAACTAGAATAAGTAATAGATTTTCTAAAATATATTTAATTCGAAGTTAGTTAATAAAGAAAAAATTAATAGATAAATTTAAAAATAATATTGACATCTAAAGAATTTAAAGATAATTTAATTTTCATCAGAGAATTTCTATTGGTTATTTACTGAATTAAAATAGAGCAAAATAATATAGAAGATATTTATTAAATTTTATACTTATTTATTTTTTGTAAGTATAGAGCTGCTAGTAGATCTTTTAGCAATTAAATGAGATTTCAGCACTAGTAAAAACTTAAGGAGAAATGATAGATGACATAGAAATTCATTTATAAAAAGCATAAGATTACATAAAAAAGACAAATAAAGTACTTGAGAAAACCAAAGCAACTTCATAAACTAATAGAAAGGTAAGAAATAAATGATTAAGATAATATTTATCTTATTAAATATTTATTTATAAAATAGAAATTGTGTTGTATTGTCTTTCTTGGGTTGGGAATATTAGCACTTATTCTAACTCCTTTCATAGTCTAAGCTGTTAAAAATAATTGAAATTTTTATGAGGAGGAAAAAAATTTTATACAAAAAGCAACTAACCAAAACTAAACAATGAAAAAAATAGAAATTTTAATTAAGAAAAAAAAGTATTTAATAATAAATTAGTTTAATTTAATAATAATAATAATAAATAAGTAAATAAATAAATAAATATATTTGTAATAATTATATAATAATTAGAATAAACTTAGTAATGTAATTTTAATCCATTTATAATAAGTTTTATATGTGTTTTCAAAATCTTTAATTCAACTAATTTTTCCAATCTACATCAAATATCAAATCTCAACAATTTATTTTTGATAGTTTTGAGTTTTTTTGCAAACTTAAACAATCTATAAATTTATTTTCATAAATAATTACATTACTTACATTATGTAAATGATGACTACTAATTCAAAACGGGGAGTGGAGAGAGAAGGGGGGGGGGGGGGGTATAAATGGGGCATATTTATTTTATTTTTTAATACTTATTAAAAAAAAAGAAAAAAATTAATAAAAGTAAGAAAAAAATTTTTTTTTTGTTTCCCTCTTAACTTAAAAAAATATGCCTAATATATTAAGTATTATATGCTTGTATTCAATCTATAAAATTTGAATAACTAATTAATTTTTAATTCAAACTCAAAAAAAATTCAAAAATATTATGATTGCTAAGAGAGAGAGCAATAATAATATTTTGGGGGTCGAAATTTAATTATGAAATTAAATTTTGAGATTGAATGATGCATTTTAATTTAATCTAATGTTAATAATTTATAATCTATTTTCTATACATTTAGCTGTATACTTGAGGTAAGTTATGATTGAAATATTGTTATTTATACACATTAAAAATATAAATACGAAAATATTAATATTTACTGGTTTTTAATTAGTTTTTATATAATTATTTGTTTATTTTTATTATATTTATTTTAGGTGTTTTCATAATTTGGTTAATAAGATAATTAGTATTTATTGATTGGTTGGTTGGTTGATTGCTACAATTATAGTTAATAAATAAATTTAAGTGTTAAGGTTGTTTAGTTTTGTCAAATGTAGATGTTTATTGAAAGTTTTTTTAACTCTTCAATCACTTTTTAAGTTTTATTCACATTTAATAAGTTATTTTTTAAATATATATTTTCAAGCTTTTTTTGGTTTGAGTTAGCATTTTGGAATTTTTAATGTACGAAATCTAAAAATTTATCACTAATCATGTTATCCTATAAATAAAGAGTAGCTATATTGCTTGAATTCTTTATTATATTTTAAATCAAGCACTAAGCACCTTTGTCAGAAATCTTGTTTCTTTATAATTTCAAGCTTTTGAGGTGTTAGTTTTGCTTTAATGCCTCACATATTTTTAAGATTCCTTCATCACCCATATCTAAAAATTATAATCAAATTTTATCATAAATATATATCAAAAATTAGGAAGTAAGTAAATAAATAAATAAATACCTGCATAAGTGAAATCAGCTTATTCAATTGTATCTTTATTGACTTCATTTAAAATGGAAATAAACTTTTCATTTAATCCCTTTGCCTTTTAATCGCTATTTCTTTCCTTCTAAGCATCAATTTATATTTTATTCAAAATTGACTCTCCCTAATTAATTAATTTTTATGCAGCAGATCCAGTTAGATGAAGATCATTGTGGTCTTTTATTTATACATCTATATTGTTAGGTAGTTCAATGTTTTTTCCAAATAATTCTTAATCTATCCCTTCTAAAAGTTGAGGTTCGCTGAGATGGCTTTTACCTAAACTGCTTGTTACCATGAACTCCTCCACATTTACTTTATTCTTAAAAAATAATTTTAGGATAATAAATTATTTATTTATTTCTTTTTATAAAGTTAAAACTAAATTTCAAATGCAGCAGCTGACAAAAAATAAATAAATAAATGTTTTATAAAATAACAAATTAAATTTTACAAAAAAGTTAGGAGAATTAAACTTAGAGCTTTATTTTGTCATCATTAAAACCGAATCATTAAACTATTCATTGATATCATCATTGTTAAGTAGCAAATTGTCATCTAACAAATCATTATTAAATATACTATGAGTTTTTTTATTTGAAATAGTTTGTAATCCATTTTAGTTATTTTGTTAATGGAACTAACTAGCATTAGTATGCTGTTAATTAGCAGATTATCCATTTTGATTTTAACCATGGCTTCGATTACTATAATGATGACCGTTTAGACTACCATTGTTTCCATTCCCATTTCCATTTCCTATTTTTTATTTCCCCTTGATTTATGGAGAATCTAATATATCTCCACCACCAACTGAAACTCTATGTAATTCACCATCAATTAGCTTAAATTCATTTTCTTTACTGATAGTTTTAAATAAATAAAATAATTTAACTTATTGATACAAAAATTTTATATTATTAAATATTATTCACCTTAGTTTTTTTTTATTTTAACTACAAAGCTTTCAAATTTTTTTGATATTTTATAAATTAATAAAAATTTGAAATTAAAAAATAATATGAAAATATTTGGGTAGGTAAATAAAGATAGTGCATTATACAAATTTATTATAAATAATTAAGTTACTCTGAGGCTTTTCTATCAATTTTTTCATTAAAGACATCAATTGATTGTCTTGCTAAAGACAATTCTGACTAAGAAAACGGCTTTCTTTATAAAAAAGTAAATATGAAATTTAATAAATAATACTTTATTAAATTTACTAAAATAAAAATTTTTTTGTATGTAATAGATTAGAGAGTTCATTATCTTATCTTGACGAGACTGATATTAATTTGTCAAAGAATGTTCTATAGTTATGTGCAAAGTCAACATAAACTGTTTCAAATTAAAATTCTTCTAGCTACTTTTCTAGATTTTAGTTTGCTTATTCAATCAGCTTTAATAACTCCTATCCTTGATTAATAATATCATTTTAATTTTCCATTCTCTGATCTAACATAAGATCTAATGAATAGTTTTCAGTGTTATTCTATTCACACAAAACAAGTAACCTATTTTTGGCACTATTTATTTATAGTATATTAATAAATTAAAATATTTTTATAATTAAATAATTTGTTTTAGTAGGTTAAATTAGTAAATACAAATTGACTCATTAGGTCAATCATTTTTTTTGCAAAATGAAATAAATTAAATTATTTATTGAGATAGGTAAAAATTTAAAAATTCAAAATTCTAAATTAAAAACTAGCTCTTAGAAGTTTTTTAAATTTGTAAATTTTATTACTCTACTTTCCATTTCTCTGTCATTTCAATAGCATCTTTTGGTGCTTCAGTTAAGAAGTGTAAGCACTTTTTTTCCATCTCAGAGAACCTCTCTTTGACTTCTTTGATCGACTCTTCTTTTTTCTGCTAGAGTTTGTTCTCGATTTCCTGTAGGCATTAGAAAATAAAATTAGTTTTGCTTAATGCTTAGAACTTCAATATACTGTAAATTTTATTTGTATTTCTTGCAAAACATTTTTTAAATTAGATTACAAATAATCCTTCACAGTTTAAATGTGATTTTCATCAGTCAAATAGCATTGCTTTTTTTCAATATTTTCAAACATTTACAATAAATATTCTGCCCTTGTACTAATTTCCTTTAGAACATCCTCTTCGCTCCTAACTAAATGGCCTTTATGCCTGCCAAAAAGAGCACAGCTCGCACAAATTTTTATTCTGCAGTCAACACAAACTATTCATAAATTTTATATTAAAAAAATCACATGATTGTCTCATTTTTTTCAAAACATTTGCTCAAATTGCTTGCTTTTGGTCCTAAAATAAAATTGCATTTTCAATCAATAACTAACTTAATAATCGCTAAAGTTCAGCCTTGAGAATTGCTTTTATCTACTTAAATTCTATAATATATATTTATTAATAAAATGAAGTACCTATATCTAGTTTTTTAAAGTGATCTTAACAAGACTTATCATCAAATGAAGATATATGTACATTGCTATTCCTATCACTTTCTTCGCTAGTCATTGTTTTAATTGGAGTGAAATTCTCAGAATATCTATCGTTTTCTGTATGAACTGTTGTTGAACTCATTAAGCCTGTCCTTTTTATTATTATAAGATGTTTTGCAATATTAAATATATGATTGATAATCTAATATAAGCTAATTATCCTCAAAAATATTAAAATTTAAATTACTATTGCTTCATTTAGGATTATAATTTTTTCTTCTTTTGAATCATTCTTATAAGCGAAAAATTCTTAGGAAACTATATAAGTTCATTTCTATTTTAAGGTTCTCTAATTTTAAACAAGAAAATGGATAGCTATTTTATTTTTTATTGATTTAATTTTTTTACTAGTCTTCAGGGCAAATAATCTGCTAATTAGCAGACAATTTATCTTAAATGCATTATGAACACACACTATGTCCGCATTCTGGTAGCATTCTTGGCAATTTATCACCCGTGTCATCAAATAACTCATTACACATCAGGCATAACAATTCATTATAGTCATCTACAATCATTTTAAAATAACTTAATCGTTTAAACTGCCTTTAAAAGCTAAATTTATTTGTCTGCTAAAAATGTTAATATTTAGAATTCCTATTTAAATAATCAGTACGTTTATATGTATTAATTTATTTGCTTTTCTTTTAAGCTAAACAAATTTTTTAATTAATTAATCAATTAATTTTGTTTAGTAACAACAATAACAAACAAATATACTCTTCAAAATATAATACATAAAAAATAAATACAGTATCTTTGATGTTAAATTATTACAATTGATCATTACCGAACATATTTTAGAAATATATTCTTAATTATCATAATCTTACGGAGTAATGAAAAAATAAATTTGATGATAGGACACACTTAAATTATCAAGTAATACTACAATTAATAATAATTGTTCTGCATGAAAATTTTCGATATCACTATCATTAAGCATATAATTATTACTAAAAATTAAAATTTGAATTTAGTATTTCAACTTAAACTGAATAAGTAAACAAAAACATAAAATTTGATTTCATTTAATAGATTAGAAAAAAAAAGAAAAATAAACTTTTTATAATTTTGATCAAAATAATATTTAAATATATAGGTAGAATTATGTAATAGATTAACAAGAACTAATTTGTTTAAAAATTATTAAAATAAATTATTTTGTATTCAAATAATAAAAAGATTTGTTAATTATAAATAAACATTATTTAGTTTAATTAAACATAAAATAAAATAAATTTATTTACATTTATTATCATTTATGTTAATATTTTTAAAAGATAGTTTATTTTAAATAATTTTAAACAAAAATAATAAATAAGAGTTAATTTTAAAATATTGTCTAAGTTTAATAAATTAATTGATAGGTTTGTTTAAAAATTAAAAAAAAACAGACTAATAAATTGATATCATTTTGTTATATTATATGAAATATTTTTGGTTTTTAAATATTATATAATAAATAATATTCAATCAATTGGTATTTTATTTATCTTAAAAGTAAAATCTATAATAAAAATTAAATTTAAATTAATTATTTGATATATACATAAAAATATTATCTAATGTTAATATAAAATTCATCTACATTTCAAATGATATAATTCCAGTAAAATCAACACAATTAATTGTAAATAAATTTAATATAAATTAATCTAATGCATATCTTTAATAAATTTTATTAAATATTGTAGCTCAAAAAATCATAACAGCCTTAAATTAATTATAAATTTAATTAAATTTTAACATCAATCAAAAATAAAGAGATATATTTTTTTTATTGATAGAAATTTAAAATTTAAAAAATTACAATAAGTTAATGTATATTTATTAACTATTACATATACATTAAAAAAGTTAGAATTATGTATGATTAATAGTAATAAATACAAAATAATGTTAATAAACATGCTTATTAAATATATATTTAATTAATACAAAATAATAAATAGGTTATATTAGTAATTGGAAAAGTTTGTATAAGATTTTTTATTAGCTAATAAGCAATAATTTAATTGAATTTATTGAAAATCTATCTTTAAATTTTTATTTTTTTATTTTTTTGATAAATTTGCTTGAAATATGAAGATTTTTTCTTCGAAAATAATAAATACCATTATAACTAGAAACTTATTTTTGTATTCTTCAATAAACATATTTACGAGGTTATCCCATATGATTAACAATAATGACACTTACTGATTTTGAATCAAAAGATAAATCAGTTCTATTTAATTTCTGATTAGATATATTTGTGGTGCTTTAATTGTTAGTATCTCTATCTGTGGAGATGTTTCTAGTTCTCTTCCCATTTACATACTTTAAATTTTTTGCACTTATTGCTCTCTATTGGAGTTAAATTTTAAGAAATAAAGATATCGAAAAAGTCAAATAAAATAACTTCAATTATAAATAAATTTAACAAAAAATAGTAAGTTTAATTTTATTTACTTGGTTTGGTTTGAAAGATTAATTGAAATGATAGTTTGTTGATTATTCTCCAAATTATTTAACATAAGTTTCTATTGTATTTGATTATTGCATCTGTTTCTTTTGCATCTCTACTATTTTATCTTAAGTTTACATCTGTTTTTCTTCAAAGAAGTTATAATTTTTAGCATCATTTAAAGCCTCTTCTTAGTCAATTTAATTTTCCTACTTTTAAACTTCTAATTATTTCTTTGAACTAGTATGTTGCTTTTAGTAATCTCCCAAAGTTACAATTTAATTAGTTTTCTTTATAATTTATTGTACTGATATCTGTTATGTTAAAATAAAAGTCAATTAAATAAATAACACAATTAACCAATAAATATTCATTATTGCATTATATTTTTAAATTTTAAATGTTTACTAATAATTTTAAAAGAGAAAATATTGCAAAAATATATGGTTATTCTAATCTTTTTAAATATTAATTTTTATATTTTAAATGTTGTTTCTAGAATCAAATGATATGAAAATTTATTTCAAGTGTTTATTTTTAAAAATGCTCATATCATTTCCTATTAATAATTTATTTGTTCAAAATCAGCTAATTTTAAAATTTTTTAAATTTAATTATAATAAAACTACTAAAAAATCATCAATTCAAGTAAAGCTTACATGAGATTTCTAAAAACATTTATGTGATTTTATCAAGTGAAGCTCATGATTCCTGTTGTAAGAAAGGTTGAGAGCAAAACTGTTTAATTTAGTTTAATTGTGTAGCTATTTTATTTCTTAATTCTAAGGGTCAGTTTTGCTATTTTATAATGTCTTGTTTTATGATAGCCTTTTAAAGTTATTTTATTTCCATGTATCTAGTTCAGGAGTGTAGGGCCTAGTTGTAGGACCGCAAAAAGTAACTTTATCTTGCTGATTTTCTTGCTGAGAGTTATTTAAAATTTGTGATTTTTATGAGCTTTATTAAACTTACTGGTTTTAAGATTACTGCTAGAGCACATGTATATTTTTAGTTTTATAAGTATTTTATTCTTGGTTTTACTAATGAAAAATCTAATTTTATTCTTCTTACTATTTTTTCTAGTTGAAATCTTCTGCTATCTTTTGATAAACTCCTAAAAAAAATGTAGAGCCTAAAGTTTTACTCATTTTTTCTTTGTTGGATTCTTTTTTTTAAAGATTTTTGAGATGTTTACTCACTTAACATTTTGCATGCTTATTTCCTTTTAAAAAATACTCTAAAATATCAAGTTTTGGTTTTTTTTCATTGTTCGATTTTGGAAATGTCTCTTCATCATGACTATCATGAGATTCATCTGGTTGTGTTCGTAAGTGGAGAGAAATGCTTTTTTATGAAACTATTTTATTTTCTTTTTATTACTCTATTTAGCTTTAAGATTTTATGTAATAATTTGTGAGAGCTTCTGCTGTATTATTCTAATGTTCCTTAATTTTCAAAGTTATATTCAATGTATTCAGCTACTTATCTCTTTAATTGTGTGCAGAAGCAGATTTCTTTTACAATATAATTCTCTTACATTAGTCGTTTGACTGCTAATTTTTATTTGTTCTTTTTTGCTTTGCTACTCCCCCAATACTTTCTTAGTTGCTTGGAATCTCCTTCTTTTTCTGATTTTCCATTTCTAAATAGATAATTTTTTAGTAGCAATCTCTAAATTGATTCTTGTCATCTTTGTATTTCTTAAAATAATATTAAATAAATCTTTAGCTAAATAAATAATTACTAGCAAGTGTTCTCTTGATGAAGTATCCCTTATTTAAAATTTTTCATTGTAATTGCTTTAAATTATTTTCTAAAGGTTCTTAAATTTTTGAGAATTGAATTTCTCTTTTTGCTTTATTGCTTTTTCGAAAGCAATTCTAATGTCCAACTGGTCAGTAATAAGTTTCAGGAAATGTTGCTTCTCAATAAAGTAAACTTTGCACTCATATGAGTTGCAGATAGCGCTAGAGTTCCTATAGTCTTAACTTAGTAAAAGCTCCTCCTCACCAATATATTACCCAACAGAAACACAAGCTAATGAGTGCCTCTATACATTCGGTTAAATTTGCCGATAAGCATATTTCTCAATATGATTTTCTGGAGGTACCATTTTTAGCTAAAATTATTATTTGAATAATTTAATATTTTTATTAAAATATAATTTTATATATAAAAATAATGGTTTGTGTATAGATGAAACTTTAGTTTTCTTTTAAAATTTTACTTTTAATTGGTATTCCTTAATATACTGAAATAAGATAATCTTATTTTAGGTTAGATTGGAATAAATAAGGCAAATAAAACAAATATACTCAAATAATTTAACTTAATAGATGATGTTATGATAAAATTTCTATCACATTATTTAACATTTAAATAAAACCTAAAATAAGCAAAAAAGTGAGATTTGAGTTAGAACTTTCATTTACATTTAAAAATTGTTAATTCATGGTTTTATTTAGTAGATAATTAAATAATTATTTTAAGCATGATATTAGCATTAAATAAGCTAATTCTAAAAATTTTATGCCAATTTGAACTAATTATTTAATAAAAAGTATTATTTTTTATTTCATTAAATTTTCTTAATAATGATAATGTGTTGTTTTACATCCTAAAATTGTAATATTTAAATTAGGAGGAATATAATAAATAGTTTATGAAAAATGTATCATTGCAAATTATATCGGAAAAATTTTAAATTAATTTATCTAAAATAAACATTTTTTAAAGGTGATTACTTCTTTAACAATTTCAATTTCCCCTTGTGTTATTAAATAGCATCCATTTATCTCTTCATTCTGATTGTATATCACTTACCCTCTTTTGAATTTTTGCTTCTTCAAATATGGGACCATTCTTCCCATTAGTCTTCTTAGATGAGGTATTTCAGGATCTAGACTTTCGATGAGCTGATAAAAATTTAAATATTAAAAAATTATTTAAATAATTATTAAAAGATAAAAACTACTCTATTTAGTTTTTTATTGAATTTAGATTCTTCAATTTCTTTGAGAATTTCTATATATTCTGTTTTGCTGATACAACACAATTCACAATCATCTATGCATAATACTGCTTCTCTCCTGCTTTTGTTATTTAGGATATCAACTCCTCCAATAGCTTCACCTGATTATAAAATTTTGCCAAAAGTGTATTTAAAAACATGCCCATCAAAAAGATATTCGTAAATGCTTCCATAATATTCACCTTCTCTATTTTTTTAAGTTTAATTATTATTTATAATATACTTAACCTGAGTTATATATATATTTACCCTTCAACAGATAAATCAAATTGTTTGGCTTAATCCTCTATAATTTATTAATACTCTTTAGAGAATTATTGTTTAACAATTTTAGGAATAATTGAGTTGATTATTTCTAAAGTCTACATACTTTTTGTACTCCCTCTGTTTGATTTTGTTACCTTATTTTTTTATTTTACAAAAAAATATTAAAATTTTAACTTTAAACGATTAAACCTGAATTTTATCTGAAAAGTAAATAATTAAAATGTACTAGCAATAAAATATAATCAACTATTTTAAAAAATAAATATGTATTTCAGTTGAAAATCAAATATTGCTTCTTAATAAAATTGGTTGTTTTAAAAATAATTAATAGAAAGGTTTTCTCTTAAATAATCAAATTTAAGAAAAATAATTTTAAATATTAAATTTATTACAACTTTAAGTGAACTTCTACTATTACTGTTTTTATTGCTTTAAATGCAATGTTATATTTCCAATTATGCAATAGATTGCTCTGCTTAGTGCTTTAGTTTAAATGGTGAAGGATTAACAGAAGGTTAACGGATAGGTGAAATCGATTAAAGGTTAAAAAATGATTATTTCTTTTTACTATCTATTGGAGTCTAACTAGATTGTGGAGTCAAATCAGATATAATAATTCTAGGTGAATCTTCCCTTATTAAATTTGTTATACTTTATCTATTAATAGAATCTTGATGATGAAAATTGCGACCTAGAAAGGTCTTTATTCTACTTGAAGGTGAAGATTCATAGAAAAGAGCTACTTACTTCTATAAATTCTTTGCTACTTTAACAGGTAAATTTTACTTTTCTTGTTCAATTACATCATCCCTTTTCGGAATCAATAAACTTACTTTTCCTTCAAGAAGTATATAAAAATATTCTGATTTTTCATTTTGTTTAAATAAAAACTCGCCTTTATCTTGAGTCATATAACGTAACTTTTTACAAAACTTTTCTAATACTGTTGTTTATCTAGTTATATCTAATTTAGAGCATATTTTATCAAAATAAGGTAGTGTCCTAAAGTATTGCTGCATTTTTTAAATATCATAAAATTATCTATTCTTTGGGTCTTCCATGATATAGTTTTTAATGCTGCCATATGTGATTTTTACTTGACCCCTTTTTGTAGGGCTCTTTCCAGGAGACAAATTCGACCCACTTTTTACTAATGAAATTCTTTTAATCAAACCCAATTCCTGAATGTCATCTGTTTGATTCATTATTGGTCGCTATTTATTTTGTAATTTTTTTGGTATAAAACCAAATTATTAATAATTTTTTCAACTATAATTTGACTGATTAGACAAATAGATTAATAGATAGATTGATTACTTACCAATTATTTAATTTTAATAATTATTGAATTTTTCTTATCAAATAAATAAATGGATGAAGAAATTAATTTTTATAAAAGTGACAAATATATTGGTTATAATTTCTTAAAGTTATTTGCTTGTTTAGATATTTATCCAATTATTTCATATTTATTTTTACATACAAAATATGTAAGTTAAAAATAATAAAGTCTTATTTATTTATTAATTAATTTATGCTAATTATTTATTTAATTATTTTTTTTTCATTTAATTTTAATTTACTAATTTTTTCCAATTAATTTCATTAACTGTAACAAGAAATTATTTTCTTATTTTGTCAAAAATAATTTTTATTTTTTAAATCTGTTTTAAGTCACTGATTATAGGATAACAATTCCTTGAGGAAATCGGCTGCATCTTGTACACATTATTTAGCTTCTTTCATACCACTAGGAGCATCGTAATTCAAAAATCCATGAGGCATCTAATCATAAACGACCATTTTAACATCTTTGTTTAAATTTCTATTGATTTATAACACAAATAATTTTTAAACTAAATTATTTATTTTAACTTTTAACAATTTTTACTCTAACTTCTAAAGGAATCTCCAACATTCGTCATGTAAAGGATCATTTGTTCCTACGAGAATTCTTGTTGGTGGTAGTTCTCTAAGTAGCTTTTTTTAATTTAATTTTAAATATAAAATTCAAGATAGATTCAAATCAATTTTACTTCATCACTAGCATATATAGGAGAAATAAAAGGATCAGATTCTGGCCTTAAACCAATTTATTCAGGGACATAAGAATCTAAACACATTTTAAGGAATGTATGAGGTAATATTTAATCATCCAAAGCTAAAAGAAAACTAGGAGTAAAGTATCTTAAATTAAGATTCAAAGCTGATTATTTTTATAAATTTAATTAGCATATGTATTTTATTTTTTAATAATTCACCTGGATAAGCTATAACTATTCCATCAGGAACTCTGACTCCACTCTTTATGCATCTTAAAGTTAAAGCTAATTTAATATAATTTATTAATTATGCTTCTTAAGTGATAATCAAATCAAATTAATTAATTACCAGTAACCAAGTTTCCACCTGCAGAATCACCAACTAAAACAACTTTCTTTGGCTTTATATCTTTAAAAAAATATTATTTATTTTTTAATTCTTTGACTAAAAAAAGGTATTTGTTTACTAAAAAAGCGAGATACAAAATTGAGAATCCAATTATAAGCTTGCCAACAATCATCTAGAGCCTCTGGATAAGGATGCTTAGGAGCTTTTTTATAGTCAATAGAAAAAATGGGTACATTTAAGTTATTTGCCCACTAACGAGAATATGTCTGGTGACAACGAGAACTCATGGCAACAAATCCACCTCCATGAATGTGAATTATAATTGAATCATAATAAAGCTTCTTGCGATGAAAAATGCCTTTAACCTTTTCAAAGAAATTCTAAAAACCTTTTTATAAATAAAAATTTTTAAAAAATAATATATTTATTTGTTCGAATAATTAGTATTATCATACTATCACATACTTATTAAGTATAAATCTAAGACAATCCATACATATTTGCACCTATTTTTTTTGCATGTTTTATTTATTCATATTTGTTATTATCATTTTTTGGGATTTAAACATTTTTTTATGGGTTTAATATTTATTAAATCAAGTAAAAGCAATATAATGATAGATTAAGAATTTATGTTTTGAAATTTTCTTTCAACAATTTTTAAAAAAATATTTCAAAATATGCTAGGAACCTCTTTAATTTTTGCGAATGTAGAGTTATTAGGTTAGAGGAAATATGGTAATTAAATAAGTAAATAAATAAATACATAAAAATAAATATACCTGATTGGTTTTATACTTCCTCTTCTACATCCATGTCAAAATTATCTCTTTCATTAACTGATGGCCTAAATAGCTATGAGGGGGCTAGAATACGGATCTTAATTTTGGATTCATCTTTTTTAAATAAATCATTATAATACTAATCCTCATCTTTCATTTCAAGTCTAACTCCTCCTTTCATAGAAATCCTTTCTATTTTATTGTTAGTTCCATCTTCATATTCTTTTTAAATTGACTCTAAGGTAATTCTTTTAGCCACTGGGTTTAAATATATTTTTTTGTTATATTTTATTGAAGGGAACATAATGCTCATGGCTACTTTTACGAATCCCTAATCCATTAAGTTCCATACCTTTTTATATTTATTTTAAATGGTTTTTTTTCTAATTGTTTTGCACAATAAAATACTTGAATGGCTGTTGTTGTACGTGGCTCAGAGAAGAAAACATGAGCCTTTTTTTGAGCTTTTTAGCTTTAAAAAAAATAATAAATTGCTCCAAAATTTTAGTATAAATGTTTCTCAAATTAAGTATTTTATTCAGCCCCTTTTGCCACCATTGCATTTGCCAGTAAGATTCCTTTCACTATTTTTTTGAATGACTTCTTTAGTTATTCTTTAGGAGCAAGCTGCTTAAATATAGTTCTTTTTCTCAATCTAATCCATATAGGATCATTAGGATCTAGAGAAAATAGATCTTTCTATTATTGTTCAAAAGGTAATTTAAATGGTGAAGGTGAGTGAATTATATCAATTTATCAATAAAAAAATGATTTTAAATGATTTCTATTCAAAAAAAATCATCAAAACAAAACAAATTTTTGTTTGTTTTACTTAGTCAAAAACAGTGGCGTAAGGGAAAACTTAAATTGTGGTCTTGAGTTTAGAGTTAGCAATCTTAATATCATTAAAATGGTCAATATAGTCGTCTGATTTAATGTCAATTTTAAGCAATTCTTTGTAGTGGTATTCAATTTCATTAAATATATTTTCAATCAAGTATTTCAAGGTAGATTATAGAATCTTTTAAGTTATAATAAAAATTGAATTAAATAACAAAATTAGTCATAAAAATAAATAAATTATATTAATTTCTATTTGAAATTACTGGGAGATTAACATCATTTTTTGATTACACATAAATGCAATAATTTTAGAGAGCTGAATATTGTTGAGAGAGATCTCTAGCTTCTTAAGGTTTTAAGTCACTCACTGCCAAAATTTAGGCTACTTCTTATATCTAAATAAGAGAGAGAAATAATGTCTTTTAGACATTTAAAATCAAATCTATGAGCTTATCATTGTCTTCAAATTGCGTAGTCAAATTGGGAGTATAATCAATAATACTTTGAATAAGGTCAATTGCTGTATTAATTTTAAAATAAATATTTCAAATAAAATATGCTATTTTAAAATAAAAATTATTAAGCTTAATGTGTTAAACTTCATTAAAATATTTGCTTCTTTAGTCGAATTATTTACATGTTTTTAAAAGTTCTTTTAGCTCCTCAGAAAGTTTAAGTCTTTCTAATTCACCTTAAATTTCAGAGATACTAAACTAACTTCTTAATATAGATTGTCTAAGACTTTCTCTTCTTGAATAAGTTCTTTAAACTTCGCTTGACATCATATTTTACAGTCTCAAATCTAATTCTGGTCTGTAAATGTTATCTTCAACTTCCATCTAGTTATCTTATTTATTTGGTTTAATCTAGCTTTTGTTCTCTTTTATTTGAGAAATCATCATTCCTTGTTAGTTTAGTTCAAACTGTTCAAGGATTTTGCTTTATCTTTCTTCTTGTTCATAGTCATCAATATCAATGTCATCTATTTCTAAATTTTTTAACTTGTTGTCTAATATATCTTAAACTTTGTGATCCATTTTTGAAAATAAAAATATTAAATATCTCCTTTTTGCTTATTTATTTATTTTTGATGAATTACTAATGAATGAGTGTATTAATCTAAATTATTGATTTATAATATGATTATAAAATACAGCCAAGAAATATCTTAACTTTTCTACTGAAAACTAGAAAACTGTCTGATGAAATTAAATATGATAAATTTCAACTAAAATTTTTAAATGTGAGAAAAATAAATACCTTTTATTTTCAATTAATTTACAAAAAAAATAAACACGAGCTCACATTTTAGAAAATTGTAAGTATTTTCTGGCCAACAATAGATTAATTTATTTATCAAAAATTAAATAAATACTTAGTATAATGAGAGAAGCGTAACTATTAAGATTTTTTTTATATTTTATTTCATCAATTTATTAAATGAATCTCTTTAAAGTGTTAAAGATCTTTTTAATAAAATAAAATAAATTTAATGAAATAAATTTGAAAATGTTTTGACTTAACTTTAAGAATATTTTATCAAAATAATCAAAATTATTGTTGCTATGCTTATTATATAATAGATATTGAAAGAGTGATCTCACTCACTCTACGTAAAATTGAATAACTTCAAAATAACAAATAAGTTGAAGATTGAAGATGAATAATAAAAATCAGGATAAAGAGATAGATCACACTCTCCATATCTATTATATCTTATTATTTATATTTATTATAAATCTATTGAAAAGCAAAGTTTATTAATGCAATCAGTCAATTAAAATTATCTGATTAATTCTTTAATTTAATTTAAATAATAAAATAAATTATCTTACCTGATCATAAAAATACAAATGAATAGTGAATAGTTTAACATTTACTTCCTTTTCTATTTTACAATTATTTTCATTTCTATTTTATTTATATTTACTTTTTTTTCTATTTGATAATTTATTAAAAATTCTATTTTCTATCAAGCAAACATTTTTTTTAACTTATGTCAGCAGGAATTTACTAAATGTCTTTTTGAAAATAACATCAATATAAAACATACAACAGTGAGTATTTAATTCTAATCTTTTTTTTAAAATAAATTTTTATTTTTAAAAATTAATTTCAATTCTTTTTAATTTAATTGAAAGATTTTTTAAAATTTGCTTTTAAAAAATTATTATTATGTTAGAAATAATGAGTTGAATCATGTTTTTTCATAATTTTACATTCTTTAAAATAGATCAAACATACATACATTTTGCTTAATTTAAATTCAAAATATTAAAGCTAAGAACTATAGTAGAAGTAATCAATTCAATAGTTAAATCAGTTTTTTTATATTTAAATACTTGAAATTTACTAAAAATTCATTTTGCTTAAATTAAAACTCAAAAAAACAAACTAAGAATACCATGAATAGAATAATTATAATTAATATCAAAGTTTTGAATATAATTTGAATTTATAAAATAAAATTTAAACAAAATCACAATTAATTTATTTTATCTTTTCTTTAATTTGAATACATTTATGAGATAATTACTAAATAAGTATATAAATTAATTATATTTTAATTTGCTTGCTCAAGAAAAAGTTTTATTTATTGATTTTAATTATATTGAAAAAATAATAGAGAAAAGCTTATCAGAGCTATACTTCGTCTAATAATTTAATTGCTTCAGTAAGATTTGCTTTTACTTATTCAAGAGAGCCAGACTTCATCTGAGCAATGGTTTACTCCACTAACTTCTTACTTTACACTTTAATTAAACCATTTGATTTCTTTTATCCAGTTAAAGGATATGATTTTGATTAAGAAGGAGCTACATCTGGGATTTTACTTTATTATTATTAAGCAGGAGGTTATTACTAAACAAAAGAAGGTTATTTGGGAGGTTACTACTGTTATCCTACAAATGGATATCCAAAATTATTATTATTATTATTAAAGTTAGATTGTTGGACATTATTATTGTTGTTGTTGAATCCTTAATTTTAAAAGTTATTATCAAATTGAGATGGCTAAATATTACTATTAATAGGGAATTAAGGTTGTTAGGGAGCAGGTTAGAAGTTACTGAATTGTTATTACTGAATTTGTTAGACTTAATTTATTTGATTGAATTAGTTAAGATTAAAATCAGGGTTTGGAGTTCCAAAATTATCTATAGGAGCTGGTTGCTATGGAGGCTTTATTTAGCTTTGTTGGTTTTAAGAGTTTTTAAAGAAATAATTATTGGGTGATTCTTATGATTAAGGTAAATTATTGTTATTGTTTAAATTGCTATAGAGTTATCCGTTGCTTTGTTAATCATTCAATTTTTTAAAATTAGATTATTGAAGTAAGTCAGGATTAGGGGTGCCAAAGCTATTGTCAAAGCTTGGATTAACATTTTCGTTTTATGGTTAACCATCCTTAGCACTGAAAGTATCAAAATTTGGAGGATGATAAATGCTTTTTATTCTTTGAGATTGTTCAATTTTAGGTGCTATTTGTGAGGGAATTTTTTAAGCAACATTTGGTTGATTGATATCGAGTTGATTCATCGCTTTGGAAATTTCAAGAATTCTTTTCACTGAACTTTAATCCATTTCATTTATCCTGCTATTGTGAAGTTTGCTGAAGGCTTCTTAATAGTAAGCATCTTATTGGGAAGGACTTAAAGCATTATTTGGAGTATTGTTCAAGTATTATTAGTTATTTTGCATGGATATCTTGCTCTAATTAAACTAAGCAACACCTCCTTCTTCTGGCACATTAAAGTCTATTTAAAAAAATGATATTTTACAAAAAGTAAATTGAAAATGTATATTTTACTATCATTATCCTAGCTTCTAGGTTATGAAAACTATGCTAATTTCTACAATGCAACACTCTCTATTTAAATTAAATAAGTTTATTTAAAATTATATTTGCTTAACTAAAGTAAATTTATTAAAAAAAATTATTTTTTATAATTATTTAACTAAATAGTTTTTAAAATCAAGAAAAATATTTGTTAATTTCATACTCAAATTGTTCAATTCAGAAGTCAAGGGACCATAATATTGCAAAGCATCAATATATGCCACATTTTTTTCAAGAATTTGCTTATTCATAGGAGTAAAAGCACCCTAAGTTAAGCTTTACAAAACCTAAGCTACATTAGATTAAACCTAGCTAATTAATTATTGTTTGTTTTATTCCTTGTTCTTTAAATTTGGATATTGCTATATTAATTATTCTATTTCACTGAATCTTTATGTCAACAATTATTCTAATTTGTGAACATCAGGGTCATTATGTTGTTTCAAAATTTTACGCTAATCATTCATCAACTGACAAGAGTACCCCTTTAAGCAGTAAGTGAGTATAAGATTAGAATTTTGTTGGGCTTCTTAACTCAGTTAATAATAAAATTGCCAAGATTATTCCATTTTAATGATATTTTAAGTATACTATACTATCTAATCAATCTATTTTGTTTGTTTGTTTTTTTGATGCGCTATTTATAATTTTATTTGTTTTAATTAAATTATAGAGCTAACAAAAATAAGGTGGTTTGTTTTTCCTTTTACTATTCAATATTATTCACAATTTCTTTTCTAATTAAAATAGATTCTAATATTCTAAGGATATTTATTTTCAATTAATTAATCAATCAATCATCCTTTTTGTTTTGTTTGTCAATCCTTCTTTCTATTGTTTTATCATTATATAATACAAAATCTTTCAAAAAATAGAAAGAAAGAAAGACATTTATTCATTAATTTATTATTTGAAAATAGGTTTTTTTTTTTTGCTTATTTATTTTTCTAACCTGATAAGAATAAATTCTTTACTAATCAGGTGTTTGTAAAAAATAAAAAGAGAATAAAAATATCATATTTGTAATTTAAAATTTGAGAATGATTTAACTTATCATAAAATAAGACTTCGTTTTAAAACATTATTTTTAAAACTTATTAAAAAATAATTTGCTTTTCGAAAAAAAAAACATGTGTTGCATTTAACTCTTTATTTATTTACTTAATGCCTAATAAATTATGAACTAGATTCAAATTTTAATCCTTATCAAAAAATTTAAAATACGATTTTAAAAAAATATCAGAATGGCACAGAAACACCAAAAAATGATAATTAAAAATTAAAAATTTTTTAATTACACTAAATCCTTTTATTTAGAAAACAAATAGTCCAATTTTTGAAATTTAAATAATGATAATTATTTATTTTTAAATGTTTGCTAAATAGTTAGTCATTTATTATTAAAATTTTTATTTTAAATTTTTATTGGATTTACTAAATCATTCATTTTATTCAACCAAAAAAGTATTTATTTAATAATAAATTCTTTAGTTTAAATTTTAAAATTCTTCCAAAATAAATTATTTTTTTGAAAATTAAAATTTCTTTGTTTAATGTGAAAACTATTTAAAAAATAATTTAATTAAAAAAATATGATTGCAAAAATAACATTTAAATTTATGCATCTAAACATTTAATTAGATTATAAAAATTAAAATGATTAATTTATCTAATAAATTTAAATAAACAAAGTGTTTCATATTTAATAATTTGCTCAACTAATTATTTGTTTTAATTTTAAATTAATTTTTTAATTATTTTAACTAAATTTTAAATTTTAATCAACTGAATTTATCTATTTTTTTAATTGATAATCAAAATAAATTAAGTTGATTGATTAAAAAATAAAAAATATTAATTAAAAATATTTAATTTATCACTATTAATAAACCTACTTGTTAAAACTTGATATATAAATATAATTATCTTCTACAAATTTTAAAATAATAAAAATAATTGTTGAAAATCAAGTAATTTTATTTTACAAATCAATATTTCAACTCAATTTATTTTTAAAAGCTAAAATAAATAATTATTTTTACATATGTTTATTTATATTATTTACCTAAAATTAATAACGCTTTTTGTTGAAATTAAAGCAATGTTTTTTGTGATTTAATTGCTTCAAATATATTTTTAATTTACTTCATAGAATTTGTTTTAAGAATGCAGAAATTAATACTGAAATTCTTAATATTTTAAAATTTTTGTTTGATTTTAATGCTCGTGTTTATTAAAAACAAACATGAATGAGTGCAAAATTTAACAGTCAGTGTTCTATCTTATGAAAAATTTAATGAAAATTAGTTTTTTATGATAATTAATTAATTTATATATTTATTTATTAGTCATTTGAGTGGTTGGTTGAAAAAAGCAAATTTTTATATGTTATTTTGTTTATTTGTTTTGAGAAAAAAAGAAGAAAATACTAAATATTGTATTTATTTAGTTAGATATCTTACTAGTTTATATATTAAGTATAACAAAATTCAATTATTTATTTTATTAACATACAAACAAGCACAATAACTTGATTGTAAATAAAACAATTTTGTAAAGTTCAAGTAAGAAATAATTATAATATCATGTCATAATACGATGTAAAGCTAAATATGTCTAAAGTTGTTCTAGAAAGTAATCAATTTTAATTGATTCATTTGCATTCATGATAAAAAGTTAAAGATTGTATTGTAGGAATGATTTAATCTTTTTTTTGTTAATTAGATGGCTATTTAGAACAAAAGAGAGTGGAAAAAGTGAATACTTAATTAGGATATTAACCTATTAACATTAAATTTGATAAATAAGACTCACCTTCTGGCAGCCAAGAGTCTGAAGAGTATAATAGGATTCTTAAACAACAAAGAGGTTTGTTTAATTGATTAATTGATTAGCACATTTAATAATTTAATTATTAATGTTTAATATAGATTTAGATTAGAAATCATAATAGATTTTAACGAATTCTATGAGAATATTCTCAGACTCGAGTAGTTTTGATAATTATTTAAGAAAATAATCGTTTTGGGTTCAAGTATTTTTACTTAAATTTACATTTTCATCTAACAATAATTTTATTAGTTAATTTATTTATTAATTCATTTATTAATTGTTTTGTAGAGTTAAACAAAATAAAATGAAGAGGAAAGGAAAAAATCATCAGTTAATTTAGAACTTAAAAAGAAAAACTTTTTATTTGGATCAAGTTAGTAAGCTTAAGAGGGCGATTTTTAGAACATTAATTTGCGTTCATCATCTAGAGAAGATGAAATTTAGTTAGTAACGAATATTGAAATTGAGTAGAAGTCTAATGTTAATTAACAACAAGCGAATAAAGAGAAAGAATAGAAGCAAGAAGATAGAAAAGAGGATTAACCAAAATTCGACTTTCACAATATCAATACAAAGGTATAGTCTAAGAAAAGAGAAAATATTACAAGCAAATAAATCGGTAAGCTTAAAAATGTGGCTTTAATTCTAATTTAACTTACATTTTAACAAAGGTGATTTACCTAGAGATATAGAGGAAATATTAAAGCTTCAAGCAGATGAATTAAACAATGGATTTTATAATTAGAACGAGAAATTAGAAAGAAATAAAATTAATCTTGTTTAAGGCGATTTGATAGAAGCTTATTCTTTAGCTTACATTTTTCCTGTAAATAATATTTAGAAAAATACTCATAACGCTTGTTTTTTTAGAGACCTAGCTCCTATTTCTCGTTTCCTAATGAAATATTCGTAAAAATATTTTTTTTTTATTGGCTTTTCTTTTATAAGTTATTATTAATTTAGAAATTTACCTCAATATTCAGAGTTGAAGTAATAAAATAAGGGTGATGATGCCAGCAACTTTGAGCTTATTTAATACGATGAAATTTCTTTTCGCATTAATTCGTTGGAATTCAATAATTTAGCTAATATTATTAGTGGGCGTATTGGAGATGAGTCCATTTCCAAGCTGGACACTACTATTTCAAATGTTTAAGATTTCCCAGTTGACATATAAAAGAGAGTTGAAGAACTTGTTTAAGCTTAACTTGAAGCAAAGCTTAGTACCCTTTAGCTTACAAATTAATAAAACAGTAACAACAACAATAACAATTCAAGTAAAACATATTTGAAATTATTAAATATTATTTATAATTTATTTCTAAATAAATAAAATTAATTTAATTTATAAACATTTTTACAATTAAAACAAATAAACACTAGATAAAACCAATCAGCAATAATTAATTCATTTTAAAGATTTATAAAAAATAACATACAAAAAGCAATTGTTTAGAATAAATTACTTTCAAAATGAGTATTAGTTAAAACAAAAATGATCATATTTTATAAATTAATTGATATTATAGAAACTAGTTTCTAATTGTTATTGATAAAGAAGATAGTTATCTAATTAATTACTTAAGATTTATTTATTTTATCAGGCTTACATTTTTAAAATAGAAAAACCTAACACTTTTGAATGAATAGAAGTATTTATTGAAATAAGAAAAAATACAAAACGATTTTATAAATAATTTTCCATTATGTTTAAATGATTAAAGAAAGTTTTTAGTCAAAATAAATAAATCTAACCTTTTAAAGTGTAAGATTATGTCACTTATTGAAATGTATAAAAAATTTGGTATATAGAGATAAATAAATGATATGATATGATTAGATTTTATGATTAATATGATATCAAAAATATTTAATTTGGAATAAAAAGTAAATTTTATTATTTAAAATATGAAAATAACTAAATTTTTTAATTAATTAATGATAAAAATTAATTAATTAAACAAAATAAATAAGAGGAATGAATTTTGAAATAGTTTTAGTTTTATCAAATGATTATTTTTATATATTTAAAAAAAATCATTAATTATTAATTATGAATTATAAAATTAGATTAAGAATAAGAATAAAAAAAGAAGTAAACATAACAATAATAAACATAAGATAACTAATAATCTGGGCAAACTAAAGAATAAATTAAAAACTCTTTCAAATAGAAAGCTTCACAAGATCAGTAAGTGTAAATTGATTAACCTCTAAATCAAGCAGCTACTACACCTAGAAGTTTTTTAGGAATGAATGAAAACTAAATTTAAAGATTAAGTCCTGAACAATAAAAATTATAATAACAAATATCTGCTTTACATAATCAAACAGATTAAATTCTTAACAGGATAGCAGAAATAAAAGCTAAAAAGGAATAAATGAAGTTTATCAAAGATAATCAAGAATATTTACAGAAATACAAAGAAATATAAAAGGAACTTTAATAGGCTTTAAACGGTTTACTATTTATGATATTGAAATCTGACAAAAACCCTAATCCTTAAATTAATGTGAAATATAGCGTAATTATTTTCATTCATTAATTAATAGCTAGAAATCCCCATAAATTCAATTCAATATTAATATTTCAAACTAAATTAACCAAATTTTCCATAAAACAAGGGTTCCAAAAATTATTTTAAATTATAATTTTTCAATTAACAAATTAGTATAGAAAATAAGATAAAAAGATAACCCAATCCAACAAAAAAACAACAAAAACCCCACCTAACCTAAATATACTTTAAATTAAATTTAAAAAATAAAAATTAGGAATTAAGCAGTTAGTTGAGTGAATTACTTAAAAATTTAGATCAAATTTAAGGATCTAGAACCTCAGATGGTCACTTGAAAACAAGTTTGATTCTAACATTTTTAGAAGAATACAAGTGGCTTAACTAAGAGGACAAACTTCACAAGATGGATTTTGAATCAAATAATAAAAAACCTTAATAAAAAATATAAACTTTTGCAAATTATATTCATTCTGGAAGTTAAAATAAATAGAGTTCTAAGTCTACAAATATGAATAACTCTGGTTTGAACTTGAGCAGATAATAAGAACCAGTTAATTACACACAAGTAAATCAAACTGCATAATTTATTCCTGCCAATCCTAAAAATAGCAAATCAGTTGCTGCTGGAGTAAAACAAAGTACAAAAGAAAATTTCTCTAATCTATAGAATGAGAATAGAAGATAAAATAATTAATTTAAAAACGAAAATGCTGTCTCTTAAAGAAACAACTTAAGTCCTTGGGGAAACAATTAAAGTTACTCTCCATAGCCTAATTCATATTTAGGGGCAATAGATACTACCAACTCTTATTATTAACAAACTCCAATAAAAAGTAGTTTTAATAATAATCTGACAGATAGATCTTTCACACCTAATTAAACTTCTAGATCAAATTTATCAAAGTCATCGGTAATGCAAAATAAATCATAGAGTTCAGTTTCAAACTTTAGATAGTAAATCAAATAAAATAAGTCTGTGCATAATACAAGCTTTAATAAAAGTTCAAAAAAATTAGACTCGAAAGAGAATAATTTCTCAAGAAGCATATCTCCTATCATATATAAGAAAAGCTAGAGTCGAGCTGAATAAGAATATAGCGATTCTAAACCAAAGTATCTAAAATAGTAGAGCATATCTGGAATAAAGAAAGGATAACTATCAAATTTAAATAGATCATATAATTTCAAAGATTCATCTTTTTATTAAGATGATAGCAATGCAAAAACAAGTAGAAAATGATTTATTCTTTTAATTTCTAAGGTTAATTAAGAAATTAAAAGAATAAATCATAAGTTAAATATTTCTTAATCTCTTTGAGTATTAACTATTTAATATATATTAAAAATTGTAAAAAACTTAAAAAATATTAAAGCTTATTATCAACCAATTTAATCAATATATTAAAAAAGCTTTTTCTAACTTATTAAAAACAAATTCTCTTTAAATTGTCTTAACCATTTTATGTAAAATTAATCATTTTAAATTTTAATATTCTAATTTTTTTTTTCATTATATTTATGAATTTTCCTTTTACTTTTATTTTAGTCTTTATATTGTTAATATTTAATAAAATTAATATTTTTGAATTTAGATTCAAATAAATAATTCTAACAAGTAAAGATTATCTATTTATCTATCGATTTTTGACTTAGAATAATAATGTTCAATTTTAATTTTCTATAAATATCAAATAAATAAATAATAAATTAATTTTATAGCATTCATAAAATAAGATTCATAACTTAAAATTTTATTTAACTAATAAGATGAATATCTTTTTATAAATATTTTTTATGCAATTAATAGAATTTAATTATTTTTAAAACACAGAAACATCTTTCAGTAGAAAAGATATTTTTTTGAAATATTAAATGTTAATTAAGTCTTTTTATACAAAAGAGTCATAAAGTTATATGGTATTAAATCACAATTTACTTTGATTTTAAATAGATTATTAATCTTTGAAAAATATAAAATAAAAATGATTTATTTATTACTCATTAGAAAAAAAAATTTTTTAATTAAATTTAAAACATTTTCTCTATAAAAAATAACTTTTATTTAAAAATATAAAAATGTAATTAATCATTACATACAATGAGTTAGAATATAAGCATAATATTTATTTGATTACGTTTTGCATACTCTAAAAAATGTGTGTTTATTGAGAAAAAAAAATTTCCAGCAAAAGATATTCACTTTATTATGATGGCTTTCAAGTGAAAGGTGTATTTGATTAACTATGAATGAATGAATGAATCTATACATGAATAACATGAATTAAATTATATAAATTAGAAAAAGAGTTTCAAATAACAAAATTGATAATATAATTAGATGCTATATTGAATGAATGAATTAATAAATGAATGAATGAAATAGTGAATGAGTATCTAAAAAGTTTTGCTGCAATCAATCTTATTGATTTTAATAAGCTTATCATTTCTATAAACTTAAAATTATAAATTAACTACAAAGTTAACATATTCATAAACTACTATTAAAGTTAATTACAAAATGAGTAAAAATCCTAATCAACCCAATCAACAAAATTAAAATCCTGTTAAAAAAGCAGAACCTCAATTAGCCAAAGATGCGAAGGGGAATGTAATTTTTCTCTTTCATTAATAAACGAATACATTTTATATTCAAATAATTGTTAAAATAGGCTCCTTAGCCAGCTAATGCTTAATAGCCACAAAAAAATGATGGAGTAAATAAAATAGATTGTTTTTAATAATTTAATTGATTTCAAATTTAAAAATAAAGAAATAGCCTCAACAGTAGCCTGGTAAAGCTGCAGAGCCTAATAAAACAAACTAAGCTTAAGCAAATGCTAAAGACCAATAAAAGTCATAGGCAGCTGCAGTCCCAAATGCTAACAAATAATAAGAATAAAATAAATAGTAATAGTAGCAATAGTAATTAGCAGCTTAGCAACTTTTAAAGTAATAGTAAGAGGCAAATAGATAGCTAGAGCTCCAAAAATAATAAGAATTAGCAGAAAAAAATAAGCTAAAACTTGAAAAAAAGCAAAAGAAGCATGAATATATGAAATAGCAAAAAGAATACTTTGATTAATTGTACAGAGCGATGCAAGTAGATAATATGGATGACTTAGTTGTAAAACTTTACAAAAATAAAATTTTAAAAGACTTCAACAATACAAGCTATTTATTTATTTTTGCTAATAAATTGAATATAAAAAAATAGGAAGGAAAAGATATCGTTTTGAAAGTAGACAAAACAAATGTTAAGAGAATAGAATATGGAATTTAATCTATTGAAGTACATATTTAATTTATTAATTAATTGAGTTTCTAAATAATTAAATAAATCATTCCAACCAACTATAATATCTTTAATTCTTTCTTTACGTTTCAATTTACAGGGTTTAATTTTCAGAAAGGGACATATGATTGAAGAAGATCAAATAGATGAACTTTTATTAGAGGCTCTTAAGTAAAGAAAATAAAAATTATTTTTATAGAAATTGCAATTCAAGTCTACAATTTTTCAATATTTACAAGTTTTTTTTTTAATTTATCAGAGAGAGAGACAGTTTATAGTCTTAGATATTGTATGCCAATTAGGTCATCAAAGACTGTGAGAATTAGCTGATCGAAATTCCTAAAACGATAGTAATTTTTATTTGATTTATATATCTCTAAGCATTAAAATTATTATTAAAGAGTGCTACAAAGAAGCCAAGCATTGTCGAAGAAGCAGTCCTTGAAAAAAGAATTGTAAATTACAAAAAGTAAGTTTTATAAAATCTATGTAAAAATATAAAATCACAAAAATGTAACTGATAGGGAGAGAGAAGATTACGAAAAGAAGTTAAAAGAAATAGAAAAAAAAATAAAGAACCTTTAAAGTTAAAGAATTGAAAATCCAAGAAGTGCTTACAGTCATGCAGGTTTAAAAGCCTATCTTGAATAGCAAGATTCTTAGAAAAGAAGAGAAGCAAGCACTTTTATTAAAAAAGTACAAGAAGATAAAAAAGTATTTGAGGAAAAAATCAAAAAAATTGAAAGTGAGCAGTAAGCCAAATAGCTACAAGAAGAATAAGATAAGTTAGCAAAAGAAGCTAGACTGAAAATCATGCAAGATAAAGAAAAAGAAGAGCAACTTAAAAAAAGAATCAAGTAATCTTTTTAAATTAATTTTATGACAGAATTCAAAATTATATCATAAAAATTTATTTTTAAAAATAAGAAAAAACTTTAATAAGAAAAATAAATAAATTTAATTTAAATTACTTATAAAAGAAAAGCTTAAAAAAGGTTTAAAACTAAATAATTATTTTATTTTTAAATTATCTTTTCTTAAATTCATTTCAGCAAAAATGCTACCCAGATATTTAAGTTGATAGCAATTAATATGAATTAATCTTATTAGAATTAAAGCTTTAAATAATTTTAAAAATTTCAATAATAAGTTTTCAAATGCATTCAAAAAAATATATTGAGGTGTTTAATGTTAATTTTATATTAGGGATATTGAACAGGAAAAAGCACAACGTACCAAAGAACTTGAATAACATGAAGAAAAATATAAATAGCTAAAAGAAAGAATGAATAATGGAAAACAACCTTTATATTAAAGGCTGAATAAACAGTTTAGATCATAACAAAAATTAGAAGAAAAAGAAAAATTAGATTAATTAAATGGAATAAAGGAAAATCACAAAAGAATAGATGAAATGAATTTGTTTGAGCATCAGTAAAAGTATCTTGATAAGCTCAAATAGTAAGAAGAAGATAGAATTCAAGATAGAAAGAAGAGAAATGCAGAGTTAAAAGAACACCTATAAAAGGTATCTTCTTTCCCTGTTTCTACTATGTGGAGTCAAAGCAAAGAAGAAGTCTCATTCAATTCACCTTAAGGTTGATACTTTATTATAAAATCACAAATTAACTTATTAATTAATTACTGATAAAACCTAGATTAAAAATTGAGAGCCCTTAAAATAGTTGAGGCTAGGAACAACTTTGCAGATGGTGTTAAAAAGAAAAAGAAAGTTCACTTGGATTCATAAAAAAGATTAGAAATTTAAATCAAAATTGACAAATTAAATAATCCTTCTAAGTACATTAAGCCAATTAGAAGGAGAAACTCTAATGATTCTTAGCAAGAAATCAGTGAGGATTATGATAAATTTGATGAAAAAGTTTATAAAAACGAAATTAAATTTGAAAGAGGTAAAAATAATTATGTGGATAAGGGCTTAGAGTATTTAGAAGAAGTAAAAGAACAAGTAAAAAGAATGCCTAAAAAGGCTCGCTCTGAATAGCCACTTTCGAGATAGAATGATAACATGTTAATGTAACATTTTTTATTTAAAGATTTTATCATTATATAAAAAATTATTAATAGACCTTTATAATAATTTTTTTATATTTTAAAAATTATTTATTAAAAAACTAAAGGTCTGAAATAAAGAACGGTTCAGTAATGAGCAATGCTTCTTAAATGAAATCAAAAATTGACTATATGTCAGAAATAAGAAGTAAATTTAACTTAGATAAGAAAACAAGCAATTTAAAAGAATGGGAAAGAATTTCTCGTATGCAACATGGAGTTGACCCCCTCGAAAAGAAGAAAAATCTCTTAAGGTTATCAAAGAAGCTAGATGATGAAGCTAAACACTAAGAATTAATGTATCATATATAAAAAGGTAGTAAATAAGGTAGTATTTTCACAGTAGAAGATGTTTAGAACAGAGAAAAGATAGATGAATTATACTTAGAATCTATCAAAGCTAAACTAGCCATTTTTGATTCCTACCATTAAAATCAAAACTCTCCAACTAATTAAACACAACCAGAATATTCAAGGGAACATGAATTTAGTGTTTTATCTTAAAATTGAAGATATTTATTTTTCCCATATTTTTATATATTTTGTGTAAATTAATTATGTATGTATATAACTAACTAACTAGCTATCACTCTATCAAATAAATATCCTTCATTCAAATTTTTTATAAAACAAAAATTCATAGATTTTTTATTATAATTGGATAATAAATTGTATTTGCCCATATAATATTCAATATATGATTACTTTAAATAAATTATAAAATTAAAGTTAATTTTTAAACCAAGTATTGAAAAATTATTTTTTGCATTTCTAAGAATAATAAAATTTTACTTCAAATTAATTATTTTAGAATATTTTTATTAGTTTTAAAGTTTAAAAAATAAAGAATTACTAAAATTATAATTTGTAAAGGCTCATTTTATTTTGCTATTCAGCTTACACCTTATTTTTAAATAATTTATTGGTAACATTAATATATATTTAGTTTGATATTATTAATAAATAGGAAAATTTAGATTTGATACAATATAAATTTGTATTTAAGAAATATTTAATAGAAAGATAGGAATGTTTTTTAACTAATTTTAGTAAGTGTAGAATTTTTACACTCAGTCAAATTTGTTTGCTTTTATGTATGCGTAATTTGCTTTTGCCTGACTAGGTTTCTATTTTAATTCAATATCTTCTTTTGTCTTGATGTAATATGTAAAATGTAAGTACAAATTTTATTTCTGATTAAATGAAATTGAGTAGTAAATTAAAATTATTCAATGAAAAATCTAGCATTAAATCAATTACAAATTATAAAGTAATTTAATATTTTTTTAGATTAAATTAAAAATCAGCCAAGATTTGCAAACAAGCAGTTTAAAAAAGTTTAGCATAGATACAAATTATAATCAACATAAAAAAAACATGGGCAATCTAGTAGAAAAGTTAAAGAACTTTTTCACATCAAGCAATATGGAGATTGTTATGATAGGCATAGAGAATAGTGGAAAAACTACTATTTTAAATCAATTATCTTTAGGTGAAGCATCAGTAACAGCACCAACCATAGGACTTAATGTCAAGCAATTTAAAAAAGGAGGAGTTAAGATGAAAATGTGGGATATCGGTGGTTAAACCTAATATAGACCAGAATGGGGTCTCTACACGAGAGGTGTAAATGCTATATTGTTTGTTGTAGATTCTGCTAATGTAAAAATATAAATCTTTAAATTATTAATAAATCAATAAATCACCAAAGAAAATAGAAAATGCAAATAGCTTCTTAATACTAAAAGCTAATTTTAATTTGATAAAAGCTAGCATGTTTTGAATTTCGATTTCAGAAATTATTTTCTATGATAGCCATTTTTGTATTTAAAATGTTTGGGTTTAGGAAATTTTGAATTAGTTTTTGAAATTGACATGAATTAATAAAACATTGCATAGAATGAAAGAAATAAATAAATAAAATAATTAGTAAAAATGTTTTAATATTAATTAAATCCATTTTTAAATATAGAGAGACACTCTTAGTATATCTAAAAGAGAATTGCATACTCTGTTGGAAGATACTGAACTTTCCAATATTCCTATTTTAGTCATAGGCAATAAAGTAGATATTTAAGGTCATATGAACGAATAAGATATAATATAAGGTAAAATACAATTCTTTGTAAAGATAAAACAAGCCTGTTAAAATCAATTAAATAATTTGTGTTTTTATAAACATTTTAGGTATGAATTTAGATTACATCACATCAAATCCATGGGTAGTAGTAATGGTAAGTGCTTTAAGAGGAGACAATATACCTGCAATAGTAGATTGGCTTGTAAAAAAATCAAAGAAGTAATGAACAAAATGAGAAAAAAAATAACTATACATACATCAATAATAAACAAACAATTAATGAATTAGTTAATGAAAGGATATTAATCTCATTATAAATATCTCTCACTAAATTATATAGAATAACTTGAAAAAATAAACTAATATAAACAAGTTAAAGTAAAAATTAGATTAAATTATCTTATGATAACAGTCCATTCAATTTATATGTAAATATATCAGCATACTTTTATTTGTATTAGTTAGCTCCAATAATTTATTTTTTTACTTAATTAATTAATTAATTAATTATTTTACGCTTAAAAAAAGCTTTTATTGTATTGTATCAATTTAGTTTTAAAATAATCAGCTTAGTAAATGTAAATATTTAAAGATAAAAAATTAAAATATTAAATAAATATTTAAGCATAAATTAAAATAATTTAAAAGCAAATCTTTTGATTTTTTGATAATTTTTTTATTAATTTTATTCAATATAAGAAAATTTTCAATGCTTAAATATTTTATCATCTGTACATTTTTCTCAAAAAAGCAATTAAAATGAATATATTATTTATTATAAGTTAAACTATCTATAAATAAATATAGCTATTAAATTATCTTAGCATTAAATGAAATTAAAACCATATTTTAATGCTTATTAAAAAATTAACTATGTTATCAAATAGAATATGAACAAATAAATAATTTAAATTTGCAATCTTTTCTAAATTATTTGTCTAGTCTTTCATCAAGACAATTTGTCCGAGTGGTTAAGGAGGAAGACTAGAAATCTTTTGGGTTTACCCGCGCAGGTTCGAATCCTGCAGTTGTCGTTTTTAATTTTTATTTAGTACTAAAATTTAAAATGAAAGAAATTTTCTTTATTAATTTCCATAAATTAATATTTATTAAAATTCATCAAAACCTATTTTTTTTTATTTGTAAAAATTATTAAATAGTTTGATTATTTGTTTTGCATTAAGTTTCAATAAGACAATTTGTCCGAGTGGTTAAGGAGGAAGACTAGAAATCTTTTGGGTTTACCCGCGCAGGTTCGAATCCTGCAGTTGTCGTTTTTTTTATTTAACATGATGTAATATTTAGTTATCAATTTTCAGAAAATATTGAATGGTTGGTCTTTAAAAAAGTAATTAATTAATTATAAAGTAGATGTTAAGAATTAAATTAAATTTAAACAAATTATTAATTAAAATAATTAAATAGTTTGATTGTTAATTTTGCAATAAACTTCAATAAGACAATTTGTCCGAGTGGTTAAGGAGGAAGACTAGAAATCTTTTGGGTTTACCCGCGCAGGTTCGAATCCTGCAGTTGTCGTTTTTATTTTTTCTTTTATATTAGCACAGTAACTAATAATAAATTATGTTTGCCCATTTATAGTTCATATTTCTATTAACATGCTCTAAAATTTAATTATTATAAATTTTTGTTTTATTTATTAAACTTAAGTAACAAGTTGAAAATTTTTTTCATTGGAAATTAATGATTTTTTATGGTATTTATTTTAAAGTTAACTAAATAAAAAATAAATTCAATAAAATCAAATTTATTTAACAAAAAAAAATAGTTTATTATTGGTTTGATATTAAATTTCAATAAGACAATTTGTCCGAGTGGTTAAGGAGGAAGACTAGAAATCTTTTGGGTTTACCCGCGCAGGTTCGAATCCTGCAGTTGTCGTTTTTATTTTATTTTTATTTCATCTTATTTTATTTCGTTTTAATTGAATATTTTTTAAAATATGAATTTAATATTTTATTTAAATTTGTTTTATTTATTTTAGTTTAAATCATAAAAAAAAATTGAATGCTAATTTTTTACTTGGCATTAAATTTCATCAAGACAATTTGTCCGAGTGGTTAAGGAGGAAGACTAGAAATCTTTTGGGTTTACCCGCGCAGGTTCGAATCCTGCAGTTGTCGTTTTTATTTTACTTGATATATTTTTTAATACTAAATTTATTTTTAAATCATTCTAAAAATCATATCTTCTTAGTAATTTCTACTAATTTTATTTTTAATATGCAAAATAATTTATTAATTCAATTTATGTTTTTTATTAAAAAGTTCATGACCAATTTATGATTAAATTTCAATAAGACAATTTGTCCGAGTGGTTAAGGAGGAAGACTAGAAATCTTTTGGGTTTACCCGCGCAGGTTCGAATCCTGCAGTTGTCGATTTTTTTTAAAAAAAAGAGTAACATGAAAAATGATTTATTTATTTATTTGTTATTTTTTGAAGGAATTAAGCAAGAATAAAAAAGTTAATTATTTAAACCTATTATTTAAATATATTATTAAAGTTCATTCAATTTAGCTAATAAATATATTTATTTTAGAAAATTTGTATTGGTTTACCATTTATATACATTAAAGTAGATTTAATTTTAGTAGATGGATGTATTAGCACCGACTTGTAAATATCTAGATCCATCAGAAAATAGTCTTTTACTAGAAATAGAATTGTATTTTCAATAATAATATCAAAAGAATTCATAAATAACATAAATATAATTTAAAAATAATAAATAAACAATATTTCCAGTGTGGATAGATAGATAATTAGATTAATACAAATGAGATAATTCTTTTTTGCTTTTGCTATTGTTATAATTTCAGTCAGCTCAGTTTTATGCTTTAAGCAAAACCATTCTACTTTAGTTGGAGGTTATTCTCCTGTAAACTTAAATAATCCCCCTAATGGATTTATTAAAGCCAGAGAATATGCTTTAAACCACTTTTTGACTGAGTGCAAAAATGATGCTATTAATTCAGATGTTAAGCTTGGAGAAACAGTATAAGGATTTTCCCAAATTGTTGCTGGAACAAATTACAAAATAGTTTTTCAAGCAAAAAATTACTCTGCTGATCATTTGACTATTGTAGTTTTCTAATCACTCCCTGATTAGAACAGAAAAGTGCACTATTCAATTAGCAGCTGCTAATGATGATCACAAAATTAATCATAAATAAATATATTATTCCTCAATACATAAAAATAACTATGATTAAAATGCTCAAGCACGCTATATATTTTATATTAAGTTTATGTAAAATAAAATTAGTTATTTCGCTTAGATTAAATATGATTTTAATCCTTTATTTAACTGAATAAGTTAAACCATTTTTACAGAAAATGAAAATTCATTATTAAAAAATATTGATTGATTGAAACTAAATAATTTTTTTCTAATTAAAAATACCACGAAAATCTAATTAATCTTGAAATGTAAATCAATTATTATTTTTTGAAAATAAATCAACAAAATTTTGATTAAATTTTACAAATTTTGTTAGCAAATATTTTAAATAAAATATAGAGATAGACAGATAGATAAATAAATACAGCTTTCAGATAATAAATTGATCAAATGATTTAGTACCTTAACAAGGAAGGGATTCTTTTCAATGATAGTCTAAAATCTTTGATAAACGCTTTTCTTTATTATTCATTTCTATTAAAAGATATTAGAATCAAATAAATAAATAAAATAATAAAGAGAATAAAATTAATTACTCTAGTTTTATTGTTAAGAAGTTTATTTTACTTTTGTTTTTTAAACTAATTAGCATATATCTAAACATTTCAAAGCTGCAGCTTGTATTTCTATTATAATAGAAAATATATTAAATTAAATTATAAGAAAGATTCTATGAAAAATATTGTTTTAGAAACACAAAAATAAAAAAATAAGAATGATCATTTATTTTTGTAAAATATGTAAAAATTAAAGTGCATGAATATTTAAATTATAAAAATATTTATAAAATTTAATAAATATCAAAGATAAATAGCAATTAAAATAGATAGAATACTCAAAATTTAGATTGAGATTATTAAGACTACTGAACTATTAAAGACTATTTCCTATATTTGTTCCATCTGTTTCATTCAATTTATTTTAACTTTTTCAAAATAATTAAAAAAAATGTTATTAAAAAGTTAAATTAATTTATTTATTTAGTCACCCACCATAAATAAATAAATAACTCCTCATTAATTAAGGTAATAAATATAAAATTTTCTCAAATATATTTTTAGATAAAATTAATTATAGATCATAATTTTTATTTTTAATACCTTAATTAATGAGATAAATAAAAAGTAAAATAAAATTTAAAACAATATTGAATTTAAAATTATAAAGGTAGTAAATAGGGTAAAAATTTGAAAAGAAATAGGCTTAATTAATGAGAATTTAAGGGTTTTATTTATACCTGATATTTAAATTGAGTGTTTTTAATTTCCTCAGTGCACTTAGAGATGAAAAAATACGCTCTAAGTAATCTTTATACATAGAAATATTCCTTGTTATATTTATTTTTTAATATTTAAGATATATTTTGTTTATATAAATTAAATTACTATAGATCTAAGTCAAGATAGACAAGATTTTCGAATTTTTATAACTCTTGAGCTATATTTAGGATACACTTACCTAAAATATTAGAGCTTTATATGATATAATAAAATTTTATTTAAGATTTATTAGAAGAAAGTGTGAATGAATGAACAAACGAACTTACGAAAGGTTTAAACTCAATTTATCTAAAAATTTATATTTTGATAAATTGTTAAATGCTTCACTTATGTTTTTATAATTTAAATCATTCTTACTATATTTATTTTACAGATTAATAAAATAAATAATCTTCAATTTAATATCTTGCAAATTTATTTACTTAAGATTTAATTTCAGTGTATGAATGTCTTTATTTTGCTATAAATACTCTGATAATTCTACAATCTTTTCAGGTTTAAATGCATTCATTCTATAATTAATAATTTTTGTAAGATTATGATCAATTATCTAAAAAATTAATTACCCAATATCTAGGTTTAGCTCCTCTAAATTAGTGAAAGATGATATCATTTATCCAATATAAGTTATACCACTATTCCCTATTTTGCAGTTTCTTTTAAGTTATATATTTTATTTAGGATCTAGTTAATTATTAAAGTAGATTTTTAAGTAAAATCTTACGATAAACCTAAAGTTAAGCTGATCATACTTGTAAGACTTTTAATGCTCTAAGTTAAATTCTGAATATTTAATTAATCTATTTTTGAATTACTAGAAAGAATAATTTAACCAAGTTTTCTTTGTGATAAATTGTATGAAAGAAATTACCTAAAATCTAAATTCAGGTTTGTAATCTTTGAACACTTAGAAATTTTCTATGCTATTCCTGAAGCTGCTTTAGAGCCAGCATCGCAATCTCTTGTAAATAAAAACAATTATTTAATTTTAAATAAAAAATTGGAAAACTATACCTAAAATTCAAAAGTAGAAAGTCAATATTTATACACTTTTAAATATTTTGAACAAAAAGTGAGCATCCATTTTAGCTGAGTTTGCTATTTCCCCTTTAGAACAAACAAAAAACAAAGAAAATAAATAAATAAATAAACAAAAAATTAATATTGAAAAAATTAACTGTAAATTGAAAGAAATAGTTGTTAGATTAATGCATTTTGATATTTCCTTTCCTATATTGATGGCACCATCAGAACTTAAATTGCAGAAGCTAGTTAAATTATTTTTATAATTAAAAATAAATAAATAAATAAATAAATAAATAAATAAATAAATAAATAAATAAATATAAACACATACTCACTCACATACATATAAATTAATATAGACCTAATTTTTTTAACAAAATTGTTAAAATTCATTAAAATCTCATTTTAAAAATTTTTTAATAAATTATATATAGAGAATTAGATTCATTTATTTATTTAATATATATAATATATCAATCAATTTATATTCTTAAATATAATAATTAATGAACCAAATTAAATTTGTTTGATTCAAACTAAATAACTGATTTTGCAGTAAATTAAATTAACAAAAGTAAAACAAATAAAAATGGATTTGGAAACCATAGGAGAACTTTTTTTAGTGGAGTAAAAGTTAAAAAAATTTCAGTACTAGCTTGAAATTTTGTTACAAAGTTATTATTCTAAAAGCTGATGGTAATTTAAATTTTGCTTCAAATAAAATTTGAATTATAAATAAGAAAAATGATAATATTTTTATTTAATTAAAATTGAGATAAACAAATATAGTACTGTACTTCCTCATATATTAAGGCTAATTTTTTTAAAAATTTGCAAATACCTTAATTAATCATCTAAATTTTTAAAAACATTTGTTTAGACTTTAATTTTTATTTTTTTTTGATAGGACAGTATTTAAATTAAAATTTTTAAAAAATGATTAATTTAACCTTAAATCTGCTGTCAAAGAGGCTAGTTTTTAGCAAGCACATATTCCCTTGAATAGGTCAATCAAAAAATCACCTTCATTTTCTATTTCGAACCTGTTAAATCTGTTTTAACAAAATGGAATTTAGTTTTTTTAATTATTTTAAAAACAGTTAATTACAGTTAGATATTTATAATAAAAAGCTCTTAACACTAACTAATACCATTTCCAACTTCTTATAGTGCAGCTTAAGATAACAAAGCTTTACTATATAATAATAATTGTATGACATTGTTAAATAATTTTGATATTATGTTAAATGAATACTTAAGTTAAAGATTTAGTGAAAATAAATTCTAACATAAAGCTAGCTCTTAGCCTAATTTCCTTTGTGAACTTGAAAATAAGTTAACCAGCTACCTACCTTGAAAATCATCTCCAAGTTCAACTTCTTATAGTGCAGCTTAAGATAACAAAGCTTTACTATATAATAATAATTGTATGACATTGTTAAATAATTTTGATATTATGTTAAATGAATACTTAAGTTAAAGATTTAGTGAAAATAAATTCTAACATAAAGCTAGCTCTTAGCCTAATTTCCTTTGTGAACTTGAAAATAAGTTAACCAGCTACCTACCTTGAAAATCATCTCCAAGTTTAGCTGTTTCACTTTTTTATAATTTTTTTAATATATAAAGTAAATAAATAAATTAACAAATAAAGAGATTAATTACTCTAAATTCACTTTGAGAATTTTAACATTTACCCACTATTAATCTATCTAAAATAAGAATTTATTCATCATAATTAATTCTGAATTATTTTTCTAAAAAATTTACTGATTTTAAGGAAAACTCTTTCTGTTTTTTTTGTTCGAAAATAATTTTTGAATGAGATTCACTAAAAAATATATCTAAATAAATAATGGAAGATTAATTTTTATAAATTAAAAATAAATAAATATGCATTTATTTGTTTGTTTGAATATTTTACCTTAATTCAAAAAAAATTCATAAATCCAAAATATATCTCTTTGCTACACTCCTTCCTAATCAAAATTGCTATGAATTATTTTCTATCTTTTTGTATCTTCTATTGTAATAAAATACTCAATTAAAGATAACTTCTTTTCGCTTCTCTTGATGAATTAAGAATAGGATGATTTGAAGAGTTAATCAATTTCTTAATCTCTCACTTATTCATTAATTTTATACTTTGCTTCGAATATCTATAACATTACATAGTCTCTCAGTTTTGCATTGTAAGAAATAAATACATAGGAATATTTTGTCTTCTCTAAAAATATCAACTCAATGTAATGAGGACTTTATTTTTGCATTGTATTTAACAATTTTTAGATTACTGGAAGACACTCTTCTTTTTTTTCTTAAATTTATGATGCTATCTGTAAAGCTTAACTGTTCATTTTTTTTCCACCTTCTCAATTAAATTTTGTTTAAAGATTAAATAAAAACTATTAATTTAATTATTTGATTTGAAAAGATTTTTATTAGACAAAACTAACTAACTTCAAATAATTTTGTTTGAAAAATAATATCTTAATTATTAAATATTAATTTAATTTAAATGCAATCAATATACATACATAAATACTCACAATTCAGTTTAAAAGTGATAAAATAAATATAAATTTAAAAAATAAAATGATAAAGTTTTTAATTATTCTAATTAAGGGTTGCTTTTAAACAATAAACTGTTATCGAAATAAATATTATAATCATAATTTTGTAATTATTCTAATTAGGGGTTGCTTTTAAAACTTTATTTTCACTATGACACATATTATTTATAATCTATCTAATAATTATTTTAATAGCTTTTTGAAATACAAATTTGTGCCAAAAAAGAAAGATTCTATGGATATAAAAAAGAAATACAGAAATAAAAAATTGATTAAAAAATAAAATTAATGGTTGTAAAATACTAGTCTTAAAATTAGTTGTAGACTTGGAAAGTATAAATAAGAAAAGAGCCATCCATACACTATTATAGTATTCAGTAATATATTTATAATTAGAATTAATTCACGCTGATTTCAAAAATCTAAATATATATTTATTCAATCAATTGATCATTCATTTACGAAGTGATTTAATTATTTTTAGTAAAATATCCCCTTTTTGTATTTGTTTTTTGATATTTTTAGGTTAAAAAGAGATAAGAATTACTCAAATAATCAAAATAGAAATAAATAATAACAACTATATCTGACCGTTAAATTTATGAAGGCTTCTTCTACCAATGAAAATGGTTCAATTGATATAGAAGGCATGTAAAAATAGATGTCTCAAATAAATTTAAAGTTAGCTTAATTTGAGGAGCAGTTAAGCATTCAGGGCAGTCATTAAAAGAAAATTATTCAACAGAATGATGAATATGTGTAGCAATATATGAAGACTCAAGAAACAATAGAAAAGCTGAAAAACATCTTCAGGAACGAATAAGGCGAAGAAATAACAATCAATTTGCAAACTTATTTATAGTAAAAGGTAGTGGAGTCGGTTGTAAACGAGCTTAAATTTAATCAAACGATATCCTAATTAGATAATAAATATAGAGAGTAATTTCATAAACTAAATGTGAGCACTGAATCTTTTAAAGAAAATCAAGAGAATTTAAATCACTCAATTAACGTAATAAAACTAGAAATAAAAAACAATGCAGATTTAACTCATTAAAATATGCTTTTTAAGGAATAAAGTAAATAAATTCATTTTATTAAATATTATAGTTAAAATCAACAGATCATCATCAAAGCAAAAGATTTTATTAATAATATTTTTTTCTATAAATGGTTCAAAAAAAGAGCCATTTACGAGAGAAAGAAGCTTCTAAATTTATTTTATTTTTAGAATCTTGCATAAAAATTAAAAAGAAAATGATTTTTTGATGGATCTTTTATTATTAGTTGAGTTGACTCATTTATTTTTATAAAAGTATATTTGATTTTATTTTTGATAAAATAGTGGATAGAATTAAGTAAAGCTAAGAAAAATCAGAGAAAATGATCCAAGATTCAATAGATAAATTTTGGAAATATGACTAAATTATTTAATAATTATAATCGTAAGTTCAGCAGAAGGTAGAGTAGAATCAGATTCAAGATATACAATAGCAACTTAATGAAAATTTTGTTGGCATTTAATAATATAAGAGCTAATTAGAAATGCTTTTAGGGAAAATAAATGCAAAAACAGACTCAACTTACTTTGAGGAGAAATTCAATTACATTGATAAAGTATTTAAAGATAGATTGAATCAATTTTTATTTTTACTGATTCATTGTTTATTAAAATCAAAGAGCTTTCTAAAAAATTTTGATTAAATTAATGATTTTTAAATTTAAAACTAATTAGGCTGTGCTGCAAACTTCCTAAAAATTTGAAGCACAAATAGAAAGAGATCTAAAGATTTATTTTTCTAAAAGTAATTTATTATATTAAATTAAAAGTATTTTTATTCATTAAAAAACAAAAAGTGTTATAAAATTACCTGATTAAAAATGATCTTGAGAATGGATTGAACATAGTTAGATAAGAGTATAGAAAAGATTAAGCAAATTAAGAATAAGAATTTCAAAATAAAATTAATGAAATTTATCATTAATTATCTGAGAACTAAAATAATGTGTTTAAAAATTCTACACAAGTAATTTTCATTTTACTAACACATATTTTATTAAATAAATTTGTTGGAATTTAAAGATAAAAAAATAAGAAAGTTATTTTAATTATTTATTTATTTCCTACAAATTTTAACTAGATTATTTTATAAATTTATTTCTATGTTTGCAAAAAAATTAAAAAAGTTCTAATATTAATAATATAGGTAGAGTTGATTAAATCTGAATAAATTTTACTGAATTAGGCAATTAAATAATCTACGAATGATTGTTTGCAAAAAATACAAATATTTGACTAAGTTATTTAGAAATAAGCAACAGTAAAAATATAATTTTAGTTTTATTTTTAAAAATCATTTTTAATAATTTATTAAAAAGGATCTACTTAAAAAATTGGATAACAAACCTTCGTTTGTAGAATTAAAATTAATAGAATCTCGTGCAGATTAGAAAATATCTGAGCAAAATTAAAAAATTTAGGAGAATAACTAAAAATTACTGCAATATCTTAAAGAAATTGAAGCTAAATCTCAATAAGAAGAAGAAGGAATATAGAAACTTCAAGTATTATTTGATAAATTTGCTATTAAAAATTATATTAAAATCATTCAAATAGATGTAATTATCAGAAGTTGTTACTTTAGATGCCCTTTAAGAAAAAATGAAGTTTATTGAATCTGTAAAGGATGATAATACTCGCATAAAATAAGAGATAGAATAATTTAAAAAAGGTATAAAAAATATTGAGGATAGACTACAGGTTAAGATATCTAAGTTCGAAATAGATTAACTTCGAAATGCCATAGAAAGTGAATACGTTAAAATTCCATCTTTTTAAAATAGCATTAATGACTGCAAATAACTTACTAAAGACACTTAATCGGCTATGGATAAATAACTAAAAGTAAAAAAATTAATATTTTACTATTTTAGTGAAAATTAACATTTTATAGAACAGAGACCAGCTAATAGATAAACTTAAAATTGAGCTGAATCAAATTATAGATAAATCTAAAGAGCTGCTCAAAGAATTTAAATAAGAGATCGATGAAAGTTAATCATAAATAAGAAGAGAACAAGATGTTTAAAAACACCACCTTGAAACTTGCAAAACTTTAGCACAAAAAGTAGACGAGTCACTCATTTACAAAGCTTCCAAAATGGATTTAAATGAATTCATAACTTTTTGCAAATTTACATATTTAGACAGAGTAAATAAAAGTTAATTTATTAAAATTGCATACATATATTAGCAAAAATAATAATATTCTCAAAATGAATATATTAATATACCGTCAATCCTCATTAATTATCACCCCAACAAACTCCTATAGATTAATATATGGTGATCGATCATTGAGAAGAAAATATGGTGAAAATTTATGTTTACTGGAGAGAATTTATGAGGATTTACGATATTAATTTTTTAATATTAGTTTAAAAATGATTACTTTCTTTTTAGATATTCAGTTAAAAATGACTAAAATATAAAAAAAATATAAAATTTAAATGATAAAAGGATTAATTATCTAAATTTGTTGCAGAAAGAGAAGAATTCGAACAAATGAGAGACATAGAAAAGCATTTAAATTAGTTTAAATAAGAATATCAAACATGGATTGACACTTTTAATAAAAAGATGTGCTTTTCATTTGATAAAATGATTTCTTCTCCCATACAATTCTAGTGGGTTGAAGAAATTAAGGATAAATTTTACGAAATTGATCATATAAAATAAGCTTTGTTACAAAAAGCAGAGCATTCAGATTTGATAAGACTTTTTGCTTAAAAAGCAAATAAAGTAAATTTAAATTTTTTTATTTTAAAATATTTACATTTTTAATTTTTAAATAAAGAACTTGGTTAACAGTTTAATGGTGTGTTGCTAAAATTTCAAAAAATAATTAATTTATGAAGTAGTCTCTATCTAATCATTCATAAAATGCATTTAGTCAAGATCAGACTTTATGCCAAGTCAATAACTAGCCATTCAAATGAATTTAAGGCAGTTAACTAAACTACTAAAATGGATCACCTTCTCTTCATTAGTAGGAGATTAAGAGAATATGTAAGATGCACAATTTAAATTAGAAATTTCTTAATTTGCACAGATGGAAAAGGTGTCAGATTCTATAACATAAAAATTTAAGTAACATAAATATTTTCAATATTTAATAAATTCTAAATATTATTTCTTTCTTTTTTGGATATTTTGGATAGATTATTCTAAAAAAAACTTGAAGACATGGGCGATGCCAAATTTATAACTTCAGAAAATAAAATATTAGATGAGTATTTATCTATGATCATGCAAGATCCTGCTCATGAAGAAATATATGGAAATAAATAGAAATCGGATATGGTAGATTTAATAGGAACAGGTGATAATGAAGTAACACCATAAAAGACTACTTAGAATCAAACTATCATAAAACCTTTTAAAATTAAAAAAAATTATAACTCAAACAATTATTTTATTAATACCGTCGATCATTTCTTTACTCAAGATAAAAATAGCAAGCAGGAAATTCAGTAACAAAACACCTAAAAAATTGGGTCATTTCATACTCCTAGCAATTCTTTGTAATAGCAATTTACTAGAGAGACATCAACTTTTTATGACCCACTGTCTCAGTTCTCTGGCAGTTAAAAAAATTCTCCTTTATTATAATTAGACTCATAGAATTAAATATTCTGCAATGACAGTTTGGAAAGTCTCAAACAGTCTTCTATTTAAATAAAATAAGAAAATAAAACAGTAACTGTGGGCGGAAGGACCTATGAAGTTAACGATATAGAAGGATTTAACAAACATCTAAACAACATGAGCAGCAATTCAAATAAAGCTTTCGATTAATTAATCAACTTATCTATTAATAATGGTGGTAGCAACACAAATAATACGCATTTAATGGCAGGTCTGAGTGCAAAAACAGATTCTACTAGATTTTAACAGTTTTATAAAAACTAAAAATTTAAAAATAAAATAATAATTTCTACTCAAAAGACAAATCACTCAGTTTCTTAAAGTCCTTCATCTGCGAATAGCAACTCTTCATTATCTAGAAAATCATTCTTAAGTCCTAATGTTATCAAAAAAGCTACAAAAACCCAAGATTAAGTTGAATAAACTTATTGAAGATGCAGCAAATAAAATATTTTAAATAAACTCAATAAATAAATAAATTAATAAAATTAAAAAAATTAAAAAATTTAATAAAACTATTTAATAAGCAATTTTATATGTATTATAATTGTTAAGCAAAATTTATATTTATATATCTTAAATAAATATTTTATTTAGTTTCTCTTATAAATAATAAGAGTTAACAAAACAATTAACTTTTCTCTCCTTACAATTTAATTAATCATAGAAATGTTATAATCAGAATAATAATCCAAAATTAGTAAATATTTCAGCAAAATGTTAATTTATTTCCTTCGTTTTTAGCTACATAAAATTTATCTATTAAAATTCTATGAATAATTTCTTGGTTTATATGTAAATTAAATTAATTTGATCTCTTTTTAGCATAATAATTAAGTTGCTTTTTGGATTAGTCTCATTTTATTCACATGATAGTAAAATCCAATTATGAGCAAAATAAGAATCTCAAAAAGAGTTTAGAATTTATAATATTTTCCCTAATTATTAAATTCATTTTTAATGAATCAGTTATCATTTATTCCTTATTTTATATTCTTTAAAATCTATTATTCGTAATGATTGATTTCACCTAGAGGTGATTTTTAGTGATAGAAATCTTTATATTTGGTATTTAAAGAATTCATTTTGCTTGGAATAAAAATCTTCTTTTGATAATTTTAAAGGAGTAAATAGGCCAATGAAATATTTTGAGTAGCTCTAAAGTGTTAAGATATTTAAAACTTCAAAAAACCAATTTTTAAGATTTTTTTATTTTAAGAGAATTGTGTATTGATTAATAAATTAACAATAATACTTTAAATTAATTTTTAAGTTTTATTAAATTGTTTATGTATATTAATCAGATTTTTTTAAAATTTAAAGAGCTTATCTTATGTTCAATTGATAAAAAGATAAAATATTTTCAGTTTGTTTTAGAAATAATTAATTAAAGTGTTATCATAAGATTTTAAAATATTTTATGAAAAATAAAATAAAAAAATATTTTAAGAAAATTAAAATGAAAAAACTAATGAAATTATTTTTATATTTTTATAAAGTAAGTTGAATAAAATAGTGTTATTTATATGCTATGCCAGCTACTAAAAGTAAGATAATTAAAATTTAGGAATTCGCAAATTAGTTTCAGGTAAGTAAATTCAATATTTTAAGACAAAAAATAAAATAAGAAGAAATCTTATGATCATCATATCTGGTATTGTTTGTTGCTTATCAGACCAGCCAGATAATTGATTAATTCATTTGCTTATTAATTGTTATTTTGAAAGGCATCAATCAAATAGAGATATTTTTGATTATATCAATAATAAAGGAGAGGTGATTAAATTTATTAGAAAAGTATCAAAAATTTTATTAGCTATCATAAAAATTCATTGATTTGTGAATAGAAATAGTAAAAGATATTAATCAATTATTAAAATATCTTAAAATCAAAGCAAATAAAAACTTGTTAGTTTGTTAAATAGATAGATAGATAGATTTATAAATTCTTAAATATTTCAAGCAAGCATAGAAAAATGGCTACTCAAAAATCAAACGCTAAGCAGCTAGAAGCTGAATAAGAAGCTTTAAAAGCTTATGAAGAAAAGATGACTCTTTTGAAAAATGCTGCTAATTAAGATGTAGTGCAAAAAATGAAAATAGTAATTGACAATCCTCCTGTTAAATCAAAAAATCAAGAAACATTAGAAAAGTATGTTGCTCTTTTCCACTCAGTCCTATCAGCAGCAAAGGATAGAGAAAGATCAATTGTAGATGCACTTAATGATCAAGAGGCAGTTAATCTTTATGACTATATAAACAAAGTATAATCAAAACTTTTTTCATACAAATACAAATTTATTTTATTTTTTGAATAGAGCTTTGAATTGATTTCCTCTGGAAAATGCAAAGAAGATAAATTTTTATCTTAAAAGTTATTTAAAATGCATGCATAACTAGTTGATAAATTTGGAAAATCTATTATCTTAAAAGCCATTTCGAGATAGCGCTCTTTAATTACTCCTATTGATAATTATCCTACCCATAAAGACCCTAATCTATTATGAACATACTTGCATAGTTTTCAATTAATTGTATGTCTGTTTGTAAATGAAAAGCTTAGTCAATTAACAAAATATTAATTAATATCTATTTTAACATTATATATATTTTATTTAGCTTTTCAATAATTTAGAATTTTAAAGCATATTATAATATCTAAAACAACACTAAACCTTATTATTTTTCTTGATAAAATATTAAAGATTTAGATTTAAGAAATGATATTTTATAAACAAAATCTATTTAGAATAATAATTTGTTCTATAAAAATCAATAATTTACTCAATTTTTGAATAAATTAAAATTGAAAAATTATTTTATTTTTTATTTAAAACTTCAAGATTAAATAAAAAATGACTATTTTGTTTTAAAATTTTTAATTTTGCTAAATAATTATAATTTATTTTCATAAGCAGAAAACGTATGTTTAGGGTAATAATCCTAATTGAAATGCTATAAAATAGTAGATTAAGTGTAAATAATGATTAATTTTAGCTTCTTTAAATAAAATTTTACTGGCTTTTTAATAACTCAGCTTTTCTATCAAATATTTTAATAAATTGTTTATATATATGTTTGGTATGCTATTTGCATAAATAATAATTATTTCAAAGACAAACTAAAGCAAAATGATTAAAGTAAGAAAGAGAAAATTTCTTTGTACTTTTGCTTATTTTAGTAAGCATTTTATAAGAATTTATTGTTAATTATTTCTAAATGAAGAAAATTATTTGCTAAATTAAGATTATGGCGATTTATTTATTTATTCATTCATTCATTCTTTTTTTTTTTTAGATTTTTTTTTAGCGATTTGTTCTTCAGGAGGGAAAAGATCTTCAGGTTTTTCTGAAATTATTCTTATAATTTCTTTTACTTTAGCATTTGATTTCTCTACAAAATTTATATTTTCATTAACAAGTTTTTACATAGATTTGTTTTCAAATAGTTTTTTTCTAAATTCATTTATGCTCAGCTATTTTAATGATAATAAATATAAAAATAAATAATATATATGCCTACTCTTAGATAGGTAATTAATTTAATTTACTTTATTTTTGTTGCCTTTTACTAGCTCTTTCATAAGGTTTTCTGAAAAAAATACTAAATTAGTAGTAAATTCTCTATCTGGCCAATCAGCACTCTAAACTAAAACTTCAAATAGTATATTTAATGGAGGTCTAGTAATCTATAATTAAAAAATAAGTTAAGTTTTCTCTTTTAGTAATTTAATAAATATTTATTTATTTACTGAATCAGTTTGAGATTCTTATTATTCATAATGCTAAAGTATTTAATTTCCTACATTCTCAACTGTACAGTCTTAAAGGGTCTGGTCTTCTAAGAAATTCAATAGATCTTCATACAAAAAGTTTACAAAAAGGCTTTAAATAAATGTCTGTCCGTTATATTGCATAGATAAAATGCTATCCTTTTCAACATAAAAAATTTTATTAAAAATACAACTCAATCATCCATTCATTTTTAATCATTATTTTATTAAACTTAATTAAAATATTTTAAGTTTGTTTTATTTATTTATTTGAGCTATTTTATAAATGATTGAATGAATTTTCTTTATTTTATTTATTTATTTTAAATTTAAACTTTCAATTTATTTAGAGAGTTATTTATAATTATTACATCATCTGAATGCCAATCACCCTTAATCATTTTTAAACTTTTAAGCACTACTAATTTTGGAAAATCTGAACAAAGAAGCCTTAAAAATTAGAGAAAATCGTAGCCTAATCTATCTTTAATAGAAACATATTTATTTATACTAATTGCTAACTTATGCATATTAAAATACCTTCAGTGAGGTTAAAAACTCTTCCTAAATTAACTAAGAAGCATATTTTATTCATTGGGATTGCTTAAATGTGAGAGTTAGATTTAAGCAGTACATGCTCTCCTTTGATGTATTAACTTGAGCTGTTGATTAAATGTAATGCTTGATATCTAAAAATCTTTCATATTTATTTTATTACAAATCTGCAATTAAATTGGTAGCTGTTATCCCCTATTTTCTTAGAAAGAGCTTTGTCATTTCTGTAAAATAATACTACACTTCTGTTACTTCTATAATAAATTGTTTCATAATTAATTGCTTTTTTAAATCTTAAAGTTAAGATAAACTATACTTAAATATTAAGGATTAGACATATTTATATATTGCTTTTGCTTGTTGCAGAAGAAAGTCACATCCTTGATTGAAAAAGATTATTTCTACATAACTATTTCTTTCTTTCTAATAAAAATTAATAATATTCGATATCTTAATTTTTGAATTACGCAATTTTTTAAATTATTTCAATATCTTAAACAAGCAAACAAATAATAAATAAATAAATAAATTAATTAATTAAAATGCATACTTATTTCATTCATTAAATAAATGGAATGAAAACATTATTTAGCTTTTAAATTCAATGAATTAAAAAATTATTCTAACATTTGATACTTTTATATTTCATCACAATAAATTTAATAGTTTTTATACATTTAATTTTCAAATATTTTTTTTAAATTAAAGAAAATTTTTTAAAAAGCTGTTTAAATTATTCATTTAGAGCTACTTATTCTTATATGTAATCGATTTACTTAATAACATGTAGATTAGATAAAAATTAAAACTTATTAATTTACTTAATTTTAAAATTATTCATTCATTTTGATTATAACTACTTTTCAATACAATCCTACTTAAACCGTTTTTATTGATTAGTTAAAATAAAAGAATTTAATTTTTGAGATTATTAGCGTTCATATGGAATATTTTTATCAGAATTAGTTTCAGCTTCTAAATAAAACAGATCTTTGTTTTGTTTAGCTGAAGTTTATTTATTTTTTTCAAAAGGCTCTATTGATTCTGTTTTGATCAAGGTACAAGATTTTTTCCTAAATGAATAAAAACATTCTTATGAATTTGTTTTTTCTAAAGATGTATCAGCATCCTACTGAATCAAATTTGGCTATTTTTCAAAAATATAGTTATCTCCAAGAGTATTTTTATATTTTTATTTAGGTTATTCTTTTTCTATCAAATTGTTCTTTATACTACTAGCATTACTAAGTTGAAAAACTGATTTTTATTTAACAAATTTATTACTAACAACTTTACTTTGAAATAAAGGTGATGTTGATGTTTCAATTTATTTGGTTAAATTATTATTTGAAAATTGATCACTATCTTATTTTTATATCAAATTTATTTGATAGCTAGAAATATTTTATGAATCTAAATAAAAACTTTCTTAGTTATTTTAATTTTTATTTAGTTGTTCGTAATCTTCTTTACAAGCAGTTATCTACCTTAACTATCTTCCATCAACTGTTTTAAGATCTTGAAAATTATAATCAATAGATTTAGTTGACTATTTTTCCTATTCGTTTGCCTTCATCTAATAATTTAAGTTGCTAAAGTAATTTTTGATTTCCTTTTCGTCTAAGAAATATGATAATATTGTAGGGTCTAACATTTTTAATAATTTTATATCAGTTTAAGTTCTTTTTTCGTGTTTCTTTAAATAATTAAACGCTTAGTAAGCATCAGCAACCTTTTCTATTTCAGTTCTCTCATCCATATAGAGCCTGTTAAACTTCTCAATTGAATTTAATTTATTATTCTCTGTGTTATCATATTCAATTTAACTTTAATTATCATATTTATTTCTTAAATTATCTTATTAGCTTATTAATTAGGTTTAAATAATTCGACTCTCTTTGATTGTGAGTTTTGGAAGAAAGTTGAATAGCTTAATTTACTCTTCAGAGAGTAAAAGCATTTTAAGTTTATCTATTTCTTATAGCTTACTTATAAGGTACATAATATCAAGATGTTTATTTAAAATTTACTTACTAAATTCAATTTATTTTTTCTTTCTAGAAACTCTTTTAGAACAAGGAAACAAATAAAATAGTAAGTAATCGCAAAAATAAAGTTGCATTACTCTAGTTGTTTTCTTTTATTAAAATTTTTATTTTAAATAATACAAATAAATCAAAAAAAGAAACTTTCTTAATGAAATTAATATGTAATATTTATTCAAAATAATAATTTTTTTTGAATTTAAGTATCATAATTAATTACTTTTTTAAAATTATTTGTTTAAGTTTTAAAAGAATAAAATGAAATGAAATTTATAATCTGAAGTAAAATATTACTCTCATAAGATTTAGAAAAAGCTTTTACTGATCCTTTTCATTATTATCATTTGGAGCGATTTAGTCTTAATGTTTAAATTTTTTGATAAAATTTGAAAAAATTTCGCTAATGTGTTTGCTTTTAATGGAAGAATTAAACTCTACATTTTCTTTTTAAGATTTGTTTAAATTATTTGTCTCAACTAAAGAGGTGATTAATGGTTAATTTTTAATGTTTAGTTAGGAATTATTTAATTAATTCCTCTACTAAGAAGAATCTTACTGCTCTTTACAATATTTTTTATCATTCTTTTGTTGTTTTTAGCATTATTTCGCCAATTTATTTTTTTCTTCTACTTCGTTTTCTATACTCTAAAAGGAGAAAATTTCATTAACCAAACCTTGAACTAAATCTAGCTCACTTATTTTCTTACAAACTAATGATGAAATTATAAAAAATAGATTCATAACTCCAGAAACTTAAGCTAGCACATCCTATATTTTGATATACTGTCTAAAGTATCTTGACTGCTTAGCCTTTTCAAATCGAATTACTAAATGTATAAATTAATTACTCTGTCCGAATGTGATCTATTCTGTTGAGTATGAAAATATAACGTCTCTTAAAACAGATTTGTTTTTAGTAAAAATACCCAAATCGCTCTCAATATAAACGTTTCTCCAATACATTGTGAGTTCTTTCACTAAAATGAATTTTAAACAGCAAAAATAAAGTAAATACATGTAAAAATATAACAGCAATAATCAGTTAATCAGATCTAACATATTTTATTGCTGTAAAAACTTATAATATATTATCTTCAATTTTATTAATTACTAATTTTATTTGAAGTTGGCCAAAATATATCTCTCGGAAAGGTAGTAAATGGCTGGTCAGTTATTTTGGGATTAATTAATTTGTCAGTATAGTATGCAGCAAAATAGCCATTCATTAGAAATTTATCTATTTCATCTTAGCTTTTGCAAATAACTACCCTTTGACCGTTTTTTATTAGATCTGCAGCTTCTTCCTCTGTTTTGTTTTAGCATTGATAAATGAAAAACTCTATTGATTAAAAAAAGTCAGCTTCAAAATCACCGCTAATGCTGGCCTAATTATCTGCTTAATTAAAGCAATACATTTAATCAATACCAGCTAATTGCTGAAAATAAGAATGACTATCTTTGACCTTTTTTAAAATTGTTAAAACCATTTAATTACTTAATTAAGTAAATACTATTTAAATCTATTGATTGAATTGCAATTTAATTTAATTTAGAAGTTTTCATTACTTAAAAGTTAGACAAATTACATGGATATGGTCCTAGGTCAGTGCTAGTCCAGATTTGATCATATTAATTAGTTGTTTAATTATACACTTTATTCATTTGATTTCTAATTGCACTAATCGAGTAAATAGATTCATCTATAAATTAATCAAAAGTATCTGGATTTTGCATACCGAAAGCCATATTAAAGACACTAGGAGTCATATTATATTATTCTGGTTATCTTATGCTTTCTTCAGAGAAATTTGTGATAGGATTTTGTTTATAAATTAACTCTGCGCCATAAGAGTAAGCAACAATCATTAGCAATATGCCATTTAAAATAGTCGTTAGTCCTCCGAAAAAAGTTGAATGCTTTTGTTTTTTCTAATAAAGAAGTTAGACATTATGCCCAAAGGCATCTATTTGTGTGATTGAATTTTTTATTTTAGCTTTTTTGCTCATTTTGAAAGTAGAAGTTTGTTTTGTTCTTTTGTTTTTCTTAATATTAAATGAATTAATGAATAATATTAAATATTAAATTAAAAAATCTCCAAAAGAGAAACATTAGCAGAACCAATCAATAGAAAACTTTATTTAATATGTTAGTTTCTACTTTGATTCATTAAAAACGATTAAAAATATTAGTGTGACTTAATTTTAATAACATTATAATTTTCTCTTGTTTGAGTTGATTGATAAAAAAAATAAAATATCTATCTTTTATTTTATAATTTAATTCTCATTTAAAAACAATTTATGGAAACTAGAATAAATTTAAAATAATAATTAAGATTATATTATTATAAATATAATTTAAAAATGAACTTTTATAGAGTTTATATATCTATAATATATAGATAAATGAGG